ATAGCTGCTAAAACGCCTTCCTGCCAATATCTCTGGCACAAATAGCCTCCTCTATTGCCTATCAGGGTAATGTGCATTGCAATCTCGGCCTAATTGCTCACGTCTATAGACCTGCACCATCTGCTGAGGGGGCAACAGACATATTCTCAGAATGAGTTTCAACTATCAGGCCTCAAATCTTTCCTATCCTTGCAATCAAGGTTGCAATGTGAGCGTGCTAACAATGAGCGAGGTTATTTCCCCCCTCCTGCCATCATTACTATGTAATTAGCTGTGGTGCTATTCAATTTCCCTCATTTCAGACTTTTCAGATCAATATCACGCAGGCTGCTTGCTAAATGGCCGTGCTGCTGGGAGGCTTTTTCTATAGCTGAATAGGAGGTATCAATCACCCGGCTAAAGGAGACGTTCGGTGCTGTAGGAGGCAATGACCACACACACTTTAAGGCACAATTGTACAGGCTTTGGAGGAATAGTGGTCGTAGAGAGCTGTAGCAAGAGCGATATTTCAAAAAGGATATTATGTGGGAGTGTCAGGTTTACGATACGGCGCCTGCTTCTTTTTGTCTGCCATGTATCGACCACGATTGAGGTAAAGACACAAATCTGGTTTTACTGCTTGCAAGGACATCGCCCAGTGTGTCATGGATCGGCAAGAAGTTTGTTTTTCTTCTGTGTGTGGTCTGCTTACTCTTCTTCTAAGTATTTCTCCTCTTTGGAAAGTAGTGACAATTTAATGTTTAAAATCTTTGATAAGGTAAAAACAACACAGTTATTGGGGTCTAAAACATTTGTTCTCCCAAAGGTTTCTGCCTGTTAAAAAGAAGTTTTTCCTTGCCACTGTCACTCATGTTAGATAAGATTGGTGAAATCTGTCCCATCTTAAGGTTGGGTTTTGGTAATTCATTAAACAATAAGCGTGATCTAGACCTGCTCTTTTTTTTTTTTTTTGCGAAAGCATCTTGGGATAACAACTGTTGTGATTTGGCGCTATATACATAAAACTGAATTGATTGATTGATTGATTGAAATACTTTAAGGGTGTAAATGTCATATTGTTTGATTTCTCATGGGATCCATTTGAACTGCAGACATATTCAGACTTTGACTGTCAAAATAGTATCTATTTACACTTGTTACTGCAGAGAAATATTGATTTTAGCCACAAAAAATCAGGAAGTATTCAGATTCTTCAGGATATACAGTATGTAGTCGAAGTGTTCTGTTTTGAAAAGTACCACAACGTTAAAATAATCTAAACCTTAACTCATGAAGGACTAAAGAAAATGTGGGTTTAAAGTAACTTTTCAAAGGGGGCCACTGTTTGAAAATGAGCCACACTGAAATACAAAACAAAAAGTTGCAACACAGCTCAAGTGGCTGCTTTTACTAAACAGTTTGCTCTGCTCCTGACAAGGAAAAAAGCCAATCACAGGCTAAGATTTTTGGGTGGTAGCAGGTTTGAAGGGAGTCAGGTCTTCACCACCCCCTGGTGTTGATCTGTGATTTGCAAAGTGGTCTCAGTCTGAAAGCCTGAGATCGATTGGTCCTGTCTCTGTCCATGTGCTAATGCATTTTTCTCTTTTTCTAATCTTGTTGCTGTTAAAACATCAACCCAACAGTCCTGAAACTATTTCTTCTCATGAGTTTGGTGTTTTGTAGAGTCATTGAGTAAACCCTGTAGCTGTGTATTCAGGTGTACATGGACCTCAGACAACATGCCTTCAAACAAAGCTCATTAAGTGGTGAAGTCATGTACAGGAAACATTATTACAATGAGATTTCTGGTAAAAAAAAAAAAAAAAAAAGCTATGAGGGGAACTCCGCCGTCATTGCATAATTATGTGGTTGACACCATATGTGTACATGTGTAGCCAAGGTTGATGGGCCAAGATACGATCACATCACCTCTGCAGTTTATCACCTCACTGTCTGCAGACACATTCTCACATGAGAGCACTTAGCTGCAACATGGCTGTGAATGAGATACGAGCCGACTCACAGGCTGGATATAGCTTGGATCAATGTCCTTACATTGAACCGAACATACATCCAGAGAAAGAGAGGGGGAGGCAGGCAATCAGAGACCCAGACTGACTTCATCCCTGAGAGTAACTAGATGTGGCATCTACTGCAAGGCTCATTCAGGGATGGTTATTAATATCTGTAATAGACAGTCAGAGGACACTGCGTCATGGTCACAGCAAGGGTGGCAAAACTGAATTGTGTGTGTGTGTGTGTGTGTGTGTGTGTGTGTGTGTGTGTGTGTGTGTGTGTGTGTGTGTGTGTGTGTGTGTGTGTGTGTGTGTGTGTGTGTCATTTGTGAAAATCATTTCTAACATGGAGACTGTTTGGAGGGAGATACGGGTAAAGATGTTTTCGTTTTGCAGCTGCTGTGAAATTGTTGGCGAAGATGAAGTTTTTAAAGATGAAAAAGTGGTAACATCAAGAGCTAACCGAGTTGTCGCTGTGGGCTGTTCCAGCTGAGATCTAATGGACTATTTTGTATTTAAATAAAACTTACTTATTTTTAGCTTTCATTATGTCAGTGTGGGTAACCTTTAGAGAAGCTCTGCGTGATCTGCAGCTCAAAAAACTCCTTAATTATCTCAAACCTGCACCTGTGAAATCCTGATTTCTGAGCTGTCCAGCCTTAAACTGAGACACTTCATTCAGGCTGTTTTTTTCAAAAATAGTGATAAATCTTGGGGGTGTCACTTTTCACACAAGTCTCGAGTCATGACTCAAAAGTTATTCCTTTTAAGGTAGGGTTGGTAATCTGATTTAGATACACTTTTTGTTATTCTGGTTGAAAGGATCTTTATGTTCCGATGGCAATCAATACATGATGTGTTCTTAAAAAAGAGCAAAACATAGCTGCTACCCACAGCACAAGTAAAACTGGTAAAACACCAAACAATCACATCGTGTGGGCCCCACATTTTTAAACCAATCACCTCCTGCGTGTACATGTTGCAGGCATACACTGGCCCACTGTGCTCCTCCTGCAAAAAAGAGCAAGAAAAGAAAGGCGGAGGCAGAGAAGGCTGAAGCGAGACAGAATTTGAAGAAAGCAAGGGCAAATATGAAAGTCAACATCGGGACACCTTTTCAATGATGGCGAGAACTGAAAGAGATGAAGGGCGTCAAAGGTGATGCCATGGTCACTCATGTTTTGTTGGAAAGGTACGTGGAGGGTTAATTTCAGGGCAATTTTTAATCTTGATCAAGTATTTAGCCATGTTGCTAGTTATGTGGTCATCCCGGACCTGGGGGGACAGGGCCTTTTCCATTACCGCACCCTCCCTCTGGAACTCTCTACCCGTCCATATCAGATCCTGCACTGACTTGCCCTCCTTTAAATCCCTTCTGAAAACCCACCTTTTTAAAATTGCTTTTAACATGTGACTATTTTACCTATTTATATTTATTTATTTTATTGCAATATTCAAATTGTGTGCTTTATGTAAAGTGTCTGTGAGTATCATGAAAAGCTCTATACAAATAAAATGAATTATTATTATTATTATTATTGTTATTATTATTATCATTATTATTATTATTATTATCCCAATGCTAACGTTACCTTCTTTGTCACTGTTGTGCAAAGACTTTCCAATCTAAAGTCTCAAAGTTTTGAGTCTGTGGTTCTGAATCAGCAGACAGCAGTGCTCAGGCATGTGAGCAGGGGCGTTGTTTTGGAGGTGCTCGAAGGGGAGGGAGGAGGGACTACCTGAAGTTCTGAGGAGATGCTACATTTAAATTCATGCTAGTTTTCTATGTTTACCAACCCTACCTTTATAGAAGATGTCAATGGCGAGCTGTTAGCACCCATTTTAGCTCCCAAAGTTATGTTGGGGAATACACCAGTTGGTGTTATGTTACTCACAGCTTGTGGTTCAAGGCCTTGAAGGAAGGTCTTCATGGATGATGCAGCTCCAGGTTTCAGTCACAGATGGGATGCAAATCCAGTTAATCACTTTTCTGGTGCCTTCATCTTTCGGAGGAGAAAATAGCAGGACACTCATCCACAAACACAGTAACACACCCGAGAACCTTTTTAAAGGATGTCGACTCAACTAAGTGAAAAGCAGAGTGGTGGATCAACTTTCTAAAAGTTTTGAAAACTTCACAAAGTTACCAGGTGGACTCGTCTGTGAACACTGTCCAAGTAGGACAACAGAACCAGACATCAGATTAAGACCAGGGCTTGTGGAGCTCTTCAAATACTTTGGAGAAGCTGGAAATCACACTGTGAAAAGTTCTCTCTGTGCGAAGCTAAGTGGAGTCTGTTTGGGATCTTACAACTGTACCAGATTCTTCCACCTTAAAGAAAACTTCATTAGCTGTGAGTGTGACTTCTGGCAGTTTCGCTTATGTGGAAGTCACCAATCTTTGATGCTAACCTGCTATCATCAGGCTGCTGTTCATTCACTAAAGATTGTCACAAGACACAGTGTTAAGAAATGAAGACAACTTCCATGTATCTACTGCTTTAAAACTTTGCCATGACATCCAACAACATGGCATGTGTGTAGGTATCCTTCAAAGTAAGCTAACATCTCACATCTACCTCAATGTGGGACTTCTTTGCGATATGTCTGATCCGACTGAACTCATTTGACATGCTTATAATTCTGGGTCAGATTCACCCTGTAAAACAGTTTAAAAGACAAAAACCATCTCTGAAATACCGCCTTAACAGGAACAGAGGGCAATACTTTGGATCTGACTTCAAGTTTTGAGAATGAATTTGCCCAAGTTTCTGGATCTTGCACATTTATTCTTTAAATCAGAAATAAAATTGTTTGTTTTCACTTGAAATCACCACTACTATTATTATTATGATAGCACTTAAAGTATAGTTATTTTAGACTAAAGCTGCCACTTCAGTTGAAACTGTCATGTTTGAATACACCTTTGATAAAGCAGGACAAAAGAGGAGACATGGCAGCTGTTTGAGGACAAAAACATGTCCTTTCATTCTTGATCAATCACGAAAAAATCTTTTCACAACACATACTGGAGTGATGTCTGCTGTTTTTAATACTGAGGAATCATCAAGGGAGCACAAGGATGAGCATGACATCAGTCTGAAAGATTCATTCACAGAATGACAACAAACATCCTTCGTCAGGCGGGGAGTAACACAGAAGGACTGGCAGCTATTTAGCTTTTTATACAGAAAAAATAAATACCAGCGATGCAAGGAGTCTCATTCAATGACGAACCAGCAGTTCACAATATGGCACTCAAAGTCGGAATTCATGTCTCCACAGGCACAAAGCATTGGAAACCTCTTGTAGGAATTTCAAGAGTCAGTATTTCCTAAATATATGATAAGTTGACGTTTAAAAAATGAAAAATCATCTGTAGCTGAAACATCTGGCCGGAGAACGGAGCTTTGAGGAGAGAGGCATGCAGGATAAAAACAGCGAAATACTTAACTTGCATTAAAAAAGAAAAACATTCTCAGAGAAATAACATCTTTATACACTGCTGTCAAATAAAAAGCCTCATTACTCTGGTTTTTGGCAGTCTATTTGGTGTGGGGTTTTTTTTGTTCGTTTTTTTTTTTTTTTTGTTACTGAGAGCCTCAGAGCTTCAAAGCTCATTCAAAACCAATCGGGAAGAAGCAGCAGGAAGTTTAGACGGTTTTCAGTCTCTCTGCTGTCGACTGATTTATAGAGGGTTTATGAGTTTTTCATCCAACAGCAGAATTGTACTCTTTTTGCTACATTCACAGTACTGCAAGAGGAGAGATCATCGATCAGTGTACAGATACAAGACAGTACTGTATACTGGAAACAACACAACAGCAACAACTATAGTACACTCACTAATATTCTGATAAACATGACAAAAATATAACACTCCAGTCCATCCTTGTCCACAGAGGTGTTTTATATGTTTCTTTTGTCTGCAAAGTTAATAATTTTTCTTATCAAGATTCAGACGAGCACCACAAATCTGACAGCAAAATTGGTCCCATTATCGGTCCATTGTAAAACAAAAACAATCTTCATGGATAAAGAAGACAGAAGCTTTAGTCTGGGCGGCAGCTTACATTCTCGGTGATAACAGCACCCCTTTTGTGTTGTACAGAAAAAAGTAGACAGCGATTTGAATCAGCAGAAAAAAAGGCGAAAACTTTAAACTCCACAAGCTCTTATCATTCCAGTGAGAAAATACAATTTGTGGATTATTCTGGAAGTTTTACAGAAACACTTTTGGCTGACAGAGAATCTAAATCTTACACAGATATCACAAACACTTTCTATTCACGTTGGTCATATTCCTGGGAGTTGGCTGGACTTGCTGTTGCAGGTTGTTTCCACTGTGTGGCAGCATGTAGGTGTCCTGGCTTGTGTTCAGTGCATTCCCTCCTCACTGCTGAGGGCTGTTAAACTGACATACTGTTGCACATTCTGTGTCTGGCTCCCCCGACAGCTGCTCATTTGGCTTCTTGCACACACCAACCCGTAGGAGGGACTCTAAAATAGAGAGCTGGAGACTGTCACTGGCCTGGTCATGAAAATCACACTTAAGTTCAAGGATCCTGCAGGGACTGTAATACAATGACACAGAGCAGGAGGAAATTATCAGCATGAAAACATGTTGCATGGTCATAAAAGTGAATAATGGTAGCTCTCTTTTCCTGCTGGGAAAAGAAGGGTATTATTCATGAGACTCCACACCTCCAATGCCCCTTCTTAAACCTCATATTTAGTGTATGTATGATGGTCTGACATCTCAAGTGGCCCTGGGTGCAAGTGCAAATTAATCATGATGGCAACAAAAGTGTCTAATTCCTCTTTAAAAGGTGCCCCAGTCAAAACCATTTCCGGTGCATAAAGATAGATGGTACATCTCAAACTCCTGGAATTGCACAACAGCTAATTTGAGAAAACCTTGAGAGCTGGACAATTCAGGTGCTCGGCGAACAGGCTACAGCACCACTGCCTCTCATTACACCCTTGTTCTGTGCAGTGGCAGGGACAGGCTGACACCAGGCAGAGGTGAGAACATGTTGAATTACCAGATTTCTCAGTGTCATATTCTGAATAGGATGAAAACCAAGACAGGACACTCAAATCCATGTTAACACACTCATCGCCTCATACTCTCAAATAACTTGTGTTGATGCGTCATTTTTGCCTCTCAGCGCTCCTGTGTAATACCAGCCTGATCTGTTGTTTAGTTATATTGGACCTTATAACAAAGATGTACAGATACAACATCTTCAAATCAACATGGAAATCAGACCTCCCTCCAGGGTGTTTCGAGAGAAGTTGCAGTGAATGTAATTTGACAGCAGAGAGGAGCAGTTCGCGGTACAGAATCAGGTTTAATTTTTTCCTGTCGACTCTGATCACTGCATCCGTCTTGTAAAACACTGATTAGTTTTACCTCAACTGCCCTGTAAAGAATAAACCAATTAAACACAACATGAAGAGGAAATCTCTGGGATTGAGCTGCTGACTTTTTCTGGGAGTTAACAAAGTGACTGTCTGAACACAAATTGAACAGTAGGTGGAGAAAGTGTTGTGAGGATTTGTGACTCTTTAACAAGCACTTGCTTCTCTTGTCTGACTGGTCTCCACAGTGACATGTGATTCATACGACCTTACTTTAAAAATTCTGACATATCCCTTTAAGAGTCTTCAAAGTTAAAACAGAAATTGAGAAAACTGCAGTAAAACTTGACTGATAAATGTAGGGCCAGGACTTTAACGTGTTAATTGTAATTAATTAATTTATATTATCTTGTTAAAAATATTAACGCATATTAATCGCACCTACTGTATTTTTGCACTGTTGTATGAATTTCAGGTATACCGCTTATTCCAGGGCACCCAAATGTGAATGAGTGCAGCAGTTATTCCAGTCCCACCCAGTGCACGGAAAAATGAACAAAGTCGTGGATGGAAAAAAAAGATGGATAGAAGCCTGAATAAAAAAATAATCTTGTACAAACTATGCTAAAAAAGAATTTGCATATCACCGCATCATGTCAAGCCTCCGGTATCACCTGAATGCTAAACATGTTGCAGCTCGCATAGAAGCTAATGTTAGTCTGACTCCAGGTACAGTGACCCACACTCCACCCACATTCGACCAGATGAGCGGATTCAGAGCTAAGATGAGTAAGTCCACATCAGAAAAATTAACTAACTCTCTGGCTCACTGGTCCTTTATAGGCAACCTGAATCTCTGAAATTGATTCTGTATTTTTCATTCCTAAATTTGCTGCACTTTATGGCATAAAAAATGCACTGATCTGTTGGTCTTGGTTAAGTAAATCCTTAAAAAAAATAATAATGTTCTGTTTGCTTAAGCTTATGTGTTCATTCAGTTCGCTATTCATTGATTCACTTATATACCCTTTAAAAAAATGATTCTCACTTTTCTCAGGTCAAATATTTATATGCGATTAAAATGTGATTAATTGCGATTAATCAATTACAAAGCCTCTGATTAACTAGATTAATTTTTTTAATCAAGTCCCAGCCCTATTAAGGAGTAGTTTCTCTCACAAACAGATCAAACACTTCTCTTACCTGGTTATAGGTGGACATCAAACACTCCTTCCTCCACTGACTCGATGTCCTCCTCAGCAATCACTAATGTAATCACAGACAATGGTAGGAGAGAAATGGAAATGAATTAATTACATTGATCAGTTTGTCGCATCAACATGCAAATGCTAAGCTAATGAAATGTGTGGCCTTGGTCTGTTTACCCTGCCGATATATTCACCTTGCAGCATTGTCTCGCCCATTGATCACACAGATTCACTCTGATAGAAAAGAGCAGACCCAGACAGGGCACCTCTTTTTGCTGAGGTCTGATGAAAACACTGAATCTATGAGTCATTGGCCTCGCTGTTGTGGGCCGATCACATTTCCAATGCAAATGACCGTCTTTTGTCTGAGAATATTGCCCAAATGTCAGGGCTCAATATGTTTGGGGTGAGAACAGCACCCTTCAAAAAGTGAGAGAGGAGAACTCTGGACTGCTTTGGTAAACTAAATGATGTGTTTCTGCAAAAGTTTTTGGGACTGGCTTCATTTACTGCAGTTGTCTTTATAAGACCAACGAAAGCGAACAAGACTGTAAGACCCAACAACAGAAAAACGATTATTTGTGCCAATCCTTAATGAATTTTAGGGCATAGATTTGCAGGGTCAGAAGCTTTAGTTTCAGGGTCACAATTCAGGTACAGCATCTTCCGGACCTTTGTGTTCTCCCTGTCATTCTTGGGGTACAGTTGGTGACGTAAGACAAAAACAGCAGTCAACTCAGACTGTCTAAATAGACATTTAAAAGATGGTGTAAGGCACCAAAGAAGGGCTGTCAGACTCCATAAATGGCTTAACTGAACATTAAAAATTGATTCACCAGTAAATGGTTACTTCAGAGTCTTAATTTGGTCACATTGGACAAAAAATCTGGTTAAACTGGACTCCAACACTAGTCCCAGAGAAAAAACTCTTATGTTACACACTTAAAACCATTGGATGGTTACACAAGACACTAAATAAAGGTTTTAGATTGTTAAAATGGTGATATTTAACACTCAAAATAGTGACGTTAGATATTAAAATATATATATTATAATGATTGTATATAATATATATTATATATTTTTTTAAATATATATTATATATTTTCATCTAACCACATTTTTAGATTCTCATAACAACTTATAAGAATAAGAATCAATAAAGTTCTTCTTCTTCTTCTTCTTCTTCTTCTTCTTCTTCTTATTATTATTATTATTATTATTATTATTATTATTATTATTATTATTATTATTATTAGAATCTAAAAAGGTGGTTGGACATTAAGTGTCTGGGGATCATTAGATGGTGCATTTTCAAATTACAAGGGTCCTAGAGATGCTTTCCCAGAAATGAAGTCCTGAATCCAGACACGTTATTCATGCATTTCACTGTTCAACGACAGCAGGAGGAGATTTATCAGAAATAATCACTACTTTCACATGTATAGGAAATGACACCCTAACAAAAATACTATAGTTAAGCCTACATTGAAAACCACTTCAGCACTCACCTGTGTTCTGCAGGCTGGGTGGGGGGTTAGCAGGTGGAGGGAAGCTGTAGGATCTGGCCTGGAGGGCTGGAGGCGACTCGTGGCTGATACTCTTGGTCCTCTTACGGCACTCCACAGCCAGGCGGCTTCTGCAGGCCTTGTGGCAGTTCACCCCGCAGGCTGCAGCCATGTGAAGGAGGATGGAGGGAGGTAATGAGAGGTGATGGGAGGAAGGGTGGGGGGATGCCGAGAAAGAAGGCGACGTGGGAGGAAAGAGAGGAAAGACCAGGAAAGAGGGGAAGATGGTGGGAGAGAGAAGGAGAGGGTCAGACTGAGGAAGAATAAATCTGCTAAGCAGCAGGAGTTGAAGAAAAAAGATGTCACAGTCAATACATGTCCATATTTATGTGATGCTGAGAGTCTGTTTAAAAAAGGACAAAGAACTCCATAGCAACATTCTATAAATATCTAGTAACCAAGAAAACCAGAATCTAGAGTTTTAGGAGAAATATTGTCCTTCTGCATGTTTAAGGATTTCAGCTGATCCTTAAGAGTTATTTTCACCTTTCATGATGTGCCAAATGTTCTCAGTGGGTGATAAGCAGGTCACTTTAGCTGCAGGACTGTTCTACTCCTGAGCCATATTGCTGAAATACTTGCGGAAAGTGATTTGGCTTTGTCCTGCCGAAATATGAAGGTCTTCCCTAAAAAAGGATTGTCTGGATAACAGCAGGGGTTTCACAACAACACTGTGGGGTCCAGTATTGCAGGGTGTAATAACAGCAGAGCTTCGTTACAGCCTTTTGGTGGAGTCTTAACGTAAAAGGAGCTTTAGTGTACTGCTGGATGTGATGTTCATGTTGTTTTTCTGCTGAAGTCAGGCAAGAGAAGTGATGCTCAACACAGAGTTGTGTTCTGGTTAGGTTGTGTTTAACATAGTGAAGTCTGCAAAGACAGGAAACAAATAGAGAGCAGCTCTCCTGGTTACAAATTTAAGAAACAAATGAAAGGTGAGACTGAGCTCTCAGCAGTCCCCTGAATGAGTGTCCTATAATAATAACAGAGTGGGTCAAAGACAGGGGAGAGCTTGGCACTGTTTTATCATACTTGTGTAGTTTTGATTTGAAATAGGGAAACTGACACTGAGGTGTCTCTGATATCCAATTCCAGATATTTGAAGTCGGCCGCTGAAAAACACACATTCAGCTACACACTGCCACATTCAGAGCTCTCAACAATCTGCTCCTGCACTGCGGCGGGTGATTCATTTCAATTATGTCGCTGCCGCTCTCTCTACCTTCTCGAGTACAGGCTAACAATGGTAATGGGGACGGATGGCTGTGGGGCTCTCTCATTGACTTCCCGTGGTGTCATTAATGCACTGGAACACGCTGGAACACTCACACACTCCCAGTCTGAGACCGGCACTCCTCAGAGAGGTGAGGAGAAGAGAGAGTGTTGTCTTTACCCTCCACTTCCTCTTTTCACTCCTTTTGTTTCGACAGAAGCTCCTCAAAGAGCCCAAAGGAGCATTAATTACTCCAGTTGCTATGCAACTCAAGTGTTTGATGATAACTTGCAAGCTGTCTAATAAGCTCCAGTTAGCTCACCTGAGATGAACCGAAATGACTCCATCAGTTGGTGTCGAGAACAGGATGGTTCTTAATTGAGGCTTGTTTTGCAAGACAAACAATAAGGAGAGGGTGAATAAATTAGGTCCTGTTTCTGTAAGCATGAGGGTTACATTTCTTGGGTGTACGCTCTAGACTCGTGTATTTACCTGCCAAAGGAGAAAAAAGAAGGGCTGTAATCAACCAGAGAAATATTTGGTTGACTAAAACCCTGAAGTTTTCAACCAAAATCGACTAATCAACACAAGAAGGCAATTAAACACAACCTAATCCACCATCTATTTTGGTAAAATTCTGCCACAATGCTGATGTCTCTGACATGAATGGTAGAGGAGGACTCACATGAAAGTTGAAACACTCAAAATATGGTGAAAACAAAGGAGATGTTCTGCGACAGGATGTTACCTGTGAAACGGAGGTGCTCTGAAAACACCCCTTTTAGCACTTGGTACATTGCTCCTAAAGAAATTAATCATAGACTGTAAATTGACACGGCAAAAATTGAGTCGACCAATCAGAATTTTGGTCGACTCAGCACGTATCGACCAACAAGTCGACCAGTCAACTAGGACTAGAAAAAAGTTGGAGTTTTCACCCAGTATTAATAGGATCAAGACCATATTGATAAACAATACAAAACAAATTATGGACATCCTCTCAGGATTTATTACTTTCTAAAGCTGATTTGGCAATTGGTCATCAAAGCAATGAAACCCCGCCTTCTCACTCCATCTACCCCATTCACAAAACTGAGCTGTCATCAATCACTCCTCCAAAGACTGCAGCAGATGGAATCGGATGCATGATTTCCATTTAAGATTTGGCATTATTTCTAAAGTCTTTATTTGACATCTGGATGGGAACATATGTAGTGTAAATTATTTAGAGCGCTGAACGTCTGCAGATTATCATTACTCGATTTGAGGGATCAGCACACTCTTCTGCCAGAACGTCTGCAGAGAGGAAAAAAAGCCAACAGAGTGTGTGTTTTTAAAGTTAATGACCAGGTGTGTGTGCATTTGTGAAATGAACCAGCTTCCTCAAACACCAGGTCTACTGGGAGCCTTTGGAGGACAAATATCCAAGCATTGTGGGAAGTGTGGTCTCAGCTGATGGAGCACATCCAGCTGTTAGTGGAAAATGAGCTTGGTGTGACCATCCATTAAAAGAGTGTGATATGTTTGCCAGGGTTTCTGTGTGGATGACATTTACTCAGCACTTCAATCAAGAGGGTCTTTATCTGCACAGGCTGTGTGTTTGTGTGTGATGGCTGGGAATCAATGGGGTCAAATAAAGCAGGTAATTCCTCTCATGAGTGCAGCACACACAGAGTACGATCTCAATGACAGTCGCTCTTACCTTTACACTTGTAGCCTTGCTTGTAGAAGCCCCAGATCTGCAGAAAGACAGAGAGAGAAAAAAATGAGAGGTGTTGATGTGGAATTTTTGTTGTTGTTGTTATTCTAGTAAGAAAAAAGAGAAAATCAATCATCCGTTTGGAGCTGACAGAAGGTCAAAGTTTTCCAATAAACAAACGTGAGAATTATGATGAGGCATATTTAGAAACTGAACTTCTTTAAAGGAGGTCTATCATGCACATTTACAACAAAAATGCAAAGTTACAAAGTTTAGTGTCAATACAACATATATGTAAAGCAGTGGTGATTGCTCTAAGACTGCAAGGGAAGCTCAGCTTCCCTTAAAATGTCACCCCCCCAAAAAAAAGAAAAAGTGGTGAAATACGTACTGCTGTGTGTACATTTCATTAACTAAATACGCGCTAGAAAGCCTTCATCTTTTGTGCAGAATCAGCTTCTTATCACACTGTGATAAGAAGTTGATAATCACAGGTAACCGGCATAACTTCGTTCTCATTCATCCTCGCAGCGCCTCAGCGCTTCACACAGCCGGACGCTCAGCGTCTGCTGACTTTAATGTGGAAGCTCAAAGTGGGTTGTTCCAACAGCAAAACTAGACGCTCATTGGATAAAATCTGGGCTTTGTCCCGCCCATCGGACGCTCAGCGTCTCTGGAGTTCTATGGCGAGAGGGCGGTCCCAACTTTCTCGCGGACGCTGAGCTTCTGCATCCATGATTGGATGAGCTGTCTGAGGTGAAACCTTTTTTTGATTGACAGCTAAACAAGCGAATCAGCGACCTTGAAGAATGAAACATCTACCAAAGCATTTTCCAAGTTATTCATTCCGTTGTTCTTAACTGCTCCGGAGACTTTACCGATCCTCAGCGACTTTTGTCTTTGTTAAAAACGACTGCCGTTGTGTTTGGCGACTCTGTTCTGTTACATACAAATAAACAAACACAATTATGATGTAGGCCAGAAAAATGAGCTTCCCCTCCTTGAAAGACCAGCAGCCGCCACTGATGTAAAGTCTCAAATCACAAGGTAAAAGTATGTTGTCATAATCTGAGAAAATTGATGTAAACTGCTTAAAATTTGGACAAACGCACAAAATATGATCTGAAAATCACATAAAACTCCTAAACTCCTGCTGCTGTTCATAGTCTAATCAGCTTTTCTGTCTTTATAAATACCAACATAGATGACTATCAAGTTATCTTAGTGCCACTAGTAAGAGTAAAGCCCTTTAACTTGTTAACTTATCTGTCCGCTACTTTATTCTGAGTACTAAAAGCAACCTGTATAAACAAACCATTATCAGTGGATAAGATCATCTTCGATTCATGTGTCAATAATTAGTGGTAAATTAGAGTAAATGGTTGGTTTAAGACAATCAGAGCTCCAACAGGGTGACACAAGAGCCCTTAATCTTTTCCTTGGTGGAAAAAAAAAAGGTCAAAGGGTAAAAAAACATAAGAGATGAAAAAGTTCCTTTAATAACGTCATTATAAAAAAAAAAGCGTGAGGACCGATTATTTGCCTTGAGCTGAAGTTTAAATCCAGATTATAAGGTGCATTCTGTTTCCCACACTGTGCTAGGAATCATGGCCAATTGTTGTACTTATGGTGTTACATACCTAGTGACTTTCATTAACCAGAAATAAAATAAAAACAGTAACACATTAAATCTAATTTAGATGTTGAAAGTCATTCAATTACTTACCAATACAATAATGACGCACTGAGAGTGAGTCAGTGTTGGCCTGCTTCATAGGCGAGAATAGAGACCCCTGTTTCTAGACATGTAGGGCTGTCTAAACATTTCACTGTATGTATGATTTCTTACATTGCATGTCATACTAATAATACTGTTTCAATTACAGAGTAAAAGACGTTAGTTTTCATCGGTATTTTCATATTAATTCCCATATAATAACCCAGCATGAGCAGCAGAGTCCTCTCAGATTTTTCTTTGAACTTTATCCAGCGACAAATACCTATACTATTACGCATTTGCATGATGGTTTCGGACCAGTTATAATGCCCTTGCTAGTTCAGGACTCACCTTTTTAGTGTCATTGTTCTAACTAAGATTAAAGTTTGGTTTCCTCTTATTCTCTAACAATCAACAAAAATGTGTTTCCTACATCCTGTGTTGTGTTTTGATGTTGACAGCCTGAGCGCTTTCAGGTCCCACTGCTTACTCTGTGCTGCTATGCAGGGGTGTGTCCAGACTTTTGGACTAAGGTGGCTTAAGTGGGTTGCTGACATGGGTAGGGGTGGCCAAGGTGTGCAGTCTCCACTATCTACTTTCACAACCATCTTAGATCTTTATACAACCATTTCTGTGTACATTTTGATATGATGATGTACCATTTAGTTTAATGTATATTCATTCAGGCTAAATAGATCTTTGATCTCAATGGGACCTACCTGGTTAAATAAAGGCTAAAATAAAAAAAAAATAATGATAATAATAAAATGACAACATGATACGTTATTATTACAGCAACAGGGAAATTTGCATTTCTGCTGCAGTAAAGGCAAAAACACATTTTGATTAAAAAAAATGATGTTGTCATTAGATTTCTCAATTACTTGTCAATATAATCGCTGAAATACCTGATTGCTGACAGATTACTTCAGCCCTACACAAAAGACAAAGGAGCTTGAACAATAGGAAAAAATGATGTACAGTAACAGAGAGAGTGGAAAGGAAATGAACAAGAGAGAGGAGGCTGGCAGGACGTACAGGGGGGCGGAGGGAGCCCAAGATCAAGCGGGGCACAGGGAGCGCGCAGACAGTGGGGGGAACAATGACATGAAAGAGTGGAGCTGCAGATCACACACTGCACTGGCACATCTGAGGAGGCACAAAATATCCTGACCTCTTCACACAAACACACTCACTCACTCCGGCAACAAACCCACATGTGTGCACACAAATACACATGCAGATGCACATAGACACACAAAGAAAAACACACACGCAGCAGGGAGCCGTGAGCACAGCCAGGGGCTCTACAACAAAGGGTAGTCGGTTACGAGGAGAACATCTAAACACAACTCTCATCACAGCTCTGCCTACACTGACTGACCTTTACTGGAGCTGAACAACACAATGCAGCACAAGCAAGAGCTGCAAGCAAACACTGGGACTGAATACATCTTTGAGGCTTTTTACAGGATCCAACTCTGGCTCTCACATGATAAATTCTACATTGACTGTTTGGGAAATGTGCTTTTTTTACTAACAGTTACTCATTAAAAAAGAAGCACCCTTTGAGAATTTTTGCTTTTGAAGGTGCGAGTTTTGTATCATGAAGACAAAGAAAAACTGACAGAAAATAGAAACCATGTGTCTTCCCCTTGCAGCCATAAAAAGTTTCCAAATTAAATCCAAAAGCTTTTTCCTCAACAATTTCCTTTTATCTGTTGTTGCTCTCATGCATTTTTTGATACAATATCATGAAAGTAGAAGCTACAGAACTTTGGCAAAGTAGCTAAAACTCTGCAAAATGTTGTCATTGCTTAATAAGGCTGAGACTCTAGTTAGAGAAGACTATAAGAGTATCAGAAAGCTGGCTACTGTTAGCTTATGCTGTCAGCTTCAGGTGTTTCAGAAACAGTAAAACTCAGGAGGGCACCACTGGCTAGGGGTGTCCCGATACAATATTGATATTGGACATCGGTCCAATATCAGCAAACATTCGAATATCAGATTATATTGGCCTGCATTTAAAATCTCCGATATCAGCACTCAGATACACGCAGTCCATTTAAGACTCCGCTCCAGCACCTTTATCTAGCAGCACTCCAGCATGTAGAGCCCAAGGGATCACAACAACATTGTGTACTAAGATACTAACAAAGTAGCAAGGAGTAAGAGTGGTGACAGCCCTGTGGCAGTATTTTTTTGTTTAAGTCCGAAAAAGACGTTGCAGCTGAGTGCAAAACTTGTCAAGCACAAGTTTGAGCTAATATCGGATCAATATCGGTATTGGACAACACTGAAGGCTAGAATGTCTGTATCGTATCGGAGGTAAAAAGTTGTATCGGGACATCCCTTCCACTGGCAAAGAGGAACAAGTGCGCCCATGTACAGAGGCGCCCAACTAAATGTTTATGTGCCTCACGATGATTAAAGTCATGAATTTCCGGTCTGTAAAACACATCATCAGCCTCAGTCTGGATGATAAGAGGGTGTTTACGATAACAACATGGTTTCCCTGTTCCTTTATGCTTCTCATAATTTAATGACAGTTGTACTCTAGCAGCAAATTTCAATGACCAGATTCACAACATCATGATTTACACATAAACTGTGTCACAGTGTTCCTGTTTTTCCAGTGATTGATCAGTCTTCCATTTTAGACAGCTGTCCATCTGTCTGTCACTGTTTACAGAGGGATTCAGTCTTGTTAGGATGTGAAATTCATGCAGTAAGTATACACATCTTTCAATATTATGAAACAGTCTGTTCTTTTTGAAGGTCCACCACAAACTGTTAAACTAGAATAATGGGAAGAAGGTGTTCGACATCTACTTTTTTTACCTCATTATTATGTTTTCCTTTCTTTTTGATTTATTTGGATTAGCAAAACATGAAATCTCACACTGATCTCCATAAGCTCACCAAGTTACCATTATTTGAGATAATATACTTTAGAAGAGCAGAGATTAAACTTTGAGACAAAAAAGTTGTTTTGTTTCTACTATATCAGTCTTTACACTTCTGAACATTTTTTGAAAGATGTGTTGACCTCAAAATAAAAGCATACATGTGCAAAAATATCTTCTCACATTTACTTTGTCCAAACACAGAAGATAAATATCACTGAGATTTGTAAGACACCTTTTTTCTTGAAATCCCTCCTTCATGCCACATGCATGAAATAAGCAGACCTGGTTAAACAGCGTTGTTTAAAATGATACCAAAAAAAAAAAAAAAAAAATCAGCCAAGCAGGAAACAGATACACTTAAAATCATTCCAGTGCCAAATCTGCTGAAAGGTCAGTAAAAATTGTCACAGATGATAGTTTGCAGTGTCGGCAAAACTGCAGCAAAAAACACCTGATTTCAAAAAAGTTATGAAGCTGTGCAGAATGATTAAAACAGATTTTGATGGTTTGTGACTTATCAATGCAGAGACAGTGTATCAAATATTTGAATAAAACTGAAGATATATGCTCACACAAAACACCAAAGAAACACCTGGAGGAATGTTTCCCACTTAAAAAGGTTCATTTATAGCAGGTTAGACCTGAGAGGCTTAATCCCTCAGAAAAGGGTTAACCTCTCTGTGAGAGACTGTGTGAGCAAATCGTTCAACAATTTGAGATGTTTCTGAACTTGAATTGTAAAGGATCTATGTACTTGATCATCTACAGTACATGATGTCATTTGAAGATTCAGAGAATCTCTGTGCAAAAATGGACAAGGCCAAAAACCAATTCTGTTTGGCCTCTATCTTTGGCCCTAAACAGAAATGACTCTGCAGTGGAAAATACTGCATGAGCTGAAAACATAGTTTGCTGCTGCATCCACAAATGTAGGTTAACACTGCACCAGGTAAAGAGTAAACCACATATCAACATGTACCAGAAACTCCTCTGGGCGCAATCCTTTTTGAGACAGGCTGCAGTGAAGAAGCTGTCCTGTGATCCAACAAGTCCAATTTGACATTCTTTTTGGGAATCAAGGACACGCTTTCAGCCAGCATTCTCTATGTTATGAGGATGCATAGTTGTTCCTGATATGTGTAGCTTGCACATCTGGGAAGCTTTATTAAACGCTGAATAATAGTAGCAACAGGTTCTGGAGCAACACAGGCTTCCATCCAGACAGTGCCTTTTCCAGAGAAGACCTTGCCTAAATACAGCAAGAAGATGCAAAATCACATTCTTCACAAACTGTAACAACATGGCTCAGTAGTAGAAGAGTCCTAAAGTTAAACTAAACCCTGTCACCTACTGAAAATATTTGGCACATCATGAACCAAAACTTTAACGAACAAAAAATACAACTCCAATTACTACACAGCTGGAATCCTGATCAGGCCAGAATGGGACAACATTTCACTTTCAAAACCCCAAACACTGGTCTCTTTCAATGTAAAGGAAAAGTACACCGCAGTTTTTACCAAGAGGTTCGATTAGCTTAGAAAATAATAGGTGCAATAAGTCGCATTTGTAGCTTTCATTTGAAATAAACTGCAGTGACAGACAGTCTGAAAAGAAACTGTCATACTTTAAACAATTTTCTAACACTTATGTCAGGCTGTCACACTGTATGAACGAGCTGTATAAGACAAACTAAAGACAGCTTTTTACTTCTCTTATTCTGATCCTGTGAAGCTAAACTGTCAGAAAAAACCCCCAAAGAGATCTGCACATCACTCAAATAAAAGTGCTGGAAGCCTGCAGCTAAAACACTTGCTGCACTCTCCTGAGATGTGAAAAACCTCTGCGGTGTGTCTTCTTGCCTGGTGCATTTAGTACAACTCATCTGTGTGTCATTAAGTGAGGATGTAAAGTGGCCATGGGGAAAAGAGCACAATACGTGCGAGACAGCAGAGGTGAGCAGACTCTGCGGTGTTTACAGAAGGCCTCTGTACAACTTGTTTGAGACAAGTGCTGAAAAATGGGGCTGCTGGAAAAATATTGTCTCAACTCGGGAACCGAGAGGAAAGCACAAAGCAGGCAGAGGAGGAAGCAGCTCATGTATCTACCTCTGCCACACTCATATTCAAAGGAAGAGGCGTGCTGCCAGAGTCCTTATCTCTACTCGCTCTGTATTTTGAGTTCCCCTTCATGATGATTTAAAAACACAGCAGCTTCCCCAAGAGTGCTTGTGCGTGTGTGTGTGTGTGTGTGTGTGTGTGTGTGTGTTCCTTTAAGTGCTAATGCGAGTCTATGCAAATAATCTACAACATACTTCTCCTGTGAGCATTCGACTCCCCTTCCAGCTCCTCTTAATGTGCGTATACAGCAGTGAATGGGCTGTCATCTCCGTGTTCAGTTCGATATGAGGAGCGTATTACTGTTCTCATTACAGCCAGGCGCTGACTCACTGTCTGTGTCTAAACAACAGAAGCCTCCTTCAGGGACTTTGGGGAATGTTAAGGGCCAGAGTACACACAAACACACAAGGAAGTAGGAAGGAGGGGTATCATCTCATCCAATTACCTTCCTCCCATGCAGCTCCAGCAGCATGATGCTGCAGCTCAAAGTAATTGGCACAGCCCTGACCTGACAGGAGGAGCCTCAGAGACATGAGCCCATCATGAGCTGCCGGGACAAATAATGAAGTGCACTATATCTGCAGGGCTACACAGGTGTCAAACATGTCTGGCCTCTGGCCTTTTTACATAGATCTGACCTTAACCATTGATTGAGTCCAATTATGTCAAAGCATTGGGAAAATCTAAAGCCAGTTAAAAACCTCAGAAGGTTTAAAGTTGTGCATTTACTTTAATTTTTAAAATTACCTCTACAAATGTGGCTTTAAATGATTAAAATGCACATATGGCAACAAACGTTAAGAGTCTTATAGAGCATCTACAGATGTCAGAGTAAATATGAAATGTGAGAAAAACAAACTACTGTTCAGACTACGGAGATAACTTCAAAGTATTTTCCATGATTGTTCTGTGGATAAGTTAATCAATCACTGATAACTGTTTGTTCTTATTGATTAATTAAAAGCATGTCCACTTGGTTGGGTGTCAGTCAGGAGAGTAACCAGGTCACAATCAGGAGGCACTGATGTTGCTGGGGTGCAGATATATCATGTTGGCTTTGCTAATCTGGGAAACCCTCTTTAAATAACTTTTCACCTGTTTGCCAGCTTCGGTTGCAAAGACAGGGTAGTGTTGAAGAAAGAAGCTCCAAACAGCCGTGTCTGTTTAGTGCTTTAGGGCTGGGTGATATGGCCTCAAATCAATATCACGGTATACTTCGCAATTCACCTCAATAACGATAAATGGACGATAACTACTCCACAAGCTGCTCACCCTCTCCCACACTAACTTCATCTACTTCATCAGCCTACAACTTTTGAACAGTCCTCCATCTCCTCACCTGTCTTTCCCTCTTTATGACAGACTGGATAAGATAAGATAAGATAAGATAAGATAATTAGAACTTTATTAATCCCGGAAGGGAAATTCAATTCTCTGTTGTCTCACTTGACATGTCTCTAAAAGTTATCTACTATTTACAGTTATCTACTATTTACACAAGAGTTGTAAAGTCTACTGGCTGTTGGTACAAAAGATCTTCTGAATCTTTCTGTCCTGCAGCGAAGAGAGAGGAGCCATCCACTACCATTGGCCCTTTGGTCCATCAAGGTGTTGTGAAGTGGGTGATCCATGTTCTTCAGAATAGTCTTCACCTTCCTCAGTGTAGATCTCTCCACCACATCCTCCACTGAGTCCAGCTTGATTCGGACCACAGAGCCAGCCTTTTTCCCCAGTTTGTTAAGACGTCTTGCATTTTTGTGTTTGATGCGTCCTCCCCGGCAGACTGCAGCTTAGAACAGAACACTGTAGACACCACAGACTGATAAAACATCTGCAGCATCTTACTACAGATGTCTATAGATCGGACTCTTCTCAGTCAAAAGAGGCGGCTCTGCCCCTTTCTGTAGATGAAGTCTATATTCTTAGACCAGTCCAACTTATTATCCAGATGTACACCTAGGTATTTATATGATGTCACCACTTCAATGTCCACTCCACAGGTGTTCACTGGCTGAAGAGGGGGTTTGGATCTACGGAAGTCTAAGACCATCTTCTTTGTCTTTGAGATGTTGAGGAGGAGGCAGTTTTTGTGACTCCAGTCACTGAAGGCTCCTATTAGATCTCTGTATTCAGATTGTTGTCCATTTCTGATACATGCCACAATAGCAGTGTCATCTGGGTATTTCTGGATGCATCATCCACTGCAATGTGTTCTTTGTATGTAAACTGCAGGGAGTCTAGTTTGTCTTTGACCTCAGACCTCAGCAGGTGTAGAATCAGCTGCTCCAGGGTTATCATGATGTGTGGAGTGAGGGCCACTGGTCTGTAGTCATTGAGTTCAGCAGGACATTTTGTTTTTGGTACTGGCACAATGCAGGATGTTTTCCACAGAGTAGGTATGGGTGGGGTGGATGGGGCGGAGTCACGACTCTGATGTAGGACAGCGTCTTAAAGGGACATGAGACCATAGCCTACCTACACACATCCAAAACCAACTGTATTCATTTATTTTTTTGACACTGGATGTATTGATATGGGCAAGTCGACGTCGGTTATTGTCATGAATTTTGGTATCGGTAAATTTTCAGTTTATCGCTCAGCCCTAGTGTGCTGCTCCCTAAAACGAGCTCAGGAAGACCACAGACACATCTCCACCGTGGACACCTTTAACCAGCTTGTTTCAGTAGTAACATGCGACAACCTTAACTACCACACTGATGAGACCGGGTCTTATTTATCTCAACCTGATGGAAAATTGAACAAAAAAATGTGTTACGTTCTTAACAATCAATTACTCAATATTTGGTGTAGTGTCAGAGTGAGCAGCAGAGCAGTGCTGTGTGTTAATATGCATGTCTAAGTGAGTGTGTATGTGAAGCCTCTGCAAAGACACACACTGGGACACCAACATTAGGCTGTTTCAGGGTGCAGTGCATCAGTCCAGAGGCATGGTGAAGGCAGATCTATGTTCCGGTGCTGTTGCAGACTTGCTCAGCGGGGTGTGATCTGTGGATGTATCAGCAGTGTGATATATCACACGTTTCTAACTATGAACAGAGAAAAAAGTTCTGAATAACTCTGGTAACATACTTTTTTGAAAACAGAATGAGCTAAATAGACTGGCCCCATGGATTAGCACTTAATTGCTGACACTTGATTGATATATGAGCTTAAACGTCAGGATTTCAATCTTATAACAATAAAGCTTTAAAAAAATTCAAAATTTCTAGTACTTTTTAAATGCCAGGGCATTTCCTAGTATATAACTAACAATACAAAAGCTTAAAGTACAGAAAACTTGCTTAAATGCACAGCAGGATATTTGTCATACACAGTAAAGTGCAGCAAACATTCGTCATGCTTGTTTGATTTAAGGATCAGCTGTGGTTAAAGTCAGATAAAACTCATGATTAAAGTGGGATTAGTTTTCACATTTGAGTACTCACAAAGCCAGCGCAGTGCTCGCAGAAAGTGGGCTTGACGTAGGTGGCTTCAGTGAAAGTGTGAATGAAACCCATCTTACAGTTGAGCAGAGAGCTGGCTTTCATAAAGTAGTCGATCATTTCCTCTCTGCTGATCTGTCCATCCCTACGAGGGGGTGAGAAGAGAGGTTAGCACATGAGGTCAAATCACCTCTGACGCACTGAAAACAACAATGAATTAGTGTGCACGCTCTCACTGGTTTTTGTCCAGTTCTCCAAACTTGCTGAGGTAAGGGAAGTTGTTCCTGATTGCTTCAAATTCATCTCTGGAGATGTGGCCGTCGCCGTCTGTGTCAAAGTTCTTGAAGACTGACTGTGGACATGAAGGTTTGAACGGTTAGTCCCAGTTCAAATAAAGCAAAAACTTTCATTTGATACACTTACTTTAATAATTAATCTTATTTGAGGTGTTCCGTGGGTGTGTGTTTATGTAGGAGTTTAAGGGTGGTGCTTCCCCCAGGCCAGAAACAATCCACCTGTGATTCTGAGAACCTGACTGGTGCACAGCTGCTAAGAAGCCATCCACCAATCAGAAGAGAGAACACCTGCCAGTCTCGACAGTAAACCCTATATCATTATTAAAGTGGCAGCCTCATGATCATCTTGCCTCAGTTCTTCATGTACGAAAAAAATTTACACTGATATCATGCTAAAAGTAGGCACAATGCAATGCTGTGAGTTTACGCTGGTTGTCATGTCATAAAGCCAACGATTTCATCATCTGCTGAGCCTTCGTCTTTATTTCTGTTGACTCATTTTCTTTTTTTCTCACCAACAGTGCTGTCGGCTTCACGTGTTAAAGCGCTATAGTTGCGTAAAGCTGCAGCCTACTACTACTGCAGTTGTTTGCTACTTGGTTCTGATTCAGCACATGATTGGTTCAGTGCGAAGTGGACCCGTAGCAACTCCCCTTTTCGTTCGCTATTCGTATAGTCCCAAAACATGGCAGAATGCCGACTATCAAAAAGGATATTGACCATGTTTTATACTGATATTGAGGGAAATTAATTTTTGATATATATCTTTATCGTTTTCTCCTTATTCCTTCTTAACCATTCAAAATTATTTAAATCTGTTCAAAAGACTGTCAACCCACAAGAAAGGATTTTCATGTTTTTCTTTCCCTATCATGGAAATAAGGAACATTAAAAAAAAGAGCCAAAAAGGACTTACATAGGTTTTAAATGAGCTCCCAAGCCTTTGTAATTATAGTGAAAGATTACTAGCCCTTTGGCCAGAAGCCCTTCACACTTATCATGTCAAGATGGCAGTTGTGTGGATAACAACAGATAATTCACCCTTCAACTGCCATCCCTACGGAGCCCACAGGATATAATTAGCACTGTAAGAAAGGGGAATGTGTGAAGACTGAGAAACTCACCTCCACCATCTTCTCGATATGTTTCTTGATGATGGTTGGGTCAGCGTTGGGCTTCACCGACACTGCCCACTCATCGATCATAGTGGGCTTGGGGTCAGGCGCGGGGGCGGGGCTGGAGTTCTGCTACAACCGGTGATAAAACCAAAGAGCGTGAGATCAATATCAACACAGGGAGGCTGAAGCTGTCATCTCACAGAGGGAGGAAAAGACATCCGCAGTGCGGAGCAGCCGTCAAGGGTCAGTACAGACCATCAAAACGCCATGAGAGGAGAAAAACAACATTTGCAGTATTTCCCTACTGTCAACATGGAGCTGCAAAGGAATCTATTATAGAGGGGTAGTTTTTTAAAGGTATCTGCATATCTGTAATCCACATATTATTTGTTAAAGAATCAGAGACATGATTCAGATCATTTTTCATACTACAGCTCCAGAAATCAATAGAGCTGAGGGTAACCAGCTTTATAAAGCAGCAGGACACAGTAAAAACTCCACCATCCATCATATATCAACAGGAGCAGAGCAATGTATATCCCTGACAAATACAGGAAATGAGAACAGACCTGTAACGGACTCAAAATGTGACCGAGTGGTCTGCTCACCGCTGGTTTACGAGGTTCTCTCTGTAGAGACATCTGATATATCTCCTCCTCTGTGTGATACTGATCCAGAGACACCTGCAGAGAGGGGAACAGAGGGGACAGTGTAACCATTTCTTCTTTAAATCTCTGTGTTCTACTCTTTTTCAAAAGAAAGTCTCTGTGATCAGTCCTGGTTTACAGTGGAAGCTGAAACCACAATGTATTGACTGAATTCAAGACCGATTGTTTTTACAAGAATTCAGCCACTATAGTGTTTATAAAAAATAACTAAAGACCCAAAATCAAGAAAGTCAAGAAAAAAAAAATGTTTTTCTTGTTGTTTACATGTTTACATGGCATTTTCTGATGCCACAGGACATATCATGAGAAAAATAAGTGCAAAACTGCATTTCTGAGTATTTTAGCTTTCAAATCGCTGTGAAACTCTGGCAGATCCAAAGTGCAGGCTCAGATACAGTGAGTTTTCCTACATAGCAAATCCAGGCTCCGACCCAGAGCCCTGCTATGCAGGCCAGACTCCGAGAAATAGAGAGGATGGTTGCGGAACAAGCATGTATGCTAGCGGACTGCAATGCTCGTAAGAAAGCTAATTATGATATAAACTTTCATCATGTCCCTAAAGAAATTAGTGTCAGAGAGCTTTACAGTTCCTGTGTTAGCTCTTAACTCATAGCTCCTGCTTCTTCTACTACACCGGCAATGTAAGGCTGCAAGCTAGCATGAAGACAAGTGTGCGGAGCAGCGCTGTCTCCTCCCATGACTCAGAGGCGAATTGCTAATGAGCTACTGGAGCTCTGCAGAAGAAAAGCCTTTGAAAATGACACAGGAAACATGATTTTTGCCAAAAACGTCATGGTCACAACTTAAAGACAACTGTTAACACTTTTAGTAGTAAAAAAAATACAATAACAGAAAAAAAAAAAACAATCGGAGTGGGACTTTAACTATACACCAAAAAAAAAAAAAAAAAAAAAAAAACAGTTTGAAAAAAAGTTGAAAAGTTGAGCAGTTTAACATTGGACCTGACAGGGGCTCCTCAGCCAGGCTCCAAAGGGCACTTGGGGAACTGCAGTATTAGGTTACTGCTTAGTTGCACTTTATAAGTATTTGCTGGAGTAGGGATGAAAAGTCAAGGAGGTCATGTATGCTAAATGCATCCTTAACGACCTGGCACTGTGAGAGTTAATGACTTATGAATCAACCCAAATGCATTTTATCCTGGTTGACACATGCTAAAGTTACATACAGTCTGTTTCCAATCAAAATGCATGCATTTAATGGTTACTGCATGTCACAGCGTCTGGCTTACAATGATACTATTTCCCCTCTGGGGTCATTACAACTTAGCTAATATTTTACAATCAGAGTACCACGCCTATTTATGTAAACTGTAATGTGGTGAAAAACCCCTAATACTTGTCAATGGGCCTTTAAACCTCTGTTATTATAGTGTTATTTTGCTCATAGAAACCAAGCTTAGTGTTTGGTAAATATGCTGTGAAGTTTCAGCCCATCTCATTATTCACCATCCTTCCAAAGTAATCTTAAGGGTTTCAGAAACAGCCTTTTCGACGCCTGCTGTAAACATAAGTGAAAAACTAAACAAAGCCAAATAAGGCAGTTTGGTGCAGTCTGACTGAAACAGAATATACAGTCCGGTATCTAATGGTAAATCAGAGAGTTTCATCCTTTTCGCTGTAGCAATACTCAGATCTGTGTTAGAAAAACTGATGTGAGCTTTTTCACTCTCTGAATCTGATTACTTTAAAGGCATTTGGGTGATTTAGCAATCATGCACTATAGTCTACACTCTGGCTGTAATTTGTGTTATTTCCACTCACATAACCTGTGTTTGCAGCAGCAGTTTGTTGGTGTTTATGTCTGCGCTCCCACCTCATGCAGAAAAACGGAGGAGTGATGAGTTCAGATCTTAAACCCCTGTAGCTTCAGCCCGTGGGGCTGAAAGTGTGAGTGCAGCATTGGTGCAGAGCGGTGAGAAAAATGACAGAGCTGAGGGAGAGCCCAGAAATGTTGCTGTCAGGCACTCAAACAATGCAGCTTCTCATGTAGAATCTAGGTGTCATTCTTATGTTACATGTTTTTATCAGTAAAATGAAGCTTGATTGTTTGTTTAATCCTGATTGTGCTCCATATGTAATTCTGATGTAAAAAGTTGGGGCACAGGAAAAAATATTGATAAAAAAAGATTTCTGAGGTTTGCAAATTATTTTAGCTTTATACTTTCATCATTTATACTCCTTATGCAACGGTAACTGCAAACAAAACATACCAAAGGCTAAAACTAAAACGCTTGTATCAAATAAGCTGGAATGGGGATAACAAATCAACATCAATATGATAAAAAGACAAAAAAACAGATTGTGTTTTTAGAGAACATAATCAAAAAGTAATTAATAACAGGTTAAGAGCAGAGACTATATATAGAATGGATGCCGTCTGCCTCCTCGCTGGGTGAAGCCACCGTGAGAACAGCACCCTCTGTTGACGGGCTGCAGTATAGGTCATAAATCCCGCCTCCTCCAGCAACCCCTATAGAGCTGTGGACAAACTTTAGAAATTAATTACACAGACTATAAATTTTCCTCCCCCCCGTGGTTGTGATGTTGACATGTAGTTATTGTAAGATTGGTTTGTGCTAAAGTCCTCTTTTTTCTGTACAGCTCCATTTTTAAAAGTAATTGGGAGGTTCCTGTTTCTTTGATTGACACTTGATACAGCCTATGAGTGTACAAAGTTTACATAGCTCACACAGGGGATAGGCTGTTTGAGCCATGCATCATCACAGCAACTCTCACCAACTCTCTCGTTGAATGCGTACAATACTACACAAGTGGTGGTTCCAGGAGGTGGAGAAAATCCCGGAAATACCGAGAGCAATTCGGCTTCAAATTCATATAATGACAGAAGGTGGAGACAAGTTGTCCATAGTACATAAAGTCTATGGTTCAGAGAATCTTTAAAATCTCTGTACAGAAGGGACACTGTCAAAAACCAGACTATGCAGCTGTGCTTTTTGGGCCTTTGGGCAGCGCTACATTAAAACATGCATGACTCTGCAGTGGAAATCACTGCATGGATTTAAAATCACTATCAACATAGCTCATTACTATATCCTGAAAGCACCTAAAGCTGAAGAGGAAGCTAAAAACAATAAGCATGATCGAAGACCAGAGACACAAAGTGACGAATAGAGCTGACACTCTTTTTGGAAATCATGGATGCAAGAGGGACCCCTTGGCTTGTTTGTCACATTATTACTCTTGTAAATCACTACTGTATTCCTAATATTAACTCACAAAGTTAAGCAAACCAACAAGCACACACCGAAGCAGCATTCAGATTTGTTACCTTTATTTCATAGTACCTATACAGCCGTCTGTCTATCTCCTTTTATAACTCAAAGGCCACACAAGCCTGTTTATTTGAGAAATAATTAAAAGGGGCTATATTCTTATTAACTAGACTATCTGCTCCAGTTACTGCCACAGACTGCCGAAAATAATCCTCCACCTCATCCATTGTAGGCCTCCTATTATTTTTTCCTTGAGGTTATTCTCTGACTGTAATTGCGTTTCCTGTGTTTTATTGAGTTGAGGTAGTAAGTGCGGAAGGAAAAGGAGCTTTTCTTGTTTGGCCCTCTGATTTAGAGCAGCTCTCACTATTTCAAGGAAAAGGTTAACTGCAAATTGTTCAGCACACTCCAGATGATGAAACAGAGTCTCCTTTCTGATGAATGTGACTCAAAAAGAAGAGAAAAGTGCCACAAACTTGAGCATTTTGCTTTTTACAAGGTGTGCATGCTTCCTTTATTTTGACGGATTTATCAACTTTTATTCCATCTGCTGTGATGTGAGCATGATTCGACTTAGATCCACAGGAATAAGCACTGGGATACAATAATTGGGTATTGACTCTGTCCAGCAAACTTCCCTGAATTCCCCCCGCTTCAAGTTGCTTTCTGTCACTTTCACAAAAGAAAAAAAAGGAGCAGCAGCTGTAATCTCTCCCCAACACCTGACGCCAGATTACCCGATTGATCTCACAGGATTTCTTAACTTCAGTAAGCTTCACTCCTCAAACCCTAGAAACTCTTATCTGCATCTGCCAAAAGAAATACTGACACACACACTCAGAGGTTTAGTGTGAGGTATGAAAACAGCGCCTCCACTCTCATGCTGGAGTGCAGGCAGCTACAAAGCTGAGATCAGCCTCACAAAGTATTCCTAGTTTGGGCGCTCTGACTAAATATAAGATGAAGAGTCATCCTTTAATTCTGCCACATCCTGATTATCAATGCTAGCATAATGAGTTACGGTGACGAAGAGGAGTCTAAGATGAGAGGGAAGCGAGCATATGTGACAGCCAAGAAAGGTAAATACTCCACTTTTTTACAGAATTAAATACCAAGACTTGGTGGTTACAATTTTTAAAGCACTTCTTGAAGGGATAGTTCTGATTTTTTAAGTGGGGCTGTATGAGATTCTTGTCAGTAGTGAGTGGATTACCCATAGACTGTATGCGGACAACTTGGCTCCACCTTCCGTCATGATAGGAATATGAAGCTGAATTGCTCTTGTTATTTCCGGGATTTTCTCCACTTTCTGGAATCACCACTTGCGCAGTAGCATTGGTACGCATTCAGTGGGAGAGTCTCTGTGATAACGCTCGGCTCAAACAGCCTATCCCCCAGGTGAGTTACGCAATCTTTGTACAGCCCATAGGCTGTATCAAGTGTCAATCATAGAAAACATGAACCCCCTAATAAAGCACAAACCAGTCTTACAGTAACTACATGTCAACGTTGCAGCCAGGGGGGAGAAAAATGTATACTCTGTGTAATTAATTTCTAAAGTTTGTCCACAACTCCATAAGGATTGCTAGAGGAGGCGTGATTTATGACCTATACTGCAGCCCGTCACCAGAGGGGGCTGTCCCTAACCCCTTTGTTGACACACAGGCTATTGCAGATGGGGCTAACTTGATTGTGTACTAATTAAGCTTAATGTAATCATTTCATTTCAAACTTTATGTAACTATTTCGTAAACTTGTCAGAGCTCTTCTTTGCTATCAGAAAGTGGCTTTGTTACAGCACTACATGTTGGATGCAACAGTAATACTGACAGTTCATAGTAGTGATACTTTATACGCTCAAAAACTGGCATTTGATTATTTCCCATGAATCCAAAAACAATGTTTGAACTTCAGACAAACTCAATAACAAGAGTGATGAGTAAATCACCAGAGTTAAGTGATCTGGTTTTAACCAGAGTTAAAAAATGCCTCCCTGTCTGGACTGTTGATATCTAAAAAAGAGAATTTGATTCTGCTGAGACTTTAGTTTGGGTTATTTTCAGCAAAAGTGCACTGACAGCAAAACTGCTTAAGACCCTGAACAGTAAACAGGAACAGACAAGAGATTTCAGTTCAGGTTAACAAATTAAAGTTCAGTGAAGTCCAATAAAAAGATGCTGAATTGTGAGGTCATGACTCTTTGTCCTGTTTTAAAGTTGAATTTCCTTCAACTGCAGTGCAGCACTTCAGATGTTCCCCTGAAAAATACTCTTTTTGTCTGCACAGACTTCTGCAACACATACTGTAGGTTTAATAATACCCTCATGTCTGGGTTTCTTTGACCATTTTAAAACCCTCTTCTATCCAATCAATCAGTCTTGTTAATTTTCAGAAAATTTAAGGCCATTTGGGCTTCAATGTCATTCAGCTAGTGCAAAGAGTTTCTGTCCTTGTTTTTCATAGGAAAGTTCAGCTCTGTATTATCATTATAAAAGTGAAAAGATATTCAAGGAAGCTTATACAACGAGAACAGAACAGGACCTAGAATGGAGCCTTGCGGAACTCCACATGGGAGAGAAACCTTTAGAAGTGCAGTTCAAGTGCTGTGGAGGGCTAAAAATCTAGTCTTGAACACCTCAAGGATGAGTCGGAAAATCTTTTTGATTGAAAGAAAACAACCTTCTCTAGAACTTTAGAGAGGAAGGGAAGTTTGTAAACAGGTGTAAAATTGAGATAAATCAGAGGTATTCAAATTGTTCTCTCTTTTAAATAAGAGGCTGCACAACAGCAAATGTGCACTACTCTGTCACTGAGTGAAGCTGTGAAATAATTGCAAATTTGGAAAATACTTTTGTTCACACAGTAGTGCATACAGGCATCTATCTAACAAAGTTGGCCAGTTAAATAACCAGTACTGGAAATACTCAGACATACATACTCAGAGTTATCAATGTCATAATCACTTATTTCTTCAAAGTGAAACACCGTCTGTTCTGATCACTCTAGACCACTTCTCTTTAGATTCATAGAAAACTCTGATGTTCATGCTGTAAAGGCGTTGGTTGTTTTAAGTCTCCGGCCCCTGCATGCATACAGATTTCATCCAAGCTTGCCAATTTCCACGAGCCAATCAAATCAGAGCAAAACTCACTCTGGGCATTCAGCAGACTGGCTGTGTCTCTGGCAAAGAGACACCAAGTGTTTGTCCTTCTCAAAGTTCTCCCTCCTACTTCACTGCTGTCTGTGTGCCTCATGAGAGCTTTTCAAACCTGCTGCACTTCAGGATGAATAGCACTCGCAGCACCTGATCCAGGACCTGCCGGCTGCTTTTAATTCACACCAAACACTCACCTTGGACGCCGCGCACTCACATCGGGTTTAGTGTTTTGCACTTACCGTGAGCAGGTTGAGCAGGTCCGTGTTGGCATCAATGTTGGGCGGCGTGTTCTGAATCATGGCCAGTTCTTGCAGGATGGCGTACAGCTGCTGGGTCTTTGTGAGGTTGACCCGCGTTTTCTCCTTGTCCACCCAGTCTGGAAGCGCCACATGCACAGCGATGAGGTCTTTCAGGTGCACGCCAAGGATGGGGAATCGAAAACCGGAGCACTCAGAGAAGCGTTTGCGGTACTGACTGTAGTTTCCACATGATGTCACCAGTTCGATGAGGTTGTTAAAAACCTGCAAAATTAGTAAATGCAGGGTAGAACCAGAGATTGGAGAGTCACAGAGAGTCCAGAAAACTTTGCTTCAGAAGGACTTACATAAGTGATAAGACTCTGTAACTCCTCCAACTGTTGCATTCAACTTCTATGGCTCAATTTCATACTTTTAAAAAGAAACTGTGTAGGAGTTATGGGCATGATAAGGAGGCTGGCAGCTCCCACAGAGAAAAAGTGGATCACTGAATCAAGAGCCACTTGTTAACTAAATGCATCAACATGCAGCCAGTATTGAAATTTTTACTGTTTGACTGCAGGAGCTCAAATTAGATCAGTGATGGTTCGGGGGGATTGCAGCAGTTCATACTGCACCTTGTTGGTCTCTGCGCTGATGTGGGTCTGTGTGTCTTTGAGACGGGAGATGGAGCTGTTGCTGAGGCCGCCCACCACCGCCATCAGGGTGTTAAAGTTCTGCAACTGTAAGAGTTTCTGTGGATGAGATGAAGAGAGAAATGCAAGGATTAGAGAAGGGTGAAAGACAGACAGGGACGAGACAAGGAGGAGGCAATCCGCAAAAGGGGAGGTGGAGGATGAAGCAGGGGAAACTGGGGTAAGTTAAGCCAAAGGGTAAGTTGAGCCACTCCCTGTTGCTTGGAAATGGTAAAAGAAATTGATCATGTGACCAAATATTTAGGAGATGGGCATCAATTCATGGAGTCTGTGAAGGTTAGAAGCACACCCAATACATGGGGTAAGTTGAGCATAGGAGACCACTTTTTTGGGCATGCTATATTATCAAGACAGTTATGTTTACACTCATTCTGTTGGTTTTCAGGGATGTACAACATCCTGAACTATATTATCAAGACAGTTATGTTTACACTCATTCTGTTGGTTTTCAGGGATGTACAACATCCATTCCCCTTTTCAGGGACTGTCAGTAAAACCACACACAGAACACAAATTTACATACTAGAGGAAACTCGAGATTAAAAAATAAAACTTTGACAGAGTGTTAACTCATATTGATGGAACAAGATCAGCATAGGGAGGGCAAAAATCAACACAACCTGCAAGTTCCTGGTGATTTTTAGCAGAGCTGTACACAAAGGCAGGAGCCCAACACAAACAAACAAACAAATCAGTAAACACCTTTACAAGATACTCTGAAAATACTCCAATATTATCAATCATAATGCAAACTCACTGTAACTACACTGCACGAGCAATTCAAGAAGACAGTTACCTAACGAGCAAGTTCCCAAATTGGTATAATTATCCCAATTTTTAGTGTTTATAAGTATCTTGTAAATTACATATAAACGGAAGGACGCCAAGGAATAAAAGTGTATCAGGAGTTACACTTGAAGTACCAACATACTGTAAATCTTTGCTTCCTTCCCTGCAGCATGTGGCTACATGAGGATTGAGCCCACAATGGCCAGTAGATGACAGCAAACACTTTCAGAACATGCAAAAGATCAAATATAATAGTTTTAACTCATAATAAAATAATTATAATTATAATAAAAATCGAATTTTATCCTTCGTTAAGTTTAAAGTTTAAGGTCTCTTAGTAGAGAAGGTACATGCAGAGAGAAAAAAAGTCTTCAGTCCCTCATCTCAAGGTTCTTTGTACGTATACTCACATTGGGTATATTTTCTGATATATTTTTTTTATTTTTCTATTTCAAAAAAGTGGGCTTTCTGATGGCAAAGTGCTGATAAAACGCTCAGTAGAGTATACACTTTAAATATTAGGATCTCTAACAGTTAGCTTGATTAAAAGGCAGATTTTGCCCCGTCTGCAGAAAACTGTAGCCTTGCTTGTATTCTGGCTCCCTTAGCAGTTTCTTATTAATGGGTCTGAGCCAACCAGTATTCACTGTGGCTAATATACTAAGTATTGACAAGTAACTCATGAAACCTCACTTCAAATATACTATCATATCTCTTTAAAAGTGAGAGATATAGAAGCTAGTGAGACTGCTGGTTTTAGGACAACAAAATAAGCCCCTCTCCCCAGTTTTATATCTAAACCATGCCCTGCCAGAAGGGGGTGGGTGAGAAAAGGTTGCACAGGTTAAAAATAATATCAGTGAAGCAGATCAAAGAGATGCATGAGAGGGAATAGAAGTTTTATGTGATAAAATAAGAGACTTTCTGGGCGTTCTGCACACACATTAATCTGAAACCAAGTTTTGTCTCAACGTTCTAACCTGTGTGTGTGTTAAACTACAGCTAAGACTTTGTGAATGGCACTCAGCAGGGCTCCTTTCTGCCCTTCAGCCTGCCTGGCATCTGACTGAAAATCAATGAGGTCGCAGCTGCGTGGGAGGGCTGCCAGAGGGGATCATTTGATTCAACTCAGACACCCTTTGCAATCAATTGGCAAAGCGGTGCGGAGGGCAGGCCAGCGTTTGGGAAGTAGCTTCAGTTTAACTGCACGTGCATGCGGACATAAGCGAGGCCTGAGAAACATTTCATTGTCAACATGCCAGAGCTTTCCACCATCCAATGAAGCATTCATCCTGTCATCTACCAACCATTATCATACGACCAATCACTGATGTGGTGTGTTTATTGGTGCCAGAAGGCACACACACACACACACACACACACACACACACACACAAAACAGTTAGTGAAATAAAGTGAAACTGACTTTTCAAAGGGGAACGAACCTGTTTTTTACTGTTTGATTCTAAATTAAATCTTTGTGTTGACAAAAATCAGTCACAATGATGAGTCATACATGAGGCACTGTCTGTGCCCCCCTGAGGGAAGCTTCTGGAAATGTCAAGTGTGTCAAGGCCGCCCTCTGTGCAGCCTCTGAAAAACATTTAAAACCAGCATGGACTTAATTTTTGTCCCTGCTGTGCTACATTTCTGAATACCAAAGTTTGAGATATTTCAATCTGGCAGAGCGTTTCTAAGGTCTGCCACTGAAGAATCTGCACAACTATTCTGTTTAAATGACAAAATCTAAAATGATTTCCCAATTTAAAGTAGAAAACACTAATCAATAACTGAGAACACTTCAGCTTTCAAGCGAACATCTTAATCTTCCATAAACCATCCAGTGGTGTGTTATTTCCCAACAGCAGTGTTGCCAGGGGCAACCTGACCCCACATCCCAATCAAATCATTCTGCATAAAGGAGTCTGATGCATTTAGCCTTTACCTGTTGATACTGTGGCAGAAATGTTGATTACCACTGGCAGAGAGAGAAATTAAAAGACACAAGAAGCTGAATTTAAGAGACATCTATTAAATTGAACAAAACAGACATAATGCAAAAATGGTGCATGACAGAGCTGGATCAGGCACTACAGCTTTTTATGTGTCATGTATTATGTATTATGTTTCATCAACAGAAAATCAAAGCATTTCATCTGATTCAGTTGTTCATAAAATCAAAAAGATAAGATCAATGATCGGCCAAGACACACAAGAGCAAGAGGGCCCTTTGGAAATCCTGGAACCCCAAGGATTTTGCAGCTTCTTACATACCCCAAAACTCACCAAGCTAAACTCATGGTGACATTTTACTGCTTTAGGGTCTTGGGCTCGATTTATCAAAAATGGCTCCATTATGTCCCCTGCAAGTTTCAAAAAGACTTCCCAAAAAGGTTACCAATGTGTATGAAATTGGGTGCACATTATGTATATGTGCCATAATAAGAATTACGCAACAATTCTTCAGCACCAATACCCTAAAACCAAATGAGGTCTGACATTTTGACATGAATTACTTGCCTCTTAAGATTCACTGGGCCACCAGTTTCCCCAGTGGTTTGAAAAACTTTTATGTCCTGTCACCAAAACGGGTTACTCCCTTTCAGAATGTTTGATCTCTTTCAAATTTCGTGATCTACCCTTAAATACATCTATGCTGATTTTCGGCCTCAATGCCACCATGCCGGAATAATGAGTACTAACTTTTACATACAAATTCCAATCTGTTTCATAATTGACCTACCGACCAAGAGTAGTTGAAGTTGCAATCAGAATGCCCCTTTTTGGAAACAAGTGGTAAAACTCTCATAAATTGTCCTCATTTAGCTTATAATCTTAACTGTTTCTTGAACATTTCCACAATGTAAATTTCGTCAAAGTCAGAGTCTCAAACTACTAGTTAAAACTTGTGCTACACAATTTTATGCTTGCATGCATTTACAGGTGGTTTCTGGAGAGAGCACCAACTAGTGGCAAACAGTTGTAGCCTCACCTCATGAGTAAAACACACCCAAACATGCACCAAGGTGTAAGTGCCCATTTATCACTGCCAGTGGCTTAAAGGTGTATATCTTACTCTATAGACTAGGATTTAAACATACAGAGAATTAATCAATAAATCCCCCATCAACCAGTATTGACATTGTTTTTTAATGACTGATTTATGTATTTGTCTGATGAGAGTGGAAAGCTACCCCCACTTTTTTTGATTTTGTATTTTTAAAATGATTTCTAAGGCTCTTATCCAAAAGGTGATGCCTCTGTTAGACATAGAAGGCTATATAGCTCACGATTAAAGCACTTATGTCTAGGAATGTGGTACATATCAGGCCTGCATAACTCAATTTCCTTTCAGTTTGAATGCCAAAGAGTTAAGGTCAAAATTGCATTAGTCTTCTGAATGTGACTTGGACCATCCAACAGTCTCTCCAATCAATAAATAATCCAAAGAAGATTCCACACAGTGACAGTCGTGATATTTGGATGGAGGAGGAGGCCACGGCGATGCCTGTCTGTCACAGCCATCATCTAAGACATCACAGCTGATCAGTGTCAGCATCTGTCTTCAGTGCTTCTCTGTAAACTCTGCAAATAACACTGGAAAAAGCTCAAGCATTCGATGAAACACTCTGCTGGGCTCCCCTGACATGAGCCCTGCTGGGGTGTATGAGCTCTGGTGGATTAAGACAAAGAAAAGAGGTAGAACCTCTCTCAATACAAGATGAGGGACAGAAGTTTACTCTGTGGATACAGAAATGGAAAGATGGGAAGTCTGAAATAGAAATAACCAGGGGGCAGACTTGCAAGTGTTAGACGATCATACAACTCTGCTAAAGGCAGCAAGAGAGTTCTGTGTGTAGTTTTCCTGACAGTTCCTGAAAGGGGGAATAGAGGCAGACTGCAGCTGCTACGTCCAACAAAAGCAAATGATAACATCACACTGAAATGACATTTACTACAGGGAAGCCCAGGATGCCATTTTAAGGTATCTTTCTGCTCTGAAATGATGATGTAAGTGTCCAGGCTTAACCTTCTATGGCAGAGAGCTGGCAGCTAAGATCGGGAATTTGTGGGGAGAGTCCAGATGAAATTACAATTGGGATTAGAGGCATCTTGACCTGTAGATGACCGCAGATGATTACAGTCTCTGAATACAGATGAACAAATTCACAGATAGATGAACCATTTATAAACTAAAGTGCTCAGCCTGATCAAATGCTTTATAACAGCTTTTAAGACTGTATGAGAATGTTTCATTGTGTTCCTATTTTTTAAACTGATTAATACCGTTTACTGCTTAAATCATGAGCAACATGTGTGATGCTAACTATCTGTTTTAATACTGATACATACTTTTCTGTTTACAAGTAAAAAAATTTCTATTAAACATAGTGTCAAGTATTCTTTGCTCCAGTTTACCAACAAAAAGAAATGGAAAAAGAGAAATGATTGCATCCCAGAGGTGTGAGATCTGACCTAGCAGAGAAAACAGCAAGTGAGATGGCTAAATCCCTTCAGTCCAAATTAAAATATCTCTACAGACATACACATGAGTGTTTCCCAGAGGATGAATCTGATTTTCTCTGTAACTTTTTGAAACGGTTACTGTTTTTAGTTTGTCTTGATGTTCATTTGTAGAATCTTAAATTTCACTCTTAGAAGACAAAACTTTTTCTATTGCACCCCAAAAAATATGCAGTTGCAGCTACTGGATGCAATGAAATATCTAACTTGTCTTTAACATGCCAGTTTTTGAAAAGAGATAAGTCACCCAGTTTGAAGAATTTTAAAGAGAAAGAAGAGATGTTTTTTTTTTTTTTTTTAAATCTTATTTTATTATTGAGTGTTGTTTATGTTTGTGGCAAAACTAATCTCAGTATTGCTCCTCTGGGGTCAATAGCACAACTGTTGCGTCAGAAAATATGGATTATTTAGAGAGTCTAAGTCATTTTCACTCCCTCCATTGATTCTTCTATTGAGGACTGACTCACTCACTTCTTCACTCACAGACTGTTTAATGATTTGATGATACTTTTATGTTCTTTGCGCTGCAGTAAATAGCTTATTCTCCTACGGGAGTGATTACATTTTATTCTCCAGTTGTAGAAGTCTTGGATCGCTGACTAAGGTGATTATACTTCTTTGAAATGAATAGAAGTTTTACGTGCTGATGTGAATTTAGGACAACTTTACGACGCCCGTGGCCATGAAAGCCTTCAAATTACAGCCCCAAAGTACTAAAAGCTAACAATGAGAAGATTTTCCCCCTTGGTCTGTTTCTCCTTTTGCTCCTACATTAGCCTGAGCCCCACAGCTCCCACCAAACTCCACTCAGTATTTAGAGTTGTGCAGTGAACGGCTCAGCAGACAGACCTGTGCCACCCTGATGAAGTGGGAGATGACAGCAGCTCTCTGCGGGGCGGTGGGCTTGCTGAGCACCATGAGCTGGATCCACTGGGACACACTGTTGAAGAGGGTGATGAAGCGCTCCAAGATGGGGTTATCCACCGTGCAGCCGTGCATCACAAAGCTGTGGTAGTCCTGAAACTGAAGAGAGACGGGAACATTGGCACACCATGTCTCATGTATTCGGTTAAAAACCTGTTTTTTTTTACACACCATTGTCCTTAGTTTTGGTTGAGACTCAATATTTTTAAACTATTTTTCTTTGGATTTCAGCTTAAGTTGTCCTTTCGCGGAGTTCACATTATAGCATAGATCATTCCTGTAAATGTAAATCACATCCACCTCCTCAAAAATAAAAAAACAGCTCATTTTCTCCGCTCAGAGTTAAGTATTTTACAAGTTGAGTGAGGTTACCACTAAACTGTGAATTGAACTTTTATGAGTCCTATCAAACTTGGTATGCAGAGTTTGTAAAACATTTACCAGGCAGGAAATGTCTGACGAAAGACGCCATCTAGTTTCCTTAGGAAACAGTGTCTTCAGTGTCTTGTTGGCCTTTGAGCCACATTCAAGACTTTGAGCGGTCCCCCTCAGGGCACAGCTGGACTTTTTAGGAAATGCACTTTTTCACTCTCTTGCTGAGAGGTTGATGAAAATATCTATGCCAGTTTTAAGTCTCTATGGTAAATAAGCAGCTGGAGCTGAAAAGATGGCTGTGAGATCAGTGTGACTTAAAAACTCAACTTTTTCCTGATGTTATATTTCATTGTTCATGTATATAGTTTAAAAAAGAAAATGATTACTGTGATGGCATTTGTCTGGAGAAATTTTCCAACTTCATCTTCCAACTACATGTAATCAGACTGACTAATCAGATGACCAATTAATCTTTATATCACATCCTCTTAAATAAACAAAGCATTCAGACCCACTATTTTTTAATACGAAATCCACCCCTCTCAAACCCTACAGGGCTTTTGCCGAGATACAACCCAATTCATAAAACTCAAACAGTCAAAAGAGCTGATTTCAATAGCAACATGAACATGTGCTAAAGGCTAGACGTGAGAAGCAGCATGAGTCGTAAGTCCTCCTTTAGCCACAGTGACTCTCAGCAGACCTCACAGGCTCCCCCTGAGTGTGAGTGTGAGCAGACACTCACTGTCTCCAGAGTGACCTTTGCTCACTTTCCAGTTTATGAGCTGCTCAGTTTACCGTTCACCAAAATATTAGTGTGTTCAATGAACGCATTTATTTTAGCGCGTTCATGCACAACACCGCCCTGGGGAGTGTAAATTCAACAGGATCCTCACTCTGTGTGTGTTTGGACCAGTGGCTTTCTACATAAACCCTCCCTCATTCAGCCACCAACACCACCACTCTAGCTCAAGGTAATTAAGAAAATGCATTTTAAATCTACACAAACCCAGTTAGTGTTGTTTCCCAATCAAACCTTTGACAGAGAAAATTGCTTTAAGACAACAAATTTAATGACTGCCAGTAAAAGCTGATTTTAAGCACTATTGCTAAGCAACTAATAAGTGCCAGCAGCGTGTTAATTATGTTAATTAACTGACAATCAAAAGACTTCAACAGCTGCAAACACATTATTTCCACAACGGTTACGCTGAGACTGTGTGCAGACTCACCAGGATCTTGCAGAAGGATTTGTACTCCAGGTAGGTCAGGTGTTCAGCCAGCTCACAGGAATCCAGGTGGTCAAACAGCAGGGACATTTTCCTCTTTTTGGACACTGAGGGGACACGCTGAGTTACCTGACGCTTCCATTTATACGACGGCCTGTGAGGGACAATAAAGCTCTTCAAATGACAGGGAATGTGTTTTTCTTTGGTAAACACATTAAGAGTAATGCAGACCCACTTACTGCCATTGTTCACTTTATAACGTGCATGTCTCTGCAATGGCTACCCGTCTCTGTTAGAATAGATTTAAATGTTGTTTTATTGGTCTTTAAAGCTCTTAATGGCTTCGGCCCATCTTGTTTATCTGATCTGCTTTTACTAGAGATGCACCCATCAATCAGTCAATCAATTAATCAATCCAATATTACTGTTGAATGAACAAACTGTATACCTTGCCCTGTGAGTGAAGGAATCAGGCTTGACATAACTCTTGTTAAAAAAAAAAAGTAACAAATTAACAAAGATATAAATTTACTTAATATTATTTATTAACAAATAACAAATTGCACATTAGCACACAACAAAAAGAAGTAAGGCTTCCATGTAAGCATTTAGTGCAAAAGGATAGACAAACATAGAATATAGAGCAAACAGAATCTCTGTGTTGCTGTGTATGATAATAATTAAATGGAAAAAAAAAGACTGGATCAGAACGCTGGATCAGAACGCTGGATTGGCGTCATAGCAGATATCCTATCCAAATATCGGATCGGTGCATTCCTAGCTTTTACCTTATGTGCCAGGCAGAGCCCTCAGGTCCTCATGCAGTTCTCTGTTAACATGACATAAAGCTAAAACCAAGACATACGGTGAAGCATCTTTTTATTACTATGGCCCCCGTCTATGGAACAGCTTACCTGAAGATCTGAGACGGCACCCATTTTTAAAAACATACCTGTTTGGTCTTTTAACTAAATTTTATATCATTAACTTTAAGTGTTTTAGCATTTATCTCTTTTTAGTTTTAATCATCTTTTATTAGGCTATTTAGGTACTCCAGGTAGTACTCCAGGCTCTTATTTAAGTATCTTTAACTTTTTTTATTTTATTTATATTTATTTATTTTTATTTATAATTTCTTAAATTTAATTTTATGTTACTTTGTTTTTAGATTTTAACCTAACCTCCAGTGTTCGTTGTCTTAAATTTTAAGATGGCGTTTCCTCAGTGCGCACATTAATGTTTCTATGAAATTGAGCTTTTTTCAAGTTAATGCATTTTAATACATGGTTCTGTTGTGCTTAGATTGTTAGATTAAGAAATGGTTTGTTTCTTTTATTCTTCTGCTGAGTAAAGCACTTTGTGCTACATGGTTTTATATGAAAAGTGCTATACAATTGATTGATTGGTTGTACATATCACTTCTACCTCAGAAGCTGAAGTGATATATTCAAATAGCTGTAATAACCAGAACTTATTACAGCTCTACAAACTTCAACACTTGTTTGAATTCAGATGTTTTTAAGGTAGCAGGTTTCTGCAAACATTCAGTTGCAGAAAGTCAAAAGTTTTCCCCACCATGCGTTCTTCTTCGACAGCACTAAAGAGGAAGTTGAGGATCACACAAAAATGTTTTTTATGGGAAAAGGAGAAGTCAATGACCCCTGAATAGCACAACTCAGCAATGTCTGAGAACAGGCAATAAAAAGGGTACATGCTGACCTCCACACCCACACAGGGACACTCATTCACACTGTCAACAACATACAGAGCTTTTAGCAGTCAGCGCACTCACACACTGTCCAGGTCAATGAGCTGACTCTGGCTCTCGTTGCCCTCTGTGGTCAGGAGGTCTTTAAAGTCTTTGATCTGGTCAGCCAGCTCCGGGTTCAGATTGAACTCTGCTGGAAACTCAGAGATCCAGTACCTGGAGGGCAGAACAAAGGGGTGAAAACAGAGAGGACGATGAGGAAAAATGATGAAGACTGATACATTTACTTCCACTGGCACGATAAAGTATGGTAGGTTCAGAGTGCTTATGCAAGAAGATAAAATGCAAAAACACAACTCAATTGATAAAGAAAAGGGTCAAAGCTAGCCCTTTGCGTTGAAAATAGCTAGCAAAATATCAGCTATCAGAGTTGCTAAACCTACATTTAATGGCTATTTTTAAAATCTAATCTAATCTAAATCTAAAGTAAAAGAAATAAAAACAGTAAAAACTATAAAAACATCGAACACAGAAACACAATTGTAAAAAAAAAAAACAGCATTTCTCGTACACTCTTTGGTGTACATCAACAGAAGCAGCTGGCCAAGCACTAGCTAAAAGTGCACTGAGACATGCAGCTAAAAAGTGCTTGAAAAAGGTTCAGTCATTTCTGGTAATCCTGCAATATTTACAAGTTTTTTTATTACAACTTTTCTTTCACATTTTTTTTCACATAAACTTTCCTCATGCTTTTAAAACTAAATATCTCATTGTTTAAGAAAGAAAAAGCAGTAACAGTCATATAAAAAATAAATGACAGTTCATTACTTGACAAGGTGGCAAATCCTCGTTCGTCGCCCTGCAGAGCAGCTCTCATCCTGAGATCTGATCCACAAGTCAAGGCATAGCTTTGCTGCAACTTTCTGCTAAACTCAAAATAAAAACTTAGCACAGTAGATAAGATAACAAACAGCTTCCCTTACCCAACATTAACTTTTTGACTAATTGCACTGCAGTGACATGAGCATTTGCAGAGAGAGTCATTAAAAAGCAGAAAAGACTACAGAGTACATCTGTAAGAATAACAATAAGAATAACGTTATTTTATCCCTGAAGGGAAGTTCAATACAATAAAAAAAGGTAAGGTAGGGAATAACACAGAAGTGAAGGATACTTGAGCACCAGCTGCTTTGCCATGTCAGTTGAAGGAAGGTACCAAGGCTGCATCATTAGAAACATGCGGACCAAGTTCCTATCCTTCAAAGTGCCCTTTTCATCTAGGAACATAGAACAGCATGTCAGTCATAATAACAAGCTTTCAGTGAGTCTCACCTGACACTAATTACTCTTCTTTGATCTTCATAGTCAGAGATTCATTGCTTCATACCAACATTTCACTCTCCAATTTCCAAATCAGTTTTATAGCAATAAAATAGAATAAATAGAAGAGAAAATGTGAGCGTAAACAGCATTTAAGAAACAAACCGAAGGCTTGGATGCACGCCTCCACCAGCTCGTCCACTGTGGCCGACTGCTCTGATAATATGGACTCCATCCTTCCTTCCTTTCCTCTGTTATTTCCCTCGTTACTCCCTCTGATTTGACTCCTGTGCCTCTGACTGAATGCAGATGAAGAGAAAAGATCAAAGCTGAATTATCAGGAAGCAAAGACAGGAGAGAGAGTATGAGACTCTTGGTGGTCTTGGCTGCAGTTTGGAAAGGATGTGCGGTCAGGAGTTTCAGATTCAGCCCCACACTGCAGTGAGATAATCAGCAACTGTTTACCCATACATCGAAGGAAGGCTGATTTAACTGGGATACCTGCCCGTCAATATAATGATGGTCCAGTCTGACCTAACAAACTCAACAGGCTCTATTTTCGTGTCCGTCGGTGAGGCAGCAGAGGGTGGCGGACCCTGCGCAGTGGTATTTTCATCTGGAGGAGCCCGGCGTACAGACAGTTTGGTATTTTCATGGACTGAGGCGCACCAAGGTCTGCCAAGCTGGGTGTGGTGGCGTGGCAGAGGGAGGTTGTCGACAGAATCAGCTGCCACAGTGACATTTTCGTGCTCGCCAGTGGCGTGTAAAGTGAAAAGTGCGTGTAAAGTGAACAGATGATTTGTTTCAGTGATCAGATGAGTTATTTACTTTAAGCCTACATACGAAAATTATAATATTCAGTTTTGTGAGCCAAATTTATTTTATATTCCAACATCTATGAAAGAAAGAGCAAGGCCACAGAGCATGATGCGTCCTTTACACACAGATGGTTCCGATTTTAATGCCATTTTTTGAGTTTATGTTGTGATCTGTGCGTTCAACCCACCTTTTGTCACGTGAGGTTTGATTTACATGCAACTATATGTGAGTGTCTTTATTTGTGGAAAAGGGTGTTTGACTTACTAGTGGATCCAAATTTACACACACCAAATCCATCTGTGCTCATATGAGAGAGTGTGAAGGACGCCCTCTGCAGTGTTTACAGTGACACTTGTTGAGGAGCTGCCTTCTGTCGCCATCGTGTGACATTACTGTCTTCAGACATCTCTTGATCTCTTTGACTACTTCACGAAAATAGTAATACGCCTCGCCGGTGGCGGATTTAAAGGCGAGGAGAGGAGCTGATTTATTAGTCAATACAAGTCTCGGCTGGGTCAAACCCACTCCAGACCCTCTCCACGCCGCTGGGAGGAGCTGAGTTAGGGAGGGGGGATACTTGCGCTGCGCATGCGCAACGTCTCCGGCGAAGCACGAAAATAAAGCCCAAGATGTCAGTATGCAAAGTCTGTACTCAGACTTGCTCTATACCTGGAAGGAGCAGCATTTATTTCAGCTGCTCTAAATGGCAGTGTCTGTATCCTACATGAGAAGCTACACTGAACAAAAATATAAACACACTTGTTTTTGCTCCCATTTTTCATGAGCTGAACTTAGATCTAAGACTGTTTCTTTTTACACAAAAGACTGTTTTCTCTCAAATATTGTTGACAAATATGTCTAAATCTGTGTTAGTGAACACTTCTACTTTGCTGAGATAATCCATCCACCTTACAGATGTGGCTTATCAAGATGCTGATTATACAGCATGATTATTGTGCAGGTGTGCCTTAGAATGGCCACAATAAAAGGACACTCTAAAAGGTTCAGTTTTACTATATTCAGGGTGTCTGGGGGGGAAGAAAACCAGTCAGTATCTAGTGTGACCACCATTTGCCTCATGCAGGGCACAGAGTTGATCAGGTTGTTGATGGTGGCCTGTGGAGTGTTGGTCCACTCCTCTTCAATGGCTGTGTGAAGTTGCTGGATGTTGGCAGGAACTGGAGCACACTGTTGAATACACCAATCCAGAGAATCCCAAACATGCTAAATGGGTGACATGTCCTGTGAGTATGCTGGCCATGCAAGAACTGGTCCATAACCGACGCCAAATACACTATCTGCCATCTACCCTGTGCAGTGAAAACCGAGATACATCCATGAAGAGAACACCTCTCCAGTGCCAGACCCCATCGGATGTAATCATCTGCCCACTTAAGTCGGTTATGACGAATAACTGCAGTCAGGTTAAGATGAACTTCCCTGAGACGGTTTCTGACAGTTTGTGCAGAAATTGTTTGATTATGCAAACCAATTGTTGCAGCAGCTGTCCGAGTGGTTGGTCTCAGATGATCTTGGAGGTGAAGATACTGGATGTGGAGGTCCTGGGCTGGTGTCTTTACGTGTGGTCTGCGATTTTGAGGCCGGTTGGATGTACTGCCAAATTCTCTAAAACGCCTTTGGAGACAGCTTATGGTGGAGAAATGAACATTCAACTTACAGACAACAGCTCTGGTGGACATTCCTGCTGTCAGCATGCCAATCGCATGCTCCCTCAAAACTTGTGACATTGTGCTGTGTGATAAAACTCCACATGTTAGAGTGGCCATTTATTGTGGCCACACCTGTGCAGTAATCATGCTGTCTAATCAGCATCTTGATATGCCACACCTGTGAAGTGGATGGAGAAGTGTTCACCAACACAGATTTAGACAAATTTGCCAACAATAATTGAGAGAAATAACTCTTTTGTGTTCGCAGGAAAAGTCTTTGATCTTTGAGTTCAGCTTGTGAAAAATGGGAGAAAAAACAAAAGTGTTGTGTTTATATTTTTGTTCAGTGTATTATAAGTCCTGATACTACATTATCACAGTAACTTATCAGTACAATTATATTTATTTTGCAGTTTGCTTTAATATGTGCAACAGATGCAACCAACATTTTTTTAAAAGACCTTGTTGATCAAAAATAACATCCTTTGTAAAACATCTGTCTGACAAAGTAAGTTAAGTTTCATCCTGTTAATCTCAGTTCTTCGTAACAACAAACTGGGGCTGTTTCCCAGTCATATGTTTTGTCTAAGCCACCCACCGCTAATCAGGGCTGTAGCTCCAGCAAACAGCTGCACTGTTTTAATGCTAAAATGATCTACTAAGAGCACACTCATATTCTGGGGCAGCTTGGCCCAATAAACTAGTTTACAACCACTTGGCGTGACCAGCACAGGCATGTTGACGTTAACCTGCAAGGCGGACCAAAGGCTGGAGGTGCCAGCTCTGCTAATGTAATCCACACTGTGTTTACCTGTGAGACTCTGAGAGCCTGACATGAACTGTATCAAGTAATTGTTTTTTTCTTTTCTTTTTTTCTTTTCTTCTGTTTTTAGTGTTTTCTTGTCCTTGCACAACAAGAGTTTTAATTTCAGCCAAAAAACCTTGGCTTCTTGTGAATACAATCTGTATTTCCTCATGGGCTGGACTGCAAAGCAGGAGACAAAAATAAAATGAAAAACAAACGATTTCAAACTTCCGATCAGTCTTCTTGATTTAATGTGTTTTGTTTTGTATCATTTCTGTGGTACTCTATTTTTACTCAAGTTAAGGGTGTAATAAATTCAAACAGCTTTTTAAGACTTCTTCAAACTTCAACATGTGAAGTCTCATTTATTTTCCAAACGCCCTCTTTTACTGTAAATCTAGCACAGCAAAGGGATGACTACTTGACAGCATTTTTACAGATGGGCTTTTGACCTCATTGTGGCTTGCAAGAAAGCCTGATAAAAAGCCACCGCACAATTAACAGGAAACCATTGTTTTAATCTCTTCTTGACACGCTGCAAAAACCAAACATGTCAGAGACTGTGAGCAAACTGTGCCCATGCATGGTTGTTTTTTGTTTTATTGCATATTTGTTGCAGAAATAAGACCGGAAATAAATGTAAACTGCTGTTTTCTAGGTGAGTGAGTAAGAAGGGAACCATGACAACCACAGCTCACAGCCCAACCACAATTTCACAACATATACACACCTCTATGCACAATGCAGAGGCACAAAATGCATCTTTTCCTCCATGAAGTGTGGTGCAGGAGTAGCCTGAAGGGATCTATTTTTGTGCTTTAATCCCAAATGTGTTTATTGTGTCTTAAGGAGGCAAAATACACTAATCCTATCTTCTGCACAGGCTGTGTCTCGATCTGGTGCAAAAATAGGAGATAAAAGGAGCCAGTGGATATTTTGGTTTGCTCCAGATAAGCGTGACGGTAACGCTGAGGTGATGCTCGAGGAACAAAGTTGAGCTGCAGAATCCACAACAGCACAATCCGCTAATGGCTCTTGAATGTTGTGGTTGTTTTTTCAGAGAGTGAGACGGGGTGTGATGATGAGTATGTGTACGTATCTATTGTCCCTGACACAATGAAGCCTTCCACAATGCTGTCTCTGCTGCAGCGCGGTGGGTGGACACACTCAATTATAGGCTTCAGGAGCTGTCTCAGCCACACGCGTACACACATTCGTTTCTGCAGGGATGGAGGGGAAAGAGGGAGATAAAAATGAGAGCGAATAAAAACCTAAAACCTCAAACATTAACCAAAGAGAAAGAGAAAGTTGGTGCAATAATGAGGAGGAAAAAGCAGAAGTGGTTGAGTACATGCAGTTTCTGGTCTACTCAAGCAGAAAAGGAGCCATACAAGTCATACAAGGCCGTCAGAAATAGTTCTGGTTCAAGATTACATACATTGAAGAGTAGAATAATGAGGAAACAAAAAATTTATTTTTGGAATTATGTGCAAAACACAAACTTGTGTAAATCCTTATGTTCATTTAATGTTGACCACAATACTATGTAAATTTAAGTTAGGGTCAACACACCGTAACCGAGTTAGATACCCCCTCGGGAGATGAATGTTGCTTCTCTAGTTATACTAACGGTGATCGACTCGTCAGGGCTCCCCCACAAACAAGCGGCTGCTGTAGGAGTGTGTGGAGTGGGTGAGTTGTTTGGTCTCTTTGCTAAAGAAACAAGGCAAAGCTAAAAAGATGTTTGGTGGCTAGTACCATGGCTGGGACCCTATATGTACTGTTAATGAAGTTAGGTGCTGTTTTGAGCATTATTTGTAGCTACGAGTATGCCAGAATATCCCTTTAAGTACACAGAGCTAGCAGCTGATGCTGAGCAACATAGATGGAAAGCCAAGGTTTGCCTGGTGGAAGTTGGCTGTAGAAGCTTTGTAGGTCAGTCAACAATCAGACTGCTCAAGAACTTTGGAATTTGAGGTCGAGCCCAGCAATAAACCACCAAAACCCTTTCAGGTGCATTGGAGGAAGCAAGGAAGTGACTTTGGGTCAAGAGGCGAGACAAACTGTCTTTCCTGATAGAGTGCGCCAAAAGTGATATTTGCAGAGAGTTACTCACAGGAGCTTTAAAAATAAAGTTCTGATATTTTGAGAGGTCCTTTGAAATGAGGGTTGAAGTGGAGACCATAACAATCAAAGTCAAAATAGAAAAATGCTCTAAATGTTTAGTTAACGTGTTAAAAGTCTGGAATATATAAAATGTTCAAAAATTATTAGGTAACTCATGAAGTATACTGAACATTGAGTCTCACCCGTTTTTATCTTTAAAACTGTCCTGATGCTTGGAGAATGCCAACGAAGATGCAAAAAGGACAACCCACCCCACCCCACCCCACCCCAAAATAGACTTCTCTTAAGTGTGAGAAGCAGGAAGTACAAGTATTTGCATGAAACAAAAAGAGGACAGAGAGAAAACAGACCTGAGGAAAGTACAAATACCTAAAACTCCTTTAAAGTACAGTAACAAATTACTCACACTTGTTTTTCATCCACTATTGAAAGAGTGAAAAAGTGATCTATAAACCTATTAACGAAAGTTGAAGGCATGTGGTCAAAAAATGGAGAGATAAAGAGCAACAAGAGGCCCAAATGGTAGCTTCAGCTGTAGCTAAAGATAGACATGAAAGTTTCTGTGGCAGCCGCTAAGGTCACCACAGGAACCAAGTCTGAGCAATCTGCACAGAGCAAAGCTGGAGATCTGAAACCTCAAAGAAACTCTGGATTAGACACACTAAAAAGTCTGTGTAACACAAGTTTGTGATTGATTCAACAGTTTCAGACAATATCTACAGGGTTTATTAATAATAATTCATTTTTTTAATTAAAGAGAAGAGATCAGACCCTTATAACTCCAAATTCAGATTTCCAGTTTTAAAAAGGAACATTTGTTTAGGAAACTCAGTCTTACATTTTATGGAAAACTTATACTGCCCTTAATTTTTGTACTGGGGAAATACCTCTTCAGTAATATTTAGTAAAATACTGAGGTGAAAATGCTGATGCCAAGGACAGACTACATGATTTAAACACAATTATGCCTGATCTGACAGTCCTAAGGTGTCAAAAGTTAATTGTTGTAGCCTGTGTGGAATGTCAAAGTAAGCGAGAATCAAGGATTCCTCAGAATTGTGTTTCTTCCTACAAATTCTGAGACTTGTGCCAACTTCAGTCAACATGACCTTTCAGTCTGCCACTGAGTCAGATTTAGTGATTACAAAATGATAAAATCATGCTGTGACTTGACAAATAAGACCACTCATCACAACAAGTAGATGCTGAAAGGATAAGACAGGGCTAGACCTCACCTGGGAATGCTAATTGTGGTTACTCACCTGGTTACTCATTACTGTAGTGCATCTGCTACTTAACAGCAGTGTTGAATAAAGGCTTATCACAGCGTAAATGCAGTTATGTTGTCTTGTATGTCCTCCTCACAGCACAACCTTCATGGTTCTGCTTCACCTCACTATTTAGTTAGTTCACACTTGTTCTCTCCCACACTCTGTGCTCTCAATGGTTAATTTCATGGACCTGATGACAAAATCTTCAATCAGAACCTTTAAACTAACAAATCTATACTGGCTTTAAACTCAGAAAACATTCAACTCAGTGCTCTGAGAAAAAAAAAGTCTGACTTTAAAAATAATTTAGACCTCAAATTGTTTTTTGCGTTCAAGCTTCTGTGATCCATTTTAGTAATTTTGTGTGTGAACAAACACCAAAATTAAAAGCGATGCCTCAATTAAATATTAATGATTGCATATGACATGAATCAGTAAATCTGCATACTGTTGCATGAACCATGAAAATGATTCATTTATATTTTCTTACATTTCATTACTCTGCATCTCTCCTTTTATGCAACAATGAAGCCTTTCACAAGAGTTATCAGAATCTATTAGTCTTACAGAAATGTCACTGATTGCAAATTGAATCATGTTTAATTGTGTTCCCTATAAACATTTTCAAATTTGTTCCATGAACTGGTTTAATATTAGATCTTTTTAGATTCAGGTGAAAAAAGTCCACTGACAAAAGCAGCAGCATTTCCAAAACCACTTCTCCTTGTGGACTCTATCCAAACAAACACTGCTGCTCACATCTCATGAATATCACAGGAGTTAAAGTGGCCTTGGAGTGTGGCGTTGCAGCACAACAGGAGTCATTATCATTGACGGGAGTCATCCAGACCTAAGATTTCCCTCTGACAAAATGGGCATCAGTTTCACTTCAGCATTTTTACTGTTCAGTACAGAACAACCTGTCCCCAAGTGCAGAAAGAGGACTTTAAAAGTTCTCCCTGTGGGTCAAAGTAGATACTGTATCAGAAGCCATCATGTGACAGAAAAGTCAGGTAGTAGGAGGGGTTTCAGTGGTTTTCAGAGTTTTTAACTGTCCGCCTTTGCAGAACAGACTGTGCTGGTCATGTTGATGATACCAGCTCCACTCATCAGTCATAATCATCTGCTAACAGGAACTTTTTAGGTGGAATGCTCCGTCTGCTTTCAGAGACCGTCTCTTCTTAACAAGCTCTCCCTCTCTGTCTTCTACAAGTACTTCCCCCACAGTCTGGTCTCTTACATTGTTTCTATAGCTGTGAAGCAGGGGATTGATTGTCGGGTGGCACACGCTGTGAAAGCTTTGGTGTCATCCTTGGTTGCCTGGTGACGACAATCCAGGGCCATCGATCAGGCAGATGAAGGGTGGGGTCTGGCACAGCGGGGATAAAGGGAAGCTGACAGGTGCCTGGTCAATCCTGGCTACAGAGATTCTGCAGTGGACACTGAAAATGTCACGTCCTCCGGCTGAGTATAGATGGACATCCTCTCACTACAGTGCTGATACACCTGTTGCTTCCCTGTAAAGACTCATAGATGCTCAACACCTTGGTTAACTGTTGCTTTGACATGCAAACATTTATGCAAAAAGATGCAGTTTAATCTGAAACGGCTTGTCTGCATGTTAGATAGCTCAGTTCATATGCTGATTATTTCCAAGAACTATTTGTCTACAACTAAAAAATAACCTTATATTCTTTGAGGTCTTCAATGAAATGATTCAAACCATCAAATTGTGTTTTCTTAATATTCCAGTTGGGTAAATCAGAGCCAACTACTGACCCTAAACACTGTTAATACAAGGCTAATAATTAACAACCAGTGCTTAAAGTCCTGAATCCAGAATTTGTTTGCAACCTTGCTTTCTAGCAATGCATCTATGCTTTTCAACCACTGGCTCAAAAATAGCGTGCAAAAACTGGGGAATGCGCAGAAGGCTCAGGACAGTTTTAGCTCAATTGAGCAGTATACATGCAAAAGAAAGTCAATCTCCAGCTGCATTATCCACGTATGTTAGTCCAACTATGAAAAGTTAGATTTCAGTGAAACTAACGTGTTTCCATGCATTCTAAAAGTCCAGTTTCAGTTGGACTATTGCAGTAAATCGAGTTTTTTAGAGCATGTGAACTTACTGACTGAAAACGCAGAAGTCAGCCGGTTAATGTCAAATTAGTTTTACGAGAGTAATGAGTGATCATTTGCAGAGCCAGCACTGCCCCCTGTAGGTCGTCCCTGCAGCTTACATGTCTGTGTAAATGTCTGTCTGAGTTGTTTATGTACTGCGTCAGTCAGACACAGCCTACATGCAACTTTATCTCCATTTTGACAGACCCACAGGACGATGAGATGCTACTCGTCATTTGTACCACTAGCATCTACAGTCTTGGATTGGCTGCAGACACAACAAATGACCATCATTCTGGGCCTACTAGAATAAAACTAGATGAGTTGAGTGACTGACTGTTATTATGGTGCAAACTGGCAGGAGTCGACTTCGGGCGATGCAGCAAATCAATACATGACCACAGAAGAGCTCCAGGCCTCTGGGGGCGCTGAGGGGAACAGTTAACAACTGGTGAGGAGAGTGAGGAAGAGAGGGAAGTGAACCAATAACTGACCACATACCACAGAGTTGGATTTCCATAAGAGCGAGGCCTTTTAACAAGCTGTGGGTGTTTTTATACTTGTATAAAGTTGTGTTTTTGTACAGTTCTCAGCAGGGATGCTCTGAGTTATATCATTTCCTTCAACTCTTAACAGCTGGCCGGTCTAAAGGTCAAATAAAACTCACAATGATTAATAAATAACAAAGCACAATTCATCTGTTTTATCATTTAATTTGAATTGAGTGACTTGGCTGCTGCTTTGTAAGTTGTGTTTTATCAGCTGATGAATAGTGGGCCGATTCAGATGAAGCTCAGAGATGGGTTAGCCCAGCATATTTATGAGCCATTGCTGTTGTCTTCAAATTCACGTCTTCATTAGCCTGTCTGTGTGGAGTGAGTGAAAGTCTTTCCCTGATCTAAATCACACCAGACTTCGCTTGAGGAAGCCCTTTTAAAAAGCCCACACATTAGGAGAAAACTGCCCCTGTAAATCTCCAACACCTAAACTGCCACTAGCTTCGACTGATGACGGAACAATGACAAACACACAGACAATGATATCCATCCTGCTATTGATATTCTCCTAATGGGCTCATTTCCATGCGAGTAAATACCCCCCAGCTAATGCACAGTCTCCATACAGCCATTGATTTAGTGTTATCCTCTCGCCACTGGCATTTGAGTACAACATGTCTGATTGATGTTTGCTTTGGGAATGATCCCGAGTGAAAAGGTGTGGGTGCATTTATTTACTCTGATTAACTGACATATTGTAAGGTCACACTGCTTCACACACAACTAAAGGGTCTTTTTTTACACACAGTTATGGAGTTGCTGGAGTAACCAGAATTAGATGGTCAACCCTGACCAAAGCCTTGGACTTACCATGGTCATGAGGATGCATTTAAGGGGATATTCCAGTGTAATTTTAAGCCGTGGTGAAACACGCTGTAACACTGAGTTAGACCCCCCTTTGAGAGATGAATGTTGCCGACTGCTAGCTTCTCTAGTTCCATCAACTTCAGCAACGACCTCTATGTCTATTTCTATGTCTCTATACGCAAACGTCAATCAAAAAGCATCTCTACATCCACAAATAACGCTCAGAACAGCACCTAACTTCATCAACAGTACATATAGGGTCCTAGCCATAGTACTAGCCGCCAAACATCTTTTTTTTTTGGCTTTGCCTGGTTTCTTTAGCAAAGAGACCAAACACAACTCATCCACTCTCCTCCAGCAGTCGCTTGTTTGTGGGGGAGCCCTGACGACTCGATCACTGAGTGCAGCTGAGTTCCGCAGCTCAGGGAAAAAAAATTATGATTATTTCTTCATGGAAATGCAATCAGAGTTCTTGTGTATCTTGCATATCAGTTTACAACTGTTATTATCGAGTGCTGGCCGGGAAATGAGCGAAGATGAGCATTTTTAACTTTACATATTTGCAGGGAAAAATCAAGTAAGCAAACACGAGATTTTACGTGACATTGCACTTGTTTATCTCATGAAGAGTGAGGAGCCAGCGCAAAGGTGAAGAGAAATCAGTCACGACCGAATACCTGAGGCAAAGGAAGACGCAATAGTCAATGTATGTAATTATCCAGGTCGCAGAAATACTCGGATTGCTGCTTAGATACGGCCGGACTATAGTGAACTGTTGGCTTGTTGTTTTGAACGTAGATGTCAACACGCCGACCAAGACGCTAAGGCAGAGGAACGACTGCATCTGCAGTGCACATACAAGAAGATGTATTGCTATTGTGCGGTCTTTACTGAAGTTGGTGAAACTAGAGAAGCTAGCAGTTGGCAAGATTTTATCTCTTGGGGGGGTGTCTAACTTGGCGTTATGGTGTGTTTGACATGGCTTAAATTTACGCCTGAATTAATGATCCTTCAACAGGAGGAATAAGAGTCTGTAAATTTTGGAGTTAAGTGTCATGTAGAGCCACAATTGTCTAGAACAGTATGCTAACACTTGATCAAGAAACTACAAAATACACACAAAATACATTTTATACTAAACAAAGGCATTTTATAATGGCCATTGTGAGGGTTTTTCACTGCAGACATTAACATTTAGCTGGAGAGCAAAAAGAAAGAGGGACCTAATCCAGTATAATGGCACACCAGCTTCCATCTACAGCATCTACTCTACATAAAAAGTCATAGCTGCAACAGCAAGTCTGTGTGACCCTGTTGCTACAAAGCCATTAGCATTTTGTGCAACCTATCAGCCATAATGGATCTGGCCTCAGCGCTACAAAAAAGCATTTTAAACGTTAGTGTCGTCTCTGCTAGAGGACAGACCTGACACAGCTTGCATTTCAATTTCTTCCTTTTACAATCATGATGATGATGATTATACCTGTTCAGAGCCAGTCACTCACATAATTCTTTGAGGGGTTTATACTGCTGTTGCAAGCCAGTGCAACATTAAAACTTAAAGTGTTTGTTTTTTTTACAAAATTAAGTTTCATAACTCAGATCTCCTCTGAGGAACTTTCTGTCTCTATCTCTGCAACCAAACACCTCTTATCTGATCTCCTCCCTGACTTAAGCCCAATCTCTGCAAGTGTGTGAATGTACAGGCCCACAGGCTGAACTGCACTAAAAAACAGACATGACTCTGTTGTGGAAATCAGTGCATGCATCAACACATTCAAGATGGATTAAGGCGAAATGGAAAATTGTCCTGTGATCTGATTAATCTGAATTTGACACTCTTTTTGGAAATCATGGATGCATCCTCTGCCATCAAGAGAGGAGGAATAAACACACGTCAACAGTACAAAGCTCAAAAGCTACCATCTCTAAAGGTACTGGGGTTTATGAGTACCCATGATGTAGGTGGATTACACATCTGGAAAGGCAGCATTAATGCTAATCAATATATACAGGCTTGGAGCAACATATGCTGCCATCCAGATAATGATTTTATTACAGGGAAGAGTTTGTGTAATTCAGCAAGATGATCTCAAACTACAATTTGCATCTATTAAAGCAGCATTGCTTCATAGTAGAAGACTCTAAACTGTCCATCCTGCAGCCCTGACTTTTCACCTGAGGGGGTAAAAGGAGACCCTGAAATGCTGAGCAGCTGGTTTTCTTCATCAGGCGAGAACAGGAGGACAAATCACTTTGAGATCTGTTTAAAACTGGTCTCCCTGGTTCCCAAATATTTACAGTGTTGTTAAAAGAAAAGGGGACGCAGCACAATGGTAAACAATATCCATTTAAATTTAGAGTGAGCATTCAGAATCTGAAATGAAGCCTACCCCACCTTTAAGTACAGGCTTTAAATGATCACATTCTGCTTTTCAAACATTTTACACATCAGCCCAACCCTCACTTTCTCTGAAGAGTCTTTCCCATGTAAAACACCGTTCTGAAAACAGTTTCTGCAGATTGTCATTCATCACTTCATCTGACACTTGCCCTGCAGCAGCAGTTTGAGGCATTATAAATAACTATGGAGAGAAAAAAGCCCTGCTGTTTATGGCCTTGCATGGTCTTGTGGCACATTAGAGTAAATTTCATTTCCTCACGGAGGCTTTAAGTGAATGCGCTCAAACCTTCTTGTAGATATTTGAAGTATTGTAACTCCTGATTAGAAAACCATCTTAAAGGCATCTCGTTGTGCTGGTTGTCTTTCAATCAAACAAGAAAGTTTAAAGCTATTAAAATATCAAAATTGTGCATTCAAACAAGCTAAAAAAAACAAAACAAAGATGCATAACAGGAGCCATGCTCTTTCTCCTGTGCACCGTCTTTCCTGTATTGCTCATTTTCTCTTAGATTTCACAATCACTTAAGTGGTGAAAGTAAATTTTCCATCCTTTCATCTTCTGCCACAAAAGCTTTTCATTTCCAACAACAAATCTAAACTTGTGGTGACTCTAAAAGAACCCAGTGTTTCAACTTTTATGTGATAATATATCAACTGTTACTCAGACTTTGGTTTCCAATGGGTGGGCCAATAATGGGGCTTTATCTCATCTCTGTGGATAGAATTACAAGAATGCAACAACATATAGGACACCACTTCTTCTTATTTTTCCAACTCCGCCCTTATCTCGAGCTTCACACCCCCAGTTGGTTTGTTTCAGGAAGTTGTAGCAAGGGTGTTGTATGATGGGACAGATATAGTTCTCAAGAGGGGCCTACAGGGCAGCTGGTGGCAGGCTCTATTTACAGACCGCAGGGTACTGAGAGCAGGAAGGGGAACATTTCCTTTTCCCTGGACACGCAGAATGCCACATCAGCGGGGGGGCACCGGCTGCAAATGGAGATTAGCCGCTACAGTAGCTCCTCAGGGAGGGAGGATAGGGGTGGCGGGGGGAGGATGGGAGAGCAGGAGATAAGGAGAAAACATACTCTGGCAGTCAAACATGGAAAAAAGGGAAAATAATCTCACAGGGAGGAGTGGCCATGATGGAAAACATCAGAAAACACCACTTCCAGGCCTCTCTAAAGAAAATAACACTTTTACTAATGTTCTACACAAAGAAAAAGCAGCACTTTATCATGACGTGGACATAAATGAAGAAATATGCAGATTGTCTTGAAGGAACACAGCAGCTGCCGTGGGGTAATGCTTTATCACGCCCACTGAAACAAGAAAAAAGACATGCATCCTGCCCCACATCTGGCACACTCTCATATCTCCCATCTCAACTTTCCGACTTCAAATGAAAAGTGTGAAGTGCGAGACTAGAAAAGGGCATTCCTGCAGATCCCATGTGCTGCCATTATATCTGCCGTCTGCCCCCTCAGAAACAACCGTGTATCATTGTGTCAGCCTGTTTTTACTGCTTTGTTTTCAGGCTTCCTGCTCAAACTTCTGTCCTTTTTACCAGATGTGAAAGTTTGCTTCGTAACAAACACCGGAAGGGTGTGTTGGTATGCCTGTGTGAAACACTGCAGGAGCGTAAGAGTCCACACTTTTTTTTTTGTTTTTATCCCTGTGCAGCAGGTTTAAGCTTCATGTGTTGTGAATACTTCTAACACTTGTGTTTTTTCACATTCCCCTCCCTTTTTGTTCACTTTGTCACTTATCTACTGACACACACATTACTTCCTCCTGCCCTCATTGTAGATGAGCAAAAGATGAAGCCACATTGTGTAAAAGAGCAAACGTGATCCATCATCTGTTGCAACAGAGCAAAGCAGTTAGTTTCAGAGAGTGAACACCCAGACTATCCCTGCCAACCGTCATTTGTTTCAGAGAAAGCTGCAAATAGGATTCATTGCCTGTTTTCTGCAGTGCTGAAGTCAGGAGTCTCACTTCCTGTTGATAACTAGCGAATCATCTCAGTTTACAAATTCCTTTCTTTGATGCTTTTGTCATCTGAAAAAAGTCACTTTTACAAAAAAAAGGAGAGGGCAAATTTATGGGCCAAACAAGTAACCTCCTGATCGATATTTTTCACCTAATTTTGGGAAATTAATTCTTTCCAAGAGTCAAAGATGATGATTATTTTCCCCTTTCTCGTGTCTGTTTCATTTAAATGCAGCAAAAGCACACAGGCTGCTGGTTTAGCTTTGCACAAAAACTGAAAAATATTTAAAGTTAACAGTGACAAGTCACAATGTAGGAAAACTGGCCTTCCAGCTCAGTACAGCTCATAGATCAACATTTTTGTAACTGGTGTTTTAAACCAGTTCAACGAAGCGCTTTGTATCCGTGTTTAGCTCTCGGCTGGTCACCTGGCAAACCAGTTTTAAGTTAACTAGCTTCAAGATCTAACATGGACTTGGACATGGACATCCTTCTTGGAAACCGTGGACACATCTTTGGCTCTAAAGAAGGGAGTTGAAGAGCCAGCATCTCTAATTCTAATAATAATGATGCATTCAATTTTGTAACGCTTTATCAGTGACCCTCAAAGCACTTTATAATGGATACATCATTCATTCGCTCACACAGTCACAACCTGGTGGTGGTAAACTACCTTAGTAGTCACAGCTGCCATGAGGCAGACTGATGGAAACATGGCTGCCAGTTTGCCACCAGTGGAGGACACACACTGGGAGCAAAGTGGGTTAAGTATCTTGCCCAAAGACACAACGGACAGACTAGGGAGGGGGGAATCAAACCGCCAACCTTACAGTTATTGGACAACCACTCTACCTCCTGAGCTACTGCCACCCCAATAGCATGACGAACTTACACATGGATGAAGACACCATAAATACTCAATGATTCAGGTTTTTATGCTGCCATTCAGACAATGGTTTTTAGGGGAGACCTTATATAATACAGCAAGAGGTTGCCAAAGTAAAGTTTGCTTACATAGATGAACACTAAAGATGTTCTGCTACCATCTGATTAGAGTATATGGACCAATAAACACTAAGATCCTGTTTACTAAAAACTATATGTATATGTTATTTGGACCCAAACTACTATATAGGTCCAAATATGAGACAACCATTTCGAAATGCCCCCTCTGTGCATGATTAGTTTTGGAGTCACACATTCTTGGTGAATACATTTTGTCAACTTTTGTGCAACAGCCTTTCAGAAACTCTTAGGATTTTTTGCTGTCCTGTAAGGGTCTCCATTTTTTCTTCTCAAATGGAGACCCTAACATGCCAATTCAGCAAACTTTACCCAGCATTAGGATGAGTGGGAAAAAAAGGTTTCAGTAGATCACTGATTCAAAAGCATCCCTGAAACATAAAAATTAGCCCCTTGACTAGATTCAGCTTACATACATGAAACTTGCTAGGCCTTAATATTATGCTAAACCCTACAAAAAAATCCTCTTAAACCCATGCTTTAATCCCAACAAGAAGCCCAAATATTTCAGTTAAATGTCTGATTTTGGCCATTTACAGGCAGCGTATTTGTACTAAGTTGTCCATGGTGTTATGTAGACACAGTTCAAAGTTATCAGACAATTTTTTATACCTCATGACAGCAGAGAGTGATTTCAACTTTCTCATATGGTGTTCAATCTGTTTAATTTCCTGAAACATGGTTATGACATATACTTAATAGCGCCACCCAGTGGATTACACAGTACTGACTTGACATTATCTGATCTGCTCCAAATTTCACAGGAAAGATGATGGTTCCCACCTCGACCCATCATCATACATATTTCTGTCATAGTAATAACACCACCTATTGATGACAAGGGATATTACCAGCCATTACTAAATAAAAATGACATGCAAATGTGGTGGCTGTATTTTTATTCAAAACTCAAACCTTCATTCAAACTCTGGGGGAAAAGTTTACATTCAAACCACCATGATCTGTTTAAATTCATAATAATACGCTACAACAGGGCATCAGGTCACCTGAAGTAGGTTGTCTTTTGATCCAGCAGGGGGCGCTGTCATCGTAACCTGACCAGTCCATGCACACTTCACCCCAGTAAACCAGGTAGGACATGATTAAGTAAAGCAGCTCTGAGTGGACAAGAGCAGGGTGTATGGATATTCAGATCTACACTGTAAATGAATAAAAAGAAGACAAAGACAGGGCTGCATGTTAACTTTGTACAAAGCAGCTGTGTCACCTGTCTACAGCCACAAATTTGCAGGCTCACCTGATGGCCCACCACCGACGTGCAGCGGAGGAGGAAGAGAAACCACCATCAAGCTGTGCAAAAGCAATTGTTCAACATTGTGTGACTGCCTTTTTTTTGGAAGGCCCTGCCTTAAAGGCCACCGATAAGATTGCAGTATTGAAACATTTTATTAATTAATTAATTAATTTATTTATTTACTTCAACTGATAGCCTGTTTACATCTAAACATGCATTTACCTCATGCAAAGAGAACTAACACTGGGCACAGTGGCAGCTGCTACACAGCCAGTGGCAGCTCCAGACCTCAAGGTTGTAAGCTCTTGCACAGAGGTGCAAGGGCCTCTACATTGCTGCTTGCAGATTAATATGGGGGTTGTCATTTTTAGAGGTTTTGTAAAAGAGCCGAATTTCTTGATCATGATTACACATGAAATTTCAAGAACTAATACCAATGTATTGCTGTTTTAATGCAAGGTTAATATTCCTGAATTCAGCATTTTAAAATACTGTACATGACTGCTCTGTAGCATGTTAGGGAAAGAATCAAGAGAATTTCTTATACTGGTATACTAATAAGTTTATATTCCTTCCAGGCGAACATGCAGACACAAACAGCCTAACCCTGCATGCAGAAATATAGAGGTTAAGCTTCTGGGAAACACCACCAAAACAGACAAACAAGTTGTGCTGAATTTGAAAGATTTTGGGTTTTCTTAGAAGTGTTTGTGGTTTATACAGAGCGGTGCACACACTGAACATCTGGAGACTACAATGCTCTTTGCAGAGCTTATCTGCTTCATTTCCTCCTGCCTGTCTGAGCTGTGCTCACTGAGCTACATGGTGGTTTCATTCTCAGCTAGTTTCATGTTGTGTGTAAATGCAAGGAGTTTCACATTCACCCAGCCAGCGTCTTCCTTACCCCCCTGCAGGGTTTTTTTTTTAACTACATTAGCTCTGGCTAGTTCCTGTTTATGTATTTCTCCCTGGAACATCTCACATCCCTGAGCAGACCACGAACCCCACAATTTCCTGTCATCATAATACCCCATTCATTATGCACATTCAGATAAAGAGCGTGAGAGATTACAGACTGCACAGAGAATGAGTCTGAAAACAAAGGTGGAGGGTTTTTTGTTGCAGGTGCCGAACAAAACAGGCGTTACTCTGGTTATTTTTCAATTCCCGTTGTGAAAGTGAGGCACACCTAACACATGTAAGATGCCAGTCAACTGAAACTTTTATTAATCTCACCACTGCTCAGTCCCTAGCATTAGTCATCACTACACTAGCTGAAATACAACAGCCACAGCCACCCAGCTTGTCTACAGCCGTGTTTCATCCAAGTGATTAAATTCCAGCCACAGTCTGATTTATAGCTCCCCAGGTCCAACACTTTCCCTCTGCAGCTACCGAAAACCTCAAATGTCTTCTACTCCTCTGCTTGTGGCTCTCTCTCCTGAGCTCCAGCCAAACCTTTAAAGGTGAAGAGAGCGGAGAGCACTGACAGACTGAGATTTTACAGGGTCTGTGCCCTTTCATGGGAACACGAAGATCGCAGGAAGGACAGAGAAAGACGAGGGGTGATTTAGGCCTAAATCAAACCACAAGAGAAAGTTACCTTCTGGCTTTTTAAATTAATTCGTAAAAGTCTTTGCAAAACATGAGGTGAGCTTTCTTTGGATGAAGACTTTGCATCAACTGACATTTTTTAATTTTACACATATGCTTCAGTTTGGCCCACCTTTCCTTACCACCTTTGGAAAAAACAGGTAAACCACCAGTAATGTTCACTGCAAATTAAAACGCCTATAATCGGAGTTACCCACTGATATCAGCAACACATCCATGCTTCTTCACCTCCAGCTCAAAGCCCAGCATGGGAACAATAGAGCATGCATAGACCAGTTTCAGTCTGATTAAGAAGAAAATAAATCTCCAACTGCATTAACTAGACATATTAGTCCCAGTACGAGAAGCTCCATCAAAAGTGTTGACAACTCCTCAGTAAGGAAAGTTGCTAGTGGCTGTTGTAAAAGTCGCTAGAAGTTGCAAGATGGCTTCATGGTCTAATTTGCATTATTTCTTCCACCACCACTACCGACCCCCGTGAGGAGGAGGAGGAGGAGGAGGAGGAGGAGGAGTCTTCTGCAGAGTGTCTGTATGTGTCTGTTTTTTTGATGCACACCGGCTACCAGTTGAGAAGAGTAACATCAATACCTGCTTTCATGTTAGAGTCTCTAAACTCCAGAAAAAGTCACTAGATTTGTTGCTACTTGCTAGGCGTTTTTTGAAAATAAGTCAGTTGGCAACACTGTGGATCAATCTTACTAATGGGTTTACATGTCTTTTAAAAGTCCGACTATAAACGTGTCTGTCACAAACAATGGTGTTACGGGGAAAGACAGACTTATTTGACTTCAAAATTAGGTGCACATTGAACCAAACTTCTCTACTGTGACCATTTTGAGTTTGTGTTGATTATGGCGCCCCCTGTGGGCATTTTTTGTTTTTTTGTTTCTGTGCTTGTTTTATTATTTGCATGAGCTTTCTACTAAATATCCTGCTTTCTTCTGTTTTTAAAACACCCTAAAATAAACTTCCCAGAGAAGCTTTCAGTTCCCCTTTCTGGTCGTAAAATCAATAAATAGTGAGAGGTTGAACTAAGTCTCCTGCTGAACTGACTACTTTCCTGATAGAACAGAATTAAGGTGGTTTTCTTAATTAGTCTTTAAATATGCTTGGCTCAAACTATGGGGATGATATAAGGGTAAGTGAAGGGACTTTGCAGGAATAATGGGATTCGGTAATTAAAAGTGATAAAGGGAAGTCAGCGGACAGAGGCAACAAGTGCACTGGACCGTACTCTCCAAGGATGGCAGGCTTCCAGCACACGTGTCTGCAGAGCTGCTTCTCAGTAATTATTGAGTTTTACTACCTTCTTCTGCACTGCTCTGCCTCCGTTATACTCCTCCTCCCACTTCACTTCCTCCTCTACCTCCTGGATTTTATATTTTGCTGCTGGGCTTCTGGCATAAAACGGCAGCCCTGCACAATAGATCCAATTATGGCTGGCTTCACTGATAAGTGCAACACTGCTGCAGGTGGAGGTGGAAGAGGTGATGCTAAATATCAAGGGTGGCCGCTCTAGAGGCCTGGAGTAATTGCACTGCGGCAGCAGAAGAGAGGAAGGTGAAACAGAGATGCAGAGGTTTTTTTTACAGATATGTCCTCAACTTGATTTTACCTCTTGTTCTGAAGCACTTTGAATCCTTGAAATCCTTCCTCCCTATCATAATCTAAAAGTCAAGCACCACTTCACTCGTTCAGGATGTCAGATCACAGAGGTCAAGAGAGATCAAACAAGCCGCAGTCTGCTAAACAGACTTTGGACTAATTATTCTATTGATTTGTGACAGATTGGTCAGTGTAGACACATGCAGGTGAGAGCCGGTGTTGATTGCCGACTCATTTGCATCCTCTGTATCAGATGCTCAGTGCACACAAAGCAAACGTGTCCGATATTCAAAAGAGGTGCAGTTAATCAGCAACATTCAGCCAAATCAGCCATGCTGACTACAGTGGAGAGAAATGAAGTTTGTCTCCCATATGGATGTGACGTGCTGCAAGCTCCAGCTGCTTAGACTTCCAAATATCCAGACAGGCAGCCAGTCACAGCTTACAAGCCAAATCCCACTGCTCTGACGCCAAAACATGGAAGGATAAGGCAGAGGGGGGAGTGAGTGAAGAAGCAATGGAGCAAGTAATCAGCAGCCCCAGCACTCAAAGATGCCTCAGATAATCCCTGCTGCTTTTAGGATGAAAATCACCTTCAATCACTGCAGTCAGTGTAAGAGGACAGGTAATAAGAGGGCTGATTGAACCAAAATAAAGCAGGCAAAATATTTTTGACCTTTCACTGGTTTAATTCAGCAGCCAGCAGACTTACTCATAATGAGCCAGTCAGAATGAGCCAGTACGTGGCCTTCAGTGCTATTCTCCTGTTATAGCGCTCTCATTAAACATTCACCAGAGTCATACAGCCATCACTTCTCCTCTATGACGTCAGGTACGAAACAAGATTCAACAGATGTAACTGTGGTGTCAAGCTGAAGTCCAGAATCGGTCAAACTGGGACATTGACACATGCTGAACCTTATAAACAAGAGCTAAGAACCATCTTTTAAACAAATGCTTCCTTTTGCATTCTGCCAGTCTATGACAGACAGCATCTCACTGAGCAGGAAAATAGATTTTTTATGTTGCATCTGATTAACTTGGTTATATAAATGGCTAGCTAGTGTGGGGAAAGCAAATTGGATTCCGAGTCCACCGGCATAGGCGTGTAGGTATTAACCAAGCAAACCACTTTCACATAGACTGTGATCCCCAGTTTGGCAGTATTAAATAAACTTAATTTGGCAGTTTTCTGAGCATTTATGTATCTTAAAGGGATATTCCAGCGTAAAATTAGAGACCCCCTCGAGAGATGAATGATGCACACCACTTGCTTCTCTAGTTATACCAACTTTAGTAACAACCACACGCTGCGCCCCCCTGCCTCAGTCGATGATGGACTGGTCGAGGTCTCACCACAAAAAAGCGGCTGCTGGAAGAGAGTGGGTGAGTTGTGTTTAGTATCTTTGCAAAAGAAACCAGGCAAAGCTAGAAAAGTGTCTGATGGTTAGTACTATGGCTGGGACCTTATACGTACTGTTGTGCGGTTTTTACTAAAGTTAGTATGACTAGAGAAGCAAGCAGTCGGCGACATTCATCTCTCGAGGGGGTGTCTAACTCGGTGTTAGGGTGTGTTTGACTCTAAATTACCGGAATATCCCTTTGAGGTTTGTAGTTTTTTTTTTTTAATCTAACTTATAAATGCTCAAATCATGAGGAAACTATATAATTTGAAACACCCCTGACCCTTGCTATTCTCTCTTTTGTCATGTCAGTTGAATGTTTGCTTAGACATAGTGAGCAGCCAGCATTACTATTGTGTCCACAATTGTCAAATTCACCGATTTGTTGATATGGCCAGGGTTTCCCCAGAACTTAAACTGCTCTAATAAATACCAATGTCAGTGTGGGCAACAGTCTGATTTGTTGCTAGGAACACAATTTGAAGGAGAGACATGATGCCAGCAACAGGGAGAAAATATGCTGTTTCCCTGCAGAAGCTGTAAGGAAAGTAAGCTGTAAAAATACAGCTCTACTATGGTTTCTTTTTATGCAACCATGTAGTCCTCTGGAGGTGGCTGAATGCTAATGGTGTTTGTCTTACTGCAGGTAATGATTGTTTTGTTTTAACTGTCTCGGGTTATAATGCTGAAACAAAGGCTCAGTAATTAATAGGCTCCAATAGCATTTGAGCTCCTCACCCTGAACAGCAGGTCAGAGGATCTTCAGGTGAAGACAGTGAGCGCAGGTGTTAATTGGTGACTCGCAGAGCACTCAGGCTTCTTTGATACTGGATGATTACCCCCACCGTGGAGTCTGTTTTGCACTTGATCAAACTGCACTTCTGCTTCTTCCCTCTCCTTCCAGGATGTCGTTAGTTTGCAGACAACGTTTATTAACCATCATTCTCTCGTCAGTTAAAGCTGGATAAATAGCTTGCATCTCCAGCAATCTAATTTTGGGAACAGGCAGTCCTCCCTCTGCCTCCACCGCGCTAAGGATCGATGCCCCTCTACTTGTAATGACTCCACACAGGCCCTTTAATTCAATTAATTCAACTTGTTAATATGTACGCGCTTTCACAAATCAGAGCAAAACAGCTGTGAGCAATTTTTCCAGAATGAAAGTCTCCTCTATGAGTCAACATGAAACCCTCAATCTGATGTGGTTGATGGTGCAAGAGGACAAGTCCACGCGTGAGCTGATACTGTTGCAACAATGGCTCTCATAGGCATAACTCCCAAAGGAGTGATAACACGGGAAACAATTGCTGTGATAGTTTTTTTTTTTCAGTGTAACAGTCAAGGATGAGATATTTGACATATGCAGCGCGTAAAAATGTCCAAATATGACTCAGTTTCATAAATAACATGCAAGTTATCATTTCCTACCTTTAGAGTTTGTCGCGTCCCATACTCTGCAAGAGGAGGCGACGGTGATGACAGTTGTAGAGTGAGCACTTGGATAAAAATCGTTGCATCACCCGCACCACCAAAACTCAAAACGCGTCTTTGGCGACGAAGTGGGAACACCAGTTCACACAGAGGAAGGAACTCATCAGGAGCCGCTCGGTCCTTCTCCAGAGTTGGTGCAGACGCTCCTCTGAATGAGCTATGCGGGTATTTTTTTTCACGTCACATTAACCCCACGTCCCCCTTCTGGCGTACTCGGGCAGCAACTTGTGGCTGGGATGTGTGTTTGTGAAGGAGTCCGCAGCTGAGCTCAGTCATCTGGTCTCAGCTGGACCGCGTGCCAGCCTTCTGCTCCTGCTCCAGCTGTGCGACTCGCAGACACACTGCAGATCCACAGTCCCGCCTATTGGTAGTATCACAGCAACACCACAGTCTGTGCACATGCTGGTTGTGTACGAGCTGCCGCGCACACACCATAACAATCTATCATTTTCTTGGCTGCTCTGCGGCATCGATGCGACATGTCAATCAAAATCACTTCCTCGTAGCTTTCAAAGCCCACTTCTAGTTTCGTGCTGCCTTCAAGCACAGCTCTTAAACTTGACACCATTAACTGTTCATCAAGAGTTCTTTACTTGGTATTTTGATTGTGATTTTAGTAAAATGATCACTTGCTGGAGTAATGAAATGGGAAATGTTGCAGTCAGTGAGTGACTGAATTTGATTCATTAATTGTTTCCTTTCAAATGAGTTTCACGGTGCACTCATTCTTTGTCAATGCTCTCACACTGTGCACATACCTGTTGATGCAGGACTTTGTTCTGCCTCCGTTTTTTCATCAAATGTTGCGTTCAGGTCACGCGGGATAAAAAAGAAGCTTGGTGGAAACCAATCAACATAGGTTGTAAAGTTAAAGCTACTATGAGGAATTTTGAAGTTTATGAAATAGACTAGAATTTACATTAATGCATTTTCATGATATCCAAAAGCAAACAAATCTTTCAGTGACAAGACAGAACATTTATATGTTTTATTTTTTAGTGTCTTAACCTGGTGCAAAGGGGGTTAGGTGTTGGCCAGGCAGCATAATAAAAGAGCCTTTTTAAAAATTCCGCATAAAACATTCACATTAAATTTTACTGTCAAAGGTCAGCAAGAGGAGTTTATTCTGTCAAAAGTCACTACTTACGCTTTTAGAAGACAAAATAAGCAGACTAGCTTGTCTACAGGGGGTCCCATAGTCAACAGGAACCTGAAGTTTCTCAGAAGAGCTCTAAGTTATTTCACTGCATTATATGTAATTTACAATGCATTATCAATACATTTATGAGGCTTTTTTAATCTATTTAGTTATTTATGTAAACAATCTAGAGATGCTAGGCATTCAAAACAGCTTATAATAACTTTTCTAAGTGTTACAAAGATTAGTTATAACATTGGTGACACATGTTTCTATTTGAAAATTGCAGAGATTATAGTTTCTTTTAATCTCCATTACAGATTATGTTGTGGGAGTTACGTTTTATAAAACCCAGGAGTCAAATTGTGCGTTACAGTATTTTACATTATCAGTCATACCTTCATAATAAATGTCCATAATGACTTACTGTATAAGGGCTATTATACTATTACAGTAAGTACTAAGTTACAGTGTTTAAAAATTGACAAACAAATAATGAGGTATAAACAACTTTCATCACTCAAATGATGGCCAAAAGTAAAAGCTGTCAGTCTGGACCCTTAAAGGTGCATTGTGTAGGATTTGGCAGCATTAAATGGAACAGACATGGCAGAAATGGGATATGATAGTCAAAAGTAGTTTAAATCAGTGTACAAGAACCTGATTATAATAAACTGTTTTTGTTCCCTTTGAATGAGTTTTATTCACATTAGGAGTGAGTCCCCTTCCAACAACGCAGTACACTGTATTGCAGTCATATTACATAAATAACATACAGATTATTTGGTGTATGATCCTGCATCAAGCTGGCTTGAAGACATTGAGGAAGATAGTTGCTGTTGCTATGCGCAAAAAAAGGAGACCAGATAGAGATTTTAGATGACAAAACTTTCCTGACAAATGGAGAATCAAAATGCCTCACAGTGTCTTGTCCTTGAAGGCCACAGCTGCACCACTGACTGGGAGGGTGGGGGTCAGCAGGAGGGTATTTCAATCCAGAACCTGATGGAAATTTTCACATTTTAACACATTGTACTTTACATCTTTTTGGAAATAGTCTGACTACAGTTGTGCTAAACAAATTAGGGTCACATGACCTGCGCTGTCTTCTAATTGGTTTAATAATCAAGGTGCTCTGCTCACACTGACAGAGTCGTCTTTAGCTGCCCAGAGTATGTCTACTTTATATTTTACTGTTGTTGTGGTTCAGTGATGGTAATCCTACTTCAAGCTCTCCCCTTCAATTGAAATTGTGCTATTTCCGACTTCACTTGAATGCAGCACCCTATAGAACTGCCCCACCAGGAAGACGAAGAGAACTTGCGGATACGGTAAATACATGTACGAAAACTACAACATTAATCTATCATTACCGCTATAACAACAGTTGTGTGGGGAATTTGTTCTATCCAAGAGAGAAAAAGTATGGTCAGCCTGTTGAAATCGCTTCTGGTGTTAAGTTACCACTGGTGTTTTCATTCATTGCAAAATGATAGTAGCCGAACAAGGCAACACTTTAATTTTGGTATTTAACGTCTGTAAATCTATGATTAAAACATATCTTTATTTGTCATGAAACATTTTCATACTTTACGGTATTGTGATTTTAATTACCTCTAAACTTTGGTTACCAGTTATTCTGAAAATGATAGTAAAATCCTTTGGCAGTTTACTTTTGATTTGATAGTCTAAAAAAATACTTTTTAAAGATAAATTTAAGGAGACAGCTGTGAAAACATTGTTTGTCACGCAAAGACATTATAAACAGTAAAAAAAAGTCTCTTAACTCCTGTTAAATTATTATTAGGTCAACTCATGGTCAAATGTTACTCCATTATAAGTGAACTCTGCGCAGTGAGTGTATAACTTGTGTTGAAGTACTGGTACTATTGTAATCGCTTTTAGAAGTACTTAAATTAAAAAGAAAAGGTTCCCAAAAAAAAAATTTCAAGTTATGTACAGATACCCAAAATATAAATGAAGAACTTAAAGCTGGTGTGAGAAGTTTTACTTTGTTTTAAAACAGACCTAAGTCAGTACTGAACCTAAAAAGCAAACAAGACCATCAGTGAAATGTCTCAAATCGCTGATGGGGGGGTAGGGGTCAGACAAACTGGTTAACATAACCAAACTAGTCTTTTGTAATTTATCGTTCATGGCAAAGACTTTCAAAGAGTGCTGGTAAGAGTGGGAGTGTTTGTGAGAAGAATGACTTATAAACAAGGGGAAAAAAACAGCAGAGAATTAAGGGGGCACCATAATCAGCATAAAACCAAAGTTCCTTTAGGAAGCTTCAAGCAAATTAACAATGTAACTGTCCGCCCCTTTATCACCTACTTAGTTAGCCGTAGTTAAACAGCTGCAATATATACCAGTGAGTTTCAAACATCTCATAAACATTTGAATAAAAACTATGATTTTTCTTCACTGTATTTGAGAAAAAACATTTATGGCTCAGCAGATTTCTTAACAGTAATCTGGTTATTCCCTTTTTAGACTCTCTCAACTTCCAAAACAAGGAGGAGGAAAAGACCAAGAGTGGAAAGGACATTCTTTCATCTGTCTTTCCACAGGGGCAGTTTCAACATCTGTTTCCTAGAATGGACAGCCAGGAGGTGGGAGGTTTACTGGAAGAGTGTCTCAGAGCAGCAGCTGAGGCTCAGCCGTCCAACCAGCCAACAGAGGCGGAGAGGCTGAACTACTGCAGGTGTAGAGGTCAGACACAGGGTGGTGCTGTTGGGTCACTTTTCACTGCAGTATGACAGGAAGTAGGATGACCAAGGAGATTTAGAGATACCAGGAGTTGGAGTGAGTTTGGGGGGAATTTATTTTCTTTTTTCTAACCAATATTTTTCAGTATCACAAGTTAGGAAATAACTTTTAAAAATGCTGTTTTGTCCTTGATTTTGATGTCATATAATGCAAAAAGTGAAATTAGTGAAATCCTGCTAAACAAAAATGCATCACTGTCCCCCCAAAACTAAGTCTCATCGAGTTTGTACATGATAACTGATCCCTTTGTCCACTATCTGAAGAATTTTTTTATTTATTTTTATTTTTTTGCAAACTGCCTTGCACAAATAAGTCTCTGTTGATCAAGTCATTTAAAATGAAATAAGTTAAAACTTCCACAATTATATCTAGACCATAATGTTTTAACATATGCATCTTTTGGATTGATGAGGCTGCCCTGTGTTATTTACAGACTCCCTGTGTGAAGAGCTGGCCTCTCTCCTGCAGGAGGCGATAGAGATGAAGTGGCCATTCGTGCCGGAGAAGTGGCAGTACAAGAAGTCCGTGCTCGCTGATGACAAGACAAACCTCAGTGACCTCATCAGCAGACACATTTCAGAGCTGCTGGTAATAATCTGAATTCCTTCATTTATCAGATAATGCAGTTTTAAGAGATAGTTCAGTGTTCCTAGGTGGGGTTGGATGAGGTATTGTGTAATGGCCACAAGGGATCCTGGTTGAGAACTGAACTTAACCTTAGCTATCAACTGCTGCAGACAAAGCCATCTGTACCATGAAGTTTAGTAAATGTTAACACTGTTCTCAGTTATGTGAGCACTCTGTTAGATTTTTCTCAGCGCTTTATTTTGCCGTAAAAAGGCCTATTCGTGTTTGTACTTCTCTTTGGCATGTTCTGTTGTATCAGCTTGTCGAGTCACTGATATATTCTGAATTTTTACATTTTTGCATCTCATTCTGACAGTTTTTATACACTGTACGCCTAATTTTAAAGGAAGGGGCAAACCTAAGACCAAATTTGTTTTCACAACTCCTAACCACTCAACAAGGACTAGGCAAATTCAGCAACAGTAGGTACCAAATTGTCCACAGGGGCCGCCAAAGTCAACAAAGACTGAGTTGTAAATTAAGCCTAACAAGACATAATCACTTGCTTAGATTTTAGGTTTTTGCTTTGTGGTTTTTCACTGCCTGGTTGTATGATGAGAAAAGGTATCTGACTGTGGAGGGTTCATCTTTGGATCTGCAAGTTTTATGGCTTATAGACTTGTTTGCTTTTACATATCATGAAAAAGCATCAATATGAATTTCTGTCTACTTTGTAAATGTCAAAAAACACCTTACAGGAGCCTTAAGGGAGGAAGATGAATATTTACTTACTCTGTCAACTGCATTGCCAGAATGTTCTCAAGGTGTCCATCATGGCTCAGGATGCAATCATGGCTCTGGCAGTCATCTTTTTAGTTGACCGCTTCCTTTACTGGGTAGACGAATCCAGCCGGCTGCTGAAGATCACCAAACTTCTCCACAAACACCATCCTGACAGCCCTGTGGCCCCACAGCTGGTCATACGACAAGCCAGAGTCTCCTTTAACTCAGGTTCAGTATCATACACAGAACAGGTTTAAGCATGTAAAATTAAATGTTTTAATTGGAGATGTGTTGGGTTATTCAGGCAAACTGCAGAAGGCAGAATACATACTCAGCAGTCTTATAAACAACAGTGGAGCAACAGGTCAGTTCATTGTAGTTTTAATTGCATTTTACTGTTCATTTGAAAAACAAGTGAATGAAAAAGACTTTGTTTTGTCATCCAGGCTGTTGGGCGTACCGCTCTGACAGTGACCGCGCTCTTGTGCAGGCCACTAGTGTTCAAGTCCGGGGGATGATTCTGCAAAAGCTCGGTAAGATAATGATCCCAACTGATAAAACTGAGTTCCTCTCTGTCATGAATTAGTAACATGGTGGATTTGTGTCCTATTTCAGGCCTGTGGTTGGAGGCTGCAGAGCTCATTTGGGCGTCTCTGGTTGGTTACTACGCTCTTCCGCAACCTGATAAGAAGGTACAACAGAAATACTGTCACCACTGATACAACATAATGAGCTTATAAACATGCTCACCTCTGTTTATTCACAGCTGTAAACCTTTGCTCTACATGCTGTCCTATTTTTCAGGGCATTGGATCCTCTCTTGGTATACTTGCCAACACACTAGTGTCAATGAATGATGAAGACTTTAACACTTTTAAGAATAATCCAGATATTGATTTGGTGAGTACGGATGATACGTTGTATGCAGGGGTAAAGTAGGTCACTAAAATAAGTACATACAGAGTCATCAGTTACATAACCAGTCATGAGAAAAGGCTTTAAATTGGGGGTGCTGTATTTTGTTTTTGCCTGTCTATGGTGCAAGAACTGTTTTCTTTATTCATACAGTTTAAATTCAAACTTTTACTTATGAAACATTTTTTTATAACTTTACAGTCTAATATAATACAGGCCACTAGAAAAACCATAAACCCTGTTACACAGAAAAGAGGCTACAGGCCAAACCTAATGAAACCGGTTCAAAAGGATGGAGTGCAACAGTGAACAGAACAAATGCAACCCAATTTCTATGTTCACACACGCACACAGGACCCGGACATCAGGTGCACTGATGCATTAAGCAGGTGAACAAATTAATTACAGCCAGGTAGAAAAATCATGCCAGTTTTTCAACAATTTTACTTTGCACTGCACAGCAGACAACACAACCAAACATTTCTTAATGGGTCTGTTTGTATTGTGCACACCACCAACAACAACAGGTTTAGCTTTATACAGTATATGTGTACATTGTTAATCAATTTATTTATTTATCTAACCTTTAGTTTACCAGGAATAATCCCACTGAGATATAAAGTCTCTCCAGCATAAAGTTTTACACACAGTGCAAAACTAACAGACAGTAACCTTACCAAATTCAGTGATCAAAAATGATCAGCTTTCAGCAGGAATATGAGCATATACCCGCCAGATGACTCTTAATCCTGGTTTTAAAATCCTCTGGAATAATAAAATGACCCAGTCTATCCTACTGTGGATTTAGGGTCATGTGTAGATCTGATGTCAAGGTCAATTTGTTGATTGGTACTGCAGTAGTTCAGTGGTCTATGACTGGTTATGTTGTATATCACTGCTGTCATTTTATGTTTAATGGATATATCATTTATCTAATATCTTTTCTTCTTGCAGTCTTTACTTGGAGACAGCAGTCATCGTCTTCTGTCAGCAGCCCAGGCAGCCAAGATGGCAGTAATATACAGCCAGTACACATCACTCTATGTATTGACCCATGTGGTAGGTTCACAGAAGCCTGTATTTGAAATAAATGACACTGTATTGATTCCCAGCCCAACCATACTCATCAAACAACAAAAACAACACTAATAGTTGTGGGGAGAGAAGTCATCACATCCTGAGACTTTACCCAAGCTGCATTTGTTTTTTTCTTCTAACTCTGACATCTTTGTTTTCTTCAGACAACTCAAGGGACCTGCTTGTTGTCGTACAGTTTCTCAGTCCAGTGCCCTCCCTCTCAAAGGCAGTCTTACATTCAGAAGGCAAAGGAGTCTTTTGAGATTGGTCTGCTCACCAAAGCAGAGGACGAGCAGGTCTCAAGCAAGCAGGAACTCCACACTTTTGTCAAAGCAGCTTACTCCCTCACTGTCACCCACAAATGGCTCGGCACTCCTCGGGAGGTTGTCATGCAGGCAACTGAAGCTTGCCAAAAAGCTCTGGCAACTTTCTATCGTTACTGCCAGGCTGATACTAAAGAGAAAGATGGCCTCTGTGTGGAAATCATGCATCTGGTCAGCCAAGTCAAGCTTCTGTTTCAATTGGAACCGTTCCTTAATACAGACAAGGGGTCTTTTATCCCTGACAGCTACAGAAACATCACAGACACAGCAGTTAGTTTTACACTGGAAGATTTCACCAAGGTGATGCAGAAGTTCAAAAAGTATCATGCATCATTATGTGAGACGACTAACTCCAGCTGTAAGGGAAAAGGAGACAAGATAGATGGGGTAAGGCTCTGTATTACTGCACTGGGGACAACTGTTCCAAACACAGAGTGTACAACTGAGGCCTGCAGTGTGTCAGAAGATGCATCCAAACGAGGGGGAGCCAATTTATCTGCTGTCCACCTACCACCAGAGTCTGACCTTGGTACCACTCAAGAAAGCACAGACGAGCTGGGCTCCTCGTGGCAGAAATTCTCTTTGAGTGGTTCAGGGTCTCCTAGGTCAAGCAACAATGGCTGCATAGAAAGTCTTGCCATGAAAGCTCACACTCAAAGCTGTCTAACCACTGATGTTGATGACGAAGCAGTTCACAAGTCTGTGGAGAAAAACAGGAAGCAAGAGTTACAAAACAGTACTTCTGGTGTTGGTTCCCATACATTTCCAATCCCTGTCACTTCCTCAAACATCAGAAGTCATTTTAAGAAGTCTGAACTGATGCAAGCTGACATACAGACTCTGGAGACTGAGGATGTGATGGCTGATATCGATGGTGTGCCGCCAAAGCCGCCATCAGTAGGTGAAGGAGCAGTACAATCCCTATCTCAGCTAACACTCAGAACCTCCTCCAGCTCCTTGGGAGACAGCTTTGGCTCCCAATCATCCTGGGAAAAAATCTCACTTGACCTAAACTCCCCCACAAGCAGAAAACTTCAGCCACATAGCCAGTCCAAGATACCAGAGTCCCATGAGAGCATCTTCCACTTGGAAACTCTCGAAACTGAAAACTCTGATTCTGACTCAGCTCTTGGTCTTAAGCACAAAACTTGTACATCTGGAGTGGAATCTGAAGCGTTATCCAAGCCAAGATCTCTGAGGAGCCGTTATGTCGACCAAGACATGGACACCCAAGTTGACTGTGAACCTTTTGAACCTGTTTCTAATAACTCATTTCAAAAACACCCCCAAAGGGCTCCATGTACTTCCACTGAAGCTTCCACTGAGAGTTCGTTTGAGATTCTGGATGAGAATCACAGCAGACACCAAAGCAGTGAAGAAAATGTGAATGTCCCTCTGAGTAAGAACCTCTCGTGCTACATGTGCCTAAAGCAGAGCAGCAGCAGTATTGATCCTGAGAGACAGTATGTGTTGTCACAGCAGGACTACCAAGCCCTGCTGGCTGGAGTTTGCTATGGATGTCTGCTCAAGAGACTGCAAAGTGACAAGACACGATTTCAGCTCAAAAACCACAACACTGCCTACTGTAAGTTTTTATTTCCATTGCTGCCATTACATGATTCATCCAAGCTTACCTAGAGATGATGATTGAGGGCACTGTCCATACTAACAGATAACCTTACAAAGGCGAGCTTTCAGGGGAAAGACTCTCGTTGTCATGGCAACATCTCTTAGCATGAATAAAACTGTGATTGAAGTCACAGAGGTTACTCTGCTCTTGGAGATGCCTGTGACCTGTAGCTTAACCCAGCAGACCTCAGTGTAATCATACCCTTGTTTGATCAGCTGGTCAAACTTTGCAAGTATTTAAAGGGATATTCCGGCGTAAATTTAAGTTATGGTCAAACACACTGTAACACCAAGTTAGACACCCCCTCGAGAGATGAATGTTGCCGACCGCTTGCTTCTCTATTTAAACCAACTTTTTTAATGGCTGCACGGTAGCAATACTCAGCGGTCTATGTCTCCACACGCAAACCTCAACCAAAAAGCCACTCCGTAGCCACAAATAATGCTCAGAACAGCACCTAACTTCATCAACAGTACATTTAGGGTCCCAGCCATGTGAGTCATGTGAGTGTTGTGTGGTGGTGGTCGGAGAGGCCGTAGGCGCAAAATGGCAGCCACGTTTCCGTCAGTTTGCCCCAGGGCAGCTGTGACTACTAAGGTAGTTTACCACCACCAAAAGTGTGACTGTGTGAGCGAATGAATGATGTATCCAATGTAAAGCGCTCCGAGGGTCTCTGATAAAGCGTTATATGAAATCTGATGCATTATTATTATTATTATTACTAGCCACCAAACATCTTTTTAGCTTTAGGTTTCTTTAGCAAAGAGACCAAACACAACTCACCCACTCTCCTCCAGTAGTCACTTGTTTGTGGGGGAGCCCTGATGAGTCGATCACAGTGGATAATCATCATAATAATTGTTTTGCACTGCAGACACGGTAGTTTTTCTGCCATAGCGTCTCAGTCTAAATGCATTTCCATGAGGTGGAAGCAATCATAAATGTTCTTCCTTGAGCTGTGAAACTCCGCTTGCACTCAGTGATCAACTCGTCAGGGCTCCCCCACAAACAAGTGGCTGCTGGAGGAGAGTGGGTGAGTTATGTTTGGTGAGTTGCGTTTGGTTGTTGCTGAAGTTGTTATAATTAGAAAAGCAAGCATTCAGCAACATTCATCTCTTGAGGGGGTGTCTAACTCAGTGTTACGGTGTGTTTGACCATAACTTAAATTTACTTCGGAATATCCATTTAAGTTAAAATGTTCCCAAGCTTCCTGCTAATATCTGGATATTATCATTATTAGGTGCTCTTCATTTAAAGTTCTCCAAAGCCACAGGGCTGTGGACCGCCAGAGAGACCTGCATCTACATCGGGGAGTCAATGATGATGGAAGGCCAGCAGAGAACAGCAATATGGGTACAGTTTTTACACCAAGAGGAAAGGTTGAGCAGGTACGTACTGTAAATACAGATGCAGTTTAAAAAAGTGAAATACTCCATAGATTCCCTGTGATTTCCCTGCTTACTTGGATGTCTGTGTTCTCAGTTACGTGGGTAAAGATTACAAGAAGCCAAAGCAGATCCAGTTTCACCTGAAAGACGTGGAAAGACAGATGACAGCCCAGTATTACGTGACTGAGTTCAACAAGAGCCTCTACGACAAGGAAGTCATGGCTCAGATCTTCTTCATCCCCTCAGAGGCAATACTGGTGAGAGCAAATCCAAGAGATTAAAATGAGCAGGAAAAACAAAATGACTGCTCTGAGATTTGACTTCAGCCAGGGAAAGTAGCAGACATCAAATCCAGATTTAAACTGACACACGTAAATACCTCTTAAATAGGTCTCCCTACACTCGACACTTAATCTAGTAATACTTGAGATGGCAGAGTGCAGGATTGCCTACAGCAACCCTGAAGCACTCTTTGAGACTTTCAAATATAATCCGTCCTCCAGCTGTCAGTTTAAAGTAAGAAATACTCTCATTTAAGTGGTTAGGCCAACATTTTAATGATTATTCATATCTTTGTGGTGAACACAGTCAACTGTCTTGGGATTTCCTGAAATAACAGGGACAAGACCTCAAAGTCTAACTAAAAAAAACACAATCTAACACATCTCACACCATATTTACACAGCTATATCAATTAAATACTCATGCACAGACAGGCTTATAATAATAATAATACCTATTTATTCATATAGCACTTTTAAAATCAACAGTTTACAAAGTGCTTTAACATGCAGGAAAACAAATATAAAAACAACAGAACAACAGAAGACTTCGGGGAAAGAGCCTAGACAAGACTAAAATCCAGACTACAAGTCCTAATGTGATATTATTGGCAATAAAGAAATAAAATAATTTAAAATAAAAATCGGTGGAAGACACAAAAGCTTTGATGAGTGTCACATGAGCTGAGACGTCATTAAAGCGAAGACATAAGAACCTGTGATACCCAGCCAACACAGGAACCCAATTACAAAAACCTGAGACCAAGGGGGTGATTATAAAACATGAATAGGAAGCATAAAAGGTTTTAAAGAAGACAAAATCACATAAAAGCAAGTCTTAAAAAGTTTTAAGACGGGTTTTAAAAGCAGTGACTGTTTCTGCACACCTGATCTCCTTAGGGAGGTCGTTCCAAAGTCGAGGGGCCCTGATGGAAAAGGCCCCGTCACCTTCAGTTACAAGTCTCAACTTTGGAACAACCAGGAGGCCCCTACCTGAGGATCTCAGGGTGTGGGCTGGCTCATAGGGTTTTAAAAGTTCTGACATATAGATTGGAGCCAGTTTATCAAACACAGGATAAGATGTTAATTCCTTTGTGCGAGCACATACCTAAGAGTGATGAATGGTAGAACATCTTCTTGTCGTCTTGGTGATGAATGATGGAGAATGGGAACTGGATACGCATCATCAGTAGTGTAGCCTTGGTTCCTGGGATGTTTCGGCCTCCACACTATACACCCTCCCCAAGGTGGCCAGCTACAGGCTGATCAGACCTGTGCTTGCGTGAGTCCAGACTCGTCACGAGATAGATGGTACCTTCTCTCGTGGGACTATGCAAGGCAGGGGCGTCCTACTCCCTGAGTCAAGCCGAAGCTGACCGCATACCTGAAGGCTTGCTAGTTCGGGGCCCAACAGGGGTCCTTCCGCCTCATGAAAAGCCACTGGCTGCTTCTTTCAGCTGCCTCCGATGTAGCTTTGATGGCTGAAGGCTGGTTCTGGCCTCTGACTCCCAGGTCAGCAAACAGTCTGGTGGTAGATCTTGCCACAAATCCTCTACATCCCACCTCCACTGGGCGGACTTCAGCACTCCAGCCACGGTGTTGTGCTTCAGCAGCGAGATCGGCGTAGCGTAGGTGTTTTCGCTCATACGCCTCATCCACTGCGTCCTCCCAGGGTACTGTGAGCTCGATGATGTACACCTTCTTTAGGGAAGGGGACCACAGCACCAGGTCAGGTCTCAGGGTGGTTGTAGCAATTTCTGGAGGAAAAACCAGCTGTCGGCCAATATCAGCCATCATCCTCCAGTCACGGGCTAGGCGTAGCTGGCCTCGCTCAGATGGTGTGAAGCAGCTTCTGGCTACCTTAGCCCCCTCACGGACAAAGGTAGTTGCCGGTTGTTGGTTGGATGCTGGTGGTGGTAGGGAGTTGGTGGCAGCTCGTTTGTCCTCTAGAGTGGATGCAAGGACCTTTAGGACCTGGTTGTGACACCATGTATACCGTCCTTGGGTGAGACTGGTTTTACACCCTGTGAGAATGTGTCTGAGGGTGGCTGGCATGGAACATAGGGCACACCTCGAGACCCTTTACTCAAAGTAATGAGTAAAATCTCAAAATCAATTCTAAAACCAACTGGAAGCCAATGTAAAGACGCTAAAACAGGGGTAATGTGATGTCGTCTGTTAAAACCAGTTAGAAGCCTAGCTGCTGCATTCTGGACAAGTTGGAGGCGGGAAAGAGATTTTTGCGTAATACAAGAAAGAAGTGAGTTATAGTAATCTAGGCGGGAGAAGATGAGGGCATGAAGGACTTCTTTTTATATATATATAACGTGATATAATTTTCCTTCCTTTATATGTTTTTGTCCATAGATTTTGGATGGAAATGAGGTTGTAGGCTGTGTAACAGTGGAGCCCTACATGCTGGGAGACTTCGTCAAACTGACCAATAACACCAGAAAAAAGGACAAGAGGTTCAAGGCGACAGAGTACGGCCTTGCCTTTGGACACTTTACCTACTTGTTTTCTGGCTGTCAGGAAGTGGTTGTTGACTTGCAAGGTACACACACCTCTCTCAGTGGCATTGGCCTGCCACTGTCATGGAAATATCACTGTATTTTAACTGTCTTTTCACTGTGCATGAGATTGTTTCTGTCTTCATTGTTGTGTCTTCTACATACTCTATTTTCCAGGGTGGGTGACAGCCAACGGCAAAGGGTTGACCTACCTCACAGACCCCCAGATTCACTCCACAAAGACCCCCAAAGGGCCCTCAAACTTTGCTGCCAGTGGCCTCAGGTGCTTCCTGGAGGAGCAACATGGACCAGAATGCAATGACATCTGTCAGCTGCTTAAACTTCCCACAGTCGTCGGACAGCCACTTATTCTGACGTAGGAAATTTGGAAATGTAATATAACTCAACTTGAGAGTTGTTGTGATGACGCTCTGCTCAAACAGCATATCCCCTGGATGAGCTACGTAATCTTCGTACGCCCATAGGCTGTATAAAGTGTCAATCATAGAAAACATGAACTGCACATGGAGCTGCACAGAAAAAAGAGGACTTGAACACAAACCAGTGTTATAAAAACTACATGTCAACATCGCAACCAGCAGGGAGAAAAATTTATATTCTGTGTAATTAATTTCAAATGTTTGTCCACGGCTCCATAGGGATTTCTGGAGGAGGCGGGATTTATGACCTATACTGCAGCCTGTCACCAGAGGGTGCTGTTCTCGCAGTGGCTTTACCCAGTGCAAATAGCATCCATTCTATGTACAGTCTATGATTGAAAACTATTCAGTGTAACATTTTCACCAACCCCCTCACAGCGAAAGAATGATGAAGACCAGCCTGTTCTTCCTGTCAACATGCACTTAACATGTATACTTGTGGGCTCGCACGCCAACTTGATACATGTGCAGAACATATTGACACGTGTAAGTTCAGATAATGATGTTTTTTCTATACAAGCACACAACAGTTTTTAAAGTTTTAGAGAGCTTTTCAGCAATGTTTAATTCAGAAAAGCTACATTTTCGAAAACACCTCTTTATGAGTGGACTCTGTCTAATGAGCCATAACTTGCAGGTTCTCTTTACTTAATCCTAGTCCACATGTAAGGTGGATATTTTATGAAAACAAAGATTTTTTAGTGTGTTTTACCCTTTTTATTACACATGCAAATGGAGTTGTAGGTCACTGAAAACAGAAGTTTTCAGATTTTCAATTCAGATTTTTCAAAATTCAATTATCTGTGTGTTCATATGGACAGCATGAATAAAAGATTTTGAAGAAGTCGATGTCATTACTCCAGCTTCTGCATGGAAACTGTTTATATGTATGTTCTTGCACGTGTTCAGCTAGAACAGCGAGTTTTTCCTGTAAAGATGCAATAGACAGCGTATCAGTGCGAAGACAAAGACGTAGATCTAACTCTATACCTTGTCATTCAACACTTCAATAAACAGCACAGAAAACACGTGCACACAGTGTTCTTTTGTGGTGTTTAAGGCATGCTTATGTAAGAACTTTGACTGTTTATGTACAAAAAACAGAGGCTAACCTACATTTTCAAAATCCTCACCTACACCCGGATAATGTCAAAATATCCCTTACATAGAGAAAATAAATCATCAGAAAGTTAACCCTTAAAAATAAAAATAAAAACACTCAAAAGCAAGGTGATCAACAGGGATTGAGAGAAACACAAGATAGCAACAAACTACAAAATGTTGAGGAAGTCATGTTGGCAGGGTTTATGGTGTTTCTACAGATTTACACACCCCTACACAACAAGATATAACACTGACTGACCTTCATATTACCTCAGATGGTGAGAAAATAATTCTAAACTGAACATCAGAGTATGTTGCTTTTATACTAACATGTATTTGATTTATTAAATAATAATAATAATGCATCAGATTTCATATAGCGCTTTATCAGAGACCCTCAAAGCGCTTTACATTGGATACATCATTCATTCGCTCACACAGTCACACTTTGGTGGTGGTGGAAACGTGGCTGCCATTCTGCGCCTACGGCCTCTCCGACCACCACCACACAACACTCACAATCATACACCAGTGGAGGACACACACTGGGAGCATGGTGGGTTAAGTGTCTTGCCCAAGGACACAACGGACAGACTTGGATTAGGGGGAATCGAACCGCCATATATTTGATTTATTAAAGTTACTTCTGTCAAAGTCTTGATTGTTTTTTCTTGAACGTTTTTGAATTTTATGTCTTCATCTCTTTGACGGTGTGACTGGATTGATGTTTAACTGCATCTAGTTTTCCTAAATCACCTGATAGGAGGATGAAAAAGTATAAAGGTTATCCTGGTTATCCAGTGAAACTCTAAGGTGAGTTTTTTATGTTGAATTATTAAACCTCTGATGTTGAAGCATGGTCATGTCTGGTGGATATCAAACAATAAACTATTTTCTTTTAACAGGGTTTCTGCAGGTTTCAACAAGTCAAATTAAAGACTTTAAGATCAAAATGAATCCAATTTAAGATCCATTTTAAATCCAAACTGGCAAAAAAGTACAAAAGACATGAAGGAAATTTGCAACATTTTGAACTAACTTCAAATCAATCTTTATTTGTAAGTAACATCAATTCATTTTTAAGACTTTTTAATTTTGTATTTAAGACATTTTATGAGGTTTTAAGAGCATTTTAGACATTTTAAGGCCTAATTTCAAATTATTGGATTTTAGACGTTTTAAGACTTTTTAAGGCCCAACAGAAACCTTGTTTTAAACTCTGGGGGGAAAAAAACTATCACAGAAAAGTCAAAAGTATCAACAGTTTTTTTTTTCTACATTCAAACCACTCACATGATGCTCATCATGCGACCGAGCATTAATGTAACCACCTATTGAATCAGCGTAACCAGTGATCGCCTTCGTAACAACAAAGCTTTAACACTGAAATCAATGGCTATGAGAAAAGCCTGTTGGCACAGTGAATGCAGAGGTGTACAGAATGTAAGTGAGAGTCAGGTGCTTTGTCATTTAGCTGCACATCATATGACAGTGATGTCATCCACTGAAACATAACACCACGTGAGTTCTGCTTTCTGCACAAATACACCTCTGAGTTTACTAAGAACAAACACTTGTCTTCACTGCTGGCCTGCTGTGCACGAATAAATACATCACACAGACTTTTTTTTTGAAGAGAAATTATCCCCAAGAAACCTTAACCCTGTAGTTGGTAGTAAAGAGGCTCAAGTTTACTTCCTTTATTGTGGCCTGTTGACCTGACATTGACTTTTATGACACCTGCAGGATTAAAAATAAAACCACAAGGCAGAGTTCACACCTGAGGACAGGGGGCTGCATATATAAGAAAGTGATTCCACTTCACAGCAGCAGAGTCTGTTGCTGCTGAAACAGAAAATATGAAACTCTTTATGGCATTTGCATTCCTCCTGGCAGGCTGCATGGCCCAGAAGCCTCACCCATGCAGTAAGTGAACAGAGATAAAGAGAGGGAAATAATTGGGATTTTTATTCTTTTGTAATTGCATGCTATCTTAGGAGTCAGTTTGTGTTTGCAATGTCAGATTCTGTGTTTTAATTGAAAGCATCTTTTTCCGAATCACAGAAAGTCCTCCTCTGCTGACCGGGGGACTCTCCATGGTAAGTGCTGCCTGTTTTGTGAGCATGATGATAAAGCCACAGAAATCCTGATGAGAATATGTTAAAGAGGCAGATTTGTTATTCTTTTTACAGATGACACAGACTGAAGAGCTGTTTGTCTATGCCAAGTTCCTGTACGATGCACTTGGAGAGCGAATACGGGTGTTTGAGATCGTCACGTTGGATAATAAGACGGTCACTCAGGATATTCTTTTGCACTACAGAGAGGTGACTAAAGAAATTACATGTTATTTATCAAGATATATTTACACTACAAAGTAAAAATGTATGAGTAATAAACTTGATAGATACATTTTGTCCTCTATTTCTGTTTTTTTCAAAATGAATACAATTTAAGATCCATTTAAGGTCCATACCGGCAAAAAAGTACAAAAGACATGAAGGGAAATTGGAACCTTTTTAAACTCACTTCAAATCAATCTTTATTTGTTAGTAACATCAATTCATTTTTAAGACCTTTCAACTTTGTATTTAAGTCATTTCATGAGCCTCTAAGACAACTTGAGACATTTTAAGGCCTTAAATACAAATTATTGGAATTTAGACGTTTTAAGACTTTTTAAGGCCCAGCAGAAACCCTGTAAAATAACACCAATATGGATTCAGTCTATTTTATAGAAATCAAAAGCTTTTTTTTTTTACAAGCATAGGCTACAATAAGGACTAAATCCAGTAATAGAAGCAACAAGAGTTGCCTGTTGCCAAATTTCAGTACAAAGTGTTACTGCTTTTATTTTTTATTGTGTCCAACACCAAGAAAATTCCAAGGTAACCTCCTTATAAACTTTATGTGAGCTCTGCAAATTATTCACATGACAAGTAGGTCTTTTGGTCATCACAGCAAAACCATAAACTTTGACAGACAGACACTTCCAATTATCTGTCTGACACAACTGAAGTCAGCGTGAAGAAATTTTTAAATGTCAGTACTTTTTTGCTCTTGAAGGTTATGACCTAATACTCTGTGGCCATGATCTTTAGGTCTCTAACACTTAACATGTTTTAAAAAAAAACCTTGAACTGATCCTGTGACTTCAATCCAACAGCAAGTCATGTATGAGATCCACGACCATAACCGTACCTGCAAGAAAAGTCCTCTCAAGGTGGACTTTGTGCCCTTGGGTGTCCCAGGAGATGCAACTTTGCTGGCCCAAAGTGTCTTGGGTGACTCATCTAGACCTGGGGAGGGACTCCTGGTCAATTCCTGGAAGGGGAAGATTCCCACAGGAGGTCAGAGAGCTTTTAATCATTACAAATGTCTCAACTAATAACTGTTCAATCCTAATTTGTTCACTTTTCTTAAACTCTGACTCTGCAGAAAGGATGATGATCACAGTGACTGCATTTGGATGCGTTCCGATCAGCTTTTCACAACAGACCAAAGAGTACGGATGGCTGTTGACAAGGTCAGTATACATTAACGTAATGTTTTAACAAGGTTGAAACTTAAATATTACTAAGACTATGGACACAGCTAGTATGATATCAGAGAAAGACTTTCTTCATAGAGGTTTGACTGTTTTGTCTGTTCACCAGCTACTTTGACAACGTCATTGGGATAACAGATCCTGAACTGCTCAACCCCCCATCCTACTGCCCCAAAGATGGCACAATGACTGATGAGAAGCCGGCTGACCTGCTCCGCCTGCTGTTTGGAAAGAATTAGAGCATCCTTCATGAAAGTTTTTAAATAAATAAAACTGAACCGCTTCATCAAAGCTCTGACATGTTTTTTAAACATCACTCCTACAGACAACATTTCCAGTCCACAGCATTATGAATGCTCTCACAAGAATAAATGGAATATGCATAATATGAAGGGATTAAGAGGCTTCACAACTGTGAGCTTTTACAGTTTGCAAACAAATTACTTTTTTTTTCACTCCATGATGATCAGTTATCTCTGCTTTGCATACAAATAGGCTGCCTGACTTCAGTTCTCCTGCAGGAATGATTACCCTTACCAAGAAAAAGTATACCTCAAGTACATTTTATGAAGTATGCTGAAGTTCATTTTAGTATACTTATACAAAGATTCTTCCAGTGTACTTACAAGTAAACTTCTTGGGACTAAATTGGCCCAATTTTAGTTTATCAAAGTACACTTGAAGCATACTTGAAAGTTAACTTCCTGGTATACTATTAGTTTGTAGTCATAAACTTCTAGTCCACTTTTTAGTTTATAAAAGAACACTCTGAAGCATACCCTTAAATGGGTTGGCCATTGGGCAATATGTGTGGGGGGGCACATGGTCAGAGCAGGAATCAAACCTATGACTACAGCGGGGACCACAGTCCTTAAGATGGGGTGTGCCTTAGTCCACTTGGCTATCTGCGCGCTGACTCTGAGGCACAATTAAAATTACCTTTTGGTGTGCTATTATTGTATTAGTAGTACATACAGTATTTGTATGTACTATACTTTATATTACAGTATAGTACTTGGCTTGTACTGCTTATCTTTTGTAAGAGTATACTATTTGAGTATACTCTTAAAAAAAAAGATATATGGAAGTTTTCACTGACAAAGTATAATTAAACCTAAGGCACAAATACATACTTGAGTATAACTTGGTTAAAAGTTTTTGTATAAGTATAGGTAAAATATATTTAGGCTTCAAGTAAAATTCTCAGTACAAATCAAGTATACGTAACATTAACTTTGCTCAATATATCTCTGAAAAGTGCATAATAATAAACTGAAAGCATACTTAGTTTAAAAACAGTATACCAGAAGTACACGTCAACATACTTCTTTTTGGTATCAGGGTAGCGAAGCGATTTTTTTAATTATTAATAATTAAATTAAATACCTGTTATATGCTCAAATTTAAACATGTCTGCTTTACATGCACTTTTCAATGCCAAGTGTCCAGAGGAAGGCGAATGAAGAAGCACAGCAGTTGATTCCTAAATTATCCCTTTCATGATTATTTTTCTTAATAGAAACAAAGATTAAGATATACTCTGAGTAGAAAATCAAAAAGAATTTTCTTGGACTAAAATATCTGTTAGAGTTAATGAAAGTGTAAAGAATGAGGAACAACCATTTGACCAATATCTATCCTGACCAAAGTGATCATCACATGATATTCCATACCACTGAATATTAAAAGTGTGGTTTGTTAGAGGTTTAAATTACTGCAGAGGAGGCAGAAATCACTGTGAAAGAAGTCATGGTCTGAACAAAGGCAAGACTGGAGATGCTGACTTCACTGGACTTCCCATCAATGTAGAGATAGTTTAAGAGCTGTGGTGACCTTAAATCCCCCTGTCAAACAAACTGTCACCCTAATCAGGCCAGATTATGTACAGCTCTTTAGTCCCAATGTAATTGTTTATAAAGGGGAAACTGAACCACTGCAGCAGAGAAGCTCAGAGAGACCAAGAAAACCCTCCTGAACCCAAGAAAAAAAAAACAAAACAGATGATTTAAGAGAGAAACACAGACCAACAACCGTCTCAGACTATAGTGGTGAGGAAATCATGAAGACTGGCTTTTATGGTGCCTCTGCAGACTCACACACCCCGACACAACAAAAGAAAGCCCTGAATGAACTTGTCACTGCCTAATGATGAGATAATGAGAATTAAACCTCTGTCTTCTCACTCTGTGGCTGGATTGATGTTTGACAGGATTTATCTTCACATGAATCACCTGATGGAGGGCGTATAAGGTGAGGTTTGAAGGTCATCCTCAGGCGCATGAGGGCAGTCCAGAGCAGACCCTACTTAGCCTGGTTTTCACGGATCTATTAAATAAGTAATTTCCTTGTCCCTTTTTTCTTGAGTGCCTCCTTCAGCTATGGGGAAGTAAAAACATAGGTCCAAAGGTCCAAACTTTTAACAGACCAGATTTGTGGATGTGAATAGTATCCTTAGGATTGATAGATAGGATGGTAACATGGTGTAGGTTGTTACCATATTCATTAGTTGTTACCGCAACTAATGAATATCTAGATGCCTAATGATTCTGCCCTGGTGACCACCATTGCTCATGCAGACCCCTCATCCTTTTGACCCTTACATGCCTCAGCTATTTCTTAATTTAATCTGGCTCTCTGTCTTCAACACTTCGACTGCACTTTGGTGACATAGTTAAACCTACCCTAATATTTTTACACCAATCTTTAACAACTGACAGCTGTGTCCACTCGTTTACTTACTCATTTTCCCAAATGACCCCAACCTATTGACACACTTACATCTCATATGTGACTAACTTAGCAGTCCTTTTCCTGTATCACTTTGACATGTTGAGTTTCCGTATCTGCACGTCTTCAAAACATTTCATGGGATATCTCACCCCATGCTCGAACCTTCAGCTCTTCCCTCTTGCTTATTTTAAACTGATTTGATTTTGCAGGTGACTTTTATGTCCATTTGAACATCTTTTGAACCCCTGATAGTCTGATGTGGTGAATATTTATTAAGTAACAATCGTTTTTATTTAAATCGATCAACTGAGGAAATGTCTTTGTAAAGCAATTTTCATGGATTACTAGTGTAACTAAATTGCTGTATATAAACACAAATAGAAGTAAAATAATAGGCTCACACAATATAATAAAGAATAACAGAAATATCCAATGACCCCTGTCACCATCAAAATACATGACAAAGCACATATCATAAATAACAGTGTCAATAAAACATGAAGTGAAAAACTGCTGAGAGTCTACCACAAGATCTTAATGAGGAACAATAAAAGTTGAATAAAATGCAAAAAACTAAAGATAAAAGAATAAAAAAACAAAATACAGATCCAAGACTGAAGGAGAATTCATATAATTCAACTGGGATCAGGCTCTGAAAACTGAAGTTTAAAGGAGAGTTGTGCAAATAAAACACCAAAGTTTGTTATCAAGGCTGGGGGGAAAAAAATCACCTGACTTTTTCTCCTTTTACCTACTCACATGATGCTCATCATGTGACTGAGCATGGACGCCATCACCTATTTGGGTTAGAGAACTACTGATTAGCTGAGTGATTAAAATAAAAGGAGTGTGTTTGCACTGGAATCAATAATATCAAAACATTGAGAGTCAAAATGAATCATAGGCTATTACAAAAGCGAAGTGAAGTGAAGGCAGAGGTGTACAGAGTCTAAGTGAGAGTCAGGTGCTATTAGTGCAGTGTCATTCACCTGCACATCATATGACTGTGATGTCATCCACTGAAACATGACACCATGTGAGCTCCTCTGCTTTCTGCATCAAACACCCCTGAGTTTACTGAGAACAAACATTTTTCTTTCATTGTACACAAATACACCAGCCTTTGTGAGTGTGTTCAACACTATGAAACTTTGACCCTGCAGTGTGAAGAAAAGAATTCACTACTCTTAAAGAGACTAAACTAGTCCACCTTAAATCTTGTCCTGACAACTGGACATTGACTTTTATGATGCCCACAGGATTAGACATAAAACCAGAAGGCAGAGCTGACTGCCTTTATAGGACAGTGATTCCACTTCACAGCAGAAAGTCTGTCACCCCTCAAAAACAAAAATCATGAATCTCTTTGTGGTTTTTGCGTGCCTGCTGGCAGGCTGCCTGGCCCAGAAGCCTCACCCATGCAGTAAGTATATATTTACATAGAAGATAACAGAGGAGCATGATTTGAATTTTTGTCTTTTGTACTTGCATGTTTTCTAATCGAACAAACATCTGACTAAGCAATGGTTTCTGTCGCAGTGATCAGGTGCATTTAACGCTATTTTTCTTTGGTAAACGCTGAGTTGTAATTTAAAGCATCTTCTTCCAAATCCCAGAGAGTCCTCCTCTGCTGACCGGGGCAGTCACCACTGTAAGAGTTTATTGTTTTCAATTTTTTTCTAATGCCCAATAATAATATGTTAGAAAAAAAAGAGATTTGACCTAAGCCCGTTCCTGTAGACCTCGCAGAATGAAAAACTCTTCATCATGGGCAAATACCTGTATGATGCGCTAGGAGAGAGGATTCGGCTCCAAGAACTTGTCACCTTGGACAACCAGACTGCCAGCCTTGATATTCTTCTGCACTATAAACAGGTGAAAGCATCAATCACATGACCATAATTATGATTAATTAAGAATGATGAGGGTAGTCCTCGGCCTTGGTGGCATCAAAGCTGGACACATGGCCCAGTTTTTGTTCTTGTGATAACCCCGAAAACACCCCAAACTAAACCCACAATTTAAACCCAACAGCGAGTCATTTACGAGATCAATGACAATGACCGTACCTGCAAGAAAATCCCTCTAAAGGCAGAATTCATGCCCTTCGGGGTCCCAGATGGTGCAACTTTTGTGGCCCAGAATGTCTTGGGTGACTCATCCAAACCCGGAGACGGACTACTGGTCAACACGTGGACGGGGAATATGCCAAGCAAAGCAGGTAAAGGAGCAGGTAATCATTAGAGATGACTTAGAGACTTATTATTCATCCTATAATAATTATTTCATGTGATCTTCAACTCTACAGAAAAGTTCCTGACCACGGTTACTGAATTTGGATGCATTCCCATCACCTTTTCGTACCAGACCAAGCAGTATGGATGGCTGTGGACATAGTAACTTCTTTTATTTACAAAAATCTCCTTTCAATAGTACAAAAAAGTGGACACAGCCTTTGTAACATTACCCATGAGTTTTGGGAATTTCTGCTTAATTTAGACAGGAAGGTGGATATGTATTGTCAGGTTTCTGTAATTGTTAACAGGTACTGTCAATCAACTTTATAACCGTCTTTAAAGTTGGCGTCACTTTTAATAAGACCATTATTAACCTAAACAAAGAGCATTAGCGTTACATTCTGTTACCGGTAATTACGTCCACTTCTTTGAAACAGCCTCCACACAGGTTTGACTTTTAGGCCCTAAAATTCAATCTTTGTCTCTCTCTTTACCAGCTACTTTGACAACGTCATCGGGATAACGGACCCCAATCTGCTCAATCCTCCATCCTACTGCCCAGATGAAGACACGATGACTGACGAGGAGCCAGTTGGCTTCTTCAACTTGTTTCTTTAATGGCATTCAGGGGCTAATGTGTCCAACCTGCTCTGAGTTTTTTTTTTTTTAACAAATTAAACTGAAGCCAGTGAATCAAAGTCCTACCAAGTTTTTAACAACTCCATTCCTACATTAATCATAATGAGAATTCATTACACTGTCATATTGAGATTCCAGTTATTGAAAACAACACTACTGGGGCCATCAGGGTCTTCTACTGTGGTGTAATAAAGATCAAATATCTGACTTGATGTGTTTCTAGATGGAGCCTTACAAATAGCGGCATTAGCAGCTCATCAACATTTCTGTTTCTTCCATCATCATTAATCAAACCATGTTGAATATTTATTTATCCTTTTATCATCAAAGTTGTGTCATGCTAAAGAAAAATCACATGGAGGAAACAACTCTAATAAGTAAAGAGGCATAAAGAGGGCATTTAGGAGAGGTTGAGTAGGTCAGGAGTCAAAATGGGAGAGGTACACCACTCTATGAGAGACTCTGTAAACAAATTCTTCAGAAATACCTAAATAAATGCTCAAAATATTTAGAGATTTTATTATCAACAGAGTGTAACATCACCAGAATATCCAGAGAATCTAAGGATGTCCATGTGCATCAGGGACAAGGCAGGAAACTAATACAGTTTGGCCATAATCGTCAAACTCTGCAGTAGAATTCACTGCATAACCTAAAAATCACCTCCATAAACCACCAACTGTGAGCACAGTTCATTTACAAATGACTGCGAAACTGTACCACACAAAGAGGGAACTAAATATAAACATGATGCAAAAACTCTGGGAACTTCTTCTCTGGGCCTGAGACCATTTCATATGGACTGAGGAGCACTGAAAAACTTCCTTTGGGAAATCATCACCACACCTCATCATCTGCTCTGAAGAGGAGGGTGGACTGGCTGCAAAGAATTGAGGTTTTCAACATCTTAATACTGCAGACAGATTAAAACAATCTGAAGAAAACAGACAAGGCATAAACCAAAACTGTGTGGCCGTGATCTTCAGGCCTGCAGGAGGTGCTGCAGACATGACTGACATCCTTTGGCCGAACTGATTCCTGTACACTGTACATCTCCCTTTAAAATCAGCTTCCCACACCCCCGTCCACTGCTTTTTATCAACGATTTGACCCACATACGTGTTGTGTCCATGAATATGGCAAAAGAAAATGGACTCTCTGATGGCAAATTAGTCCTGAAACATTTCTCAATGGAGAATTGCCTTAACTGCTTGGGTCAGGGGCTCTCAGAATAAGCTGAATTTTATCACAGTCTGGACCCCATCTATAGAAAGCTGTAGCCTGTCTAGTTCCAGCAGTTTCTCAAGAAAGGGGCAGAACTGACTAGGCTAGTACACTTACTAGTAACATGTAACTCTCTTCAAAATTAATGTAATAGTCCTCTAAGGTGGGTCTACCATTAATATGCTGTTCCTGAAAATAGTAACCATGCATTATCGCTCACACTGTAACCAGTAGTCTCTATGGGCTGGATTTACTGTTGTCTGTTTCCATCATTGACACTGTATATGAGGACACTATGATAACCAACATAGCCCTTAAGTCAGCAATAGGGTTATTCTGCTACGTTGAATGGGGAAAGTATGCACCTGAGTGAGTCCTGTCCTAATCCGTCTTAATCCACTTCGGGGTTTATCTGCCTCCATCTTCCTTGAACACAAACAGCATTCTTCACCCTTGACCCACCGTGCTCTAATAATTACACAACTCTGTTTAAGCTTTATGAGGAGAGAAACTCTGACCTAGATTTGGTGAACACTAAGAAGAAAGTTCGATTTCTCAGGGGTGAAACTGATCTTGTATCTTAGATACAGATAACAGAGCGCTGACTTTATGACACTCAACAGGGTTAAACACAAAATCAGGAAGTAGGACTTACTCCCTGTAGCAAAGGGGGGGTATATTAGGAAGTGATTCCACCCCGCAGCAGCAGAGTGTTAATTACTGCCTGAGAACAGCAGCCTGGAAACAGCAAACATGAGAGTTGTCGTAGCGTTAGCCTGCTTACTGGCCGCCTGCTTGGCTCAGAAGCCTCATCCATGCAGTAAGTAATCAGAAACAGAAAGGTGAAAATATTTTGATTTTCATGGTTGTGAAACTGTTTGGTTTCTCATTGCAGGAGCACTTGTGTTGTCTATGTTTTCCTTTGCTTATACACTCAGTCATCAGGTGTATTTGCTGCATCTTTTCTGCGTCACTTGTCAAATGCCGTGATTTAACGTCATATCTTCTTCCAAATCACAGAAAGTCCTCCTCTGATGACCGGGGCACTGACTATGGTGAGTGTTTCTAGTTTCTCTGCATCTTTTCTGAGCACAATAACAAAGTCCACTGAGAGCATGTGAAAAAGGGAGATTTAAAGTCAACTTGTTCTTCTCTCTTCAGTCCACACAGAACGAGAAGCTGTGGCTCTACGCCAAATACTTGTACGATGCTCTTGGCCAACGGATTAGGCTGTTTGAGTTTGGCACAATGAACAACAAGACTTTTACTTATGACATCCTACTGCTATACAATCAGGTGACTAAAGCAACATTAAACAATTTTATTAAAAAAAATATAGAAGGTGAAATAATTATAGAAGAATTTATCATTATTTGATGGGAGAATTTTAAATTAAATTTCTTTTATTCGTTGATTTATTTCAAAACGCTTAAAGAGGAGATATGATACTTACTGTTGGACTTTTATTGTCCTTCTGATAGCTTAATGCTAGCTTAGCAGGTTTTAAAGCTTGGGAAACCCTTTATCTATTTCAACCTGGCAACTTTTACAACCCTCATTTCAACCTCTGTCTAAATCTCTTAACTGCAGCCCATCCCAGCACTCTAGAAACATTCTTCACTGTTGCCAGTCTACAAAGTCTTTCTTATTCAGGGTTTATATATTTAAAATAAAAAATTACAAAATACATCCTTATTTTTTTGAGGCCTCAAATCTGACACAGAGTGTTTGATAAGGGACCAAAAAGAGCATAGATATTTCACCAATTGGTGGCATCACAAATTGAGAAAAAAAAAAAATGTTAGTAACTTTGACAACATTTAAAGAAGACCACAGAAAGGAAAACAAGAATTGATGAAAGATAAAAGAAAAAAGTAATCAGTGCTAGGGAGATTGGTTCTAACAAGCTGCAGAAAACCATTATTATGTACATACATGTTAAAGTTTAGTGTTAAAAAAACTGCAATATATCAAAATGAGCTGTCATTAATTGTTGTCTTCACCTTACTACTTCCATCCATCAGCACGTCATCTATCAGATCTTTCACAAAAACAAGACCTGCATAATAAGCCCTCTGGAGGGCGACTTCGTACCTTTCGCCATCCCAGATGAAGCTAATCTGCTGGGTCAGGCAATCGTCGGAAGCTCATCGGGACCCGGACAAGGCCTCCTGGTCAACACTTGGATCGGAGATCTGCCCAACAAAGAAGGTCAGAAAGCTTGTTATGGCTTTAACTGTCCAATAAATGTGTTCCTCTGTGATTGAGTGTTATTATTTGTTGTCTCTGACTCTACAGGAAAGTACATGAGCACTGTGACTGAATTTGGATGCATTCCTGTCAGCCTTGCATACCAGGCCAAAGAGTATGGCTGGGCGGTACTGAGGTCAGTATACTTCATCAAAGGTCATTTCTGTATTTCACTTCTTTATTTTCATTAACAACACTGACTCAACCCAACTTTAAGACAACTTAGCATGGGGCAAAGACAGAGTTAGCATTCTTGCTAACAGCTATATGTGCCTGCATGTCAGTCAAGTCAGCCACGCTCCTGATAGTGCAAAACTCATAACCTTAACATCTTTAAAACTAGTTGCAGTAGTAGATCATCAAAGTAAAAGGAGGCAGTCACACTTTAGCTTTAGCTTTACACGAACACTATGCAGGATCCGTGTGTCACAGAGGCGTTATTTGGAATCCCACATCAGTTCTAGGCAAACCCCGCCCTCTTTGCTCCACAGGCCTGGTGATGCAGGCAAATCAACTTCGGTGCCGGCAGTTCAAACTATCTACACACATGCATGCTGAGGAAGAATTTGCCATTTTTGTCATGCAATGCTTGCCTTCAATAATTCGGTTCAAATCGGTTCGATGCACTTAATGCACTGTTCCTAAAGAAGGCATGCTGATTTCGGGAGACAATGCTTTGTTGTTGAACTTCAGAGATGAATAATGAGACTAACAATTATTTCTTGTCCTTTTTTTGGATGATAGAATACAGTGACAGAACACACAAATCTTTTTGTCTGACGGAGCAAACTAAGGCTAAAAAGAGTGCTGATTTTAGTGTACTCTTGTATTTAACCATATTGTGCTTATTGATTGTGGATATTTTTACCACCCTGGAAAAAATTAGCAGACCTACAAGCTCACAACACAAGTGTCCAAAGGGAAATGAGGCTTGAAGAGACTAAAGACGTGGGGTGGGATTATAAATGTATATACACACACACACACACACACACACTCGCTCTCTCTCCATTACTCTCTATTACTGTGGAGTAATTTGGGCTGCATATCAAATAAATGTATAGATGCCAAAACAAAACATAGCGGTGGGGCTTTCTGATCCAGAGTACACGGTGCATTTAAGCAGTTTTATTAGCATTTTAGGACAACAGGTGCCTCCTTTAGAGTCAACCCTGTAGAAGGTAACTGTTGTATCAAAATGTTACTCTTCTTGCTATTAAAACTACCTAAAAGCATTGTGTGCTCTGAATCCTTCCTTTAAGATCATCAAAGTATTCAAATCACTTTTACTTTGCTGGAGTTGCAACCCTTATTTCCATGAAGTGGTAATACAAAGGATTATCTTACCTCGTCTCATTACTAAATCTTAATAAATATACTTCAACACCTGATAGGCTAACGTACATTTACTTATTATACTGTATCTGTTTTCATACTAAAATTATGCACACACATGCCAGCTACCCACAGTTGTGCCACCCAAGTCAGAAAGTTTGGGCATGTCCTGCATCGTGGTACAAAGAGACACTGGGACCTGAGTGCTGATGGGCTGTTAGGTCACAAGCTAAATGTTGACTACTGATTCTTTGATTCATAAATCTGGTCATGTTTTTCTGTCCTCCAGCTACTTCAACAACGTCATCGGGATCACAGACCCCAGCCTGCTCAACCCTCCATCCTTCTGCCCAGGCGCAGATACATTAACAGGCAGTGACAAGAAGCCAGTTGGCTTTTTCAGCTTGTTCCATCAGGACAACTGAGAACCTTCATAAAAAAAACTTCACAAACCTTCAGAGGGATTTTTCAGTTAACTGACCTGAGTCAAAGCCTTGTTGTGTCCTATAAAACTATCATCAATGAAATGACTGCTAGTCCATGCTTCTTTGGTTTCAGCCTACACTTAAAAAAAATTCAAGGATTTTATATTGAATGATTTTAACCTTTTTACATGTTGAAAAATTGTTTAAACTTGGAGATATGCTGATGTTGTCCTGCCATCAAACAGACACTCCAAACGCTACAGTTAAACATATTTGGTGAACCAAAGTTTGTCATTTCCTTTTTCTGCTAATGCTACTGTCTGCTTCATATGTGAAAAAATGTAAATATAACTTCAGCACAAACAGTAAAACAAATTTAACAGCTTCAATCAGATATTTACAACAGCAAGGCTGAAATCATCATCATTACTGTACCTCTTTTTACTATTGTCTAATAACTTGCTCACATACTTCATCTGTACAGGGAAGCACTGGGACATCTAAATTTTCATGAATAAAAATGAGAAAAAACTCAAGAAGTGTATTTCATTGTCAAATACAATATTCACAGTCTTATATGCATATATGACCAGTTTAATGATGGGTCAGTGAAGGTCTAGGGAGGCATATCCTTGGAGGGCTGCACAGACCTGAATCCAATCCAGCACCTCTGGCACACCATGATGGGAGGAATAAGATCACAGTTGAATCTAGTGATTTGTCAGTCTGAAAATCTCAAGTTTTTAAAGATGTTTCTATCTGCATTGTTTAGCAGGGTGGTTCTACAAGCAAGACAGTGCATTCATTGGGTGGTTTCAGATAGTTACAAGGGTCTGTAAATGCAATGAAAATATTTGGCTACGGCAATTTACTCATATTACAAAATATCATTTTTACTTGTGAATACTTCAATAAAAAGAATGTATTGAATTATTTGAGAGGTATGTGTACACATATGTACATATCATAAGCCAAACAATGCTAAATTTGGCTAAATTAGAAAATGTATAAGTGGTAAGATGAAGAGCCTTTTGGGAGCCGAAAGAGCCGGCTCGAGCTGAGCTAAGTGATCTGGCTCACTAAAAAGAGCCGTAATTCCCCTCACAAGTTGGATCAGCCTGTGATCTTATTTCTACACTTTGATTTTGAGAAAAGACTTTGGTTTCCATTGATAATTTTTAAGTTTTTTGTTCTCAACAAATAAACTATGTAATCAACAAAGGTTTTCAACCAGAATACTTCATTCATCAAACTATAAAAAAATCAAAAACACAAGATTATCTATAAACACCAGAGGTGATGAGACATGAGGAGGCAGATAAGACACTAGGACACTCCTGACCTCCTGAACTTTTTATTTTGAGAAAACACACATACTCGTAAAATGAATTCCTTTACAGTTACATCATTTTGAAGCTGATATTTCACAGTTGAAATCGTCCACCCACACTTAGACACTGCATGACACAGTTGTGTGTCCATACTTTTAGAACAGTGATTAACCTAAAATGACACGCACACCTTTGCTAAGAGTACATTTCTATGAAAATTTATCAAAATTAGGGAGTTATGGTGTTCATCTTGTTGGAATTAGGGCTGCTTCATGTCATTTTTTTCTCCTCCTTGAATATGTTAATGATTTATTATGAATCAGAGTAAAAAGTATCGATGACACCTTTTACCACATTGTTCTTTCCTTCTGTTATACTTGCACTTTCTTTCTTTCTGTTATCTCAAATTTCTTCACTTTTCCATGTTGATCCACACTTTGAAAAATCACTAGAACACTTGTAGCTACAGCTCTCACTAACACACTTCAAAAAGTCCCCCTGTTTCAACAGGTTCACAGCTCCAAACCCTACACCAACCTCATCCTGCAGTCACAAAACGACTTTAAATCCCTCTATGAATTTTACTATTTATGACCTGATATTATATTCCTTTTTCTTGGAAACTGTCTGCTGAATCTCATTTCCCATAAACCTGCCTTGCCCAATCCTGGCTCAACCCCCCATTTCCTGGAATGGTCTAAGTAACACAACAGACAGGTTTCCTGAGCCGAAAGAAGCATCTTGGGCGATGGGGTCAAGACTTTTGTTTGATTGTTTGAGGCTTAATCTTTTTGGTGTTGGTGTAATGATTTTATAGCAACCTTGAGTCTGATAACAATAGAAAAAAACAGGCAAACACATCCATGTTATGCCTCATGACTGCACTGTATTAAAAAACCCCAACCGGAGCTGCTGATCTTGTTTGACATCAGGGTGTACTGTAGACTAAAAAAGGTGAAGGACTGTTCACACTGCGGACAAAGCATTACAAAAAGACAGACGGATCTGCCCATCTCATCAGTTACAATGAAACAGTGTAAAAAAAGAGAAAAAAAAAAATCTGTTGTTGAAGTTTCCTCCAACTCCTTCCTAATCAGAGGGTTCATCTAGTGTTAAAAAATCCAATACTAAAGGTAGAAAAAGAAATCCTGAAGAGAGAAACCTTTTAAAGCCTTTTTTAAACACTTTGGGCTCTATTTTCATGCCTCGCCAGAGACGTGCCGCAGGCGCGGCGTAAGTCAGGTCCGCCGTGCAGAGGGCATCCTCCACAATCTCTCATATGAGCACAGATGGATTTGGTGTGTGTAAGTTTTGACCCACTGGTAAGACAAACACCCTTTTCCACAAGTAAAGACACTCACACAAAGTTGCATATATTCGTGACAAAGGTGGGTTGTGCGCACAGAGCACAACATAAATTTGAAAAATGTCCAGGTCGAGCTGCGCGAGAAATAAAAGGAAGAGGAAGAAAGAAAGGGAGGGAGACGAATTACATATCTTGTTAATTTCATTATGTGTGTCTATTTACTAGATATTTAATTTAATTTAATTTAATGTGATTTCAGCTGTGTTGATTCGGTCAGGTTGTGTGTCCGAACCCGCCAATGCGCTCATCAGATCAGATTTAGATCAGAATGTAGCTATTTAGATCTAAATGTATGTGCTGAATCAGATTATTAGTTGTTGTTGATTATTTATTGCGCTGAAATGTGCCTGACACTGTGGAAACCTGCCAGTGAGGCATCAGTGACGTATGCCGATATATCGCCAGTCAACCAAAATACCATTAGACCAGCTGTGCTCTGCCTGCGCTGAAAGCTGACCAGGTTTGAATCGGCGAGCTTTCAGCGCAGTTTATACACCACTGGCAAGCACAAAAATTTCACTTCGCCAGCTGATTCTGTTGACACCTCCCTCTGCCTCGCCACCATGCCCAGCTTGGCGGACCTCGGTGCGCCTCAGTCCACGAAAATACCAAACTGGCTGTACGCTGGGCTCTGCCAGACGAAAATACCACTGCGCAGGGTCCACCACCCTCCACCGCCTCACCGTCGGACACGAAAATAGAGCCCTTGATCTACATACTTTATTTTACTGGTGTGGGGCTCAATCCTATCTTCACATTGGCATTATGTAATGTATTGATTGATTGATTGAGTGATCTGCATAGTACAATTACATTTATTAGTCTCATACCAGAGATTTTTACCAGACTGTAAAACTACTAAGTCTTAATTTTCAGAAAATACCTACAAAACACAGTCAATATTGGTTTCTCATTGTGTTTTTGTCTCTATGTTTAAAAAGGGTTAGTTTCTCTTCCTTAGTATCAATCCCACTGTATAATCCAAACGATGGTGCCATGAAAATGATCAATCGTCTTTGATGATGTCAAACTTATGAGCATATCATTTGGATCTATGATGACTCAACACTCTCAAATAAATAAATAAAAACAATGAATCTATGAATTCAACTGTTCAATTTTCAAACTTTGACATTTTTTTACTCACATTGGATAAAGGAAAAATATACCAAGCAACATGGTGTTAAAGACATTGTTATACTTTTTAATGGCCGTAATTTAATACGTTTATTAAATTTGTTTTAATAGCCTTTGAGACCCCACAGACACCCTGTGTTTTGCTCTACTCTTCTTCTCTGCATAACTACAGTCCTGATCTTCAATTTTTGTTGTTTTTTTAATGTCTCACTCTGGGATTCATGTTTAATGCACTTTTACACTTTTGGAAGTAGTGACTCCCAGGGACCATGAGTATCTTCAGGGTGAATCCCCCCTGATAGCATTCAGGCACATTATTAATGATAACTGCAGATTTAGAGGACTACATCTGCAACATTTCATCCATCCATACAAAGTGTACTTCAGTGAATCACAATGTTGTTCATCAATCAAGGAGAAGCGCTTGCGATCCTACCGATATTTCTCGCAAGACTGGACAAGATCTCGCGTGTTTTACCATGAGACATTGAATGACATTATATATGTACATGATTTACATATGTGTATTTAAACACCCACATCCCACAACCCTGGCCCCTCCCATTATCACATGAAGAACAGCTCAACGTATTGACTTAATTTTATCTTGAAAAATCAACCAGATATTTTATTTTGTAGCCACATACAACCTTTGCTGTTGCTCGTGCTGCGCTGCACGGAATTAATGTGTATTGCTATTGTGTGGTTGTTACTAATGTTGGTATAATTAGAGAAGCAAGCAGTCGGCAATATTCGTTTCTCCAGGGGGTGTCTAACTCAGTGTTACAGTTTTTTGACCCTAACTTAATTTAAATTTTAATATCCCTTCAAGATCAGTTCAGTTTACCTGCTACCTTTTTGAGGTTTGTAGGGGTTTATCAGGTGCTCTAATGACACACCTGCAGACCATATGACAGCATAGTCCCTACTGGAAATAGGTTTATCTGCCTCCAACTTTCATGACCACAAAAAACATTCTTAGGATGGTGCATCATTGGGGAGTGTGGTGTAACTGGCTGTAACAAACCTTTATCTTGGCTTGATGACAAGGAACTGACCTTGTGACACTTGATAAATTTAGGGGGGCAGGACTCACTCCCACAGTGATAGGATCTGTATAAAAGTGATTCCACTCCACAGCAGCAGAGTGTGTGTTCCTGCCATAGAACAGCAAATATGAAAGTGGTTGTAGCATTCGTGTTCTTACTGGGTGCCTGCCTGGCTCAGATGCCTCATCCGTGCAGTAAGTACAGTGACTTTGTTTTCAGGACCAACGTAACTGTAGGATCTTAGAAGCTCTCACTTTGCTTTTACTTTGAGTGAATTTTGTATTCCATGTTGAATGCTGTGTTTTAATGTGGCCCATCTTATTCCAAAATCCCAGAGAGTCCTCCTCTGCTGGCCGGGTCAATGATCTTGGTGAGTGTGTTTTAAAATGTGGATTCTGAGCACAAAAAAAGAATATCAGAGCAAAATGAGAATTAAAAAGTGTGAAAAAGGGACACTTAAAATCCCTCTGCTCTTCTCTCACCAGTTTACACAGGATGAGAAGTTGGGGCTTAAGTCCAATTACATGTACGATGCATACAGACAATGGCAGAGGTTTACCCAGGCTGGCGTCGCAGACAACGAGACCTTCAACTACGACATTTTTCTGCTCTACAAAGAGGTAACAAAAATGACACAAACATATATCCTTATTTCATAAGAGTAAAAGAGTGAAAAATTCTGGGTATTAAAGTAATTAAATTATTTTAAAAGGTTGCAATGTTATTCAAAATTAACTTCTTAATGTATCTCCCTTTAAAAACAGACTTTATTTTTGTTGTATAATGACTTTAAGTCCCACTCCGCTTGTTTTTTTTTTGTTTTTTTTAACTACTTAGAGTGTTCTTAGTGGTCTTTAAGTTGTGATTTGGACGTTTTTTAGCCAAAATCACGTTACCTGTGTCATTTTCATTAGCTTATTGGCAATTTGCCTCTGAGTCTTGGGCAAAGACAGAACTGCTCTGCACACTCCTCTTCACATTAGCTTACAGCTTAACGTTTCCAGTGTCGGAGAAGTAGCAGGTAATATACGAGCTATTCAGCTCTCGGAAACTAATGTCTTTGGGGTTATGATGAAAGCTTATATCGTAATTAGCTTTCTTGCGCACATTGCAATCCACTGACGCGCATGCTTGTTCCGCGATCATCCTCTGTACTTTTCCAAATGTGGCCTGCGTAGCGGGGCTCTGGTGGCGGAGCTTTGATTTGCTATGTAGGAAATCTAACTCTGTGGAAGCAGCCTGTCGTTTGGGTCTGTCAGAGGTTGACAGCAATTTGAATGCAGAAATACTCAGATATGCAATTTCACTCTTACTTTTCTCGTGTTATGTCCAGTAGTAACAGAAAAATGCCATATGAACATGTACTGTAGACAACAAGAAAACATGATTTTTATCAGAGTGGGTCTTTTAATACAACTATAATTTTTGTGTTTCATATGTGTTTGTGTGTGCTTGACTGATGTGGGGATCAATTTCTGAAACTGGTCCTGTATTGAGGGATACCCACAGAGGAAGACTGTCTGTGTTGTGATGAGTGGGACTTGTTGATACCTAACCTCATTGGCATTGATACTATGGACACACAACGCTGTGTGACCACGTCAGAGGACATGTCCACAATCTGAGCCTTTTAATGATTAAAATAAAAGCATTTGTAGTTGACGCAGTGTGATGACCTGCAGTTTCCCGGTCAAACTACATTCTGGCTCATTTTGTGGCTGCTCCACTCTCCCTCAATACTGGACCAGTTTCAGGAATTGGACAAAAAAAAAACACTTGCTTAAAGGGATATTCCAACGTAAATTTAAGTCATGGCCAAACACACTGAGTTAGGACCCCCCCTTGAGAGATGAATGTTGCCTACTGCTTGTTTCTATTTCACCAACTTCAACAAAGACTGCATGATAGCAATACACAGCGGTCTACATCTCCATGTGCAAACCTCAACCAAAAAGCCACTCTATAGCCACAAATAATGCTCAGAACAGCTTCATCAACAATACATATAGGGTCCCAGCCATAGTACTAGCCATCAAACATGTTTTTAACTTTGCCTGATTTCTTCAGCAAAGACACTAAATACAACTCATCCACTCTCCTCCAGCAGCCTATTGTTTGTGGAGAAGCGTTGATGAGTCGATCACCGAGTGCATCGGAGCTCAAGGAAGAACATTTATGATTATTACTTCATGGAAATGCAGTCAGAGTTATTGTGTATCTTGTATGTGCACTTCAGTCACGGTAGTTCTTCAGACTTAGTGTCTCAGTCTGATTGTATTTCCATGAAGTAATCATCATAAATTTTCTTCCTTATGCCATAATATCCCTTTGAAGTTTTTGTAATGATACAATAAGAACAAACTGTGATTATGGCTGATATTGCATGAATTGTAGTTTAGGAAATGTTAATGATTTAGGGTGGGTATTAAAACTTTGAAGGCTCTACACACAGATTAGCTGTAAAAAGATGAAAGTAAACTGGTATTATTTTTGACCGTAACCTCGGCGCAACATTTTAGAAGTGAGCTTTAAACATAAAGTGAGTTACTTTTGAAGTAAATAAGAGTTGTCCTAACTTCTCAACTTCAATCCATCAGCATGTGGCCTATGTGGTCGACAATGATAACCAAACCTGCACTGGCTATCCTCTGTACGGGGACTACCAGCCCATAGTCATCCCAGGAGATGCATATCTGCTGGCTCAGTCTTTCATAGGTAGCTCATCAGAACCCAGAGAAGGAGTCCTCGTCAACACCTGGTCCGGAAATCTGCCTAACCAAGAAGGTAAGAGATTGTGTAATGGTACAAACCGCCTCAGATGTTAATTCTTCTATGATGGATCATTTTGTTTTATCTGTGACCCTGCAGGACTGTACATAAGCACAGTGACTCAATTTGGATGTGTTCCTGTCAACTCTATGTACCACACCAGGAAGTATGGATGGATGATACTACAGTAAGTTCACACTTACAGTTTAATAACAACACAGTGTAAATGAAAATATTAGGCAACAGTGACAGATTGTCACAGTGACAGGTCCATAGGCTGCATAAAAGAAGTGGAGATGCCCTCTGTGATGTCGCCCAGGGAACCAGGTGTTTCTCAGTTGACCACTCCAACACAATCATTCAGGAAACAAATCTTATTATGGACCCTTTAAGTGTTCTTAGGACCCACTTAAATCATTGTCTGTGGTGTTTGTCCCTGGAGGTCAGAACATCCAAAAGCTATCAACACCACTGAATAACCATCACGGATTATAGCACTTCAATACTTTTTTTATTTTTTTATTTTTATTTTTTTACCTTTGATATATCATTCAGTTGCTATCCTGGAAGGCAGGTAGAGGTGGTTAGGGTTCGCCTGATAGCATAACCTGTCCTGAGATCTATTTGCTCTGATTCATTAAATGACAGGACCAGGTATTTACTAAAACTACAGATAGAAAGAAAAAAATGCTAATTCACAAAAATCTGTTTGTTATTCCGTCCTCTAGGTACATCGACAATGTCAAGGGGCTCCCAGACCCTGATCAACTTATCCCTCCACCTTTCTGCCTAGACCCAGCCAAAGTAGGATTCAGCGCCCAGAAGCCAGTCGACTTCCTTGACTTGTTCCAGCAGATGATGTGAAAGCCTCCTTAAACAAAAGTGTCAAACTGACTGAGAGATCTCTAACCAATCAAACTGAGCTACTAATTCAAAGCTTTGTCATGTAATTTTACCGTATTACTTCTGGGCATGGGGCCAGGGAGTATGAGATTCTACAGTATGATTACCTTAAACTAAAGAATGATAGTTTTAATTTTTTCCACTTATTTATGGAAACTGCTTACCCTAAAATCTGCTATTAGGAGTGTTTTCCTAAACTGTGTTTTCCTGTGAAATAAATTTGACAGTGGCAACTCACCAGCTGAGTGTTAAGAGCATCATGTCTGTTTTTCTTGTTATCGGTAGATCACCAGTGAACCGGGTAAACAGAATATGCTAAGTTGATATATTTTGTATACACACACACACACACACACACACACACACACACACACACACACACACACACACACACACACACACACACATATATATATATATATATATATATATATGTGTATATATATGTGTGTGTGTGTGTGTTTGGAAGCAAAGACATTACAGGCCGAACAGTCGGGAGTAACTTCAAGTTTTTGTTCACATTGCTTTTTTTTAAATCCAGCATGAGTTTTATGTATTTTGGGATGTATTTACTCCATGATCAGATGTTGCTTTCATGGAAATGCACCATTTTACTCCATTTACCTCTAGATATACATTGATGTTAACAGACCATTGCTAAATATATGTCAGCAAAAGATAATAAGGGCTTAGTTTTAGGGTTGAAAACATTTGCAAGAGTCACAACTTCAGTGCAAAAGCAAAAAACAAATCACAGTTGGATTATTCACTTCAACTTTTTGGCTTTTGAGAGTCTGCATACAAAAATCCTAATAAATCTCAACTGTGTTCAAACTACCGCAAAAACGGCTAAAAAGAAGCAACTGAGTAAAGAAACAAAAGTACAGATTTGTACATTGAGGAAAGAAGGATACACAGAAAGAGAAATTGCAAAACGCCTAAAGGTGTTTAACACAGGAGTCCACTACACTCTGAAGAGACTAGAGGAACCTGGAAGTTATGATGATAGAAAAAGACCTGGAAGAAAGAGAGTTACTACAAAAGCAGAGGATAAACATAGCATTGTCACCAGTAAGAGAGATCGGCGAAAGACAGCACCATAAAATAAGGGAGGAAATCAACATGACAAGGTCGAAGCCCATATCTCTGACAACCGTGAAATGACGTTTGAGAAAGGCTGGTCTGAAGGGTTGTGTATCTGCAAAAAACCACTACTTCGTCCACAGAACAAGAAAAAGAGATATGAGAGGGCAAAAGCTCACAAAAATTGGACTTATGATGACTAGAAACAAGTTTGTTTGGTTCAAAACGCAGAGTCTATGTCCGCAGACAAACTGGTGAACGTCTGAAAGCACCATGTGTTACACCCACAATTCAGCATGGAGGTTGCAGTTCCATGGTATGGGGATGTTTTGCAGGTGATGGAGTAGGAGATTTGTTTGAAGTAAAGGGTATTATGAAGAAGGAGCAGTACCACTCCACCCTCCAGCACCATGCTGTTCCATCTTGACTCAGACTTGTGGCTCATAAGTTTGTTTTGCAGCAAGACAATGACTCTAAGCACTCTGCCAAGCTCTGTCAGGGTTACCTGTCTTCAAAAGATGGTTTGGCCCCCTCAGTCTCCAGACCTTTCTCAATTGAGCTTGTGCAGGATGAATTGGATCAATCGGTCAGAAAAACGCGTCCCACGAATCAGCAGTCTCTTTTTAATGAACTTGAGAAAGCTTGGAATGCAATCCCTGGAACTCTGTAGTTTTCTCTGGTCCCCTGCCCGATCAGACAGCTGATGAGATGTGTAGCCGTATCTCATCATTTAACCGCTGGCTGTTGAGGTGGTGTAAGCAAAATGGCGTGGGCTTCATTGATAATTGAAAGTCGTTTTGGGGCAAACCTGGTCTGATTATTCGGGACGGCATTCATCCCACTCAAGATGGAGCGGCCCGTTTATCCAGATATCTGGCCGATTTTATTAGTCCGAACCACTGACAATTCAGAGCAGAGATCAGAGAGCAGAGCCGCAGATAGCTTTTTTCCACCTGCGCAATATCTCAAAAAATTAGACCCATCCTGTCTCAGAGGGATGCAGAAAAACTAGTCCATGCCTTTGTTACCTCTAGGCTGGATTACTGTAATTCTCTCTTATCAGGCTGCTCCAGTAAGTCTTTAAGTAAGTCTTCAGCTGGTCCGAAATGCAGCAGCTCGGGTATTGACTAGAACCAGAAGAAGGGAGCACATCACTCCTGTCTTAGCCTCTCTTCATTGGCTCCCTATTAAATCTAGAATTGAGTTTAAAATCCTCCTTTTGACATATAAAGCGCTTAACGGCCAGGCTCCATCATATCTCAACGAGCTTGTTATACCTTACTTTCCGTCTAGACCATTACGCTCACAGTCTGCAGGTCTGCTCGTTGTATCAAATGTCTCTAAAAGCAGTATTGGAGGAAGAGCTTTTAGCTACCAGGCACCTCTCCTCTGGAATCATTTACTGCTCGCGGTTCGGGGTCAGACACCCTCTCAACTTTCAAGAGTAGACTTAAAACATTCCTCTTTGATAAAGCTTACAGTTGGGGCTGATTTGAACCAGCTCTTAGTTATGCTGCTATAGGTTTAGACTGCCGGAGATATCTGGCACACTGAGCTAGAGTCTGTCTCTATCTCTCCTTTAGACCTTTATGTCCCATATAAGTCACTAACCAGATTTCTCTCTCTCTTAGTGTCTCTGAGTCTCTTAGCTTACACTGGACTAATGCTGCAGACGGTCTGCTGCGGAACTGCCTGACCCCAGCTGCATCGTCCTTGATTGTCCAACTCAGACCCTGAGCTCCTCCATCTCTTAGGCTCCTCAGGACCGTTGCTGCAGACACGTACGTCAGCCTAACTGACATCTAAAAAATAAAATTAGAGTAAACTACCATTGAGTTTTAACTTTAATCACCCTAAATAAATTTAACATAGTCCATAATTCGTCACTTCATTATCCTGTACATTGAAGTCATTTTCTCCCATCAACTTGCTAACCAGATCTCTCTGTATGTCTCTGAGCCCCAGTCTCCTAGGTTGCTCTGGACTGATGGCTGCTGCAGACCTACCTGACTCCAGCCACATAATCTATGATTGTCTGCCTCAGGCCCTGAGATCCTTCTTCTCTTGGGTTCCTCTGGACTGTTACTGCAGACATGAACATCAGCCTCACTGACATTAATAACATAAAACTAGAGTTGACTACTATTAGGCCTGCTGACTGTAATCACATTAAATTAATTTAACATAGTCCATAATTACTTATATCCTAACCCAGTAAACTTAATTCATTTTGTTTTACCCTTACATGAGCTGTTGTTGCTGCTGTCCCCTGTCTCTCTCTCACCCTCGTTCTCTACTCTCTCTCCCTCCCCCTCCTTCTCCTTACTCATTCTCTCTCTCCTTCCCCTTATCTTGCCCCCTCCCCCCTCTCTCGTCCTCTCTTCCCCTATCTCTCTACATTCCTCCCCAGCCCAGCAGTGGCATGGTGGCTGTCTGGCATGAGTCAGGTCCGACTCAAGGTTTCTGCCTGTTAAAAGGAAGTTTTTTCTTGCCACTGCTACTCATGTTGGATGAGATGAGCCAAAACCCATCTTAGGTTGGTTCTTGATCATCAAACAATGAGCGTGGTCTAGACCTGCTCTTGTTCTTTGAAAAGTGTCTTGGGATGACGACTGTTGTGAATTGGTGCTATATAAGTAAAATTTGATTGAGTTGATTGATTGATTAAAGCCAGAGGAGGTTACTTCAAAGAAAGCAAAGTCTAAGCAACAATAACAAGTCTTTATATTCTTACGTGTTGTTAAGGTGACAGTTGTTGAATGAGAGCCATGGAGCATTTAGTGAAAATGTCCTTCAATACGGGTTTCTAAAAACAAGGAAATACTAAATCTTTTGGCACATGAGCACCACATTATCATAAGTATCACACTGATTTTATTACGACTTTACTCTTGTTAGTAATGACATTATTCTCATAACTTAACGACTTTGATCTCGAAGTCTTTTTTTTTTTTTTTATTCTTAAGGTGTCCCTCATACTCAGAAGTAGAAAAGCCTGTATTTACAGGATAAACATATTTACTGGCAGGTTCAAAAACAATTTGGACTGAATAGACACTCACACCACTGAGATAAGTTTTTAATAATTCAGTGACTGTGAAGATGGGTAGGTAGCTAGGTGCACCAAAAGTTAGCTTAAGTACATATGTCCAGTACATTTCTGTATCGATTAATTGAAAAAAAACAGTGGTCAATCCCACTGAGACTACATCTGTTTCATCCAGTCTAAATACACAGCCATGGAGCCCTGAAAGTTTTGATCTTACTTTGAAGGGGCTGTTCTGGTATCCATGGTTTTGATTATTAGTCAATTAGATACTTAAAGCCATTCAAATATTCAGCTGAAATATCTAAAAAAAAAATGGTATGGACCTGTAAAGAGCAGATGATCAGGCCAAACCCAGAAAATCAGGTGATGCCATAATACAGAAGACAGAGGAGAGCATAGTTTGACGGTGTTCCTTTTTTTTTTCTCAGTGTTTTTTTTAGCGTCAAGGGACTTTAAGAAAACCTGGCACTGGAAACTACCTGGGAGGCTCCCCAGCTTGTTCATAAAGAAGTGAACTCTCCTGAGCAACAGCATTTTTCTTTGTCTCTGAGCAGGCAAGAGTGTCATAACCACCATCAGCCAGAATGAGAACTTTCGTCCTGTTGGTGTGCCTGTCTGCCGCCTGCCTGGCTCAAAGACCAAAACCATGCAGTGAGTACAAATAAGGCAATTCTGATTTATTCTGATTTATTCCTCTGTGATTCACTGCCAATGGTCTCGCGGGTTGTTTTCTCTGGAGCATTTATGTATTAATATGTTGTAGTGAGCCTAACACTGCTGTAATGCACATGGTGTTTGCTCAGTTTGCTGTAAATCATTCTTGTATATTTTGCCAGCATCTCCACCTCTACTGACCGGGGGACTGTCTGTGGTAAGATTTTATTTCTTTTCTTACGAGTGAAAACTTCAGCATTCCTCTGAATGCTGTTTTAAAGTTTTGCCAAGTTTGAAAGGAAAACTTTCAATACAATTTTGTTATTTTTCAAGTCCACCCAAAGTGAGAAGCTGCAGGCGTATGCCAAGTACAGCTATGATGCACTGGGTAAGCGTATTCGCCTCAGTCAGTTTGGAACCTATGACAATAAGACCTTCCACCTGGATGTGCTTCTGCTCTACAAACAGGTAATGACCACGCATGAAGTAGGCGAATCCACATAAGACAATGACATGTTTTCTAATTAATGCACTTCTCTCCTCTCTAGGGTGTTATGTATAAAATCAACACCAGGAACCAAACCTGCTGCAAGAAGCAACTGACTATGGACTTCCATCCGCTGGAGATACCAGAGGATGCTACTCTGCTGGGAGAGGTGGTGTTGGGCAGCTCCTCAGGTTGGGGACAAGGAGTCCTGGTCAACACATGGACAGGGGAGATGCAGCTAAAGAGGGGACAAGGTAATGCCACAGTAGGACAACATGTAAAGTCATGTGGTGTCCTGAAGCACATGACTTTCTGAGATTTCTCCATCTGATCACTGCCTTTGTTTTGTCTTCAAACCTGTTGGTCTGGTTGCGTCGCTTCAGCTAACTTGTGATCCACTTTTTGTTTTTAAAGCAAAGTACATGAACACTGTGACCGAGTTTGGATGTGTGCCAGTCAGCTCTCTGTTTCGTACAGACAAAACTGGATGGATTTTGACCAGGTTAGTGAGAGCGCATGACAAGCCACAAAACAGGAAGTTTCAACTTTTAGTTCTTTTAGAGGCGGCAACCTGATATTGAGAATAAAGCCACTGTGGAAGTGCAGAAAACTGGAGTTCCTCAATTGTCTGATGAAGAAGAACAATATTGCTCACATTAAATAAGAAATAAACACATTTACTGACATTTATTTGACATCTTTAAAAAAATCTTTTTATTGATCTTCTTTCCTTTTTCTTTTTTTAGCTTCTACAATAATGTAATCGGACTCGCAGACCCTGCGCAGTTCATCCCTCCACCTTTCTGTAAGGGTGTCCCTCTGGAGAAAGAGGATGAAGAAGAGCCTGTGAGCTTCTACAGCATGTTTATGAAGCAGAAATATTGTTCACTGTGATTACGGCTACAAAATATGACACACTGCACTTCTTCTTTTAGTAGCCCATTACTCTTTTTATTTTTCAAATTAAAGAAGGCAGTCATCTGCATAGAGGCAACCAAGCTGTGCATCAAATTCATGTATTTGTCAGGGGTGGGGTAGTCTTTGCATTTTTTCTGTGATAACTTTTGACTGTGAGAAGTACATTCTTGCTGGTGCAAATGAAGTCAGTGGTTACATGCACCTTAAAATTGCACTTTCCAACACTAATACATATTGTTTACAATACATGCTACTATTGAATGTTCTGTCTTTCAGGGATAATTGAATTTAATTTTCCTGCTTTCACTTATGAAGAAGCAATTTTGTTACAGTGAAGACATGACACTGTTGATAATGTGTGCCAGCAGAGGAACTTGCAGAGGAACTTTGCTATGTTAAAAGCAGTGGTGTCATGTTGATCAGAAATCTCTCAAAATGATGTGAAAATATAATAAATCAATAAAAAACTGCTCCTCTACCCTCATTTTTTAAAGGCAATACCTCCTGAAAACTTTAGTTTTAGAAACCCATACAGTAAACAGAACACAAATTTTAACATTTTTCTTTATTATTTATAAAATGAAGTCAATTCCCTGTTGATAGAGAGCCAGAAAAGCAAAGAGATGGCACTCAATAGATGGACAAGGCCACTGGTTTCAAGTAAATACAGGTAGCTTAGATTAAAGATAAAATGACAGTGTTTTATGACAAGATGAAGAAAACTTAGAAGTTAAAGATGTCCAAAGACGCTGGCTGGATTAACAACAGGAGGTCGACAGTTGCTCTGCTGCTCTGACCCTAGCAAAAAGTGTAAGCTCCTTTCTCTGTCTCGCTTTCTTTTTCTTTAAAGGAGGTGGTTTATTTTGACGTATGCACAAATAATTCATTTGAGGACAGAAATTGGCAAATTGAATGTATAACTGTGCAGTTAGTGGTCAGAATATTGTCCATGTTCACTCCATCTTAAAAGTGCTAAACCCCAGTCACCAAGGTTTCTTTGGTGTAGCATAGTAACCTTCATTGTGGAAGCAGTGGTAAACTGTACTCACAGAGTTTTTTTAGTATTACACAGAATCTTTTTAAGGGGAGCTGGTTTAGCATTTAGCACAATGCAAGGTGGCGACACATAACACTGGCTTTATAACAAGAAATACTTGATATAGCAACACAGAAACAAGACGCAAAGTATGCTTATATAAGTCTGTGACTGACCTCTTTGTGCCAAACCGAGTTAACCCTGTAAGACCCAGTGTTGCAGAATTACAACAAATTTGGTTATCCCCAAAAAAACTTTTTTATTTTTATTTTTTTAGTTAAACCACATTAACATAATCACTGGGTCATATTGTTTGATCTCACAATGCCATTTGATCTAACATTTTTATATAAGGCACGCTCTCAGGTGAAGAAGTCACACAACCTCCATTTTTTTGATCGAGCAACATCCCTTCGATTCACTGGACTGGATTCACCTGATTCAAGTCAGTAAAATGCTTTGAATATTTGTGTTTTTTTACAATGTCTAGAACATGAACATATGTAGTTATTGTGGAAAATATGCCCTACATTTCATTTAGAGCTTGTTTTATAATTGTTGCAATATTAAAACGTTGGGTCAAAGTGGTAGCCAAAACAGCCCTGTTTTTGAGAGGAATGTCTTGAGAGGAACTTTGTAGTTTAAAGTTATATTTTCACAATATAACTTTAAACTACACATTATTTACACATTCTAACCTTAGCCTTATATTGGATTACATATTTTATTGTATTAAGATATATTGCTGTATCTAAACATTTTAATTTACTTTAATTTATTTGTCTGTTAGCAGAGAAAGTTACAGACGGATTGACCTGAAATTTTCACCAGCGGTGCTTCTCAGCCCCAAGAGGATCCCATTACATTTTGGTGGTGATCCGGATCGCCTTCTGGATCCAGGAATTTTTTGAAGGATTCTTTATCATTGTGAGATAGGGCAAATTTTGGAATTTTTGCGTTTAACTCTATAAAAATGACCAGAGTCTTTAGTAAAAAGTTACACAAAAGGATCTCAATGAGTTTTATGAGGTGTCAAAGGTTGATCCTGATCCAAACAAAATTCCGGATACTGTGATCCAGAACACACAAAAACAAGGGTGTCGTTGGAATTTTCAATGCTGAAAGATAACAAATGAAGATACAAGGAAGTGAACGATTACAGATATTGCATAATAAATCATGCATTTATGAATCTAATATGAGCTTTGTTGTTTTAGGAAAATTATGAACAGTGAACATACCAGTTTAAACAGAAATAAAAGTTAATAAAAGACACGTAACAATAAAAGTTTTGGTGTGAATCACAATGAGCTGCTTGGCGGAGGTCTGCGCTCTCCGAGTGCTTTTCTAGTTTGTATATACATTTATTTTATTTTTTCCATTTCAGAACTCCACCAGCAAGGAGAGATCCTTGGTACAGTGTGCAGGATGTTATTGCCATAGTCCAAAACAGAGAAAGTGATGTGGACATGGATTTCGACAACACTGATGCAAGTGACGAAGAATCAGATAATGATGCCAAGAACTACTTCAAGGACTATCACTGCAAATAAATGTGGATGTGCACACAGACTTCACTCGTCATTTTCTACTGAAGACAAAGAAAGGACACTGCAGACATTGCAATAAAGGCTAATACCCATAGCAAGTGTGATGCTGTGAGACTGGGTTGGATAGCTGCCTGTTTTTCAGGGGACAAGAACTTCTTATAATGTAAATATTGGAAATTAATATGAAAGTTCTTATTGGAATAAATAACTCTTTATAACAACATGACTGAGATTATAATTCATGTTATATACTGCAAATGAATCCTTAGTTCTGTATTGCTGTTCAGACAATGAGTGGAAATACAGGAGATTCTGCTCCCCATTAAGACCAACGTTGCAATATTACAACATTTCTGTAAAAACTTACTAAAACATAACATTCAACACACCCCATTTTTACCCCCAAAGGCCTCCTACAACATCTGAATGGTTGAATTTTTTTTTTTTTTTTTCGTTTTTCTATATTTGGTTTTTACAGGGTTGAAGGACCTAAAGACCACTAGATGGCAGTAGAAGACAAGTATTGAAACATGATGGTAACCTGAAGCTTCATACCCCCAGCTCTTGAAATCCATTTATGGTTAATGGTTTAGGTGACACCCCCCTGATACAAAGAGAACTATTTTTATGTGTTAACCTGAGATACTCTGTAACAGCACAGGTAAGCACATAGTCTTATTCTGGGTAGATGGAAATATAATGACTACTCAGTATAACAGAACGGATTAAAAAAACACTGATCAGTTTTTTAACTCAATAATTTATTCCTCAGCTGCAGCCCGAAGACAAAAAGTTATTGCAATGCTTTCAGACGAGGAGTCACCTGGTAGCAGTAGTAGCAAACACCCCTGAGCTCCCCAACCTCCTGCACCCCAACATCTGCTGACTTCACCCCCTGCTCCTGAGCCTCAGTCTCCAGCCACAGAAGCCTGGCATCAGGGTCCTCATCAGAAAACTGGAGCAGAGATCCTGAACCCTGCAGCACCTTCAGGCACTGCCTCAGAACCACACCGGCCTTCCCCTTCCCTTCTTTGGATCTCAACAGGGCATCTGTGGTGCCCTTGTCAATGATAAGATCCACACTGCTGGAACCAAAGTGTCTGTGAAGCTGTGTGCAGTCCAGCTCCACAAACTCAAGCTGAGATGACAGGTTTTCAGGTTGGATAGCTTTGGACTGGATGTGTTCCTGCATCAGTCGCACAGCTATTGGAGAAATATCGGCACAGGTGACCCGCACAGGTACAGGAGAGTGTCTGTAAATACTGGGCCCGAGAGCAGAGGTGCCACAGCCCATATCCAAGATTTGACACAGAGCATCTGGGTTCATCTTAGTCTTCAAAAGGGGCATAATGAAGTCTTTAACAGCATCAAACCCAAAGAACCACTCAAAGTTTTTGAAGGTTGTGGTCTTGCTGTTGCTTTCAGTGTAGAAGCGGTCCCAGGTGGCTTTCTTATCCATGTTTTCAATCAGTTCAGCTAGAAACACAGACAGATGGGATTAAAAGAGTCAGTGAATGAACATAAGTAGCAGAGAGCTCACACAGATAAAACTAGGAAAAGGCAACACTTAAAGCTTCTGAGTGAAAATTAGATTTTCTTAAATCTTAAAACGCTCGTAAAATTATCTATTTTACTTCATTTAATCTCCCCATTCTCTTGGGGGAAATTACACACAAAGTTATCTATTAAATGAGTTTATGACAAACATAGAGGTTACCCAGTGGAGCTAGCTACTTCATAGCAGTAGCATTACCATGTGCTACTTGCTGTCATAGCACCGATAAAACATTTTGAGTCAAATTAGCTCTCTGATATCAGAAAATACATCTCAGATTTAACATACTTGTAAGAGAGGAATGTTGTCTTAGACATGCTGCAGCTACACGCTGAGACAACCTCAGCGACTTTGAAAACGGAGACATATTTCCTCAGCTGCTTCGGTGACAGTCAGAGTAAGAACGCTCACTTCGACTTTTTTTCTAGATACCTGCAGGGGGACTAGACGGGTGGAAAACTGCATCGTGTGAGCGGAACATGGTATAGACGATCTTCAAATTGTATGAGCTGCCTTTGCGCAGGAGTTTCAACAGGTATAAACAAGGTGGAGACATAACTACCGTATTTACTTTATCATAAAAGCATAGCAGTAATTAAGTGTCACCACATTAACATAATAAAGTGGGAACCGTCTCAGTGTTTTGGCTACAGACGTAACAGAAAAATCGATTTTAATATCATATGAAAATTGGGTGACAAAACTGCACCATTTGATAGTTTACCATCAAAACAAATGCTGGACGGTTGCCGAAAACAAATTATTTAAATGCGCGATTTTTGAATGAACAATACATTTAAATAATTTGAAAGTATTTGATAAATATGGTTGAAAGTGAAACCACATTCAGAGAAAAAGAAATCTCATGACAGTAACTGGATTATGCTTTTAAAATGTTAAAAGTTTTAATTGTTTTTAAGTTCATCTCAAAGTTTTTGAGGAAGCCAACTTAAAAAAATGTAAATTACCAGTTCCTCAGTAACTCAGTAGTTAAAGTAAAAAACTTTGAATGAAAAAAAAGTTATGTTCTGCAGTTATTAGGTAAATTAAAAAGGAAAACATGACAATAAATAAGATGTAAATCCCTTTAATAAAACTCAATGAAACGCAGTGTAACAAAGGAAAAGAATCCAACATAAAGCAAGTAGATAACATTTACAACCACAAAAGAAAAACCTGTACAACTCTAAATGCCTGGAGTCACTTCTATGTTCCAAAGATTTTTTTTTATTAACCATTTTGTGATGACTGAGAGAAAACTTGGGGAGAGGGGGGAGGGAGGCATGTAATGTGATTTAACTTTTATTTTCATTTTTTTCAGATACATGAGTGTAATCTCATACACAGATGTATGTTTCATCCACGTGGCTGCTGAAGTTATTTTTTTAAATCCACCGCCGTAGCGGTCAGCAGGAGGGGGATGAGGTGGGCTGTGGCTGGGAGTGCTATTTATACAAGATGTCGTAATGGCCGGGTCTATAGAGGAGGAAGATGCGAGGGTCTCCGCCTTCAGGGAAGACGTGGTGATTGACAGTTCCTCCCTCTCCTCTGTCCATGTACTCCACCAGGATGGAAACGTTTAGGGCCTGGGCTAAGGCGATGATGTGAATGTGGTCACTTTCTTTAGACATGGGCTCGACCTCCTTGAAAGGACAGAAAAAGAGCGTATCAAGCACAAGTTTGACCAGAACAAGTTTAGTGGTTGGATGACAAACATTTTGAACATTTCATTTAATCAACCAAAGTGCTCATGTGTATATGTAATCAAAGGTGGCCCTCAAGTTCAACTGTCTGAACATTTCATGAAGAAAAACAATTCCCAGATAGAGTATAGTATAAAACAGTATAAAACATTTCAAAACCCACAATATTTTATAACACACCAAAAAACACATCACACTTATTTTAACAATATTTTATCAAATGCAATACTTTCACATACTCAAGTTTTTTTTCTTCTTTTTTTGAGGTAATATTTTAAAATAAACAAATACTTCATGAAACACAACTGAGAGGAAATATACTGAGGTTTTCAACAAACTGAGAAAATGATCACAAACAACATATTTATAAAATACACAATCATTTAAAAACATACTATTGATGATATTTACTGTGGAAAAAAATATTTCTTACAATGATTCAATAAGAATAATTCAAAATATGATGAATAATTTCTGAATTGCAAAAAAAATGTTTTTATATTTAAAAAAACTAAAATTTGTTGTCGCATGAAAATAAATCACAAAACAAAAAAAAAAAGAAAAAATTTGTCATGAAAAGAAAACACATTTCAAAAAACAAATCAACGTAAAAAAAATTCCACAAATATTCGATAAAACACGGGAACATTTCAAGAAAAAAACAATTGAGGGGGCAAAATGATATCAAATATAAAATTAAATATATTTCTACACACACAAAAACATATCACAACATGTAGAAATTTTTTAAAAAAGTAAACATTTTTAAGGGAGCTCAGACATTTGGAAATCAGCAAAAAATATTGAAAACTATGTAGAGGAACACATCATTCTAAAAAACATTTTTGTCAAAATTTGCAAAAATACCTCCTGAAACAAAATCATTTTACAAGACCCCAGAAAAAAATACAATTAAAAATAGATTTTTAAAAAATATTTACATGTTTTACATGAAGGAGTTTTGAATTTGATCCTCAGGGCCACCATCCAAACAAGCATTTGCTCCATTTGTAAAGCTGCTGATATAAAGACTGTTAAATCTCTCACTGAGAAAGAAAGGCTGTGTGCTGTAGCTTCAAAAGATCCTGCATCCATGAAATGACTGAACATTAACAGAAATTTGAGAGAATAGAAAACATCCCAATAACAGCTTCAGTCACACCTGGAGGTTCAAAATTCAGGTCAAATATTCTCAGACATTCCTGTCTGAGAATATCTGACCTCTTTGCAATGCTTCATCAAGCATTACGGAAGAGATGGAGCTGTGCATGAGCCACAACAGAGACTTACTCAACAAACTTAAAGGCTTTGTCTTTTTCTTGTGGATGAAGTTTGCAACCCTGTTTCGATCTATTAGTCCCACAGTGTTACTTTTCTCTGTATATTTCCTGCTGTGTGTCAAACAGGGCCTCCACTTCGGGGTCTTGATCCCAGAGTCAGCACTTATGTGTCAGGACCAGCAGGAGTTGGTCTTAATAACGACAGGTTTCTCATGGTTTGTAACTCTATCCCACAGCCTGCTGTAGTCTGCGGCTGTTTATTCACCCATGTTTCATAAAGTTCAGTATAACATCGCTGTACTGTGTGTAAGAACAAAGATACAGTCCAAAGAGAGAGCTCACACTTTATTCTGATTGACTCACATTACATGAGCCCTACAGATGCAACCTGTGCAAACACATACTGTGCATCTCCAAAATGAAAAGACTTATTTTGTGTCTACACCGCCAAAGCTGCTGTACAAAAACCTTATTTCCTCGAGTGCCGCACTCGTAATAACCAGGAGGAACTGTTTTAGTAAAGTGGGTCATACAGGCATGTGTACTGCATCTTCTGTAATAGTCGTATTATTTAAAAGGTCCTACATTAAAGGGACAGGTTGATACAACTGCTCATGCTTGATGGAATAAAAAAATCTGATCCATTAACTTTCTTACTGACTCCAAACTGTGACACAAGCAACCCTTGAGTGATGTGATCCATGGTGACATTCTAGAGTGGGACTCTATCTGAATAATAGAAAAGACTTGTTTTTTTTCCTGTTTTTGACTATGAGAAAGTAAAAGTGAAAGCGCAGCCACTTACAACTGCTTTGAGATTTTTATCTGATATCCAGCTGTCGGGGCCAAGATTGAAACTTACATGTGACCACAGTCTTCAAATACCAGAAGCTTCTGTGATGCGTGAGAAGTATGATCCCTTGTTTGAGAAGTTTTAACCATCAAAAATGTAGGTGAATCCAACCTGTGCATTTCCTGCAGCAGCTCAGAGCTGCAGCTTCATGCTACAAGCCGCTCAATCCTATACACTCCACCTCCAACTGATTCTGAAAATGCATATCTAGATTACGAACTAAAATCCCAGAGTATTTCTAATTTCTTCCAATCATTACGACTGTATCCTTTCGGCTGGCTTGTGTATTCAAGGTATGTGACACTGCAATCCTAAGACATTTCGCATGTCAAATTAACCCTTTAAGAAGTGGCCGACTCCTGATTAAGAAGAATTGTGTGCTTACTGTGACCAAAACAAAAAAGTCAGAGAGGCCACACCGCTTCAAAGAGCAGCTGCAGCTTCCCCTGTTTTGGGGGATGTGAATACCTTACTTTTTCCTGTTGTGGTGTGCGGTTCTCAACAAAAACAAGTTACAGAAATGACTTGTGGATCTACTTCACCTTCTGAAAAGCAGACTTCCCACCTATAATCTCACACTTCATTAACATTTACAAAAATAGGCAAATCAAGAAGATGTATCTAAACAAGTAAAATAAATATGGCCCTAGCCCCTGAAACCTTCTTTGAGAGTTTGAAACTAAATTGTGAAAGAATTATGAGACAGCTAACTCTGCACTGATTTAGAAACATAATACCTGCAGACTCATCTAGTGAATAAAAATGTAAGGGAATGTTCTTTAAACTAACCTTCCAGGTTCACAAACACTTGAGCAGATGGTGATTATCTTTTATTTAAAAAGCATTACCTTTGAAGGAGAAGGGTTTTGGGACCTCAAAATGTTTCCAGGGAATGAGAAGTTCATTACAAATCCATCAAACTGAAAGCTTAACAAACCCACCTGCTGACAGAATTCCTTGACCGAGCGCCCTCCCTCTATGAAGTGCTGGAAAAAGCTGTGCTCTCGCTGCAGGTAGCCTGAGGTGAGCAGCCGCAGGTACACCACCACGTAGTCTGACACGTTCTGGTCGTTGAAGGAGTTCAGCAGCTCCTGTAGGTTCGGCTGTTTCTCACACAGTTCAATCAGGTCCATGAACTTGGAGGAGAGACATCATTTACATCATTCGATTGATATGTACATAAAAAGCCTGCCAACTTACTACGCAACTGGCCAAATCGCGCTCCTTTTTTGGCTGCTCTAGCTGACCAAATACATCGTGTTTTTGGCAGATTAGCACTTTGGACTGGCAGGGATACAAGCAAATACAGTTAACTGCTATAACAAGATTTAAACAGCTACTTACTGCAGGATATAACAGGATGTTGAGCTTAAGAGGACACTGTTTATGTTTACAATCAGACAAATAAAACATCAAATGCTGCTCAGGATGGTAAATAACAGGATAATGTTCCTCTATTTGCTGCCTGTGTGATGCTGATTTTCAGCATTACTGTATTTCCTGTTAATGCAGGACACTTACGGTATTGTGGAAGTCTTCAATGGTAAACTCAGTGAAGCCCTCGTTAACCAAGTCCAGTTTACTTTTGGATGCAACTGCTTTGAACCTGGAGGGGAAAAAAATGCACATTAAATTAACCAGCAATGCCGCGATAATTAAAATAAAAACAGAAATAAAATTATGTATTTGGAGTTATACACCTTTTCTTTTCAACCATTGTTTATTATCTTTACTTCAAAACCAATCAGTCTTATCCAAAAAATTTACCACAAAATAATCATGTATTTATCTAATATAAATAAAATATTGATGTTACACCTGCTAATCTTTTCCCCCCTCTAACATTAATGTTGCATTCCAGTTGTACTCGGAATTTGGGATTTCCAAGCACCAAGTTGGAAATTCACCTGGAACGCTCCCCTGAAGTCAGAATTCCGACTGGGAAAGTCTTGATGACAACGTCATAATCCAAGATGGCAGCGCAGTGCATCAACAGTAGATAGTAACAGTGAAAGCTCTCGTAATGTATTACTTATTAGCACACTATGTTTTTGTGAGATTAAATAAGTGGTACATGTTGTACTTCCCAACATCTAACTGTGAACACGGTGCTATGGTGTTCCGCGAACAAAAACTGACAATTATTAACAACAGCTAACAACTGCTAACAGTAGGTGTTCATCTTGGTTTTTCCGACGTTTCCCCAGCTCTGACATCTGACTTCCAAGGTAACTGGAATGCAGCATTACTTTTAATAGGTGACAGTAACAGTGGGCTCCAGACTGGCATGTCTGAATTTTCAACCTGGGCTCAGGTAACTTAAGTCAGCGATAAGGCAGCACTGTATCAACTTGATGAACTTGATGCATTGATTATACTGGGTATTAATTCGTTTAATTTCTGTGTTTTCCGATTTTAGGGGGTGTGACGACTATAAAGTCTTATAATTGGGTTTGACATTACAACTTTCATCATGTCTCACCATATCAAAACACCAGAAGCATACTGGTTTGAACAGCCTGTGGGGATTGGGCTTATTTTCTCTCCCCCTCCCTCCTTGTCCTCAGCTGGTCTTACTTGCAACACTTGGTAAAGGGCTTGATTAGCTAATAAGCACCTGTTTACTCAAAGGCACTGGTCTGTAACTTTCTTGGGCTGCTTAAATTCTTACCAAGTTGGACCAATTTTCAAACTGAAATTAAACAACCGTAAAAGCTTTAAATGTCGCCATGGTAAAATCTCATAAATATTCAACATCAGATCAGGGTCAGGGTTGGAAAGCACTGGCTGATACCTACTTTATAGTTTGCTTCATGTACAGTATCATTTCTCTCTGACTCATGTTTATATGTATTTCACATATAAGACAGTGACACCCACTTCTGAAGCTCTTTGCTGTCATCTAGCAGGGATTCGAGATGTGCAAAACCAAAGGCTCTGTAGAAACAGTTCCCATCTGGTCGTGTCTTTCGAATGTATGAGTATTTTTTGTATAGGTCCTGTAACAACACAACAAATAACAGTCAAAACTTCAATCAAATGCAGAAACTGTATCTGAGAAAGTGAGACAGTGACAGTTTTATCTGTGGTCTTGGATGGCAGGAAACTGCGGAGTGTGGAGTGTGTGCACCCTGATGTGGAAGCAGAAATGTGATAGCAGGTTGTGCGGTTTGACTGACCTTGATCTTGAGCTGATAAACTGTGTCATCGTCAGCGTACTCCCTCTGCAGGACGGACAGGTCCTGTCTGTCCGACACTAAAGGGTTACTGTTGGCTATCTAGACACCCACAAAGACAAAAATTAGTGCATGAACCAAAGGCAGCTTAACTCACTGGTGACTGCCCTTGAGGGTCTGGGGGCTGTGCTTGAGGTCACCACATGGGTTATGATTTTAACCGCTAAAAATAGCTTTGCATATCTGCATAAAGCAAAGACAATTTTCATATCTATCACAAGTCCACGTGAACATTTCTGGTTACATTTTCATAAAAAAGACTTAAGGCCATGAAGAAAAACAAGGAGTTCAGTTTAGCCCACACAGCCATGCAGCTCTCTAGGTTTCTAATCACGTTAAAAAAATATCTCAAACTTCCACTTTCAGTCGTTTTTTGTTTTTTTTTCTGAGCCTGATAAGCAGAGGCCACCTTTGTTTATCTTCTCAAACAAACCAGACAGCCTCCGCCTCTAAGCACTGATTTCTCACCTCCTGCTGAATTCTGTCTTGTTGAGCGATTATGGCCTCATCATACGCAAGGCAGTTCACTCCTGAAAGACAAGAAGAAGGGATTAATTAAGCTTCAGGACTAAATACTCAACTTGTGGTCTGATATGTGGCCATAACAGTAGAGCCTGTAGTCATGTCAGGTTGTGTACAACCCTTCTCATTAAAGAAATAGGTGAGAGGTTAATAGAATATGAGGCATCTGTATCTAAAAGCCTTCATCAGGCTGAGGCCCTCACTGAGAACCAGCTATTAAAAGATGGCGCTACTTCTATATCACTGTATAGACAAGTAGACTGTGAAAACCAGGGCCAATACCAGATTGATGTTAGAAATAACCTGACCAATAGCAAATTCTGGTATCAACTTTTTTGTATGATTTTTATCTATTTTTTGTTCTTTCAAATGAGCTAGAAGATTTTTACACACCTCAATTCTACAGAAGTGCTGAAACACAGTCCTGCCATCATTGCGCCTTTCTACACACACACACACACACACACACACACACACACACACACACACACACACACACACACAATGCACCTCAACATATATGAAGTTAAATTACTGGTGTCCAAGTTTGACATGACACTGCATTATATAGATGCACATGCTTGTGAACACCCAGCAGGAGCCTCTCATAAACACTCAGACATGCACATACACATGGCTCTGAACGCAGATACACATTGCCGCCTGTTTCCCCCCTGATGCTACCTACGTGGGAGGACCAGAGGCAGAGAGATGGGTGAAAATATCCCTCTTTGAAATGTACAAATGAAATGAAATGCACAAATGTACAGATACCAACGTGGTAAATGTCTGCTGTTACTCGTGTTTGACATAACATCAAAGTGTGCGTGCAATCAGACAATATCCGAATAGAGCAATGTGCAAATCCAGGAGATTGTCGTATCGTCACTTTTTTTTTTGGTCCACACATATCAACGTCATTTAAAATGCACCAAACAAGAGCTCTGATGCAGACTATAGGCTGAACAAACAGGATGTCTCCTACATAGTGTGTGTACCACATCAATAAGCTGCGCACGCTAAGTGCAAAATACGAAGCAGACAATTCAAAAGTCTGACAGCCTGACAGTCCTCAGCGTGTGTGTGTGTGTGTGTGTGTGTGTGTGTGTGTGTGTGTGTGTGATTGGCAGAGTGCACTTCAGTCTGTAATGGAGCGGTGGAGTCTGTCTGTGCATTGCAAAGGTAGTAAACGCAAAGACAGAGTCAGATTCTGTTTAGAAATAAAAATATTCAAACACTAAAGGTTGACCAACTCTTACAGGTTAATTAGAGATTTCGTTTGAGGGCTGATCTAAACCTTTTTTTCTCCATCAGTGATCTGCATTTGAGCGCATCATCTCACCAAGATCATTTACGTTAGCTTTCACTGATTATTATTGACTGCAGAATTCATACCTGCAAGTAACGTGGTGTAACTAAGCATTCTGAATTTAGCAGATTGTATGTCCTTCATAATAAAATAATTAAATATTAAACATACTGTGGAATTAAAGCAACATCGTGTCCTTTAGTGCACAAACATGCAAAACCAACTGGATTACAATAGCAACAACAACATCAATCCACTTTGTTTTTTAAGACAACTGATCAGGACTTCATCATTTGAAACAACAAGATCTGGTTTTAGATACCAAACCAATCAAACAGGTTACATGATGATCTTGGACAGAAGAGATTAGAGTACTCCAGTAAACTTAGCCTTTACAGGTATTGTACTGTATGCTTCAGTGTAAGTTATATATCATGTTTCATTGAGGACTGCATTTTAGAGAGAGAGAGATCAGTTTGGTTGTACTGGTTGGTAACTTACAGAATAAATTCAAATCAAACACGGGAAAGAATAATGATAGAAAAAGAAGAATTGCAGCATCTGTTTACTGTCACCAAAACAGCACAGATGCAAAGCAAACATTTGAAATACACAGTTCCCATGTATAATGTGATATAATGCAATAGGCCAATCAGTCAAGACTGTCAGAATTCAATGGTAAACAATAGTGGAATTAATGATTTCAGACCTAGTTGTGCAAAATAAAGGAAGGTAAGTGTGCAGATTTATGATGCACGTTTTGTTTTTCAAACAGCTGCATTTACATGTGTGACAAGACCCAGCACTTTCCATTGGAAACAATACAATGCATGATGTCAGTAAGACTTCTGACTTTTTCAATGTTCACTACATCGGAACAGAAAGTACCATACTATGGCTTGTTCTGCATGTAGTCTGTTTGTTTGTGACTGTATAGATTTATCTGCAGAAACCAGGTAGGTGTAAAAAAGGATCTGGCTGAGCTTCGATAAATCTTGCTTACCTAATGTTTTCAGCTTTACTTTCAAAATAAAGTGCTGGGTTTTTTTAATGCTCTACACATAAAAGGAACATGTTATTGCACTGACTAGCGTAACATTATGGCTGGACAACAAGAGAGAAGGGGTTGAATTTTGAATATTTTTAAGCATGTAAAAGTCATCTACATCTAATACTTATATTTATTTATTTGTTTATTTCATATCTGCAACCACTTATACTCAATCTAAAAACAGTAGTTCACAAAAAACACGCTCAACCACCGTCAGTCTGCTGAACTCTGCGAGCTGCGAAAACTAAACAAATTCATGTCACGACGAATAAGCTCGTTTTCTTACTAGCAGGGGGGGTCCTGTCGTAAATAATAAGCCAGCGCTCTCAATACCTTTCTTATGTTAAAAGTCCCGGGACTGTCATTTACTGTTTACTCTTTTAGTTACTCAACAAGCTTTTTTTTTTCTTTGTGTAGCGACGAGGAGCTAACCAGCGTTAGCCAACAAGCTGTGGCCTCTGTCTCCCCCTCACCGCCGTGTCAGCCACCGTAACATCGGAGAAGACACGGGCTAAAGCAAGGAGCATAACCACGCGTGGATGTGGGCTTCAGCTACAGAGATAAGGCAGGTTCGTTTGCCGAGTTCGTGCTGTAACGGTTTCTCTCACCCTCCATCTCTCCCTGTGATGATTCCTGCTGCTCCTCCGCCATCTTAGCTGTCGAAGTCTGTTTCCTCCTTCTGCCTGACCTCATTCATTACACACTTCCGGGCGGAGTCAAAATAGCTGATTTATGTATCAACTTTATGTTAGAGTTTACAGTACAAAAGTATCCTTATATGTCAGGGAAACTTTAACAAAACGAGACGGGCAAAACAAACAACCAAAAAGAAAAAAAAAAGATAGGTTTAAAAATTAGATGGAATCCATGACTCCACTTGATAGAAAAAATAAAGTACACTGTGATGCCATACCGAACAATAGTGGATACAACACCTGCTGAAATTTTAAATGATCACGATGTTACGAAATTATCACGATAATTTGGAATTATGAATTTTTTGAAAAAAATAAAAATAAATAATAGATAATAAATAAAATTAAAATAAATATATATATATATATATATATATATATATATATATATATATATATATATATATATATAATAGGACGGTTGTGATTACTTTAGAAACCTGATGGTAACCATGACTCTACCATACCATAAAAAATAAGCTACACGGACTGTATAGCCTTGTTTTCATTCTCTCTCGCTCTCCGTGATGCCACACTGCGGGATTCCAAATTATCAGTTTAATTACAAATTATCATAAAGTTATAGGAATGTTGTAACAGCTTTTAAAAATCTCTATAACAACTGCTCATTAAAGATCTTCTGCCTTGCTTTTTGTGCTCTCCTTTCTTTTCACTCAATCGTTTTTGTGTTTTTCTTTTTGGAATAATGTTGATAAAATATTGATATGACAGTAAAGCTATAACCCATGTGCACAATCTTTGCTATTTTAACATATCTTGATTTTTTGAGTTCTAAACGATTAACTAAAAAAACAGCTAAACAATCATATAGTGGCACAGCATTACCACATTAAATGAAGAGTTCAAAATGCAAAAGGTTAAGTGCAAGATTAATATCATCAGCACTGCTGCACGTAGTCTTGGAGAATCCAGTCAAAGTCAAAATCTATCCAGAGAGCAGAAAAAATTCAAATCAAATTGTAAAATGATGGTGCCAGCTTTACGATGTGTGGCAGAATGAGAATTACTTGGCCTCTTACATCTTATTCCAAATTTTGCTTTGTGTTAACTTAAATAGTTTGAAAGCTGGACCATTGGTGTGCATTTACATTGGTTTCAAATTTGCCCTCAATATTAAATCCACCAGATAATTTAGTAATAATGTGATAATGTGATAATTCAGACTTGAACCTGTACAGATACTTCCAGCTTTCCAGTGCATTGGACAATTTCTTCCTTTTTCAAACGGTGATCAATTATTTGTGGTCTCTTGAGATGCAGAGATCAGAACTATAATAGTCACAACAGATTCACTCTTATCAAAGACAGCAGTAAAGAAACAGACTAATGTGTTGAAATCAGAATAAACAGGCCAAAGGATGCTGAAATATCAGCATCATGATGCAAATTTATAACAAGTAAATTCATTCTTTATCCATATTCAAGACAATGTTTTCATTTCAAGGCACAAATAAAAAAACATGTCCTTCTTAATGTGTGAATGATGCAAATGTGTGTATCTGCGTCATTGTATGTTTTTTTCATTGCCTTTATGTAAGCTCAGGGTTAGAATTTGCATGTTTTTGGTCTGAGCATGCCACGGAGGAGGAAACGGTGTTGTGACAAAATTCAACACATCCAGATTAGACAGAAGAACAGATAGATAATTCAACTACATCATAACAGACAGGTGTTTAATGGAGTTCATAGCTCATTTTTGCCCTCAGCGTAATCCAACCCTGCCCAGGACAGTTCCAATCTGTGACGCTTCTAAAACAGTAAACACCCAAATTCATTTCAGGATCGAATTCTTACAGTATTCATGCACGTTTATTCCAACCCATCCACGCAAGATGAAAGCCCAAATTGCCCTCAAAATAAAAAAAAATCCAGACATGTGAAGGAGGAGGATCATTTCCCAAAATCACAGTGGTTGCAGAGTCTTTCATAGTTTGTCAGCTCATTCAGGTCCCTGCACTATCCAGTAGTATACATCAGGGGGCACACTGTACAACACAAACACAAACCACACTCTTAACATCATACCCATCATCCACTCCTCCTGCCTGTCGGGTGCTGGCTAATAATATTAAACACATTACCTCGGTTAAAAACACACATTAAAACCAGTAGTTGTAAGTCAAGATATCTTTTTACAATGAAGGTGGAAAATACTACTTACAGAAGTAAGCCAAAAACAAAATAATACTTCATATTTGCCAAAAAGCTTACGATGTTATTGTTTCCTTTTGGCACACTGACTCCCAATTCAGGGCTGTAACACAACGACAAAATACTCAGGACACGTTTAGCACAAATAAAGATGTAAAATCATTAGTAAACAGATCAAATATACACTCTTGGTTTTGCCTTAATATTAACAATCTGTAACGGTTAATTTTAAAGTCCCTGTAGAACTCATAGGTCCTGGAATGTCATAAAAATACAGCTTGCGATAGAAATTTGGCAAATCACAGATGTGTCTCCATGGTTACAACAGCTTTTCTTTGACACGGTCTCTTATGTAGCATAGAGTCCAGATGAAGTAGCCACACCAAGCAACACAGTAACACAGTAAAACACTTAACACAGTAAAACATTTGACAGTAACATGTTAAGTTTGGCACAAATGAACTGGCTTACATCTGCTGTGTATATGTGTGCATTCATGAAGGCTCATATGCTTTCATCTAGAGTATGCAGCTCACTGTAAAGGTGCATTACAACAAATTAGAATATCACAAAAGATCACATCATTGATATTTAATTCATGAGTTAAGCTTTCTTCTGAGTATCCCTGACATGTAAAACAAAGTAGTATTTTAAGTTCTTTTAAGGATCATTTTTGGTGATTTTGGTTTACAGCTAATTAAAATCACAAATTTACAAACTCAGATTCTCGATTTTAAAAAAGCGTTTGAAAAACAGAAACAACTAAGTATATTCATTTATTCTGTCAGTACTTGGTTTCGGGTCTTTGACCACAAATTACTGCATCAATTCAGCATGCTATAGAGCTAACCACCCTGTATTTCCCTAATCACAAATATCCCACAGATTATATGTGCAAGCTTGCTGACCAACTTAGCACAGAACTGTAACGGGCAGCAGACTGTTTGGTAGATGCTTCGAAGCTTGAAGTGCTCTAAAATCTCCTGGTAAAGGGCCGCAATGACTTTGGCCTTATTAAAACATGGTGGACCAACTCCACCTTTTGCATTGCCTCTGGTTCAGGAGCAGCCCTTTTTCCTGTTAATGTCAATCACTGGTTACAGATTCTCTGTTGCCAGTAAGGATACTAATTATGAGAGAGCAAGTTAGCCAATGGCCGATGTATAATGCCGTTATCAGGTGTTGTTTGTTTGTTTTTGACCAAATACAGCAATTTAATACTACGAAAAAGTTAAAAACAAAATAGCCAAATGTAGGTGACTATTTAATCAAAATCTAATATACATGGTTGTCTTAAACAAATCTAGCTGATATTGCTGTTAATACTAAATTTTACAGTAATTTACTGTATTAAAACATGAGTCAATGACTGCTCTGTATTTGATAAGCTGATATTAGGAACTGGTAAAGATGATGGGGGAGGGGATGCTGATATGATGTCAAAATGCCAATATTTGGCCACAGATACATGTGTTACTTGTCTATCTCTCTCTACCACATTTTTCCCTACCAGTCAACTTTCCTTTCATATACTTCGATGCAGGACTCTATGAAGAGCCAGCTCTTCAGCTGTGGCCTTCTGTGGCTTACCCTCCTTGTAGAGGGTGTCAGTGACTGTCCTCTGGACATCTGTCGAGTCCGCAGTCTGCACCATGATTGTGGTTGAGTGTACTGACCTGGACTGAAGAATACATGGTGTTTAGACAGTTTAAATAATGAGTTGCTTAAACTCAAAATATGCTAACATTTGCAGACATTTTGAGCTGTAGGTTTTCATAATCAAAATGTAAATGATTTCGATGAATCTAAAATACACCAAACTTTAACTTTTAAAACAAACTGTCAGAAAATATGTTTTTTTTTTAATGATATTATAATTTGTTTAGATTCACCCGTATTTTGAACGTTGACAACATGTGTGAATAACATTATGGCTGTAAGTAAATAGGTCCATAGAGGAACTGTAGAAGTGACTGAACATCTAACATGTTCAGTTATCAGTGATCCAAAAATAGTTTTAAAAGATTTTTAAAAAGCTCATTATTTGCAAATATGTACAGATCTACACTTCACCAAAACACAACTTAAGGAAACCTTTGTCATGTTTTGATGACATGATTTCTTTATCAAATCCCAACTGTCTCAATGCTTCAGGCGAGGGCATGTGGGCAGTAAGACAATACAGAGGTATGCATGTTTTAGGCGTGGCTAAAGAGGAACCAGCCCATGGTTTGGATCAGATCCCAAACTGTGTTATGCAAGTAAAGGAACTTAACACAGGTACAGTTGCTGGTAAATTGAAAAACACTGAAGCAAAAATCCACCCTCAGTCCTGAGGTGTTGCAATGAGCGTCTCTGGTGTACAAACTTCCACAGCTCCAGCAGCCTTGACTACAATTCCTGCTTTTCCTGATCGCTGTGCTCGAGTGCTGTCAACTCCCCACACAGCAGGCATGTGAACTGTAGTCACCTGTAGGGTTTAGCTGGTACAAGCAGCCAGTACTGTGTTGAGAAAAATTAAGAAGCAAGAAATTAAACACTTGAGTAGCTGCACCGAAAATACTGCAACACCGTCTTTTAGTCCAGGTGGATTCATACCACACATCACCAACTGCAGGCAGAAATACAGAGTGTCCTGTGGATGCTTTGGAGGACCTTTTCCTGTGAGGATTTTGTTCTATTGCACTGTGTTCCCACACCATAAAAACAATGCATCACTATAGTGAGGCATTTTTTTTTTTACAACTGACCCAGATTTGGCACTTGTGGGTTTTGAACCCCCTCCAAGCCCACTGCTGGTCACTCTTGCAGTTTTGAGTGTCACTAGCAGGTGCCTGCTAAACTATCTGGGCCTTGTGGATCAGTGAGGCATGTGGATTGACCCCAGAGGGGCTCAGGCGAGATTTAGGCCTGAGCGTGCCATTAGTCTGCTGGAAGCGCATACTGTGAGCTTCAGACACCTGGGAGCTGTTGGTCTCACTGTCTTGATCATCAGGATGCTCCTGACTGGCAGGACCCCCCAAACCTTCATCCACTTCATCCTCATCATCTGTAACCGGTGGGTAGGTGCAGCTTGGAAGTGGGTGCTGGAGAGTCTTGCTGCCACTTCCTGGTCTTGAACCCCCTTCAATTGGAATAACAGCGCTGCCGTTCAGCTGCCTGACAATCTCAGTGGACTGCACAACAGGGTAGGGTGATGGCGTGAGAGGAGGGTGGAAACGGGTTTCCTGCTTGAAACATAGCAGACGCACTTCTTAATTGCATCATCATCGCCATCATCATCATTGTCATCATCATCATCAGGTAAGTATGCAGAGGTTAATTAGTCAAGTTTGGACTTGCCCAGATGTACAAGCGACTCTCTTACCAAAGATATTGTGCTGTTTCTCACATATGTTTCCACTCTGAGTCGGTTCTCCTCGTCCCTATCCAGAGGCCGCTCTCTCCCCCGCCGGGAGTTATTATGCAGGACTGGTCTTCCCAGGTAGTCAAACGCTCCCCCTCCTCCTCCTCCTCCTCCTCCACGCCCACCAGAGATAGTAGATCGACTGTCACGGCAGTAAGCCTGTTCCTGTCAGCCCAGGAAAAGACACTGATGAGTCCTGATTAGGCACATATAGAGCAGATCTCCACTGTTCTTTTAAACAGAAGTGACTCCAGTCTGCGTTATGTTTGACTTTGATTGTAAACCAGTGACACTCAACACAATAGTTTAACATTTTTGAGAATCTTTTAATTAAAACTAACAGCAAATAAAAAAGTTTGAAACGTGTGCACTAAGATTAAGACACATGGCAGAGGAAGGTTAGCTGATTTTCACATAAAGACTGAACATAGGAAGGAAACAACAAACATGCCAGCTACTACAAGTTACCTCTCGGCTGAAAGCAGCATTTTTCATCTCCAATGAGACCATGTGTAATACCGGGACTGGCTGACACTGGATGGACTAACGAGACAAAGTATAAAGCTACTGCCAATAGTTGGCCGGATACAAATACATAATGTATATTGTTAAGTCTTAGTTTGGTCCCTTGATGACAATCAGACATCTCCTGTGGTCCTCCTTTGACATTTATCCTGTTATAATAATATCCTGTTATATCCTGTTAAAATAAGTATTGAAAAGAACACCTTCCATTACTGGGTCCTAAACAAAGAGCTAAAAACAACAGACAGCTAGCCTAACTTTCTCAACCTATCTTTTTGCATAATTAGATAAAGACACAACTTCAACTTGTATACAAATTAAAAAGTCACAACCAGTGGTAAGAACAGATAGGATAAGATAAGATGAACCTTATTGACCCATGAAGGGAAATTCAACTAGCACAGACGTGCAACTTTTTTTTAAAGCTTTTATACTCGAGGGGACATTGTGTAAGACCAATCTTGTTGATTTTAGCTCTGTATTTGGAAGGATCAAATAGGCACAGAACAACTTACACCTTTAGATAAATATTTGCTACAGCCGACAGACAGTTAGCTTATCGTAAATACTTACACTACCACAGTATACAGTTAGCAACGACTAAGTTTTAAGTTTGGTTTCTCATCATAATCCTTTCACAAATCATCCCACAGTTTTGTGATTATATAAACAATAGCTGTCGGATCTATGTTAAATAAAGAGCTAACAACAGCAGACAGCTAGCATAACTTTCTGAACCTAGCTTTTTTGTACAAAGACACAACTCTGATCCATATGCTAACTCTAAATCAGCAGACAGTTAACTGAGGAAGGCATTAGCCATACATTAACACTGTTTAACTGGCTATTGTAAGGGGCAGCACACCATGTAAGGTCACTTATTATAAACTAAATAATCATAACAAAAAAAAATTAAAAATTATAATAATAATTATAAGACTGAGAAAGGGGAAAAGGTCTCAACTTTCTCATGAATCTGTAAATATGAAAGTAAATGAAAGTGGTATCACCCCTTCCCCTTGCAATCTAGAAGCCTCCTCTGCTGTTGCCATGTTAAAATATTGTCATCCTTTGTTAGCCACAATTTCTCTATTAAAATGACAAATTATAAAACACAGCTGCATGCTTTTGACCTCTAATGTTTGGAAAAGGACAAAGAGCAGAACAGGACCTTGAGTTTTTTGTTAACAGATCATAGGTCTGTCACAACACACCAAGTGCGAGTAAAATCATTCCCGTGACTGAATTACATGTTAAGTCAATGCAAAGGCGCGATTAGACACGTGTACTACTCTGGCTGTGAGAATGATGCGAATTGAGAGGGAGCTGAAAATGTCTCAATTGGAGTGGATATTCGCGTCAAGATAACCAATCAGCATGGAAGGTAGCTGGGTGATGTATGAAAATGGATGGTTGTTCACTGGTATCTAAAATGGAGGACAAACTGATCGTGACAGTGTGTGGGTGCCTTGAATTATATGATACCTTTTCTTTCAATTACCGAAACCAGAATAAAAAGGAGCTCGTCTGGAGGCAAGTGAGTGAGGAGGTCAGATTACCTGGTAAATTGTAAAAAAACACTGCCTATCACTTGATTCCACCGGTTGAATTGGCAGGGAGTACCGTTGAAATTACGCGCAAATGAAGTGAGTTAATACTAGTCATTCACGCGTCTAGATAAGCGAGTAGATTATTTTACTCATGCTTGGTGTGAGCGCCCCATTGGGATATTATCTGATTGATTGAGCCACAATTTGAGCACATCTTGTGTCCTTGTCATGTAACTGTCATATGACTTTTGAATGAGACATCTCATTGTAACAAAGCATTATAGCACCTTTTTCAAGACACTTCAGCCTAAATGGAAAAGAAGGAGAATACTTGTGTAATTAAAGAAGCCATGCCATGGGAGAAAGAGGTACCAAGAGAAAGGACAATACAGAGATCAAGGGTCAATATCTGAGATTGCATTACTAATTCTCAGAGTTTAGCCATCTGGCATCCAGACAGTAAAGCCTGAGTCCCCAGCCTTGACTTTGCATACATTGATAAATAGATATGTAGACTGACCCCAAGGGATGACAGGCTGGTCCTCAGGGTTCCCTCCACCCTCAGAGGGATGTTTTCTTCAGTCTGCATTGAAAAGAAACAGAGGGCCAGATTTGAAACAAGGTCAAAATAATCTCAAACTTTGTTCAAACCAAAACCCTGAAAAAGTGTGCACCATCTTTCAAAAAACTTTCAAACTCACTCACTGGTTTTCCATCGGGTCATGAACAATTGACTACTTCAGCTAACTGACGTTTATAGAGCATGGTATTACATATTCATCACAGGAAAATTTCTACACGAGAATCCTTGAATATGTGATGGTGCTAAACATATGGGAGCAGCATGGCTTTGATAGATGGTGTCGGGCACTCTCATCCTGAGTCGAGCTGAGTACGGGCGTCAGAGAAAACATAATATGATGCTGCAGTTGTGTGAAAATAATAATTTAGTGATCATACCGCTCCTCTGACATCTGTGCTGACAGAGTTCATCCTCCTGAAAGAGGCTTGCCTGGAGAGGGTGCTTATTTCCTCCCTATGAGAAATGAGGAATGGAGAGAGAAAGAGGAAACATATTCAAAAGATGGAGAAAATGATAGTTTTCTGTATTTTTTAAAGATTTTAAACTTTCATGCTGCATTCATTTAAATTTCTATGTCCTTTTCATGCTTTTGTTTGTTTCCTTGTCGCTCCCACACACCGTCATGTATCAACTGAATTTTACACTTGCTGTCCTAATTCTACTTTACACACTCTACACTTGTAGCTGTCAGTTACAATCTGCATAACGAGCCTAATTTGCTTCATTCTTACTTATTCTCTTTGGCTGAATCTTCCCCTGCGGAGATCATTAAAATTTCATCTTATCTCATCTAAATTACACATCATGTTATCTCAGCGTACTTTCTTTCAGTCAGCTCCCTCTTCAGCTCCTTGTTCTTGCGTTTGTGGTGGCAAGTCACGGTGATGACAACCACAAGCATCAAGATCAGCAGCCCGCCGGCCACACCTCCCACGATCAGCATCAGTATGTCTTCCATCTTCGTCTGCCCCTGATGAGCTTCTGTAAAGCAGAGCGCCAGGTGGTAAATTGGCAGGATTAGATCAGTGTATCTGTTATTATTGAGGCGGGTGATGTTGATAACAGTGCTGTCATGTACCTGTCACACCGATATTAACCTCCGCTTTTCCTACTCCAACTTCGTTCTTGGCCACACACTGGTAGGTGCCCCCGTCCGACACACTCAAGGGTCGCCCAAAAGCAAGAGTTCCATTAGGGTGGGGGATCACACCTTCTGGGAGCTCTCCACCTATCCTGCGAACACAATAACCACAAAAAAACACTCTAAAATGATCAGATTTAAACAGAAGCTTCCTACTGTACTGCTCGGGTTTAGTTTGGCATCCTCAAAATGTTAAAGCTTCTGTGTGTTTTACTAGGGCTGCTTTTGCTCATACATAAATCTCGATGTGATTGTGGTCCATATCTAACGTGTCATCTTATTTTAACTGCATTATTATTTTTTAGGCACACGGTAGTCAAGCCCTATCTTCTTGCTGCCACAGAGATGAAAAATGACACCAATGTGTTTTTAAATGGCATATTTAATTTTAAAAACTTAAAAAATAAAAAATAAATTCCACGTGTCTCAGTCCATGAGTCAGAAGTAATTGTCACTTTGTGTTAAATGGGATTAAAATATCACCTGGGCACCAGTTTGGCTCTGTGGTCAATGTTCAAAGGTTCAAGTCCAGCCCCGGGCCTTTTGCATGTCTTGCCCCACTTTTTCTCCCAGTTTGCTCCTCCATCTGCAGTCTTATCCTCTCAATAGAGGTATGAAAGCTCACCAAAGAGCTTTCAAATGATTAAATCAACACTAAAGACCTTTGAGATGGAGCTCCCACCCACAAGCTAAGCATTCAGGTGCAGCTAGTGAGGTTGATGTTAGCAGGTAACTGCAACACAAAAGCCAGCATAGCACTATACTTTGGACCTGTGGATAAAACTAAATCATAGAAGTTCACTACAGTGCTTAATTGTTGACCGAATTTCTTAGCATTGGTGACAAGGAAATAAAATTACTTTGAAATGAAGGTTAACAAATCAAAAATGGGATTAATTGTGTTCACCTGCTGAAATTCTGGTTTAACTGCATTTGAAAAATAAACAGTTATTTTTTAGCAGGGTGGGCTTTTATGCCTCTATTTTGGAGGAGGATAGAAAAGTGGATAGAGTGAGACATGCAGGAAAAGGGCCTCAGGCTGGAATCAAACCCAGGCTGCCCACTTGGGCAGTTAACCCTGTCGGCCCAAAGTGCCCTGCTTGTTAAAAAAGTCATCTTTGACACTTTTCATGGGAAAGCTATAAAACTAGCTGTAAAATATATTTTTCTGAACTTATTTTAGGGCTAAGTTTTTTAGGGTTATGACTCTTTATAAGTTATAAAAGCAAAATCACATTTCTTAGTCTCTATTGTAGTTTTTTATGTCTGTAACACCTGTTTTTACCAACTAGACTAAAAGTATTCACAATTAGGGAGAAATGCAAGTATCTAAACAGCTTTAAGATTCATATCTTTGCCCACAGGGGGCACCACATCCTACACAAACAGATAATTGTTCAGAGAAGCTTTACGAGAGCATTCAGACTGTCTCTGGCATACTTAAAGTCTCTGTGGGTGGTGCAGTGTCTTTGTTCAGGCATGCTACCTGTTGCTCGGCCCGTGCCGACCAATCAGCCCTGTTTTTAATTTCGCTCTAGCCAAATAAACAACAGGAGTACTAGTACTACACAGTGTGAATGACAGATTTTACAGAGATATTCAGAAAAAGCCTCAAACTGTTGATAGATAGCATGTTGTGACACAGGAAAACATTTCAGAGACTTGGATGAGTAACAAAGTTTAGGGTGTTGCCTCAGTGATGTTGTTTTGACTGCATTTGATTTAATCAGCACTAAAAGACTTGATACCTGTCTTTGCTGTAAACAGAAGCGTACTGGAAAGACCTGGTGTACTCTCTTGGACCTGCGTCTTTGCACTGTGGTGACACCTCCTTATCTTGCACTTTTCTCATCACCATCAGGAAAGAGGAACTTTGTGTTTTTGCATTTGCAGCAGCCGCACTTCTGTGATGATATTTTGCACAAATCTACACAGTTAGCTTCTTCTTACTCCTCTCGTTGCCCCCTGCCTCACCCCCCAGCTGCTCCAACTACCTCCCTCCTAATCGAGTGGCTCATCCCTTTCCCTTTCTGTTCTCATCCCCCTCTTCCTCCCTCCTTCGTGTGAAACTGTCTCATCTGTCTGCTCGGCGCACAAGCCGCAACACGACACTGTGACACCAGCTATTACTTCACCTGCCGCCTGTTATTGACAGAGCCAACAGGTTCACCCACTGCTTCTACAGCCGCAGCGTGTGTGTGTGTGCGTGTGTGTGTGTGTGTGTGTGTGTTGGTGTGAAATGTGTGCGTGAGTAAGGAGAGGTTGATTGTAACTAGAGATTCAGAGTGCTGACTGGTGCGAGTTCATGTGTGCGTACATGCATACAAACACAGTGTTTAGTAATCCTTACTCACAAATACTGATTTCCCAAGGTGTGTTCCTGTGACTAACAGCTAGTAACATGTACATCATCATTTGGCAAAAACAAATTAAAAATCAGGAAAAACATCCCTAAACACTTAACCCACTTTTCTACATTTTGGATGTGTTTTTTCCGCACTTGAGCGTGAGGAATTTCTCCCTCTGGGCCTAACAGTCGCTTGTCATAACTTTCGATTGAAAGCAGTCACTTTTCCAGCTTCTATGTTGTTTTTATTTTCCATCAATCTCACCGCCACACCCCGACAGTATGTTAATTCGTCAAAGAAAATACTTTACAGACGACACCAGGTGACTCAAGCGCACGAAGTCAAGCATTTGAGTCAAACCCTGGTCCGGGATTAACGCAGGGCTGCGATGTGCCGCATTTTAAATGACACACCGACATTAGGAGCCGTCAGGAAGCAGAACCAAGGGTGACAATGCCAGGACATGTTTGTTTGAGACATGTGAGAAGGGTGGAGCGCTACCTCACTTCATGGTAGAAAGTCTACAGTCATCAACAACTTAACTAACGATCAGGAAACAAAGATTTTAACTCTGAACAGTTTCAGTCTGTCGCTTGTATTACTGAACAACGAAACTTTCTTTCTTGTTACATAGCTGATTGATTATTCATTTTTCTGATTTGAACAACCATGTTTCTTTTGGCAGGCAGGCTGTTTTCTTTTCATTGCTTGTTCAACTTTCTGTTGAACAAAATTAGCCTTGTTTTTGTAAGAAACAAGCAAGCAGCAATGTTTGGTGTCAAAAAACAAGCCAAGGTCACAGAAACTGCAGTTCCTGGAGAGTCCACTGGAGGCTGGCTCCACAAGCCCTGGAACCCATATTGAGACCCATGTTAAAATATTTAGATTTAAAGCAAACTTGAACATGTTTACAGGCTGGCACATTGATACCACTTGGTCTGATCAGCCCATTATTTGTCCACAGTGTAAGGGTGGTTACTCTGTTTGTGTCTCATTTATTTTGAAGATATTAAGTGCACAAGTTTAGACATATAATAATATCAGACAGATTGACAGACAGGCTGGAAGGTTTAAGTCACTTCTAAGCCACAACTCCACCTCTTTGCTTCTTGCAAGGTCAGGAGAAAAATAGATTGATTCAACATTTCCAATATGGCAACTGGCATCAAATTGTAAATACTATGCTGTTAGAATAATGCTATTCTTTTGCCCCATGTATTTTTCTGTCTTCACCACTTGGTTGTAACATCCAGCATTTTTCCTTAAGATTAGTTACTGATCCCCCATGGAGGATACTCATTTTTCTTCACTGCCTTTTATGGTGTCATTGCCACATCTATTCGGTGGAATACTATCTGATATCTCTTGTGCATCATGTCAAGGCTTGATGAAAAACCAAAACAAAACTGAGTCATAAAGGCGTCTTCACCTTTAGTCAATAAAAAAAAAAAGTAATGGACCGCACTGAACTTTGGATTCAACTTGACTGTATAAACTGCTGGTACAGAAATTTTCTTTTGTTTTAATTATCATTATTATTATTATTATTAGTAGTAGTAGTAGTAGTAGTATCACACTCTACAAAGACAATTCCTCTGAGTAATTTTTGGACAGACTTCTTTAAACCATTAAGATCAATGCCAGTTTTCTAGCTCTTCTTTAAGTGCCATAATATTTCTAACAACTACGGAAGAGGATGAGGGCCATTGTAAAAAAATGTTAAAACATAAATAAAAAGAAGGTCCAATATTTTTTTAATTATTAATCTGAAATTTAAGTCAGAATTCTGAGAAAAAAAAGTCAGAATATTAATCAAATATATATACAGTACAGGCCAAAAGTTTGGACACACCTTCTCATTCAATGTCTTTTCTTTGTTTTTATATATACAGTACAGGCCAAAAGTTTGGACACACCTTCTCATTCAATGTCTTTTCTTTTTTTTTTTTATATGACTATTTACATTGTAGATTATCAATGAAGGCATTAAAACTTTGAATGAACACATGTGGAATTCTGTACTTATAAAAAAAGTGTGAAATAACTGAAGACATGTTTTATATTCTAGTTTCTTTAAATCAGCCACCCTTTGCTCTTGATGACAGAAGTACTTACTGACTGACTCTGTCAGCCACTAAGTAACCCTGACAAAACACACACCTGTGAAGTAAAAACCATTTCAGGTGACTACCTCATGAAGCTCATTGAGAGAACAGCAAAAGTTTGCAGTACTATCAAAAAAGCAAAGGGTGGTTACTTTGAGGAATCTACAATGTAATACATTTTTTCAGTTATTTCACACTTTTTTCTTACACACATGATTCCACGTGTTCATTCATAGTTTTGATGCCCTCAGTGAGAATCTACAACTTAAATAGTAATGAGAATAAAGAAGAGAATAGAGAAAAGGCATTGAATGAGAAGGTGTGTCCAAACTTTTGGCCTGTACTTTATATATTTTGTGACTAGACTTCAAATAAAATCAGAATTGGTTGTCCCACCTACCTTCCGTTTTTTCGACTTTAGTCAACTTGGGATTTAAAGAAACTTGACTAAAGTTTGAGTTTGATAAAGCAAGTTTACTCATCATCCAGTGATTCCAATCAAAACTGATTCAGTTAATAGAAACTGCACAGTCAGTTTTTCCATTGAGTGTCTTGATTTATAAAGAACACGCTCAATGGAAAACACAGTAAACCAAAAAGTAAATGACACCATACATATGGAGTTTGTCTCAAGTCAGCCTGACAAAACCAGCATAAGTGACTATGGCAAGTAATCAAGGTTTGTATGTTTGACCTGAGTGCTACCCCGCTGAACTCCTGTCGGCATTCTTGTCTGATGAAGTCACAGAAAAATAATTATATTAATTGCTCTCAAAGTTACAAGAAAAGTTGTACCGTCCAGACAAATCAGACAGTTAGTCACCGGGTACCAGACAGACAGACAGAGGGGGAGGGAGGCGGGGTCTACTATACCTGATCCAGGTGAAACTCTGTGGTTTGGGGTTTCCTCCACTCATACACCTTAGGGCAGCATTCTGCATACCCGAGGACCAGTCTCCATTAAAGCCAGTCACCTCTGCATGTGGAGGGACTGAAAAAATCACAAAGGGGAACAATAGATTACCAGGACTGCTTGTAGGAAACAAGTGAGTTTATTGTAAGACCAGGATTAGATGAAACTAATGCTGAATCAAATGCATTATACAGGAGTTTAAAAACAAGTCAAACATAATTGCTTTAAATGACAGCGGGAACTATAAAGTTCTGTGTTTCTTCTTGTCTGTTTCTCAGAGCTCCGAGGTCTGATATATTTACAGAATCACAATTTGAATATGACGTGGACAGTCACTGAACTGTCTCATAAATGATGTAAAACATATTGACATTTTCCCTCACCTTTCGGAATCTAAACAAATCAAAGTTTGTTCAAAAGGTGGATCCTTGTGCCCAATAAAAACTTTGCTCTCTGAATCAACAGTTAGGTATACAAGTTTGCTAGTACTAAATTAATGAAACACAACAAACAACAATGACTGACATCAGTATCTGTCAACAGAGCTGATATCAGCTGATACTTATACCCTAATCTGAATGTCTTGAGGTTTGTTCATTTTCATCAATATCTATCTATTCATGCACTAATTTAACAACCATTCAGCCCCTGACTGAAGAGGATATGTTCAAAACTTATCAATTTTTTTTTTATTGTAAAATATTTATAGGCTCATGATTACCACATGCAGGGACTCTCTACTATACTCTCGCAATTTGTTGATTTTCCTCCAAAACTCTCCCAAGCCCTGTCTGATACAATATTAACTGCATTTCCTTTTACTGACATGAACACTAACCGGAGCAGCAGGGCTGTGGCTACTTCACTCCTGCCTAAATTTGTAAGTTTGTGAGCCACTTGCTACCACAAAATCCCTAAAACTACGAGTAGCTTGTCAAAAGTTTGACTTATCAGTATGTTTGAGTTGTCTATTTTCCTCTCTGCTGCTTTTTTAGTCCAAAAATTAAATACAGGTATACATCAAACGTGTTGCATAAATAATTCCCTGATTGGCTAAACCTGGCATTACTATCCGTCATTATAGGAGACAAAAAAAAAAAAAGTATGTTTGCCATGTTGCATGCTGCTGAATACTGGTAAACTGTATGGCATGTCATTAGCCACGAATCGGTTCTGCTGTCACTTAAAAATGTGAAAATCTTGCTAAAAAGAACAGAAAGAAGTACAAGATCTAGTTGGATCAACATGTCCCCACATGAAAATCCCTCCTCACACTCCTCTGAGTCTGCATTATTTTCATTAATACTCACAGTGAACTACCAGTTTGTTTCTCAGCCTGCGGGGGCTCGATAAAGTCGGATGCCACACCAGACAGTCCAGCTTCTTGCCGTTCATGCTCCTGAGGGGGTGCAGGGAGAAGTGTGAGGAGACAGCCCCGTTGTCAGCTGAGCGATTGGTGGACTGGCCGTTCAGGTCTGTTTCCCATGAGATGAGGGGAGGTGGCCGGGCCACAGCCCGACATGAAGCAGCCTGTCGGTAGGACTGACCCTCCACCAGGATCACAGGGTCCAGGGAGGAGATGGGAATGGCTGGAGGAGGGGATGTTACAATGTCAGAGCAGCGGGAGGTTATGATGAATTTTCTCACTTTTCAGAAATCTATTTGCAGTATCATCAACATCCTCTAGACTGAGACTCTGGACTGATTATAAGCCAAATTATTCTGCATCTTGTGTCAATGCAATCTGATTGAGACAGTCTGACAGAAACATGACCTGCCCCTCCTCACTCATCATCTCTTATGCTACATCGGGCTCTGTCAGGCCCCATTAGGCAAGCCTGTCAAAGTTCAGAGCAGTTGTTAAAAAACCATTGCATGCTCATGACTCGTTATGCAAAGTGGAGGAAAACAGACAGGAACATGAGAATGAGCAGACTGAGAAATTATCAGGTCCAGACGATCAGGACCTCATTTTAACTAGTTTAACCTAGCCTAATTTTATTTTATTTATTCAACACTTTATTTTGGACACAGAGCAGTCCACAGAACAACACACATATATATATATATATATATATATATATATATATATATATATATATATATATATATACTGTGTATATATGTATATATATATACTGTGTATATATATATATATATATATATATATATATATATACTGTGTATATATGTATATATATATTTTTTTTACATTAAAAACACACACATACATATATACACAGAAAAGACTGATAGCTGTGTTAATATTTCTTTAAATTCATTTCTAGTGGTATTTTAAATTGCATCATTGCACAGAAACTATTTTCATGCATTTTATTATTTCCAACAAATTTTAAACAAAACCCTGGATCTGCTGTATGCCAATGTCAAAGAAGCCTACAGAGAGACTGCCTTACCACCACTGGGCAGGTCAGATCATAACTTGGTTTATCTGCAGACCTGTCACAAACCCTGTGTGCTGATAAAGCCTGTGACAAAAGTCAAAATTCCAGTCAAACAAATTTCTCTTTGGGGATCAACAAAGTTCTTGTAGATGACTTTGAAATCTATGTGTGCTGAATCTTGTGTCTGATGCAGATTTATCTATTTATTTATTTAATGCAAAATCTAGCATTAATGTTGATATTTAACCAATTTTTTTCAATAATTTTTTAAAACTTTCTCCTTCCTCACACCTGTCGAAGTCTTTAAATTGTGGCCAAGCCCAGTGACAAGAACAAACACTTTAGCGGCTCACTCCAGCATTAATTAATATGGAAAGAAATCTTAGCTTACTACCTACATTTCTGCAAATATCACAACTGTTGCATGAGCAAGTGCACTTATGTTCCTAGATGAAATCTTGGACGTTGTGACATTGTTAGATAACTGGCCTTTTTCAAAAACTATGAGTCTGTTTCTAAAATGGTTTTTGAATTGGGAGGCTTTCTCATTTTAGTCTTTAAAGTCTTTGTTATATGGGAGCTCTGATGTGATATAAAGTGTAAATTTCACCATTGCTTTGACAGTGAAAAGAAATGTTTTGCCATACTGGTGATTATTACCTTAAAAGGAACATATGGTCAACTACAAGTGTGAAAAAGATCAGGTAAAAAGGAAGTATGTAATTTTCTATCACACAAGTATGAGTCATCTTGTGATCTTCCCACAGTCATATTCATTCTTAGTGTGACTGTACAGATGTTTGAAATAACACATAGTTTTTATCCTCATACATTAGCTGCCATGTCACTGCATGCTCCACTGAAAAACTCACTCCACACGATGAGGGACATCTCTGTGTCAAAGTTGCCTGATGGGAAAGTACTGATGTGGCACATGTATTTCCCCTCGTCAGAGACCTCTGTGCTCATGATGACCAGAGACGAGTCAAGGGTTGGGTCGCTGCTTTTAAAGCGCACATGACGAGACCAGGTCCCAAACGCTGCAGACAAAGACAAACAAGGAGAGAGTGAGAAATGGGGACATTTGGAGGACCGTGTGGCAGAAGATATAACAGTGAAAATGAAGACTCGGCGGCTCATTGTAAACCTTGTGGTTCCTTTGGTCACTTTCAGTTCCCTACACATGCACTGCGTTCTAGTTAGAAACTGCATTCAATGTCATGGGCTGAAAGCTCGCTCTTATTCAGGATATGTCACACTTGTTAACACTGTCATAAGAATAAAAATTGTTCATGCTGTTTGTAATTTTTTTTATTTACTACTTTTGGAGCAAAAGAATTTAAAGCTTGTAATTAGAAGAATTCTGTAAGTTTGTTTAAATATGTAAAGCTTGAAACATCAATAAACACATTTGTTCAAAAAAAGTTTTGGGTTATGGTTGTTTTGAGGAAGAGTGGGACGTCAACTACACATCAAATCTGCCAATTTAGTCAGTGAACTTCTCCTCTCTGTGACAAATGTGTTTTAAGAAGGATTTTTTTCATTCAAAGAGAAAGTAAAAAAAAAAAAAAAACACATGCGTGGCACTAACTGACCTGGAAAGTCTGGCTCCAAGATCAATTCACCATGAGAGAGACTTTCTTTTCGCAGTTTCACTAGGAGGTAAACTGTGCTCACCGTTTTTTCATTTATTAATCATCAAGTTCACAAATTTTCATCTCAGAGACATTTTAGTGCACAGAGCCGACAAAAAAACATATTTAAGTCAGTACACATAAGTCAAACAGAGGGTCTGGGGTGAGTTTGTCTCTTGCTTTTTGCTTGGCAAGCTTTGATAGTTTTCACCTCTTTTAGCACCTTTTATCCTCCAAATGTGGAAACTTCTGACTCCAGCATAGCTGCTAAAATGTTAAACTCGTGACTTCATTTAGCACGTACAGCAGTTGCCTTACAAGGAAGGAAAACTGCCTCTAACCAACACTTATCAACTGAAACTGACAGAGCTATAAATAAACAAAAGGTTTGCAAGAGTGACACCAGAAAGATATATTTCTTACGTTGATGAAAGAGGAAGTTGCTCAGTATGAAGACTAAAAAGTGGATTTTAAGCCACCATGACTTGAGTAAACCCACAGACTGACCTGTCTGTCCGTTTGAGTGGTGCGCTGTGATGATCTGCTCCTTGGTGGCATCAGGGTTCTCCTTATACCAGGTGACCTGCACCACCACATCTCCGTCATTTGGCTTGTAGAGACAGGGTAAGACGGTCTCCTCTTCAGCTAAGGAGCGGATGGGATCATCTGAAGGGAGGTTCACAAACCCACTCTGTACCAAAGGAACTAAAAGAGGAGAAGAGATCTTTAAAATAGAAAAAGTGTAAAGAAAAAGAGCTAAAAACACTCTCATTCAATATGGAATAAAACTTCACAGTAGAGTGAAACCAAATACTTTCACCACACTGACTCTGACCTTTCACCTACAACCTTGACCTGTTGTTTCAACAACTACAACAGCTCTCCAAGAAAAAGAGCAGGTCAGAGGTCATACTGTCTGCGAATCTGTCTGTGAATCCTGATAACTTTGTGACTTACAAGTTTTAAGGTAAACAAAGATCAAGAAGTTAATTTGCAATGGCTTTAAAATATAAAAGAAGTAAGGAGATCACATTGTTCAGTATTCATTTTTCTGCAAAGTTTGTAGTGCTCCCTAAGTCAATAGCATTGTTTTCGTAAGCTAACAAGTTAGCTAGTTTATCATCTAAATAATATCTGATACTATTTTTTTTAAAGTAATACACCATGAGTGTAATATTTTCCTGACTTTTCTCTCTACAAAGATTTTCAGTGAGAGGTCAATGTCGTTTATATCTGTGAGTTAAATATGAAGCTTGAGCTGGTTAGCTTAATAGAGGTTAGCTTCAGTGAGAGGTCAATGTTGTTAATATCTGTGAGTTAAATATGAAAAAGAAAAACAGCTAGTCTCACGCTAAGTCTACAACATTCATCCGCAGGGTTTGTATCTTGTCAGTTTTCTCTGTAGTAAATCTACAATGTCTCAGCTTCAGTAGCACGTTGTTCTCAAAGGTTTAACAGTGACACAATGGTCAATAAATCACAGTTAAACACAGGTTTTGCATTGTAAGGCTGGATGAGCAGAGGTGGGGTTTAAAGAGTTCATTCATAGTGAGGGAAGAGAGAGAGAGAGAAAACAGGTTGTCTATCAGTATGGCTAAAACAACTAAAGATATGTCGCTTGACTAGTTGCTCGAGATAAGTTTTCAAAGAGGACATACAGAGGTTTACCTTAGTGTCTGGACTGTTTGAGACATTCTAAAAGGCCTCAGGAAACTGGGACATTCAGTCTACACGCAATGAGTATTGTGTATCTGATATCATCTCGTCCGAACCACAAATATCTCTAATTTTTCTGCTCCAGTATTCTCTCCTCCAGGCTGTCGGTTTACAGACCAAAGCTGAAAATCTCTGATGTAGACAGACAACAATGTGTGACTTTGTAGGTTATTCACCTCTGACACTCAGATATCCTTTTGTTTTTTTTAATCAGCCTTATAGGCAGCAAGTGAATGTCTTAAAAACGAAGTCTAAAACATCATGTCAAATCAGTGAGTGATACTGCAACAGAGTTAAACCACGACTGTTCTATTTGTTTTATATCTTTTTATAAACAGGTGACTCATTTGATACCTTAAGGTTAGACTAAAGCAAAAGCATATGTAGCTGACTTCCACCATGATGCTAACCACATCCTCCTTTAGTCAGTTCTCAGAAACATAGTGATGGTTAGGCCACATCGCCCCAATCATAGCTGTCCTGCATTGTCTCCCTTTTATTTTAAGAGTTGATTTTAAGATTATACTTAAGACTTTCAGAGCACATGTGAGTCTGGTGAAAGGCTAACTGTGTGTAACCCGGCCTGCAGGCAGGAACTTCCTGGTTAAATCTGAAGGGGAACAAGCCCTTGGTCCCTTGACTTTGGAGATAAGACTCATGAAATCAGTGCTGTCTTCTAAACTACTTCTTCAAACTCACTTCTATAGGCTAGCTTTTCTTTTGTCATCTTTTTTTTGTACTGTTTTCCAACAACTATGTCCTTACTACCCTCAGTTTCCTTATTACAGCTTTTGTTTATTGCAGTTGTCTTGTTTATCATATTTATTTCCTCACACTGCTTTATCTTTTTTAATTGTCTAACTGTGAGAAGTTTTTTTTACCTCTTTGAAATGGACTGAAATCAACGTTATCTTTTTATGATATAAAAAGCAAGCAAGACCATCAGCATTAAAATAAAATTGAAGACTTCTATGTCATTATATAAAAAAATGAAAACTGGTGGGGGCAGCTGGAAAAACAACCCTGTTTTTACAATTTTCACATAAAATATTATCAATAAATGATTTCTTTGACTGCCAGAAGTCAGGAAGATCTGTGTTTTTTATTTTTTTTAAGACGACTATTTAAATATTTAGAGGATGAGATACGCATGACAGCTTTGTCCACAGGAGGAGCCATGCACCAAAAGTTCCTCACAGGAGCTTTAAATATGTTTTATCACTTAAGTATTAAAATTCCTGGGTAGGGTGACCATATTCTGAATCGGCAGAGTCACAGAGACATGCGTAGTAAATTTTTAGAGGTGGGGTTGAGGGTTTTTTACACGCTTGTAACTCAGTTTAGCCCACACGACACAAACTCAAAACTTCCATACAAAGGATATGAAGGATTTTATAAACTCCCCCGGACAAGGCCGGACAGCCCCCCAAAAAGAGGACATGTCTGGGTAAAAGAGGACTTATGGTCACCCTACTGTTGGGTCCCTGGGCTTTGTTCTTAGGTATCCATTACTTGTCTTTCAAAGCACTTTGTAAACCCTTCCTTCTAAAAGTGCAACATAAATGAACCACTATACTGTTTAGGTATTATGTGCCTACACATAAAGGTCTTAGCACCATTGACTTTTATTGACAGTTTTAAGTGACTGGGTACAATTATTCGATCCAAATAACCTGCGTTGGGCTAAATGCTAATGCCAGTAAAGAGTTTAACGTTGTTCACCATATTTATACCTTTTTTACTATGCAGTTCACATAGCATCCCAACCTTTGCTAACTCAAACTCTAAGCTAAGTTGGTGGGACTTCCATCAATTTTGCCAGCATTTGGTTATCAACTTAAGTCTTTTCTGGCCTGATGTTAATGCCATGTAAGAGTTAAAGTGATAGCCACAGTTGGTAAATTTTATTTCTGAGAGGGATTTCCAAATCTGGCACAATCCTTTCAATGGTCAAGACTGGACTTTAAAAACAAAAGTCACAGGATTCTGGAGTTGATTAGTATCATAAAATGTCAAAAAAGTATACACACAATACACTTTAAATTAAAGGACAGAGGATCTTATTTCTGAAGCATGAGGTTCAAGCCAAAGAGTTCAACTGCTAACATCTCTCTGCACAACAACTAACCCATGAAATGTGTTCATAAACAATGGAGTATATTTATCCTCTATACTACAGAGTATACTATACTCTGCTACATCTTTAATATGACTTTATTTCAACCTCTAAGTAAGTATATTGCCATCTTCCACTATCCCTTGTTGTAAACTGTTGTGACAAGAGAATTTCCCTAATTTGAAGGTCAGTAAAGTAACTATATCTTGTATTTTCATATCAGTATGCCTAAAAAAATAAAAATACATGCTCAAAAGTAATTCTGGTAAAGTCGAGTTTCCTCTGCATGATGTCAACACCTCCTCCTGTGAAAGATCCCAACAATGATTGAGAAGATGACGCAATAAACCATAACCTGAGATATTAAAAACACCTGATATTTTATTTTGTTGATCCGCAGAAGTTTAATGTGGATCCATTGACAAAAAGTGTTCAAAAACACCAACATCCCCTGAACTAATCAGTCACCTAAGGAGTTAACCTGACATGAGACTACTTTTTAGGTCTCAGAGTTTCAGTGTGGGTCAGAGCAGCTCTTACAGGTGTTGCTTCAATACCTGCTGTGGGAGAATCTGTTCAGATACGTCCGAGGGTAGTATGTGATTCATGCATTTACCATCAGCAGAGATGAGTGTATGCGTAGACAGGTGTGTTTTTCCATGTGTGTGTGTGTCACCCTGAGGTTTGAGCCTACTGTGGAATCTGCCTGTTCTGCATTACTGGCATAACATTTAGGCTCTCCTGCCTTTTTGTATGGGAATGAGACGCTCATGCTACACTCTTCTTTATCACTGACAGCCTCTGTTGGTCTACATGCATTTTCTGAGTACAAATCAGTATACCTTTTAATGGGTTAATACTCAAAGGTAAGTTCTGTAATACTGTGGCACAGCCTGTGTGAAGCAACATTGGACACTAAGAGGGTCCACACAGTTCCTCTGAATCAAACAGGGGAGGGGGGTTCAAAAACAACCGCAACAGCAACCTGTTTTTCCTGAAATATAAGACAGCGCCTCAAGTGTTTTCTTAAGCAGCAGTATTCCAGCTAAAGCAATTCCTCAGAAAAGTTGTCCACCAGCCGAGATGAACCAGAACTTACCTTTTAATTATGGATGAAATACAGCAGGCCAGGTTTATGAAGCAGCTGCTTCATATCAAAAAGTTAATTTTGAGGGGGAATGGTCCCCCAAATATGATCACATTCAAAGGCGTGAGTGACTATAAACCACATAGATAGAAGTAGGCCTTTAATAGGACTAGACTGTACATTATGTAGGATATGAAATTAAGTAGGCTTGGGTGAAGTTTTGGCAGAGGCTGCTCTTCAGTAGGAGTTGCAGGTGTTTTTGACCCTGAAGGCGTTCCATACAAAAAGTAAAAGAGACATATTGTTTGACATATGACAGATTCCTCAGCTTTCTTACCACAAATCCAGAGGATGCAGAGACACAGAGAGAGTGTGCTCAGCAGAAATGTCATCCTCCTCGGTGACTTTTAGTTACGCGCAAGTTGTGTCAATTTCAGCGGTGGAGAAGTATCAGCCCAGGTAGCAGAATCCTCAATGACAGGCACGCATGGAGCAATGAGGCGGACCCATGCCTGCTTCTACCGTATCATCTGGAACCGTGTCTTCTTCTTCTGGGAAAACAAATCCCCTCCAAAGTTTCTGTACAGACTCAGCTGGTAAAAATCCTCTCAGTTTGGGTCCGTGTTGCTTCTTCACACAAACGCCTTCATGTTTTTCCTTAAGCAAAAAAAAAGAAGGCGCAGCTCGACTTGCTGTGCTATCCACCTGTTTGCGCGAGACTTCCTTCAGCCTTTCTCACCTGCCCATTCGCGCGCGCACACACACACCTACCAGCCAGCAAACGCGGATGCGCACACGTTCGAGGGAAAAAGTCACCTTTCCGGTTTGGTAAAGGCAACATGACAGTTATTTCTCGTCTTTACATGCTCTGCTCAGAGGAGAGGCAGGTGAAAAGCACGCACGGAGAGCCAGTTTACAACGACTATATAAAAGACAACCATTCCAGGCTAATGCCAAAATAAAAGGCGCGTCCTCCTACTGGGAAAAACAAATTAATCCTTTAATTTTGACAGAGGTGATGAAAAAGTCTGACCAATTTGAGCTGCTACTGTCTCTTAAATGAATGTAACCCAAATCATTTTCATGTTAAATGCAAATATTAAATCTTTTTCTTGTTTGATTGTAACTGGTCAACACCCTTTTTCTAAATTAGTGGGTCAGGACCCATCCATCAGCAGCCAAACCACATTCAGATAATTAGCTTTATCATTTCTTGTCCTGTTTACCTTACAAGACTGGAGGTTAACCACTCCCTGTATAATCATTAGTATCCAGACAAGGTAGCTCCACTTCACCCCCAACAGTTTCATCTAATGTTAATGAGTTTATGTCACTGAAAGAAGTTAACATACACAACTTCCTCACACTTTCCCATTAGGAAGAGCAAAAAAATACATTTTTAGGAGTAGTTCAAAGAAACAGGAGTGTGAAGGTGGTTCACAGGTAATACCTCCACCAGAGACACCTTCACTGCCATCCTGTGGTGTGAAGAAAACATTGCTCTGGATCTTTGAGGTGTTAATGAGGTGAGTAGTACAAACCATAACAGTAATCCACAAAATGCTAGAACACAGTGTGAAATGTTGGTAAAATAGAATTTGATGGTTTTTCAAAATAACTTAAACACTCGTTAATTGAAAAGAGTGTAAAAACTATATAAATTAAACTGAAATGGTTCACTGTTGAATACAGAAAATTAATTGTTTAAGCCTGATGTAGGATTTTAGAAGCATCTGAATCTCTATAGTCTTATTTATCAGTTTTTAATCTTCCTGAAAGCCTACCTGAAAAAAAACTGCTTTGTCTGGATGGCAGCAGATGTTTCACAGAAGCTGTGCGGATATCATTCAGAATTAATGGTTGCACAGGCTTCCCATACCATGGACTCTAATCCCATACCATCAGGGATCCTGGCTTTTAAGCCCCCATAACCGACCGCTGTAGTTTATCAATGGTTTTCTCTTTTCTTTCTGCAGTTTTAGCCTGCATTTGGGGATGTGGTAACCAACTGTTCACAAAATGACTGTGATTCGGAGCTCATGCTGTGATTTCCACTGCAGAGTATTGCCTGGTTTTAGTGCAGTGCTGCCTAAGGGTCCAAAATCACAACTATTCAGCCTTGTCACTTTATAACAGAGATGTTTTTTTTTTTTTACTGGTTTTATACGCATGATTGGTGAACCTGAGGAGGCCACAGATGAAATGCCTCAGGATTAAGTCACAGAATGGTCTTTTTACCGTGCGAAGGTTCATATTTCACTTCCTATTTGTGGTTCTACAACCCAGCAGCACCCAAGTACGTGCATTAGTCCTGTTTTTAGCAAATTAAGAAAATTGTTAGATTCAATATTTGATCAGGTATTCTTGCACTTTTTGCTTTTTTTTATTTTTTAGATAGATTTAGGTTTTAAATTATTAACAAACCATCAAATCTATCTTCTTAGCTGTTTAAACAGTGCCTTTGTGCACATCAAAAGCAGAAAGGCAGTGCTGGAAAGTATTTGACAAATACTCAAAGAATGTTTTTTAAGGTCTGTTTTATTTTGTATCTATCAGTATGTCTCCCGAGGAATACATTTATACATAAATGTTGGCATAAAGTAAAAATTACGTGCTGTTTTCTTTCCAGATTTCACACTCATCTTGCCTGAGTCTCTTTTCTCTTTCTTACTAACCCATGGGTTTTTTACAAAAGCAAAATAGATATATATATATATTATCTGAAGCAAGTCATGAAAAGAAATATTATAAAATATTATAAAAAATGTTTAAAGGATAATGAAAGTATTGGATACAGCTCATTCCATCACTTCTTCATGCCAATAGTTTCGTATGTATCCTGAGCGTGAGGGGTCAAACCCTGGGAGGAAAGAGACGGAAGATGAATAAAACTGAAGTGAAGAAGTGAAACATGTTATCAATCAGGCTATCAAACTATGTTTTACTTCTTTGAGTCATTTTAAGTTTCAGTACTCACCGTATAGATGCCCTCCTCAGCATTCTGTCAGGGGAAAGAAAATAACATAATCAGGTGCAGTGGTTTGAAACGACATACAAGCTAAAGAAAGACCCTGTGAGAAGAGAAAGTTTAAAAACCAGACAAAGAAAGTTAGAGTGTATTTTCATGTGTGTCGCTGTGGGTTAGGCTGCGTGCAGTTTGTGGCTGCTGTAAAGGAAATGAAAGACCTAAAAAGGAAAAGCAGTACAACGGCTGATTAAGTTTTCAAATTGTCAAGTGAGTATAAAAGAACTACGTGTGTGAATGCGAATGACAGATTTTTGAACCCCTCCTGAACTGAACTTTTGCTACCAGCCCCCATGTAAAGTTCCTGTAATACGCGAGGATGAGCTGATGTGTAAATATGGCTTCTAAAAATTAAGACTTGCAGTGTGGGCAGCAGGGTGGATGTTTCTATCATGCTGTGATGTAAGTGATATATTCTGCACGCTTGGTGAAATGTTATTCAAAACCAAAAGTTCAGAGGCTAGGGAGGATCTTTGCCAGCTGTTACCACCAATGAAAGCATGAAAATAAACAAACAAACAAAAAGACGGGATCTTTTGTTTGCTTTTCGAAGACATCTGGGGGCTTGACAGATTTCTCGAAATCTCAAGAAGACTGCGGGAGAAGCCTGCCCTAAGAGTTCCTGGTGCTGTTGCAGAGTTCCAAATTGACTGTGGGTAAGCTCTGGTTTGTCTTCACTGTTGCACCACCTCCCAATGAGGCTATAGAAAACCAAATTTGTCAGAAGTTGTAGGAATTTGAGAAACTATAATATGTTCAGTCCCGGTAAAATGTTTCTTGGGTCATAATATTTGTACAGTTGAAGAGCGCTGCCACAATGTTAGATGTAAATGGACATGTTAATGTAATCAGACTTATTCACAGTATCGGCTGATCAGCAGAAGAAGACACACTGGTGAGCAGAGTATATCACTAACATCACAGCATGATAGAAACATCCGCCCTGCTGCCCACACTGCATGTCTTCATTTTTAGAAGCCATATTTATACATCAGCTCAGCCTCACTTATTACAGGAACTTTACATGGGGACTGGTAACAGAAGTTCCGTTTTGCTTGGTGGAGATCAAAAACCTGTCATTCGCATTCACACAGGTTCCCCAACCTGAACATTTTCTGGGACTTTCAGAAATTTAGTTCAAATTTAGTTTGTGTGCATACACACACAAACACAAAAAAAAGTTACGTAGACACAAAAAGAATTACATAGAGAATTCGTCTGAGAAAACCTTTTCCCCACTTGTCCACAGATTCAGCTCAAGCCTTGAGAATCACTGAGGTGTAATTGAAAGAAATGAAATAAAGTTAGAGGACACGTGTGTAGGAAGGGTTTTTATAAACCGCAAGAAAAAGAGAAAATTAGACCAGCCTTCAAATTAGAACTCTGTATTTTTTCTCGCCCACTTCCTAATGTTCAAATTTGATGAGGGTTATTTTTCACTCTGGCCTGTTCACTCTGGTAAACTGTAAGCGTGCCTCTATTTCAGTCTCAAGTATGCGGTGTGTATGAGCACATTCTTACCAGCTTGCCCTTCCCTTTCACAGCGTCAGCCTCCTTTGCATGTTGGATCTGTAGAAGACAATGAGTGACAATGCTTGAGTCTTACAGGTATTTAACAATTCACCTAAGATCATATTGGCATAAACTTTTCTCTTACAGTAAACTAAAATGAAAATGTGCCGAGCAAGTGGAAAAGTGTGAATGTTTAATTTAAGATTAAGGTGATATCAAAGGATGTGATATGATACCATATGATGCATTACAGGATGTTGTGATACAATACAATATGATATATTATAGGGTGATACAGTGTAATGTGTGATGCAATATAATACGCCATGATACAAAGAGACAAGATACGATACGATATGATACAATAAGATACAATACGATATGATACAATATACGACACGATACAATGTAGTGCGATGCAATATGATGTGATACAATAAGGCACAATATATGATATGATATGATCTGATATGATACGATACGATATGATATGACATGGGCTGATGAGATGTGATGAATTGCAATGAAATGTGATGCAATGTGATACAATACGGGACCATATGATAAGTTGCGATACAGTATGTTGCATGACGATACCTTCCACTCCATTTCAGTGTGTTATGATATGCTACGATATGACATGATACATTACATAACAGTACCATATCATACAGCACCATATGTTCTGATATGATTCAAAAGGACAGGAAGTGAAACGACCACATTATACATTACTCTAAGATCCATTACAATTGCTTATATATGGTACAATACAATGCCATATGGTACAAAAGAATATAATATGTTACGGTACAATGAAATACAACATGATACTATTTAATACAGGATGATATAATAGTATATGGTTTGTGATGTGTTAAGATAAAAACAAATCAGATACCCTACAGTGACCTCGGACTTGATACAAGTCAGTGTAACACAATGTGATGCAATTTAACATGATACATCACAATAAGATCTGTACTGTACAATTTATGGTATGAGATAGTTAAGCACATCACATTATAGTTTATTATGGTACAATTTGTTATGATTTGATATGATACCAAGCAATAGAACTTGATACCATTTAGGTATTATGATAAGTTAAGATACATCTCAGTCTCAGTTGATCCTAGCAGAATAAAGTATGTTCTATCATACCACCAATATCAGAAATAAAGACTCAAAACAACTGAAAACTGTCTTTATTCAACATTTTACACTGTACCTAATGGTGTTAACACGCTCTGTCAAAGTCTAAAACTCTTTTTCTCTTTTCTGATTGTGCAACATCCCTTTTTTTGCAGATGGCACTGCTCACCACCAATGTGTGATCCACGAAGCCGATCAAGTTTCAGTGATAACATATTTCACTTCAGGTTAAGCTTCATTGAAAGTGACTTGCATCTCTGTCAAAGTAAATATGTATCATGCAAACCTTGATTCTGCAGTAGAGCGCTGTCAGGATGATGCCGTACAGGAAGAGGATACCATCCAGGATGTAACAGATCTCGGGCTCTGCGAGAGCAGCTGAAAAACGGGAGGAGGCTGTCAAGGGCAAAATAATGAATCACATATCCAAAAAGGAAACTTCTTTAAGCTTGTCATACTAAGGCAAAACATTTTAAAAAATGTAAATAAATGATGAAACCATGAGCAGGTGTTTGTCTTGGAGCTTGCTTCATCTTAACAGGTGCAGGTAAACAATATTTAGGCTGCTGTCAGGAATATGGGCTGATTTTTTATTATCTATTTTTTGGTGGTATCTTCTAAAAACTTTGTGTTTAAGATTTTAACTTAATTTTCCTGTGTCCATGCACGTGCTTTTTTCTCTGTGCATATTGCCTTCACAAAGCAATGTGACAAATTTCTCATCAGCTTTGTATCAGGTAAGTTAAGACAAAGTTAGACTACATGATCTCAGTGCACAGCGGAGCAGGGCTTCCGGTAGATGAGACACGCTAAGTGAACACACAGAGTTGCACATATTATATAGTGCATGAGTGGATTCATTATTATTTTGCAAAACTTAGTTTGAAATTTTATCCAAGTTGAGTTATTGAAGAAAGTTTAAAAGGGGGAAATCTTTTGCAATGGGAAATAAATGCAACTCAATGTACACATTTTGTTACTGCAGGGGCATGTGAATGTAACACCTTCTGCAAATGTCGATCCGTCTGATGTATATTTAAGTTCATTTTCTCTACTTGTTTTGAACTGTTTTTACTGGAAGACATAATGTTAGTCCTTGAGTGATTGATAGTCTTGATTGAAAGGTCATTTCAAAACTCAAAAAAAGTTTTAAAAAGATGATTTTCTTGTAGTCACTTCTAATTCTGATGCACAAAATAACATATTGTAACTTATAACTTTACCAACAAGTTTGCAAAAGATTAGACTGTGCAAACCAGAAAACCAGAAAAAATATCACACACAAGATAATAGCTTGTGCATAACAAAATACTTGTACTAGCAACATACAAAACTGAGGACAGAAAATAGCTTTTCCTTAATCAGTAAATGTATTGTGCACATAATTATCTTGTGCTCTCAAGATAACTAGCTTCCACAAAATGCTTCATGCAACTTGCTCCAAACCAGATATTTTCATCTATGGACAAGATCATAATTTGTATTTGCAAGATAATTATATTTTGTGAACAAGAAAATCAGCTTGTTGCCTTAAAATGACAACTTTTCCTACAGGATGATTATGTTGTGTTCACATGTACTTTTAAATCACTTATTTAGTCGTGTTTTTGGAGAACACGAGTCTATTTTCTGTGTGCAGAATATGAAAAACTTTCACTTTACTTAGAGACTCTGTACATTTCAGAGCCCAGCTGCATTATAATGACAAATTAACAGTTACATTTATATGAGAAGACTAATGATAAGTTTATTCATGCCAACATTTCCTTTGGTTGTCTTCAGACTCACTTCAGTTTTTTCATTGTTTCTTTCATGATTTACAAATGCCTCCTGTAGATCAGGACTCAGCAGAAACACTGTGTTCTGACTGTTTTTTTTTTCTTTTTAAAAGTGTTTTTTTTCTGCCATTAAAAAAAATCAAGCCAGTTAGGAAACATCCAAAGTTACTTTTTTTATAAAATCATATTTGACTGATGTAGCTGAGCCTTGAGCATATTACATTACAAATACTCTACCTAATGAGCCAAGTTTGTGACTTTTATGTAAACTTTTAGGTTAAACTATACAAACTCAATTTCCTGCTGTTTTCTACCTCTTCTTTCTAGACAGGAAAGCTGTGGGGATTCCTCCATAATGAATCCTCAGAAAGAGGTGCAAGTTTCTGTTCTGCCCATCAACTTCCCATTTCTCAGATGTTAAATTCAAGGAAATGAATCATTTCTCTTGAACCAGCGATCAAGAGATTAATATCAGAGTAATGCTCCTGTCTCTAAGTAAACAAAACAAGCCTCTTTTTTTAAATATCACTGTGGCTCTGGGTTACACATAAATTAACAGTTTTTCAGTGTGTTAAAGGAGTGCATTGAATTCAGTTTCAAATTCAGCTGTAAATGTCAAACAGAAGTTATGCTGCAATATCTGCGTACATCTCAGTTGCTTGCCCGCAAAAGGAAACAGCAAAGACTGTGTAAGCCACCTAAAATAACACACACATCGGTTTTAAATGTGACTAATAGAAAGTAAGTGCGTGTCCAAAGATATTACCTGATATATGCCATACAGCAAAACAAGTACTCAGTTAAGCTAAAAACTTTTTTTTAATCAAGTGTTATTAAGTAGTGCTGAAATTTCTAAACCAGCGCATGGAAAGTACAAATTTTTTAACCAAACAAACTCCTGTCTTTCAGTCGTAGCAGTGTTTCTTTGCTCTGTTATGTCGAAGACAACAGACTCAGGAAAGAGGCCACACTAACTCTGGGCTTAAAGTTGAAGGTATTCAATCCTATTATTATTGTTATTGTGTAAAATGGTCCTAGAAATATTGTGTAATTTTAAAAAACTATTTGTCTTAGAATTTTGTCCAGCAATCATCGAAAAGAAGTGAGAAATAAGTTCAAAAGTCCTCAAGAATGGAGGTCGAATACTGTGGACGGGCATATTTAGTTGAAGTCTCCTTTTCTCAAAACAACATGAAGTTTGAGACAACTAAGCAGAGGACGACCGCTATATTTGAGAGGTTAAAGTCCAGCCTTCAGACACCCAAAATGATCATAAAAAGAGTTATAAATTCTGTAAAATTTGCAGCTTCATAATGTCAAGTACATTCATGGTTTTTAGCTTCATCATATTTGCCATACATTGATGTTTCCTCCACCGAACAGACTCTTTACTTGAACGTTTAAAAGCTTTACGAATTGGCTCTTTGTTGTGTGAAAAACTGTGTTGTAATGGTCTCTCTTTACTGTATTCGGAAAAGCATTAACCTAACTCCTTATTTTTTATACATTGATTTTAGTTTGTCCATCAAATATCTGTTAAAAGCACAACTGAAATTAAAAAGTGATGAACAGACTGTTTTAGACGTGTTAGTGTGTGAAAGCTGGCTCAGTAAAAGAGGTGGTTTAGAGGATAAAAAAAGAGTGTGGCGTTACAGACACACCAGCCACTGTGCCCCTCGCCGCAAGCTCATAAGAACCATCAAGGTTTGCTTCTATTTTCACAGGAACTGGAACGTGTGGCTACATTTCAGCCGCCTGAGTAACACAGAGAAGAACGAGGACAAATGTCTAAAAGGCATAGCGCTCTGAATAAACACATAAACCATTTTTTTTGTTTGTTTGTTTTTTTTAAATTGTGTTTAGCCCTTTTATAATTTATTGAAACTACAAGTTTAAAAGAAATCCTTTTTTCACATTGCCTCCCTATTAGACAACAAGACAGCACAGCCTCTGTTCAAGCACATTCATCTTCATTAGGGTCTCTCTCTCATTAGTAATTAAGCTGAGGCCATTATTAAGAGGATTTTAGACATTCAACCTCCTTTAAAACCATCACAAACATTTTTTTCATGATGTGGTTATAAAGTCCGAACTCACCAGCTCTCCCAAAACTCATCCACAGAGTGACGGCCAGCAGAAGTGGGCTCCTGCCCCACACAGCCATGGCAGCACAGACTCACAACAGATGACCAGGTTCCTTCAGCGTCCAGCGATCAGCGAACACAGCGACTTCTGGCTGTTTTTTTCCCCTCCTTTCTGATCTGATGAAAACTGTTGCATACCTCATAGCCCAGAGAGGAAGTTGTGGTCTGAGCTTTTCGTCCATTTGTATGTGATCTCATCAGACCACTCCCCTTCAAGACCAAACCAGAGGAAGGACCCATAAGGCCAAATGTCGGTCTCTGTTAATATGTTGATACATTTACAGAAACAGGACTAAAACAGGTCTTTGTGTCTGTTGGACATTGAAACACAATCCCTCAATTGGGTCATAAAATATTTATTAGGTTTATTTGGACATTGTACATCACAAATTATGAGCAGTCATCTATCAAAGCTTCACTAAAAGCAGATAGTGAACAGGAAGAGAACCCGACTAACAGATGTGTGACAGAGAAGCTGAATCCTCGACGTTGTGGAACAAACAGGTTAGCAGCATCACTTTAGCGGTCGACCTCGCCAAACACTATGTCCTGTGTACCTGTTAGAGGAAGAAGAAGAGACTCAGTACATCCTCAGCAAAAACTCACAATCACACTTTTGTTTAGGCCTGATGATCAGGGTCAATCTCAGTTTTAGACATTAAAACTCAACCAAGCAGCTGCTAATAAGACCATGAACTGTACATCATTTGCTCTGTTACCTGCTCCATCTGAAGGTCAAATTCACAAAGACCTTCCTGGTTATGATAGTCTACTGCAAATATAGCCACAAGGTTCTGTGCAGTTTAGTTTTTTTTAGGTCTGTTTGCAGATAGACAGTTAATATGATAAAACAAAAGAGGCATTCCCCAAGGCTCAATATTAGGCCCACTAATTTTTACCTATAGACTGTATATACAATGGACAACTTGTTTCTGCCTTCCACTAGTATACGGATTTAAGGCCGAAAAGCTCTTGGTATTTCCGCAAATTTTCTCCACTTCCTGAAACCAACCTCTAAATAATATTTAAAAATGGAGCTGTACAGAAAGAAGAGAACTTGAGCACAAACCAGTCTTACTGTAGCTACATGTCAACATTGCAAGCAGAGGGAGAAAAATGTATATCTGTGTAATTAATTTCTAAAGTTTGTCCACAGCTCCACAGGGATTGCTGGAGGAGGCGGGATTCATGACCTCTACTGCAGCCTGTCACTAGAGGGTGCTGTTCTCGGGATGGCTTCACCCAGTGAGGAGGCAGTCAGCGTCCATTCTATACACAGTCTATATTTTAACCCTTTTTATAAATTATCTGCCCAAAAGTGTGTGAGTGTGTGAGTTGCTTCATAAAAATAGGCTCACTTCAAACATAAAGAAAAACAAAAAACAGTTTTCATGTGTTCTTCCATCAAAAAAAATCATCCATGCGATTAGAAAAACAGTAAAGGCTAAACATACAGAATGTGTATTTGGAACGTGGCAGCAGCGTTGCGTGTCACGCAACAAATAGGGTACCATAATCAATGCAGCAAAGCATACAAGACACGTATCAGCTCTGTCGCATCGAGAGCAGCACTGCTAAAGATACGCATCGAGTTTATTTTTGCTGCTCTAAGCTTCCAATGCGCATCAATCCACACAGAGGAGATTTTTCCAGGCAGGAAGTCAAGCACAAAAACCGCGTATGTCATCCAGTATATCAAAATAGCACTACAACGCGAACTCCCGACTGTGTATTAGATTGTGTAGATGAGAAATACTTCCTGATTATGGATTTATCAGGAACACAGAACAATCCGATGGTCAATCTCTGATCCATGTGGACCCCAATAGGACTTTTAACTGCTATCTCTGTCTGAAGGTAAATGTCAAAATAGCACAGCATAAAGGAACATAGTTTATTCTATTAAACATGAGTAAACCTGCAAAAACCAAAACTGTAAAATCATGTTGCTTTTTCACATACAGTAGAGGCTCAACAGTCACTGAATTATGTCCAAATTAGCAGAAAATAGACCACAGAAAGACAAAACAACCTGTTGTGAGCATGTTGTTTCCTCTATACTGAGCCCAGCTGATTGGCGCAATCAGACCCGCGCAATCCTGTAAGCTTTTCGGCCTTACAGTACAGGAAGAAGGGGTGTTAAACTCACGTTACTCTTGACTGCCATCATAACATTGCACCTCCTAGCAGGCTAACCTACACAGTCATCATCGGTATCTGTATTAGCAAGAAAAACAGGAGGGAACTTCTTCATTGCACCAGATACAATGAAATTTGATCTGCAGCTCTCTGTTGTGCAATATTAAGACGTATAGAGAGACAGGAACAATAGACAGAAAAAAAAAGAACTGTGAAGGAGAAGTGAGCTGCTAGAGTTGGACTTAAATCAAGCCCTTCAGAGTGGCTGTAAGACTGTGTGGGCAGGTTGATTGAGCATGCACGTGACAGTGACACACCTACCTACTAACCATAACTGACTGTTCCAAAAAAAGAAAAGAAAACTACCAGATCATCTATACACATGTGAGAACCATAGACTGTATATAAGATGGACAGCCTGGTTCCGCCTTCCGCCTGTATACGGATTTGAAGCCAAAAAGCTCTCTGTAATTCCGGGTTTTTCTCCACTTCTTGAAACCAGAGCTGCGCAGTAGCGTTGTACGCAGACGTTTTTGGCTGGACGGGAGACTCGGAGCGATGACGCTCCACTCAAAAAGTCAAGTGGAAAATACTGAGTTGGAAAAAAAAAAAAAAAAGCAACTGCTTACAAGCTGTGTAAGTAAGATATTTAAATATGTTCGTACCTATGTGTTATTTTTAGAACGACTATTTGAACGTCATTTTGGAGCAATTTTGACAGCCCTAGCCCTTTGTGATTTAGGTATTGTCTTCTCGGGCACACTTTAAGCAGGTGCTAAACCTTAACAGTTTAAAGTTAGGGATGTTCCCAGGGTCAATTTCACTGACGTTTAAACGACCATTTTAAAACTGAATATTCGAATACACAAAAATTAACTTCCAGAAAACAGCCCAAATTGAGCACATGTCGATCTATTTGGCCAGATATCATCTGAAATAAATTTTAAGAGTACATGAAAGCCATGCTTATAATATCAAAATATGTTACAGAATCTTATGTTAGCGCTGGAGAATGACATAAAGTACGTAAAAGATCAAAGCAATTAAGCTCCGCTGGGCTCAAGCCAAGCAGCCTGCTGCGTCATCAGCCTGCCTCACACCTAAGCACAAAATGAAGAGTGTTTAGAGTCAGACCACATCACGTTCAACAACGTTTATTTTCAGCATCTCTGACAGCTGTAAGTCTGAATAACATTTATCCAAGAGTAGAGTTTCTTTTTTTTTTTTTCTTTCTCCCCGCATGTACGCCCTATCTAGGCTATTATATGATAGTTTAGCTAGACACTCTGCATGACACTTGTGTGCCATCTTTATCTAAATCAAAATACTCCCAAACTTTGCTCTTTTTTCTCACCCACATCGCTCTGGCTGATCGCATGTGTTGATTCACTCTGAGGAAGTTAACCCACAATGCCATGCATGCTGCAGGCCAGCACTGCGAGCCCAGAGCAGCGAGCCAGACAGAAAGATGATGATGATGATCGATAGATAGTTTATTTTCGCACGCACGCACGCAAATGATCCACACATTTTAGCATGTTAAATGCACACTTTTATTAAGACATGAGGCTAAAAATGTAATTTAAAAAAAGAAGCTTTTTTTCGCTTTTCTCTTTTTTCCCCTTTTCTTTTAAAAAAAAATAGAATAAACGTATATTATTTACAAAACGGATAGTAAGGACAGCCTTGTTTACACGAATATCCGAATAACCGCGCACATCCCTATTTAAAGCCCAAAGTTTTTTGCAACGCTGCACTGTTGAGAAAAGAGAACAGACTTTGTTTTCATCAAAGAGAGCTTCTAAATGACAAAACAAGGATTTGATCCCAGCAATTGTTTTGAGAACAAACTTCATTATAGTGCCAAAATGATTAAATCCACTCAGTTTATCTGCCAGAATAGAATTACATTCGAGTCTGCTTCAATCACGATTGATGGTGATGCTTTTGTTAAGACATTTCTACTGTCTCAAGACTGGAATGCTTGATTTCCTGTATTGTAAAACATGCTTTTATTTTGAAACTATGTTTATGCTAATTCCAGTACACTGTAAGTCAGGTGCATGAAAAGAAAAAAAAAACTGCTGAAAGACTGGAAGAGACTTTACCTCTTGAGTTGTTATTATATCACAACAAATCTTGAGTCAGCTGTATGAAGAATATCTAACCATCTGCTGGAAGGCTGCTACAGCTAGCTAGCAGCTGTTGCTTCTTCTTCGTATTTTCTCAGTTTCAAGGAAGGTGGCAACCAGCCCAAAGATCCACCGGCTGCTTTTATGAACTGATCACAGACATGGCATTTCCATTACCCTATTTTTTGTACATCATTAAAAGCTGTTATTGCCAGGACCTTCAACTGCTGCAGCATCTTCACTGTGAAACACGGAGGTTGCAGGATGTGTGTTTGCTTTGGTGGAAATAGAGCTTGTGCATTCCAGAAATTAGATATCATCAGGAGAGGGGAACTTAGAAAAACCCTGACAACTCATCTTCTAAAAGTGGATGACTGAATAATTAAATTTCTTACCAATAATAGCAACAACGTCAGCGAGCATGTGTCCTTTGGCCATTTTATCCAGACCAGCCTAGAAAGAAGAAAACATTTATTAGTAGCAGCTCCAGCAATTTTTAAAGTGAATATTCATAGTTTACTGAGATTACAGCCCCCAGTCAACGCACGTACAATTCTAACAGTTTGTTTGTGCTACTTTAAAGACATTCTCAGCCCGACGGACCAACCTCAACTGACTGTGTTCAACATTTATTTACCCATGAGCCAAAAGACGATCAGGAGGAAAGGATGTGAGGGAGGGGGAGTTATGTACGCTGTTAAAACTGTTTCTATGGTGCTTGATAAAATATACTTAATGAAGTTAAATTAGCCTTAAGGATAAGCTGTTAAACAAGCTGAATAATTGATAGCTGGTGTGTTTAATATTTCACAGTGTTTTGTGAAGTTTGGAGTGCGTACCAAGTGGGCGAATCCAGGAGCTTTGATCTTGCAGCGATAGGGTCTGCTGGAGCCGTCTGATACCAAATAAACACCAAACTCTCCCTGCAAGCCACACACACACATATACACACTTTAGTAAGCAGATTACATCACGACAAGTCCCAGAAGACTCACAAAGCCTTCCTAATTAATTGGGACTAGAAAACCCTGTGTATACTGAGGATCATCTGAGTACTTACAAAAGTAGGTTTGTTGTTTGCAAGGATAACACGATAATAGCAAACTATGGGGAGTCCTCTAAGCCTATTATTCACTTAGAAAACCTCCAAACACTGAACATGTTACTTCAGCCTCACCTTGGGTGCCTCCACAGCTGTGTATGTGGCCCCTGGAGGGACCTGGTAGCCTTCTGTGTACAGTTTAAAGTGGTGGATCAGTGACTCCATGGACATCTGGGACAAGAAATGAAACATGTTAACACTCAAGCAGCTGTTTTGACGAAGATTCAAGTCTGAGTGTTTGATCCTTTTTTCACAGCCACAGATTTGTGTTTGTAAGGACAGAAAATTCACTCAAACGTGTCAGGACACTTTTTTTTATCCTCTGCTGCAAGAGAGGACTCACAAATTTCTCACTTTCCATGATTAAGACGAGTCAGTCCGATATTACAAGTGCAGCTTCTCACCACAGAACAGAGTGAACTAAATGCTGCGTATGTGGAATCTGTGTCCCCTTCACACAGCTACTGTCACAGATTATATAGACTGTCTGCTCAAAGTTAGCAACTTACGCAACTTGCAGTATGCATGTCTTATTTTGAGGCCAGACCTTGTCAGCACTGTAAGCGCTGTGTTAATAGCACAACCACAACCCATGATGATTCTATTTATCAAGTTCATCAAGAACTTTTTGTTTGCTTAAGTCACATCTCGCCACAAGCCTCCATGTTGGGAGTAAATTCTGAGGGGCTAAGTCAAGACAAGTCAAAGTTTATTTATATAAAGCACTTTTAAGAAGACAGCAGTCAAACAAAGTGCTGTACAAAGGATAAATAAAAAAGTAAATAAATAGATAGATGACAATAAAACAATAAAATCAAAAACAGTGGAGTAAAATACAGGCAGTGAAAGAATAAAAGCTACAGTGCCTGTGATTCCTGTGTGCTCATTATTAAATATGAGGGAGAAAAGGTGGGTCTTAAAGGATGATTTCAAAGTCTCTAAAGTCTGTGAGGCTCTAATAGAGCCAGGTTAACTATTCCAGAGTCTAGGAGCGACCGCTGAAAAAGCCCTGTCACCTCTAGACTTTAGTCTGGTTTTGGGGACACTCAAAAGCAACTGGTCAGAGGACCTTAAGGCTCTGGCTGGGGAGTGGTGATGCAGGAGCTCTGACAGGTACAGAGGGGCAAGACCATTGAGGGCTTTAAAATGGACTGGGAGCCAGTGAAGGGTCACTCAAATTGGGGTTATGTGGTCGTGCTTTTTTCTTACCAGTAAGGAGTCTAGCGGTGGCGTTTTGGATAAGCTAAAAGCGGTTGATGGATGACTTGTACATACTTGCATGTTTTTTGACTGTACATTAGTGTAGGAATAAAATGCCGTCTGCAAGTTCCTGTATCATGTTGCAATCAGAGTTTTATAAACCCAGACATGAACTCTAAACAGCCATCCACGCCTAATGACCTACATTTAGGCTTCCACATCCACAAAGCTCAACTAAACTTCCTCTATCATTCCCTCTTGACATTTAAAAAAAAAAGATCCTCATTACAGGTTACTTTTATTTAAACAGACAAAACTGAATATGCATTTATAAATAAAGCTCTTGTATTGTACTGTACTGCGACCAACAAAAAGTCGTCTTACACTCATACTCTAAACCCAACAAGAAGTCTGCTACTTTGATTAAAATGTCCTACTTCATGTGATCTATGTGTCATACTTTGATAAAATTCTTCTAAGGCAGGGGTGTCAAACTCAAATGCACAGTGGGCTGAAATAAAAAAAAAAACTGGTCCAAGTTGAGGGCCAGACTGGTTTGTGTTTATTGAGAACTTGCAAATGACCTTTTTGCAAGAATTGAAACTGAAATTAACAAAGCTTCCAAACTGTATGACAACATTAATCATCAAATAAATTTTAAAAATCAGGTATATTCACTCTTTATCAGGATCTTTCCATTGTAATATCTAATAAAAACATTTTCCCACAGGCCAACAAAGGGCAAAAAAAAAAACGTAGCAGTAAGAAAGAAAGTGCCAAAAAGAAGCATGCATTAAAGCTCAGTTTCCCACTCTGTGACGCACACTAGTCGATACTTGAATCTGGAACTGACAAAGCTTATAAGACAGTTTGAACCTAAAAACAACAACATTAAAAATTAAAAAAAAGAAAAAACAGTTGCATTTATTTTCAAAAGCTCTTCTGCAGCTTTCCTGAATTCATTTTTAACTGTCAACATTTTTCTACAGGACAACAACATCCAAGAAGTTATTTCTTTGTAAGACAGATCAAAATGTCCTGTAGCAGCCTTTTGCTGCTTTTTTTCCCTCATGTCCAGATGTAATCTTTCTTAGTGTTTTGTTTCATCGTGTCTGCTTACGTTATAATAGGATGATGATATTCTGAATTCCCCAAAAGAGGACAATAAATTTTGAGTGTTTTTCAGGCCGGGGAGTGTTTTTTACGCCTTCTAACTCAGTTAAATGCATATTCTGAATTACCAAAAAGACACTTAACCAGGCCTCTTTGAGATACTGAAAAATACCCACACCAAGTTGCATTGATAAACAATATATTCATTTATCTAAAGAATTTCTCCTCAATAAAATTATCTGTCACATACAAACATTTAGCAGACAGCGCATGCGTGTGTTGCGTCAGTGGGTTTGCTTAGAACTGAGCGGAGGAACAGAGCAGCAGAGAGCACTGATGCACCGCACTGTTTTATAATGACGACTTCGCTCGCGGTCTCTCGATTAACACGCGAACATGTTGGCAGTGTATTGTAGGATTTTGTAATGTATTAGCGGCGCATGCGGGCCAGCTCTAATAGTGACCAGATATTGTCATGCGGGTCAAAGATAATTACATCGCAGGCCTTGAGTTTGACGTGTGTTCTGAGGACTCCATCTGATCAGCCTCAAACTGGGCCAGTGTTTGCAGACATGATAGGGATGAAACATTTTAAATGGCTTCCCCTCCACCAAAGGATGTTTCCCTGGTGTCTCCTCAAACTTATGAAACAGGAAGTTGTTTTATAGAAATGATTGGAGACCCACCCTTTAACACATATTAATGCTTAGTTTTCATATATGGTCATAGCACCACCCTGAGGGAATACATGACACTAACTATTCTGCATAACTAGCAAAAGCTAGTAGATAGCAGCTAACACAAACTCTGATTGACACATGTACAGAAAAAAGACTGCCAGCTCTTTCTGGGAGTTTCACCGCGAGTGTTGACTTAGAACTATCTATTTCTGAGGTTAACCAAAGGGGGTCTGAAACCTCAAGGGGAGCCAAATCAAAGTTACCCCCATCCCTCCCCACAGTTCTTTCAAGATGACAGTGTGAAGACAATTGAGAGACACTACGGAAATACAAAAAGCTGAAACAGATAAAGCGCAGAGGGAACCCAGCCGATGAAACAGGGTTCAACATTTTTAAGATCTCACAGTCTGCAGGATTTTAAAACCGAAGCTCACCTTCATCTCAGACCTCTTCGGTGGGGCCACCTTGGCATCGTCCACTTTAATCTCTCCTTCTGGCATCTTGTTGAGGGCCTGGAGCATGATCCTCAGGGACTGTCTCATCTCCTCCACTCTGCAGAGATACCTGCACCACAAAGACAGAAACAGCGTGTCTGTTAAACACTCGTACAAAAAAATGCAGACTTATCGGTCTGTGGACACCTCTCTAAAATAAAGATTCTGTTTAGGAACGGGGAACACTGAAATGGTTAAACTGATCCAATTTAATGTTCATCCCTTGTGAGTCACGAGACCCTAAGCTTGCTTTATTCAGCTGCATATCTCCGGCATTTTTATCAATGATTTTATTCTTAAGCACAAACTTGATTTTGTGTTCTTAACAGTAACTCGATCAAACCAGTAAACCAGTACAGGTGTTTTTATAGAGCTGACTCTTCCCAACATCAGTTTTATCAGCGGGGCTTGAGTGCACGTGATTGTCGTAGGAGTTTCAGTTTTGTTGAATAAGTTCCTTAAATGCAAACAGCTGTTTTGGGAAAATTTGGCCTCTCCAATATGAGGCTCTCCGGCTGAAGTCCTCCTCTCAAGTGCTGCTCTTCCAGCCGCTTAAGTGCTGTGCAAACTTTTCGGACAACCTGAGAGAACTGCTCTCTGTGATCTGCACTGACTTTGACTGTGTCATTATTGGTGCGGATTTTAATCCTCAGGACAAAGGGACACAAGGACGGCACTCCTAACAACTTCAGGCGAACTCAGCGTGTGGCAGGACCCACACACAACCACAGCACACTACATTAAGTTCTCCTGAAGACCAAGGTTGTTGTGACTGAAGATTGTTGTTGCCCTTGAACTTCTTTGAGAGCTCCATCTCCAACCAACTTATCTTCTACACCTGCCCTGTCCTGGCGCTCTGTCAATGACTTGGTAACTTATATCATTGAAATGTTATTGCAGTTGAACTTTGTTGGACATTCTGGCTCAGTTCTCAATCTAAAAAAGCCGGGACAGCTTTATGAACCAAAGAGACTGGTTTCCAGACTTCTGAAAGTGAAGTATTTGATTCTTTTCCGATACAGGATTAAACTGATAAACAATCGGGAGTCTGCTTTGTCACATTTCTTATTTCATGATGAGCTAAATGTTATCAGAGGGGGACAGGTTATCACAAAGCAGGGCAGTACTGCTGTAAAGCCGAAAACATACAGGATCCGTATTGAGCACGTTCTGTATTTGCTCCGTAGAGCAGCATTGGGTATCGCACACAGGATGCGTGTTTGGAGCGTGGCAGCAGCGTAGTGCAGCCCCAGTCAGCTGGGCTCAGTCTAGAGGAAACAACATGCTCAAAATAGGTTGTTTTGCCTTTCTGTGGTCTATTTTCTGCTAATTTGGACATAACTCAGTGACCTTTGAACCTCTACTATATTTGAAAAAGCAATGTGATTTTACAGTTTCGATTTTTGCAGGTTTACTCATGTTTAGTGAAATAAACGATGTTCCTTTATGCTTTGATGTTACCTTCAGACAGAGATAGCAGTTAAAAGTCCTGTTGGGGTGAATAGACTGAATCGGGTAACGCTTAATGTCTTTATTATTAAAAGTGAAAAAACTCACATCCATGTACAGTCTGCCGTGCTTAGATCTTCTGGGTTATTTCCGAGTATTGATGCAGTCATTACATGTTAAAATGATGTTAAAACAATATATGTCATAAAGAAGGTCAATATGCCGAGCACAGATCAATGTAGTTGGATCATAGGAATATAAATCAATACATCGATGTTGTAGATGAATCGTTACACCCCTAATGTAGTACTACTGAAGATCAAGGACGTACAACATGGTTTTTCAGTCTTGTCTTTTTAGTTCGCAGATTTTTTCAGATTACCTTTTTACTCAGCAGAACATTTTTCTGACATTGTGGGACCATTTCTTCACCCAGTATCAGGAGAACACATCATTCACATGACATCACTCTTCACACATATCCCACGTGTAAGATACGTGTCCCATATATGACTAAAATAAGTCAAGATTAAAATGAGAGGAAATGATCTCACAGATCATAGAAAAGTATCTGCTTCTCTTTTACCTGTCGTAGCAGTCACCGTTGCTTCCAATGGGGACATCAAAATCCACTTCGTCATACTTGTCATAAGGCTGAGACTTCCTCAGGTCCCACTTGATGCCTGACCCTCGCAGCATCACTCCACTGGTTTAAAAGACAAGGAGAAAGGGGGTTCAGCTATTTTCTCTGAGCAGAAACACTGAAGTAAATATTCATTTGGGTCAAAACTTGATGAGTGTGTTACCTGAAGCCATAGTTGAGAGCCTCCTCTGCAGAGACCACCCCAATATCTACGGTACGATTCTTCCAAATACGATTGTTGGTCAACATCTGCAAGAAACAAAACGAGATCATCCCATTTTCACTTTGACTTGAATTTACTAGAATGCTCCTCAAAGGCTCGTGGAGACTAAATCAAGGCTTTTACCTCTTCTACTTCATCAATCCTGATGGAGAAATTCTTGCACCATTCGTAGATGTCATCCATCAGGCCAAGAGGCAAATCCTGGAACAGGTTTAAACTCATCAGCAGCTTTTCTCTCATAATACTTTTAGGTCGACCACAAACTAAAGGGCCAGACTCTGACAACTGTCACAAAACTGTAGTTTTGTCTCACCTGATGGACGCCACCAGGTCTGACATATGCAGCGTGCATTCTGGCTCCGGACACTCGCTCATAAAATTCAAACATCTGTGAAGACAGAGGAGAAACGGTTACAAAGAGTCCAAGAAATAAACAGTACAGCAGATCTACTCTGGAGTTATTGCTCTGTTTTGTTTATGAGGTTATTACATTACAGTCTCTGTGTACAGTGGAAAAGCAGTGAAATGGGTTCTCCCATTTCATGAGATCTTCAAGCAGGCCTGTGATGTGAGTACAGATTTACTACAACCAAAAGAGTAAATAAAAGGTCAATACAATCTATCACAGGAGGGTCTTGATGTTGTTAACAGTGAAGAAAAGTGTGCAAATTGAGATTAGGGCTGTCGTGATACAAGATTTTCACCTCACTATTGTGGCCATGAACATTGTAAAAGGAAACTCTCTAAAACTCCCTCCTCTAAAACAACATAATCAGTCAAACTGATGAGAGGCAAAATTACTCCATTAAATTAACTTATTAAATTAAAAGTCATTGTCCATCTCTAAATAGAATCAAATTTACTAATTGGTTAATCAGCCCTGTGACTTCTTTGGTAGGAACATTCATCAATCCACTGTGCGTCTACTTTTATTTCTGTTTGTCTTTCTGTCTTTCTTCTGCATTTTCAAACTTTAATTTTTAAGTTCTCCATTTCCATAAGACCACTAGTTGAAGTCCTGAATCAAAATAGTTAAAAGAATAGTTAGAAAGTGTAAATGTTCAGCTGATTAGTCACTCAAAGAGATGGTTATTTTTGGATTCACAATAAATCTTGAACATCAGCTTTAAAAATGCTGAATCATCTCTTGAAGAAGGCTTCTTCAGCGAGCAGTCTGCTACTTCCTTTTTTCTTGTTCCCAATCTTGTTTGATGGAATGTGCACAATGTCAATAATTTCTCTTTTCATAAAATGACGGTTATGGTCAATACTACAACAGCCTTAATTGGAATTGACAGAGGTATTAATAGCAACAAAGTCAATAGCAGTCATGTTGTATTAAACTACGAGGCGGACATGCATGTCAAAAACACTGTATTTCACAAACTTCAGATTGTTATGAGGAACTATCAAAATAGAAATCCTGAAACAAAAACACCTGATATTACATATATATATATTTACATTAAAGTTTGAAAACAAGAGATCAGACTGTGTCTTGGCTTGACACCACAAAAACAAGAGTCCTGACCTTCTCCCTTTCCTCAAACATCCAGAAGAATGGGGTCATGGCACCGATGTCCAGGGCATGTGTAGTGATGGCCATGATGTGGTTCAGGATGCGGGTCAACTCTCCGTACAGAACTGCAAACAAAAGCCCCCAACATTTCAAACTAAAATAATTAATTAATTAATTAATTAATTAATAATAATTAAGAGCTTTCTTTATGTCAAAGCTTAATATCTTGGTGATACGAACAGTGTGTCTGCCATCTTGACTCCATGTTTGGCCTTTCTGGATGTCATGTGAGTTATTGAAAGTATCTGACTGCACACAGAAGTCAATGAAAGTTCTTTGACTGTCTTTTCATATTGAGTCTTTTTTAACCTTTTACATTGTTGGCTTTATTACTCCAAATTATCTGTATTTTAAATTGTGTCTTTTTGTAAAGCGTCTTTGAGCACCTGTAAAAGCGTGCTATAAATCAAATTTATTATTATTAAAATGGGCAGTAATTTGCAGCATTAAAGGGCCATGTTAATGTAGTTCTGCTCTTTTGGATTTTGTTGGCCGTCGATGCTTTCATTTCGTGACCTCTTTCATTAACACTAGCGAAAACCTCCACCTCATACCTCTGATCCACTGTGCACGGGGTGGAGCTTGGATGTTGAGCAGCTTCTCCACAGCCAGAGAATAAGCCTCCTCATTGCACATCATGGAAACATAGTCCAGACGGTCGAAGTAGGGCAGAGCCTGCAACATTAAAAGAAGAGGAACTGAAGCTCTCTGAATAAGGGACTTTTAAAAATAACATGTCTTGTGTCACACTTCTGAGGTTGCCTGTCTGAGAATATACCCTGAGCACCAGGGGACCTACATTCTTCCATACAGAAACCTTGAGGTCTCTGTCAGCTCAGTAGCCTTTGCCCTCACTTTCCTCTTCATATTTCCTTGATCTCTTATCCTGCTCTGTTAATAAAGGGGAATACAGCCCAAAATTATAATAATAAGAATAACCACCAGAGATAAAGATATGACACTTCAGAACACTTAGTTTCCACCAGGTTAAGTTCACTACAGTTTGGTTTAAGTACAGAAAACCCTGAGCTTACTTCAGGGTTACCTCGAGTTATGGGAAATATTCTGTCTTTCCTGCTCAGTTGATGACGATGTGTGAATTTAACTGCTCGCTTATCAACCCCCCCGCGGTTTTGAACACCTGATGGCATTTCATGATAAGCTTGAAAACACACATAAACTGAAATGATGATGCATTAATCATTTTAAATGAGGTGACAAGAGATGTAATCAGCAAAAAAACACTTTGGATTGAATCTTATAACCCGATCATCCACCCACCATGATACACATTAAAGAGCTTTTTCTGCTTATCAGTCACTTTCCAAAGGTCTTCGTGTAACGAGGAGTATTGGAAGTATAACAGGTTGTGTTCCACTATAAAAGGCACATATGTGGACTTTCTGTTTGCAGACACAGTCAGCCATAGATGCGCACACTTCTGTTGTTGTGGTGGTTGTTGCACCGGGCAGAGAGGAGTTGTGCAGCAGAGCACAAACAGCAGCTTCTTAATGATGGGTGCATTAGCCGTTACTGCCGTATAGAATTTTTTTTTTTAAATGGCAAACCAGCACATGCAAACCCCAGGCACAATGACCAATCAGAGTCGAGCTTTACCTGCTTACTTCTGTAAGTTACCGGAAAAATAAACATGAGAAGTGAACAGAATGACTGAACGTGGAGCTAAACGCAGAGCTGAAGGCAGCAAAACAGATGTCAGCCATGACTTTGAGTCCTCCTCAGAAGATGTTATAGCTGAGATGTTATTCAACGTCTCTCCAAAGTGACATCGAGCAATTAGGCCGATAAACCGGCAACACAACAGATCTGTTTAATCATTTGAAGAAGTTCTTCCCGAGTGATTATACGGGAAGCATGAAAATGCGGGCGGAGTCTGCACAGCCTGTCACTGCTGACGGTACGAGTAGCATTAGCAGTTTAGACACAACTAGCGGTGCAGACACCAGACCAAAACAGCGATCAATCACATCCATACCTGCCAACACTCCTGTTTTTCACTCTCCCGTGTTTCAGACCTGCCCAGCGTGCGCCACAAACAACTCCCGGATTTTATAACCCAAATGTTGAAAGGCATGCATATCATCTACGTTTACATTTTAAAGCATCTTCATTATCTCTGAGGGGGCGATTTGTTTATTTTGGGTCTTGCATACCTGCAAAAATACTCAGGACTGTAAACTAATTCTCTGTATTACTTAGTATTTATCTACATTTTAGTTAAAATGTTTTTTGTTTTTTTTTATATTATTCTACGTGAATCTTATTCAATTTGCTTTATTTACTTTTGTATGTTAATAAAATGTTGAACTAATCTCTAGCTTTTTTAGTTTTTAGTACAGATGCTTTGAAACTGGCAGTTAAAAAAAAATCTTGATCATAATCGAGATCGGACGATATGACAAAATAAATCGTGATCATTTTTTTTTCCAAATCGCCCAGGCCTACTCCCAACCATGTTAACTTTCGCCACTTTCTGGTGATCTAGCAAAACTTTAATAAAACTATGGCTTGGGCTGGCTTTATTTGTTGAAAGTGGAGTCAGTTAATCCCTGTACAATTGCTAGATAATGGAACTACAACAAAAAAAACACGTGTAGTTTTTTTCCTCTTTTATTTTTCTGAATGACAGAAATAAGTTGTAGTGATGGAGAATTAGTGATTAATGTCTGTGTAATTCAGTACCATCTCTCCTTTCTGTGCACTGTGCCCCAATTCACCAGACCAGTTAGTGGAAATGCAGCATAAAAAGGAGTGGTAAATTCTTAAATACCTGGAGGTAGGTCTTGTACTCAATGAGTTTCTCTGTGCCACGGTGGAGCAGCCCGATGTGAGGGTCACATTTCTTGACAGACTCTCCGCTGAGCTCCAAGACGAGGCGCAGCACACCGTGAGCCGCAGGGTGCTGGGGACCAAAGTTTATGGTCAGGTTGGACACATCCCTCTCTGCAGGAGGATCTTTGTCTGTAAAGAGAAAACGAAACAATACAGGACTTGTTCAGCTATAACAAATTCAGTCAAGTTCTGATTACATTTAAATCTTAAGAACAGACGAAAGAAAAAAATCATCAACAATCTACCAAAACTTCATCCCATTTAATAGCTAAATCAGGAGCTACAGCTGAAATGTGGCATTTCATGAAAGTATAACTTAACTTTCCAGATTTTAGGTTGACATGGCAACCAGACATTTCCATAAGGTTAAATCATAGACTGTATACACTATGGACAACTTGGCTCTGCCTTCCATTATTATGCGAATTTAAAGCCAAATTGCTCTCGATATTTATGTGATTTTTCTCCACGGTTGAAAGTACATAACAAGGCGAAATAATCCAAGTTTTCCTTACCATTGGGTGGATTCAAAAGCATGTGCCTTTTAATGATTTCATTCAGGCTATTCAAATAAGCCGAAAACAATAGCCCTCTGATTCGAAATATTTGCTGTCCCGAAAATATAATGCTCTCTACCTTGACAGCTTATTGTACAGTTTATGTACCCAAGTACATCTCTATATGTGCATTTTTAGGACACATAAAAACAGAACGAAAGTTTGCTGCTCCATTTGACATATTGTAATGATCCAATACAATATCAGATCATATCTCCTTCACTTTAAGAAGATAATGAGCGGATGGGATGCATTGTGGACACGCTCCAACAGTGCTATGAGTGGCCGCAATGCATTGTGGGTGGCCACGTTTTGTTGCAAAATTTCTTCATTTTCTCTTTTAATGTTCCCGTTTTTGTTGGGCTAGCATTGATGTACTTAATTCGAGAGGTTTTTTGGATTTGGGACTACTTTTGTGGTGGTTTGTTTGTACATTTTGCTGTTCTCAGGGTGGCTTCACCCAGCGACGAAGCAGATGGCGTCCATTCTATATACACTTTATGGTTAAAATAAACTAAAACTCACAAAGAGTTAATGAGGTTGTTAATCAAGACCCACAACTCTCTTCCTAGTAGCCCTAAACATGTGACTGTGCATTGATATTACCGTTCCATGGTGGTGGCTTCCAATTCTTAGTCAGGTCGGTTGGATACATCACTGCCCCAGCAAACTGCTCCATCCACTCCACATCTGGCTGCCATTGTTTCTTCCTGTTCAATAAATCACATACAATCTTGAGATGAGGTAAGGCTGTTTTGGGCGCAACTTCAACCTATGCCAAAACAAACATACCTGTGCGAGGCAGGTGCTACTTCTCATGTTACCTGTATGTTGCCAGAAAAAGGCTTTAACCTAATTTGTTTGAGGCTGCTGTTTGATTAAGGACTGCACTGAGCTTGCCAACATACACGCACACGCTCACACGTGACGGATATACACAACCAGACTACTTGAAGTCCTTTGGAAGTCCTGACATTGACTTATCAGAATATGGTCAAGAACAGAAGTCAGTGTAATATCCTAACAATGGGGAAAGTTATGGGAATAAGGCACTGACCCAAAACCACTACACCTAGAGTAGATCATCTATGAGAGAAGAGACACTTTCATTGCTCTTTTTTTTTGTCTAGACCAGTAAAACCAAGTCCTGATTCAGAATTACAACACGTAACCTTCTCAGTTTTAGCATAGATTATCCAAGAGAGAATACAGTCTCTTTGAAACACAGTTTCAGATCATTTCACTACTTGTGAAAATGCAAGACAAGGCATGCTTTGTCCCCTGTATTGACCCAGTCCCTGATCCAGAACCATCATTGCTGACCTTCACTGTTTCAGAGCAACAATACGGTCTTTTAAAAACACACTCAGGTTTGTAAAACAGTCATTTGTTTTATTGAAGATAAGTGACATTTCATCTTTTAAATCTCAAGATCACCTTGTACTTGGTCCTGACTAGAAGCCCCAGTCTGGGACTTCTATGATCCTGCTTTGATAGTTCTGGAGAACCTACAGAATCTTGGTAACTGGCCCCATTCACTGTGTTTGTTAGGGGCTATTTTGGGGTAATTCTTCTGTCAAGACCCCCTTGGACTACATTGGAGTTTTGGACCAGGACCCGGTCCAATGTCAGCTACTTAAAAAAACTTCCAGTAAATTGTTCTTTCCTGTATTTTTACTGTAAAGGCTTACTACATCTGAAACTGAGTTGAAAGAGTCTGTCAGAGTCTGAAACCTTTTGAGAATTATATAGTCTAGATCTAAGAAGTTTGGGCATTGTGGTCTTGGATCTGGATCAGGATGGTTCAATGCAGTCCAGACAAAAGAAAGCCTCATTTCTGAGGTCCAGTATCCTCTAGTTTAAAGCATAGTCAGCATTCTGCCATGTTTTGGTAGACAATGAAAAGGGGAGTTGCTCCATGCTGAACCAAACAACTACGTAGTAGTAGGCTGCAGCTACACGCAACCATAGCGCTTTAACAGGTGAAGCTGACAACATTGTCAATGAGAAAAAAAGAAAATGAGTGCTACCCCGGGCAGAAATGCAGATGAAGGCTCAACAAATGATGACATCTTCCACAACACTGGCACGAAAAACATCGGTGGTGCGAAGGTATTTTGAGGTCAGACTTGAAGCAGAGTAATGTGCACTGCAAATTATGTCGAGTTCATGGTCTCGCAAAGTCGGGGAATACCTCTTATCTTTCTCACCACCTGAAGCAGTGCCACGCAGCAGAGAATGCACAATGCAAAAGGTTACATGCCCCAAGCGGAGCAAGCACCCCATGACACCTGTGCAGCCGAAATGGTCAACTATTCAGTCCACTTTGTCTAGTGCAATACCTTAAGACAGAACATCTTGGAGACAAAAAGACCTCACAGATGCAGTAGCTTATTGTTTTGCAAAAGACATGCTACCAATAAGCACTGGGAAATTTCATTTTTTATATCGTGATATATATCAATATCGACTGATATGAAACAAATATATCATGATAAACCTTTTCTCATATCGCCCAGCTCTAATCACAGGTGGACCAAAGATCTTATAATTCTAAAATTATGCTCTGGGGCATCTTGTGGATTTACCATTGCAGACTAGAGAAGCCCATGTATTCAGGGTTTTGAATTAGGACCTTATATCCAGAACTTTTCCCCGTAACAGTTGAGGTGGACTCTGGGAATCATTTGCTGAATACAGCCTCGTCCTCTGTAATCTGTGTCACCTAAATTAACCCACATAGATGTAAACAGACTCAAATATGTCCTCTATATGGACGTAGATTAGGTTCCTAACACTCTTAATAGAAACTGTTATATAGATATAAACATAATTATATGATTATTTGGGTCACTTTGACCTGATAAAATGCAGAAACAGTCATAAACGTTGAAACAGGGAGGCTGACCAGAGAGCTTCAATCACAGCTTTAACATATAAGTTAGCTGCAAGAAAGCTAAAATATCTCGTATAACGGCTTATAAGATTGCAATCCCTGCAAATGTCATACATCTGCTCCAACAGTTCACCTTAAAGGAAAAATACCCCCTCTGTCTGAGACGGTATCAAGATCACCTCCAGCAGTCGGCTTTTTTAGCATTTAGCTAACCTGAGTTCAAGCTTCTTCGTTCAAGCTTCACCTCATTTGCAACACAGTACGTCATATTTGGCCTCTTCGGTATCTTACCTGTTTTGCAGAACAGTGCAGCTGGGGCTCAGTGAATTATTGCTTAATACTAATTTAGTTGAAGGACGTCCTAGCTTAGTGAGCGACCTCAACATCGTGGCCGCCATGTTGGCTGTTAGACAACCTCTGGCCAATGACGTAGCAGAGCGTCTTCCTTTGTTGTTCCGCAAAACGTGCTGGAGCTCTATGCTGCCACCTGTCGGTGGGATACGTACAGACACGTGCAGTACACTTGTTTCACTGTAAGCGAAACGGTTTTCGAAATCAGCTGGAAATGCGTTGAAATTTCGACATTTTTTCCCCCAGTGAAATTGTGTTGTCGCTTGATTAAATTCTTTTTTTTAATATTTTCTATTCTCTTCAGACCCACATCAAGAAAAAACAAAATGTATATTGTTGTAACACCGTCATGGTTGACACCTTCTCATTTACTTATTTAATCTTTGACCTGAACTGAATTGAGGACTGTGGCTCATTTCATGAAATCGGTGCCTTTTGCGTCCCCAAGAAGTAGTCAATTATAAAATTATGACAACAACAAATTAATATGCAATTTAAAAATATTACATTACCACGTCTTCTCTTTTTATTATAACATCAAATTAAAGTAAATTAAATATAATTTCAAATAATTAAAATTATTTTTATACTGATGAGGGTGAGGTTTTTGGCCTGTCCTTCACTACTATTGTTGTACGTATACAGGACTTTTAATTTGTAAAATGTTGGCAAAATGTCAAAATTTTCACATTTACATATTGTTTTAAGTATGATCTTATTGTTAAACAGTGTATTTGGCAATGATATACATTAGTCATTATAAATATTTACTAATTTATCAGCGTCCCCTGATTTCATATCAACCCTGTTACCCTAACTAAAAAACCCTAAAAAACTAATAGTACATTCCAGATTTGACATGATTGACAGGAGGTTCCATCCTCTCTGAGCCAAGATGCTAACAGCTCAGTGACAATTAAGTTCCTCTCATCTCTGATGTGCTATTTTTGATGCTTTTTCAAGGTTTAACCTGAGGGGACAAGCATACAATGTCAAACCTGTTACCACTTTTTAACATATAAACCTAAACAACTTTCTATTTCTCAAAATATGATCAATATCTTCAAGTAATTACCTTTCAAAGTACCTAGCTTGCACTTTAGCTACCACTTATTTAAAATAGCCACAGGTAGATTATCTTAAAATGATCAACCCTGTTACTGTCAACCCTGTTACCATTCCACAGTAACAGGATTTGACATGTAAGTAACAGGGATGACATAGAACAGTGTTTACCCTCGTTGTACTCTTTTTAAAGGTTAACCTTTTAAAATTGAAACATTTTTAGTGTCTGGTTACTTTCACTCTTGTCAGCCCTGTCACATAACTGTCAATCCTGTTGTTGTCATTAATTTGATAAGAATGTAAAAATGACAACTCAAATGGGCTTTCAACACTCACCATTATAATCAAAATAACATTATATTTTAGATTGGGCCATTTTTCAACATTTCTCCTCTAAAAAAAATCTGATGTATGTTAAGACCTGATCACTATGCAAAATTAGGGTATATCTGATCATCTGACTGACAAATATCAAATTGGAGAAAAAAACCCACAAAATAAAATAATCTCAACAGAAAGAGAGACTACAGTACTTCTAATATATGTACGATATATTGCATATTTCTAATTAGAATTATTGTATTTTGGGTACTTAAAAATTAACAATTAAACATAGTTTAAATTTCACATTTTCTAAGTTGAAAAGGCACATATTTCATGGAATGACCCATAAAATCATATTTTTGGCAGTAGATTTAGATTTAGCTGTTATGTAATTACCCCTTATTTTCCTCACTCATTTAATCTCTTTTACAGGAATTGCAACATTTACTTCAATTTTCAAGACTCAAAATGCATAAACAGTATATTTAAAATGTGGGGGTTTAAAATACGAAGTTCCTAAAAAGTTACCAATAATTTTTTTAAGGAAAATTTCATTATCTATTTTTCAGTTTTTGATAGACTGGCTTTCCTCCAGAGTATTTTCTGCAGTTTAAAGTGCTACCAAAAAATGACTCAAGTATTTAATCCCACCTCTGATGAGGCAATTAGGTGTTCAGCGTAAGCAATTACAAGGTAGGCCTTTGCCATCCTTGGCCACCCTCTGACCACACCCCTGCTACCCCAGAAAACAACAACAAATCCAGATTTCTTATAAAAAACAGTGCTTTTATTTATGTAATACTGTGGAAAAATAATTACATACCATTTTTAAAAAATATTGAAGATAATGAAATTAAAAAATGAGAGTTTGATAATGTTCGTTGTACATCTTTTGAACAGTTTTCTCTGCTACGAAGAACAGTACAATAAGATAAACATTGGATTTTCCTAAATTCAAAGACACAATAATACAGGATACAGTCCTACCAGAGGTATAAAAGTACTGTAACAGGATTGTGAGAGAAATGATATGGACATATACTGAAACACACACCCGCACACTTTGACACAGACATGCACACACACACACACACACTGTTTACCCATCGATGCATACAGTAGCCACACAGTTGAGTCAGCCACTGTGTGTTAACAGTATGCCTCCCATACACACGCAGCCATTCACACATCTATACAAACACACTGTACAAATCGATGTGCGCGCCTACGCCCACACACTCCCTCTTGAACTCTCTCACTCACACACACTCGCACACCCACACACACACTCGCAGTCATACACTACTACATGTCAATATTGTGGACAAGCCTTCATTGAACCTCTCCATACACATTCTCCTCCGGCCGTTTTTGGCAGACAGACGATGAGGAATGATTCAAAATGGAAATGTACGACATGTTCCCCTATAAGGCCACTCAGTTCTAAACCCAACATCTGTGTTTTTCTCTCTGTCTGCACCAGGCGTGTAGTTAAGAGCTCAGAGAAAAAGGCTCCGGCTGACGAAAATGTCTGGGAATGACTCAAGGCCCCTAAGCCTGGTTTGTAAAGCAACAGTCACCAATAGAAGGAGCTTCTACTGCATATACATGATCTAAGGTGGAGGACAACATGAACACTTGGCACTAGGTTTTCTTTTATACACTGATATACCCTTCAGATGGGAATCAACCCTGATTTCAGGATCGTCTGTTGGCACAACTCTTCACCCTGTCTCAGAGGAATCACCCAGGCAGTCCCAAGTGATGTGCGCTCACGTTCAAACTTTTGGTCCATACATACACATTTACATGTTTTACATTGACAAAAATAATTCTGTAATGTTAAAAAATAGAATACAAAGCTCTAGTCAAGTGTGCAAATAAAAAGAAGACATTACACAGATATAGATAAGGGACGTCTAAGCATGAATACTGTAGATGAAGTGCAAAATGATGACAACCCTCCAAACCCCACCCCAGTTCACACACACCCCATTCTCACGCCACCTGACAGGCATGATGGCACGTACAAATGTACAGAGGGGCATTATGGGAACTATATATATGTGCTCTATGATCATGGATAGACAACCAGCAAATAAAGTAAAAAAATGGCGGCCAGAAATGACTTCCACTGGTTGAGGTTTCTCCAGATTGGTGTGTACCATTTGAAACAGTCAGTCAGTTTTGCCTTAAGACGTTCTTGCTCATCATTTACAAAGTCTGTTCGTAGCAAAAGCTATCGGGCTCCAAAGATCTTTGATCTCTCGTCCTCTCTCTGGTGCTCCCTCTCTCTTTCAGGCTTGATTGTGACTTGCGCCGTCTGCTCTTTCAGAGCTCAGATATACAAACACATTGGGAGTTAGGGAAATCAAAATTGTGTGGAATTTCCCTTCCCTGTCTCACTAAAACTCAATCTTTCGTCTCCTTCTCCCTTTTTTCCTCTGTTTCTCACACCCTCCCTGTCTCATGGGCATGGTCTTCTGACTCCGTGCATGTGTGATGTTTTTTTTTTTGTGTGTGTGTTCTGTAGGGCGTGTTGGTCTGAAAATGTGTGCGTGTAACTCTATGATTGTGTGTGTGTTTTTTTAAGTGTAACACTATTTATAAGATGCGTCCTCATGCTCTGCTAAGACTGTGAGGTGTTTTTTGCGTCTCTCCGTCTCACACGTGAGTCTGCATCCTCTGTGTGTGTCGGCTGTGGGAGTAGTCAGAGTGTTGTGAGGTGTAGGAGAAGCGAGTGGAGCTGCCGTACTTCCCTAGTCCAGTCTCTGATCCAGGGGGAGCAGGACCCCCTGGACTTACGCTGACCCCTGGGCCCCCTACCCCAGATCCCACCCCGTACATTTCATAGGATGGGCCAGCCTCCAGTGGGGCAAGGCTGGATGGGGCAAAACCCATGCGGTAGGTCGGGTAATGTGAGGGGTATCCATAGTTGTCATAGGCCAGCTGGGAAGTGGAGTCCAAGAGGCTGCAGTCCCCTGGGAAGTCCCCAGCCACAGGGGCGGGGTTAGCTGGGGGTTGCTGGCTTTGCCCTCCACGAGTGAAGGTGTTGAACTGGGCATAACTGATGTGGGAAAGTCTAGAGGGAGGTCGAGGGTCGTAGCAGGGCTGGGGACGGCCAGGGGAAGTGAGGGGGCCAGGGGGACCGGGGGCTCCACCGCTGGCAGTGGCCCCTGAGCCTCCGGCACTGCTGCTGATGGATGCAGCTCCCCCTGGTGTTCCTGTGGGGGAGCGGTAGTCGGAGTAGTGCATGGTAGAGCGGGAAGCGGGGCGGCCTTCATCATGGGTGGAGGCTCGCACGTTGTAGTAGCCATTAGTGGGATCCTGTGGAGAATAACAAAAAGACACAAAAACACAAGGTAAGCATGAGTTTTGGAAAAAACCCAGCATTGTAAGAGTCTGGATGTTGAAGAAATATTTAATACACTACATTTAATAAGTTGAAACTGACAAACTGGATTGTTTACACAAAATAGAGTTGATTCTTTTATCGAATTCAACGTTTCAGATCAGCTGGGTTAGAGGCATGTTTACCGTTGCCTTGCATCAGCTCCTCTTTTAAGAGTTCTTTGTACCTCTTTGGGAATTGAGAGAACCAGTTTCTGTTTTTAAGAGTGACATATTCTTTCATCCTTACTTGATACAGGATTTTAGTGTCTTGACAGTTCGGGGGCTCCTTTAGTGTAATCTCTGTTTGATAATGCACCAAATGGTTTCATAGGCGAAAGATCAGGACTGCAGAAAGTCTAGTTTAGCACCTAGACTTATCTACTACGGAGCCATGCTGTTGTCACTAGTGCTAAGTGTAGTTCGGCATCATCTTGCTGTCTGGACAACAGTACATGCTACTCAAAAACCTGTACACTGAATATTGTTAAGCATGAGTGGTGCCTTCACAGACGTGAAAGCTACCCATGCAATAGGGAGTTATCCATCCTCATACTAAGATGCTAGCCAGATGGTCCATCCATGATTTCCAAAAAGAGTGTCTTAGATAAGCTGCTGGTATTTCTTGATTGTGTTTCTTCATGGTTCTTTATGTTTATGGTACAATTTTAAGTGATGCAGTGATGAACTATATTGACATTTATATGGGATTTTAAGCCCCTATCAGTGATTTCAACTCCAGAGTGATGTCTGTTTTAAAGGCAGCACATTAATACTGTAAATTGTGGTTGATAAAATCCTCAAACTCTATGCATTTTCATGCTCAGGAACATTATTTCCTTACCTAGTCTCTCACAGATCGGTAATCCTATCTTTACTTTTGAATGACTTCGGTCTCTCTGGAAGTGCTTTTTCTTACCCAGTCACATGACCAACCTTTTGCAGCTTTACACCATTGTTTCTCCAAGTCTTCTTTTAAATTTAGCACTGCACATTTCTTGGTGCTGTCCCTTTCTCAACCTTCTTCAACATGTTGATGGTATCACATTTAAAATAAGCACAAATTTGATATTTTGTCTTTGCATTATTCAAATGAAATATAGGCTAAATTTTTTTGAAAACTGTCCGTTTCATTCTGTTTCGAGCACTGAAGCCCCTAATTTAATTATGGTTGTGAATGTCAAAATAGTTGAATTTGTCCCAGAGTATAGACTGTAAAGGTAAAAGGCTCTGTGAGAACAATGTTATGCTTCTTCCTGATCCCCAAAGAGAAACTCTCTTTGTTGCACAAGGTCAGGGTAAACTGTGTCTATATGGTCAGCATCCAGGCCCAGACTCATTAAGATTGTGCTGTGAGGGCAGTTTACAGTCTTCTTTGTGACTCAGCTGCTTGGGATCAGAGCCCCATTTCAGAAATGTATGCAAATTGATGTATGGAGAGAAAACAAGTCCTCAACTAGAATTACCACATCGCAGATTTTTACACCCCCGCCTACAAGCCAAGTTGTATTTTACATTAATCAGGGTTTCTGCAAAATGACAGCGGAGCTGTGGCTAAGACAGAGAGAAGGGGAATATATTTGTATGTTTAAAATACTTAAAAGAATAAATCAACCAGAAACTCAAAGTAATGAATAAATGAGTCTGCAGGCTGCACCAGCTCATTAACAGAGTATGACTGACTGAGCAGATCCTCCTCATGGGAACACTCGATAAGATCAACAGAACTTAAAGGCAACAGGTCAAACAAGGCAAAGCAGGTGGAGATCATACACTTAGTATCGGACTGACAAAAACAATGACAACAAATTTCACTTTTTTTTTTTTTTCTTTAACCATGGCCGTGTCTAGACTTTTTGGACTGGGGTGGCCAAAATGGTGCACAGTTATCAAATTTAGGGTGTTAGGAGTAGCTAATCAGATGTCGAGGAGGATCCATGGCACCATTAGCCAACCTTTGATCACACCCCTGCATGACTTCTTTCCACTCTTTTTTGAACATGGATAACTTTTTATTTTTTGTTGTTGTATTACCTACCTTTTATTATTATTTTTTTGTATGTTCAAAATAAATGTCAATCAATCAATCAATCCATCAATCAACCAATTAATCCATCAATCATCAATAATCGTATGAAACTGGTGCAACAATATTAGGGTTACATGACCCAAAGCATGTTTTTTTTTCCAGGACTTCCATTTGCCACAGTGAGATTGACCCTTGACCTTGTGGGAAAGCATGCCCCTGTGTACTCGCTTAACCCTATCTTGTTATGAATTTTTGTTCAACTGTTTGTGATGAGAGTGTACATCTATAAAGTATGGCCTAAAAACACTGAACACTCATAGGTCAAAGTGAACATCTGTTCCCATTTCATAGTCGTGCCGTTCCTAAAATAAAAGTACAGACAGGTCTAAAGCTGAAGGACAGAGGGACAGATGAACAGCCCCAAACAAAGAGCGTCCTGTCATAATCACTCACAAACATGAGAAAAAACAATCAGTTATGACAGCAGGAAGTAAGAAATGTCCCAGCACACTTTGAAATCAATGTCACTTTGAAAAGATTTGAAAATGTTAAATATGAAACAGACAAAACCCCAAATAATCCCTATCTATTGTGTATATGTGATTGTCCTAGATAGGATGCAGAGCACAGAAAACATGCATGTCATCCGGTAAATTTCTTAATAAAACACCTCATGCTGATATCTGACAGTTTGTCATCTCGTGTAGATGAGAAATTCTTCCTGGTTATGGATTTATCAGGAACACAGAACAATCTGATGGTCAATCCCTGATCCATGTGGACCCCAACAGGACTTTGAACTGCTAACTCTGTCTGAAGGTAAATGTCAAAATAGCACAGCATAAAGGAACATAGTTTACTTTATTAAACACAAGTAAACCTGCAAAAACCGAAACTTTACAATCACATTGCTTTTTCACATAAAGTAGAGGCTCAACAGTCACTGAATTACATCCAAATTAGCAGGAAATAGACCACCGAAAGGAGAAACAACCTGTTGTGAGCATGTTGTTCCCTCTACACTGAGTTCAGCTGACCGGGGCTGCACTACGCTGCTGCTACGCTCCAAATACGCATCATGTGGGCAATCGACAGCGCTGCAAGACGGAGCAGAGACGCAAAGCTTACGGAACCTGCTCAACATGGATCCTGTGGGTTAAGGACTTCACTCAGTCATGAATCTATCACTAATCACTACATCACCCACCCTGAGGCACGGGTTTCAGACGTTCAGCCTAGTTTGCTAAAGAGACCCAAGTATCAATTTTATTCTTATTCATTTACCAGTTAAAAACTCCCCACAGGAGCTTTAATCACACCTTATTCTAAATCAATGTTTCCTGAGTGTGCGCATGCCACATATTCAAAACTTGTTTATAAATATTGCAGTATTTTTGGTGGATGTTAAGCTTTATTTTCTTAACACCGTGAACAGGAAAAATCTGAATTCTAATTTGGTCATTTTGGCATTCATGAGTCTGAGCATCTCTGTTAAACTCCTGGCCTCTCCAGCAGGGTGGATCCGCACCAACATGCAGCGATGATCCCAGATTGTCTGGGTGAAAAAGGATGGTCTTACTGTTCACCTCACCCCCTGCTGAATACACTACTATCATTTTTGACATGCTTCTGCCGTTTGCCCCGGCCCAGCTCTGACTCTGTACCACTGCTTTGGTGCTCAAGGCAGCGGGGAGAGAGAGAGGGGAAAAAAAGTCTGGCTGAGGCTGTTGTCGGGGTGATCTAACCACCTCCTGGGGTGGATTCATGTCTGCATTTCTTCAAAGTGATCCAAGGCAGCACTCCAGCTAGAGGCCTAGTGTGTTTGCCCTCAAAAAATATTCATGGGGGGGAGTTTCAGCTGAACATTTTGGCAGCTTTACGCGTGAAAATACATTCACCACCTAAGCCCAGCCCCACGGTATCAAAATGTATAAATGATTCATGTCGGCTGAATGGGCAAAGTGCGCCTAAACGTGCTGTATTTGTTTAAAATTTCTTTCCAGTTCAGCTGTTTTTTTTCTCTCTTTGTTGTAACAAATCTCTGTGATGAGTGAGCCAACTTTGGATGTAATCGGAGAAGCAAGTTGCCTAACAGTTGGATTGAGAATGAAGGGCAGAGGAGACCAAAAGAGCAGCTGAAATGAAAGAAAATCAAGCTCTGTTTATCTTTGTAACACCCTGTAACACTCTTGAATTCCCACGGATATTGAGTGCAACACTGACGCTAGCTCTAAAGGTGAAAATCAGTGCATAAGTAGAGCACATTGACGCTGAACTGGAGTGTTTTTGCCCAAAATGCAGCTGATGCTAAAAATGCATCAACACACACCTAACACTAGAGGACAGATAGAGGTCTATAAACTCTTGAGGCCTGAGACAGCTGCACTGAGAGAGCAGTTTGTACTGCTGCAGCGGGGGAATTGTTGTACTGGACTGTAGTCATATTTGTTAGTCAGAACTAATATGTCATGCTCGCTGTCTAGCAACAGTGAAATAAACATTAGCTCTGTTGGTTGTGAAGATAACACTGACTGCAGAGGTGAGGATTACAGAGACCTTTAAGTCTTTGATTGACAGTCCTCTTCACTGCTTATTTTGATGAACTAAAGAGATGCGCCCTTTTTTTGCAAAGATTTTTCTCTGATTTTTAACCATATCTATCTTATTTTGTGATACACTCTTTTATGTTTATGAATTTTTGATCATAAAACCAACAAAGATTGTTCGTAGCTTGTTCTTAAACCAACACAAATTGCAACCATCAAAGCCGAGGATATCATGATGGAGTCTCCTGACTTACATAAAACCTATTTCTTCAGTTAGGTTGCCCAGAGGACTAACTATACATGGTGAAGCAGCATTTAGTCACCACTCTGCCTTTTAAACTACCTTTAAAAGTTAGTTTAGAGTATTATTAAAAATAGGATTAATACTTTCCTGACAGACAGGACATTCATGGTAAGTGTAGACACGTGCTCCTCCAAAGTCCATAAAATCACATGTGGTGTACCCCAGGGTTCGATTTCAGGCCCTGTGCTTTTTAACCTGTACATGCTCCCTCTTGGCGGTGTCATCAGGAGACATGGAATCAACTTCCACAGCTATGCAGATGATACGCAGCTCTACATCTCTGTGTCTCCTGATGACACCAGGCCAATGGATGCTATTTTTAACTGCATTCTAGATATCAAATCCTGGATGGCAGAAAACTTTCTCCAGCTTAACCAGGACAAAACTGAGGTTTTAGTCATCGGTCCTGAGGCCCAGAGAGAGAAACTTTTACCCAAACTACAAGCACTATCTTTTAATCCATCACCACAAGTGAGAAAACTGGGCGTCATTTTTGACTCTGAGCTGACTTTTAGTCCACACATTAAGAACATAACAAAAATAGGTTTTTATCACCTAAAGAACATCGTCAGAGTCCGCCCCATTCTCTCTCAGGCCAATATGGAGACGCTAATGCATGCTTTTAACACCAGTCGTATAGACTACTGTAACGCCCTGCTTTCTGGTCTTCCCAAAAAGAATATTTCAGGCCTACAATTATTACAAAATTCAGCAGCACGTGTCCTGACTAAGACCAGGAGGCGGGCCCACATTACACCGGTTTCAGAATCACTGCATTGGCTCCCCCGTGTGTTTTAGGATCGATTTTAGGGTTCTTTTACTTGTTTTTAAATGTCTTATTGGTCTTGGGCCTTCTTATCTTTCAGAACTGCTTTTATCCTATGAAACCTTCACAGACCCTGCGCTCCTCTGGCAGCAGGCTCCTAGTCATTCCAAAAGTCAGGACACATACTCATGGCGAGGCGTCTTTTCAATATTACGGCCCTCATCTATGGAACAGCCTTCCAGAGGACCTCAGGGCCGCAGAGAACGTTCATGTTTTTAAGAGCAGACTCAAGACCCACCTTTTTAGCTTAGCTTTTAATTGATGTTTATTTGTTTTATCTTCATTTATTATTGTTAGCCTTGGTTGATCTTAGGTCTGTGTTTTATTCATATTTTGGTTTTTACTTTTTATCCTTTTATCATTTTTAGGACCCCCAGTGTTTCCTCTGAGGGAGCCCTCGGCACCGGGAGCAGTGGCCGTTTGTGGTCACGGGGGCCGGCCACGGGGTTCCTGGTGGAGATTGCTGTCTGACACATCCCTCCGCTGGCCCTGTGTCGGTGTCCTGCAGCTGTGGGCGGCTCTCTGCTCCTGGTGCTGACAGCTCCTCTGATGGTGCCTTCTCATCTGGTTCATCTGTACTCAGCCTCATGCCCGTTCTCTTTCTGTATGTATGTGCGGGTGCGTTGACATGAGTGTGTGTGTGTGTGTGTGTAGGTGGGGGGTGGGGTGGGGGTAAGGGGGCACCTGGGATAGTTTCTTGTTTTTGTTTTTAACTTGTAAAGCACTTTGAGTCACATTTCTGTTGGAAAAGCGCTTTATAAATAAAGTTTGATTTGATTTGATTTGATTTGATTCCTGTTTCCATCTGCATCTGCATGAACACTCCAACCTGCACTTTAACTTTTATTTGAATTTGCTCTACTTATTCTTTTTGGTATGAGTTACTGCACTATGCAGCACATTTTGACTGTTCGATCCTCTGTTTGTTTGTCATATTTTATCATTATTTTGCATTTTGAGAACAAAGTGAAAATGTTGAAAATAGCGCTAAAATAAACATTTGTTTCAATGCCTTTGTTTTAACTGTTTCCTCACGGCTGTGCATGTTACATGCATGTTTCTGTGGTGTCTCCCTGTAATGTGTGTCACATGTTAAGTAGCTTGTGCGTTTCTCTTTGTTCACAGTGAGGATGTTCAAATTTTGATGAGCTACGGGACCACGGATGGTAATCAGACTGAACTCAGCATCTCTACAATAACTCATGTGGGGAATAAGATACTGAAGATTGTACCAAGTCACCAAACCAAAACAACACAATTACAAAGACACAAATGTCCTTTTCCTAAAACATGTTGTAATGCAAATAAATAAATAATAAAGAGTGCCTCTGTTATTTGGACTCTCCCTTTTCAATGGAAAATTATCTGGAAAATAATCTTCCTCTTGTCACTTTTTATGCCTGGCTCAAACTCTTACTGTGAAACACACAGGAGTGCTGTTTATTTAAACCCTCTTTTTTGACCTCCTCTGGCTGCTTTACATGTAGCTGTGCACTCTTTAGGGGCTTAAATGACTTACTTGGTTTATTCTTATAATTCAATTCTTCAAAAACATCTGACTTGACAGATGACTCAGAACAACATTTGCCATCTTGGATCCGAATCGGGAGTCAGTTTTGACTGTATACAAATGGACAAGGCTCTTTCTGAAGCATTAAATGATAAACTGTATGAAATCTGATTATCATTTCTGCCTGGTAGGTACATCCAGGATCATCCTGTGTTACATCATTCACATCAGAGTCACCATGTCAAACATATGCAGCCCTTTGAGGTATAAGTGAAACACAGCTTTGCACTAACATGACCTATTTAAGACCCAAACATGACTTTCCTTTTCCTTGTGAATATTTAGCATATTTTTGGTTTTATATTTAATTAATTTTTTGATTTTTTTTCCAAATAAGGATGTGTAGTCCATGATTCCCCCCAAAAAATCAGATTTAGATTAGTCAGACCCCAGAACACTTTCCCACTTTACCTCAGTCCATTTTTAATGGGCTCAGTGTTACTGTATCATGTCTATGGAATTTTTTTTAATTTTTGGAAAAAAAAATACATATATATATATTTTTTTTCATTGAATTTCCCTTTGGGGATCAAATAAAAATAAAATAAAGTTATTCTATAGATGGCTTCCCTTTTGCCTGATAAAGTTTTAAACTCCATTTGTGGATAAACCGTATTCACAGGCAATGGATGTTAGAGGTGAATCTGAGCTTATGCAGTGATTTCCACTACAGAGTTATGTCGATTTTAATGCAGTATGATCCGAGATCGCAGCCAATCAGTGTCACTTATCTGCCTTTTCTCTGTGGTGTAGTGATTTCTTTTGATTATCTGAATGTTTTTATGACATTATGGACTGTAGATGATAAAATCCACCATTTCTCCCAGAGACATTATTGGGATATAGTTGAACTAATTGCTCCCACAGTCGTTCACATCTCCCTTACTTAGATTTCTGAGGACTATCTACCACCTGGTTTGATATAAATAAGTATTTCTTGTGTGTGTGTTAGCTCACCTTTAGGTCATACTCCTGGCGTGTGTCCAGGGTGTCGCTGCGCAGGTCAGACTTGAGCTCTATGTCATCTTTAAAGGGCTGATTTGAAGGAGAGAAGGACACAGAGGGGAGAAACTAAACCATCAAACAACAAAACAAAACAAAAAGGAGGAGAGAAAGGTGCCGTAACAAAACAGAAGAGGGAAGGAGGCAACAGAGTATGACAGGAGAAGAGAAAATGGAGTTAAAAGAGTTAAAGGAGCAGTTACAGGGGAAACATGGTTTGTTTTTATTGAAAATGTACAGTGCAGCATGGGGAGGGGTTACTGAGTTAATCTGAGGTTTCTTCTATGACTACAGGCTGTGTAAACAGTGATCTGCCCATGCACACATATCCCGCTGCTGCTCACCGAGTACATGGCCTTGACCATGCGCGAAGCAGTGGACACGCTGCCGGAGTCCTCCTCTAAGCTGTGGGTCTCCTTGTTTATCGTCTCCACCTTGATGTCAGGCTTACCCAGAGTGACCCCGCGCCGACCTAGAAGCAAAACAAGGCCAGGTTGAATACAGCTGGACACACGTGTCGAGGTCGGCGTGTTTTCACGAGCCAGAGGAGTAAGTTCAGAGGGGACCTACATCCATATGTTGGAGGGGAAGTTGTAGGTGTTTGATTTTCTTTGGTTTAGAGAGGAGGATTCAAACCAAAATCTTTTATGAAAACATCAATGTTCGTACTGTACACGCAGATTGGGCCGCTGTTGTGTGTGTGTGTGTGTGTGTGTGTGTGTGTGTGTGAAGCATATGGAGAGTATGACTCACTGCCTTTGCGCTGCCTGTAGAAGATAAGAACGAGGATGAGCAGGAAGATGAATAAGAGGATGGTGGATCCCACCGTCCCACCAGCTATTATACCCACTGGGACTTCCTCTGAAGTGGGTGAGAGAGAGAAAGAGAGAGGCTCAGAGGGATGCCAGATACACAGCTGCATAATTAAGGCTTCAGCGTCAAAAATATGTCTTTATCAGCCTGAATTACGTCAAAGTCACAATGTTCGTGACATTCCTAACTCGTTCGCTGGTTCCTAACATCATGTTGGTTTATCCCGTCTTTCAGTGTTGAATTATGAAACACACCAGTCTCCTCCAGTGAGATGATCATGGTCCCCGGGCCGAAGGAGTTCCAGGCTGTGCAGTTGTAGGTTGACATGAAGTCTGACTCCATCACGTTGTTGATGGTGAGCGTGGAGAGGACGCCGCCGCCCTCGGCTGCCGGTTTGCTCTGCTCCACTGTGTACCTCTCCAGCAGCGTCCCTTTCTCCTTCTCCCACACGTTCTCCTTCCACGCCCACACCTGTGGCACACAGGAGGCCATGTTAGGTACTGTTAGGGATGATATCAGATCTTCACCTCATGATTACTTTCATCATAAAATATCACAATAAGGACAGATGGTGATCATAAGTGCCTCAGGCAGATCAGTGTTGCTGTGAACTATTTCATTTTATATCTCTGCCTGGTTTGATTCTGATTTTGCACAAGTTAAAGGTTGAAGATGAAATCTCCTTTTCTGTACATTTGAAATAACAGGGTTTCAACATTCATTTACATTTTGTGTCGACTATAGGCTACTACAATCATGCAGTGTAAAATAGATAATCTGTGAAAGTCAAACTTCATATCGTAAAGGGTAAATTTTCACTGATTCTCACTCCCTTCGTTTTAATTTTTGTGCTTCGTTCTTCAAAGTTTTAATTTTTCATCGGTTTAAGTTTCAAGCTCTGAACAGGTCTTAATATGCAATGAGGAACTTTAGAGTTTTGTTGATTCTGGCGCCCCCTGTGGATAAGGCTGTGGATTTCATCCCTTTGCTGATTGAGTCCTCTGAATAACTGATCTCAATTTCTGATCAATATCCTTATCCTGCCTTTTTGAGTCATTCATTGTGAATATTTTCTACTGAAAATACAAAACAATACTCTTTTCTATATCCAGCAGTCAGTGGTCTGACACGACACTGAACCCCTAACAGCAGTTTCAGGCATTAAACATTACAATATGAAATTATTTGATTTTGTTTCTGACAGTTTGAATAGATTTTGTAAGCTATTAAGAAAAATCTGGGTCAATTTCAGTCTTTTCCACAACCAGGTAAAAACTCCTCATAGTTGCTTTAATTTGAGCTCTTTTTAAAGGGTTTAGTTTTACATTTTTGCACATTAAACTTTAATTTTAAATTCAGAACAGGCTGGATTTTGATTTTGCATGGTGGAGTAGGTTTTAAATTCTGTATGAGTCTAATCTTGATTTTTTCTTATACAATGCTATCGTTATTCATTTTTTACAATTCATCGAATTTTGATTCAAATTTTAAACAGGTTCAATTTTAATTTTCTTTTATAGGTTTAACTTTAATCAATATTTCAATGGGCTGATTTTGCACATGTTTAATCCTAGTATCTCTACGTATATTTCTCTGTTTCATATTGAATTCAGTGACATGTCATTATTGGTCATATCTGTCTAGTTCACATACATCCTGCAGGAAGACGCAAGATAAACACAACACTCTGCTTTACACAGAGTTCGCACTAACATCCAAGCTTGCACATTGCATGACTTGCTGAGAACAGCAACAGTTTGTATGTTTCTGTAGACAGAGATGGAGGTTGAAGGGGTGACTGAACCGGTGAGAATCTTGCACATTTTTCAGCTCCAAAGCTTCTAAAAGCAACTGTATTATTCAGCATAGAAGTACTGTACCAAAGCAAGTTAATTATGCATAAGCCCACATGTTCCCATAATCTGCCCACTTATTCCAGAGAAGGATAATCTCCTGGCTGTGGCATTTACAGGGACAACTGTTCCTCTTCGGTCCTTTATATTTTATAAATCTTTTTTTGTCCCAACCTACGCCACTTGCATTAAGAGCGCGCACTGCAAGTCAGGATGGATCAGTCACAGAGGCCGGGGAGCCGAGGAACTACTACTACTCTCTCTGTGATACACAAGAGTGGAGAGAGCATTCGGGCTGAGTCCTGACGCAGGAGCTAAAAGCGGACGGGCTTAGTGTTAGTGTTGGTTTGTTTATGTGATGGGATGGGGGAGAATTCTGGGAGAGTTTAAGGGTGAGTCAGAGAGGGAAAAGGGACAGTGCCTAAAAGCATTACTGTGCAGAGTGGAGAAGCCATTTAGGAACAGGAGGGTACAGTACTATACAAATCGCTGTTGGACCACAGCTCTTTGTGACCAAAGCTTTTCCTTGTTGGACGTTTTTCTCTCTGTATAATTGATGCTGCATCTAAATGTGGACATTTCATTGAAGGGTTTAGCGCACATTTATCTTTTTACTTACAATCTTATCAGGAGGGGGTGTGCTGGCTATGTAGCATTTAACCTCTCCTCTCTCTCCTCTAACTGCATACTGGACCGGGTCACTGGAGATGATGGGTGGACCTGTGTGAGCCAAAATAAAGAGCAGAAGTGAATGTTTGAAAGAGAGATAAACTACTATAGAGACTAAACCTTATATTTAATAGAGATCACTGCAAAGAAATCAGATCAAATGTTGAAGCTAAACTTTAATACTTGCTCATTTTAAGTTTGACATATTTTTAAATAGTTAGGACAGACCCATCAGCCAGCTTATAAAAATTAGGGTATGTCTTGAATCCAAGAAAACTTCACAGACTCAACAAATTCAATAAATTAGGTTTAATACAATGACAACTAAGGAGCGTAGATGCTGGAAGATCCACTGAATCTGCTCTTGCAAACAGGATCTATTTTCATTTGAACAAGAACAAACTGAACATAGCAGGGCTCAACAGTGCGACTGTTTCACTCGAATATGCGGCTGAAAATAGATGTATGCGAATTGTGAAATGTATTTAGGGGCACATGTGCGCATAAAAAAATTAGCCGAGGCAACAAATGTTTTTTCATATAAATACCACCGAAAAGTTAGTGTTAGGTTGGATATCCAACAGACATTCACTGTGGGTCTACCGGTTTCTTCTCACTCTCCATAACCGGGAATAGCAACAGCAGCACGTCACCCTACTCGTTACCCTCGCTGTCAAGCTCAGGTGTTGAATAAGGGACCATCAATAAATTACCGGTTGATGTTCTCAAAAAAGGCTGTTTTCCTTCCATAGCTTCCATGTCATGTGACCAACTGAATTAAAATTGATTTCAAATAATAATAATACTTATGTCGACCAATAAGACACAACTCTTTATTTCCCTAATTTGTTCTCATACTTTTTTGTGTTAAATTAAAAGGCAAATTTTGAACATTCTTTTCAATAGCTTCCATGTCATGTGATTTAGAGACCTAAAATTGATTTCAAATAATCGTACTTATGTTGACCAGTAAGACACACATTATTTGATCAATTTTCATTGTGCCCCTGATGTTCTTTGTGTACTCCTTACATTTTTAACTGCGGAGCACATGTGCTCCTTGTGAAAAAAGTTAGTGTCAAGCCCTGCATTGATACATGTCTTTCCTCTGCATGCCCTTGTCTGTTTATGTTTTCTGTTGCTATGTTCTGCGTCACATGCCGCATTACTCTAATTGTTTGTCGGTTTGTACAATCGCTGCCAGAGTTGACCGTTGCTAACACACCCGAGAAAAACAGAATGAATTGAACACTTCCAGACTCATTCATCGAGACCATGCCAGATAGATTTCATCATCAACAGTACAGGATATCTTTGAGAGAATCAGAGAATCTAGAGGAAAACTCGCTGTACGAAATGGATGAGGGGAAAAAAGGCTCTAAGTCAGGAGTCTGTAGTGAAAATCACTGCATTGGCACAAAATTGCTTTCAAAAGCCATTACCTGTGAACAAAGTTTGATGCTGCAGCTACAAATGCAGGTTCAATTTGATGAAACAAATATGAGCATGCTGGAGAAATGCCAGTGACTTATCGAGGTCTCAATCAGTTTAAGGTGGACTGGCAGCTGAACTCCATGCCTGCAGTCCTAACGTTTCACTTCCAAAGATCTATAAACTGGTCTCCTTGGTTCCCAGTTATTTACAGTGTTGTTGAAATGAGAGGTGATGCAACGCAATGTTTAAAAAAAGACTTTTTCCTGCCAGTATCAAATTCAAAATGAGCAAAACACTTTTCATTAACCGGTCGCTCTTTCAGGCTCATCATCTGACACGCTTTCTTTGCCATTTTCAGTTACTTATAGAACTGATTTACAACTACCAAAATGTCTTTTTATCCACATCCAAACTTCACTGGATCTGTGGTTTTAAAGAGAATAACAGAGAAAATGCAGTAAAACTATGATGTAAGCCTGCTGTTCTTCAGAGACGCTGACCTTACCAGGCCTGCTCCACAAGAGTTGTATGGTTTTAAAAATAACTGGCAACCACTTTGGACACACAACATTTTTTTTTTCAATTACTGACAAGCTGACCTTTTAGAAAGCACAAGATTTCCATCTACAGGCGCTGTTACATGAAATTGTGTGGATGTTTTCTGACCGTTAACAGTGAGTGTGACCTCAGTCTCTCCTACTCCAATCCGTGGGACGATGGCCTTACATACATACTGGCCGGCATCAGCTTGGCTCACTGACTTCAGATACAGCTGGTTGCTGTTACTCAGAACCTGTGGGGGAGTGAACAGAACGGACACAAATATAAACAAGGCAGATCTGCTTAACTCCAGGAGGGGAAAAACACAATCAAATCCACATGTGCAAAAGGAAAAAAAAAAACATGTTACACCGCCACCCGTACACCTCGTTATTCTAATTAATCATCTCCAAGATTTGCATATCTGGCATGATTTCTATGACTCTGACCTCAACTGGCTAACAATGCAAACTTGCACATCCACTTTTAACCCATCACAGAGGATTTGCAGTTGCCTAGCAACCTCATCCATCAGAAAATTAGCTGTGGGAAAATTATGGCTAAATATGTAACCACCCAGAGAGAGAAGTACCTGAAAAGGACTGAATATATAGATGTAGGTGTGAGCGAAGTCAGTCTGTGGTTTGCTAGGGTAGGTTTTTAATGAGGCAGATTTAATTAACTGTGCTGTAACTGCCTCATATTAACTCCTGGTTCCAACAGCATCAACATCAGAATTTACATACACCTACGAGGGAAGTCTTTGGGAACACAGGAGCTGTATTCCAGAAATCAGCATATGTTAGACTCTTACATTTTGTGACATTAGGTATTGAGATTATATTTGAAATTTCACAAGTTTCACATGTTTGCAATGAGCTTTTCAATCACTTTTACATTCAGGCCATCCATCTCTTTCATCTCCAAGCAAAAACAGAAATTGATGAGGAAATAAAGCAAAACTAAAACGAAAATATATTGTGTGTCTTGGCTTTGGTTATCCCCTCTTAGAGCAAACAAACAAGACCTTTCAGACCAAAACTTATTTCTTTACAGTTATTTCTGTCTGCAGAAGGTGCAGAAACAACAAAGTCCCTCCCATGAGCCTTCACCATCTGAGTTTGTGAATATGTGGTTCCAGATCAAATCTCTACACCACTTGTAGTTCTCAAAGAATTCTGAACCATGTGCAGTTTTTCCCCCCAGTATTTCCAGAAGATATTAATCAGACTGTTTCTTTTCAAACAAGACACTTCTCCTCCAGGGTCAGGAGACGTAATACAGCTGTGTGGATGTGTTGGGGCTGCATGGAGAGTTCATCACAGAAAGATCCCAGGATAAACTGAGTCTATAAAACAATGCTTTATAACCAAACCAGAATTAAACATGCAAAGGTTAACCCTGTTGGCTACTGAAAAGACTGATATCACTCTCAGGTTTTTACAGCAAATGGAGCCACAGCAAAGCAGTTTAGCAGTGTGGACAACATGCAGTTTAAAGCTCCTGTGAGAAACGTATGGTTTGGCTCAGTTTTAGCATCTCCTGTGGACAAAGCAGTCTATGCTTGTCTTGTTCTCTACATTATTGAGGAGTGACTTTTGATTGTCAAGAAAAGCTTTGTGTTGCTGACTTTTGACAGTAAAAGTATCTATTCTGAATATTCCTCATGGAAATTGCAAAAACCGGGCTAATCGTCCGACACCTACCCCCTCACATCACTTTCAGACATCTAAAATTAGAATATAAAATTCATCAGTTTTGTTGTTGATGGTCTTATTTACATTTGAATATAATGAAAAGGCCTCAATGTGAATTTCAGTCTATTCCAGTTACATCAGAAAGATCCTTACAGGAAATTTAAAAGCAAATTTAAGCTTTACCTTACAGCCTCACTTTCAATAGTTTCAATATACAGTTGGTAGCTCTATAAACTTATTTTTCAATTTATTGAAAAGTAGACTTCATTTTATTGTATTATACAATCTAAAGATTTTTTTTACTTTAAACAACCTTTTAGTGTTTTAATTAATAAGGAAAACTAAACTAAAGATGGGATTTTGAATCATTTGAGGGTTTGTAAACTAATCTAGCTTTAGCTGGTGACTGAAATTAAAGGATCCGCTGTTTTCATTCTAAAGTATTAGTCAAGAAATCACAGAATTTATTTGCATCACACTTTTTTAAAGAACAAAATGTAGCCGAAAGGAAAAGGGAAATCAATAAAAACAATTAAAAACCAAAATCATTTGCAAGAAAAGCAAACAAAACAAAGAAATGAAGTGTTAAACAGTGAAAAAATTGACAAAGGAATAAATAAAAGGCACTCAATTAAACAGGAGCTGAGGAGAGGCCATCATGACTTTGTTATGAGGAAACACTGAAGTTAAGGTTAAAATGTTAAAACTCAAGATAACAAAAAAAAAGGGAAAAGAAGACCAAAAATATCAGATGCTGAAATGCTTAAAACATTTGACATTAAAAATAGAATAAGATAAAACAAGACATATTAAATCTAAAAGGTGAAAACCAATAATTGTATGGTATAAAGCTCCAAACTTATGTCTATTTCAGCATCCCCAGTGAACAGGTATAGATATCCACCTCTGCGAATCTTGTTCTGTGCAAAGCAAGATCGTATTTTTGACAAAAAAAATGGAACTTATCTTTGCTGTGGAATCAAATATATCACTTTTTCTGTATATTTTTTGGAACAAATGTAAAGAAAGGCTGCCTCTTCAGTGTACACCTAAACCCTCACAACAGTTTCAGGTATTAAAGAAGAAGTTTAAAGTTAGAGCTAAACTAGCCAGTTCTTTTGTGCTGAGCTTACATATCTCACCTATGCAAAGGTAAGAGTTACACCAATCTTATCCTCTCTTCTTCTGTCAATCAAACTGACATGTATGTGACAACAATCCTAAGGGAGCATTTAAACCTACAGTTTTTTAGACCTGAAATACGGCAGCCAGTCATTTAATCTCCTTCAGTTATGTTTGTTGCAACATTCAACTGTAGGAAGATATTACACTTCAGAAAAGTCACTTAATAAATGGAGTCTGATCATGAGGGATACAAGAATATACGAGAGGAATAAATGAAACAGTGAGAGAGTTCATGATAGGGAGGAAGGGAAAAAAGGCATCTTTGTTTACAGACAAACAATGCTCATGAATGGCAGACTGCTCGTGTAAACACAGAAGACAAAGTGTGAAGAGTAAAAATAGTGTGAATACAAGAAGAGAGAAGAAATGTGCAAAGCGTGGGCTTTGAACCTCTTACCATGTTTGAACCCTTTTTGAACCAGGTGAGAGTGAGTGGAGGGTTTCCAGCCCATTTACAGTTGAGAGTGACATCAGAGTCAACGTCTACGGTTTTTGGCTGCGGCTCCACCAACAAGATTGGACCGACTGGAGAAAGACAGAAACACAGAGAGAGGTGTTCTTTGTTGTGCCTGAGTAATAATGCAGCAGGGCTGAAGAGCAGAAGCTGCTCAGAGGACAAAGAAACACAACAACAGTGTGTTTCATCCCTGTGACTCCAGAGTGAAGTGAGTGAAGTAGGCCACAAGTGACTGAACAAGGTGAGATGAGCAGCATATGACTCACAGTGAACGTCCACAAGGATGCTGACGTTGGTCTTTCCTACGGCGTTGAAAACCAGACAGGAGACAGGCTCGGTGAAGAAGGAGTGGTCTGCTTTGGTGGTAAACACGCTCTCCCGGGCTCCCTGCAGCACCACGCCTCCCTTAGCCCACCTGGGGTTAACACATGCCAGGTTATAGACAAAAAAAGAAACACAAACACTGTAAAGAAAAAACTTTTCTGACTCTATCTAAACAAGAGCTCGACAGGAAATATGGACAAACATGAACACGGTGCCTGTATGAACCTAATAAATACACAAAATACTAGGACAGAGTATGATGAAGAAAAATACAGAATAATGATGTAAAAAATTTAAGTAACCATGTTACGATCACAAAATGATAATATTAGGAGAATAAAGTTGTAGTAAAGTGCTACAAACTTGTAGTGGATTAAATTACTAGAATAAAATCATTATGAGTCATGATATTTTGTATCATCTTTTGATCTTTTGTACCAACAGCCATCAGACTCTATAACTTTTATGTAAATAGTAGATAACTTTTAGAGACATATTACGTGAGACAACAGACAATTGAATTTCCCTTCAGGGATGAATAAAGTTCTTCTTATCTTATCTTATCTTATTATGAAAATGAAGTCCTATTCTTGTGAGAGTTAATAATTATATTATACAGATAAACTCACAGGAAAGCCTTCAAGAAAAAAGTCATAATGTTAAGAATATTACGTCATAATTTTTTTGGGGAAAAAAAACTCATAATAGGTCAGTATGCTACAAGAATAAAGTTATTATATTATATTATAAGAGTAACCCTACGCTTGTTCCCTCCCGCCCAGTGCCTGAGGAGGTCCCAAGGTCAAAACGCTCCTAAATTGTGGAATGAGCTTCCCTTAAATATTAGTCAAGCCTCCTCACTGTCCACTTTTAAAACTCATCTTAAAACCCATTTTTATTACTTGGCTTTCGACCCTGCATTAGACTCTGCTCCTTTTTTAGTGTTTTATGGTTCATTTTTAGTTGTTTCTATTGTTTATAATTTTTTGGAACAATGAAACAATTATTTCAGTATTTATTATCTGCTTTGTTTAATCTATTGTTTTTATTTTTATTTTTTTTCCTACTTATGTACAGCACTTTGTTCAGCTGTGGTTGTTGTGAAGTGTTTTAAAGTTATAATGCTAAAAGGACACAGCCATAATTGTAGAGGTCGAGTCATAAAACAAAGCTGTAATTAAGTCAAAAAGTTACAAGAACAAAGTCAGAGAGTCCAAAGAATAAAGTTTTAGGTATATAATAATATCAACAGAATAAAGTCATTGTTTCGCAGTTATTTAAAGACGATACAGAGTAAACTGGAAGAGAGAGTAAGGAGTGAGGAGGTCACATGCTGGGATCAAACCTCCAGCCAACTGCTTAACCACTACAGCTTTTCTGCTACTGTGCAACTCCACCGCCAGGCCCAAACTGGCACCCTGTCAAGCTGTATCCAAAAATCCAACTTAGGGCTTAAAGCAGGGCCATGTGTGCACCAGTTCGACTGGATCTGTGTTTGTTTGTGCCTGAGACATACCAGGTGTCAGTCTGACAGGTCAGCAAAAACAAGGTGTTATAAATTCAAAAAGTAACAGTCGCAGAACTTAAAACAAGGGGATGGCAGCGCATCTTGTTTACAGGAGGATTAATAAAAGTGCATGAAGATGAGAGAGAATAATCCTTGATGGGACACTGCTGAGACAGTGAGCTGATTCTAAGGTTACGTTTTGTCAGGTAAGACCTGTTTGGATACATCAAAAAGCTCTTCTCTCTACTACGCCATGTTTCAGAAAAAAAAAAAGAAACAGGGTGCTGTCCCCACTCTGCAGGTGCTGATCACTCTCAGGTTTTATGGAAATGAGGCTCCAAGCTCTGAGCTGTTAATGCTGTCCACTCCAGTCCTGTAAAAGTGTGTGTGTGTGTGTGTGTGTGTGTGTGTGTGGGGGGGGGGGGAATTTCTATGTATATACACCTTAACCTTGTTTTTTGTAATGAAAGTATTGTGTTACTAAGGTAAGAGATGTGACTGACCTAGTGCAGGCCCAGCTGGTGCACTCGGCCCCAGGCCTCTACATATGGCAGCCAGTATAGAAAAACTTGTTGATTATGTAGATTTATACTTCTAAACACAGTTATTTAGACAGCAGCTTTCTGTGCATGTTTGCATAATCTTTGACGTGCAAACTCACACTACAGTATATTAATTTCCAATCAAGGCCAGAAATTCAGCAAATGAGCCACCATATTGTTAAAGAGAATAATATGAATTTTCTGTTTTAGGAGTCCTAAGGATAACATCCTTTTTAAAGACATATGCACTGAAAAAAAGGTACATCTAAATGAAAACACACTAATGCATGAGGTGTATCATTACGGAACTGTAACTTTAAGAGGCAGTGTTAAATCTAGAGCATGCAGGCTTGTAGATGCAGACCTGTAGCCCATGATAGGAGGGTTGGCAGAGGCCTGGCAGGTGAAGGTGACTCTGTCCCCCTCCAGGACAGAGCGAGGCTCAATGGACAAGGTCACTGTGGGTGGATCTGGAGGAGAGAGGAAGAGGAAAAGGGTCACATAACAACACACTGTTACATCTAAAATTATGCTGCAATCTGGGGGACAGTTGGATGCAAAATGGCTTCCTCGCATAACTTAATAATGGCGATAAAAATGTTCAGCTGCTGGCAGATGTTTTATGCTGCAAAATATGACACTTTTAATGAGTTTGAGATATGAAACAGCTCTTTATGTGGCAATCAGCCAGAAAATTCATCTTCATTGTGATAAAAATGCAATTCTTTCAGTAGTATTGTAATAAAGTTTACGGTTTGCCGATAAATCACATGTGAATAATACATCTTGAGTTAATTTGGTGTCTGTCTTAGCATTTTTTGACAACTTACGGTGTACGTTGAGGGTGACAGTTGTGCTTTTGCCACTGGGAACAGCCAGGTTAGTGGCCACACAGCTGTAATTCCTCCCAGTGTCAGTGTCGACAGGCTGGATGGGCAGGTAGCTGCGTGTGGTCACCCTCTTCCTGTCTGGAAGCACCTCCTGAAGGTGGTGGAGAGCAGACATGTTTATCAGAGGAAAAAACAGAGAAGGGAGACTTTCTGAATGTTTCTATTTCAGACTCACAGTGACACTGGCAGCCCCATCTATAGGCAGACCATCTTTTAGCCACTCAATCATGGAAGGAGGTTTGGCCCCTCGAGACACACAGCTCAGGTTGTAGGATTCCCCTGCATTCAGCAACACCTCCGGACCCCCATCGATCACCGGTTCATCTGGGGGTACTGGAGCGGGAGTGGACGGTGTTAGAAACATCTCACATGCTGTCTTGAAATACGTGCACAGAGAGACATGCATCCAAACGTACTGAGGACAGTGAGTTTGGCCCTCCTGGACCTCAGGGCAGCATCAGGGGCCTGGCACTCGTACAGAGAGTCATCAGATAGATCAGCTGACAGGATCTCTAGGTTATACTGGCCCAACTCCTGAACACGCAGCACGCGGTACCTGGGCCAGGCTAGAACACACAAAGACGCAGCAGATTTTGAGAAAATACTCTGTGCCAACTTTTACTCACTGTTTACATGCAAAGTCAAGAACAAATGATATGGGGACATTTTTTGCTGCAGACAAAATGAGAGTATCATTTAAGTGTTTTCTGTGAGGTCAAAAACACCCGTTTTTACCACACTTAGTTCAACCCTTTACCAGCACATCTGGCACTTGGCCTGCATGAGAAAAATGCAAATGTGCAGCAACATTGTTCAATACTATGATATTAATACTATGATTCAATATGATATTAATAAAAGTGTGGTGAATTACAGAGCATCAAAGCAGATCAGTTAAAATAATTCTGTTTCTGAACATTTTTATCTTCTCTTTACATCTCCCAAACAGCTGATTTTTTATCCTCAAATAATGAACGTGAGGCTTCATGGCTGCTGTGATACCCTTCATCTAACAGGTGAAGTGTATATGCTGAGTGAGAGAACATTAATGTATACTGCACATTATCTCATATCAGATATATCTATATTTATATATATATATATATATTTATTTATTTATATCAATAAATCCTAGCAACAAGATAATTATGAATAAATGTAGATGGAAAAATAATTATAGGTCAGTTATTTCAAAGCACCATCAGCGATAAATTTAATCAGCAGATTTATTAGTCACTCTAAATGGTATAATTAAATTAGTGGAAGTTTATTGGCTCATAAATACGCAAATGTGCATGTAAAAACCTACATTTGTCATATTATATTAATTGCAGAAAAAAAATGTGTTACAATATAATTTCTTAAATTATACAAAAACTCCTGTTTTGTACAGTTTTTTTAACCTTCTACTAGGGGTAGGAATCACCAGTGGCCCCACGTTACGATATTATTATGATACTTGGGTCACGATACAATATGATTGCGGTCTGACATTTTGCAATTCAGTGAATGAATTGAGATACAATATATTGCGATTTATAAAATCTTTTTACAACTGTTTAGCTACTTTAGCATTTGTCTCTTCTTTGTGTTTTTCTTATTTACACTGCATTTTATTTTCATTTAGCACATCTTGCAAACCTTAAGTGTCAGGTCCATCTCATTTGTGCCCTGCTTACTTTTCTAATGTCTTTCCCCAGGTGCTGATATATTTGTTGTACTAACTTTCTCCTGCTTTATGATGTCACCTCTGCCAACCTCACTGGGCAAACTGTTGATTGTATTTTTCCATTATCATAGATTTCACTTCACATTGGCAAAAAATCGATACTTGGTAAATGAGACGATACGATACATCACCAGACAAAATATCCCAATACTATGCTGTGTTGATTTTTTCTCTCACCCCCTACCTTCCACCATGGTCAAAGTTTTCTCTTTTTAACCAACTTAAAACCTCCAAATATATATAGATAAAGATATATTCCACTTTATTTCCATCCTTTTTGTTGTCCTCTGTGCTAGTTGCTTACTGAAGGGGAATTTATGTCACTACAAATTTAATATTTGAACTTTGAATGCAAACTGCGAGTTCATCACATGTTCCCTGCACCCACATACTCTTGCGGTTTGCTGGAATGAGTAAAAATGCAACCCTGCACAGCTTGTAGTCGCTCTTGCATGCAAAAAAAACATCAGATCTGTGTCATGCATGCAGTAATAATATCTGACTTTTTCCTCCTCCTCCTCGGCTTTAATGACCCCAGAGACATGTGTGGCCCCTAATGCGCTAGAAATGCACAAACACAAACGCATGACCAAACAAACACATTCACACACAATCACACGTACGACACACAGCCTCTCCAATCCACTCCCCTCCCCCCATCCAACCGATACACAGCCCAGCTGTGTCACTGCCGTACATTCTCACCATTAGGTGGCATCCATGCTCTCTCTCACACTCACCAGCAGGGGGGAAAAGACGAATGCATTATGACAGCAACGTTTTAGAGGACTCAAATCGACTCTGGTTCGTGGTGCAGAATTCATGTTTGCTGCCCAGACGTAGATTGCATGTGAAATTCTCTGTGCCGCTTCCATGTGCAGCCTTCAAACTGAGCTGTGCAGCCTGCCTAACCTTGCGTGTCCTTGCTTCTGCATGCATGTGTGCAAGTGTGTGTGTGCATTGTATATACGTGCATTTGCATGTGAAATGTCGAGAGTGAGAAAGCGTATGAAAAGCCCAGAGAATCAGGGAGGAGGGGGGGACACAGAGGGACAGAGCCTCATACACAAACACACACACACTACTACGGAGTGTATGTGTGCATGAAGCGGCCAGTGTTCATTCACATGTTTTTTATTTAAAAGCTTTGGCTTGAAGCACTGGAGCATTACAGTAACAATTTGATTAAAAGAAAGGAGAGAAGGAGGGACAGAAAGAAGAGAGGAGGGACGGAAGAGGACAAAAAAGAGGAGAGGAAGAAGGGCTGAAAGAAAGAGGAGAGTGTGAGCCGAGAGTGTGTCAAGCAAGGTGAATGTAAGGAGAGAGAAGGAGCGGTAGGCAAGGTAGGGGAGTTAAATGGAGACTAGGAGAGAGGGCTCGGCACAACAGAGGCAGCTGAAAGAAGGAGAGCAAGAGGGAGAGAGAAGAACAAGGGAGTTTGGATGAGGAGGTCGCAGTGGAATAGCATGACAGACAGTGGAGGAGAGGAGAGGTGAGGAGAGGAAGAGAGGAGCAGAGAGAGTCATTACAGAGGCCTCAGAACTAAAAAAAAAAAAATCAGCTCATGGTGTGCAGAGTGTGACAGAAAAGAAGGAAAAATACCAAAGGTAGGCAGTGGAAGGAGAGGAAAGTAGTATGGGGAGAACAACAGCTATGTGAACAAAAACAGGGCAACAGCATGTCATGAATGATGCATCTTCCCTTTGGACCAATCAGTTAAAAATATGCCCACTTGTTTTGACCAGTAATTGCACAGTCCCCTCTGGGCTAATCAGTGCAATTCTGAACATTCTGCAACAACACAGCAGTAAGATGCATCATTCCCCCAGTTTTGTCAAAGTCAGACGACATCGTCTCAGATTGTTGCTGCAGACGGACAAGGGGGAGACTTTCAAACAAACAAGAATTTTCATAACAAGAGACAAAAACCAAACAATGAAGTGAACTACTACAAGAGCACAAAGCTGCATCACTGCAGAAAGAGGCCGATATATCAGCTGATGAATGGACCTCTCAATAAAAATCAGATATTAGCCAGTACATGTCACCCACTGCTCATATGACAGATTCCCTGATGTGATGCTCATCAACCAAGTTGAAGGGTGCCAGTTAAATGTGCCGGAGGTAGAGCAGAATCTCTCATGAAACACTGGTTGATATATGCAGGGGGCGGCCAAAGTTAACATCAGCTTCAATCAGTGTTTATAATCCAGGACACGGTGTGATGGGAGGCTGTCATGGTATTCTGGCTGAATTTAGCTTAAGAGTCGCCTCTTGCATCTCTTAGTTAACACAGTTGTACAAGCTAAGCCAAAACAAAAATGTTTTTGTAAGAACGCATCAGCCACACGGTTAAATGTCACATGAGATAAACATGAATCATGGCATCAAATTTGCTGCATTTCAGTCATCGTGTCCACTTGGGAAAAACCCAAATTAGTGTCCTAGTGTGTTTATCTTTTGTTAATGTCAGCAGCTGTCAAAACGAAACCTTACAACATCAAACAGAGAAACTCGTCCACCAGCCCTGCTTATAACCAGCTGGTACTTTTGAGTTTTCCATCCATCAATGCATGGAAATACAACAGCCTATTTGATATTGCCTGTTGGTTTCTGGAGAGCGTTTTGATGCCAAACAGTATCGGTCGCCATACTGGGAATGCAGACTCAGCACAACTTTGGGTCGATCTTGAAAAGACCTGAAGTGGAGGATATGAGATGGGTCTTAAGCCTCGAAGCAAGCAGCTGCAATGTGCCCACCTGTCAGTCAAATCAGCCACGCCCCTAATTTTACCTTCATATACAAAACTTGTAACCTTAATATCTTCAAAATGGATCAGCGACAACAAAGTTTACCCTGGTTGTATTTTACTATAAAGATGGGCATTTTGACGTGGGTGTTTATGGGGTCTCCTTGACTTTTGGAAACAGCCCCAAGTGGATACTCAAGGAGCTGCAGCTTTTTGCATTCTCTAAAACCAAAGGATGTCTCTTATGCTGCGTTCCAGTTACCTCGGAAGTCGGATTTCAGAGCAGGGAATGATGTTACATCCGTGTTGACGGCGTTCCGGTAAACAAGTCGGAAAACCAAGATGGACACCTACTGTTAGCTGTTGTTAGCTGCTGTTAACAATTGTCAGCAGTCGTTAGCCGTTGTCAGCTGTTGTTAGCTGTTGTCAGCTGTTGTTAGCTGTTGAACCAGTTGAAAACAACGCATAACAGTATTTAACCTTTACAAACACCATAGCACCATGTTCACAGTTAGATGTTTGGCAGTGCAACATATACAACTTATTAAATAATACATTACGAGAGCTTTCACTGTTACTCTTCACTGTTGATGCACTGCGCTACCATCTTGGATTATGATATTCTCTCAAGCCGGGTTGGTGAGGATCGTCTGACTTTTAGAGTCGAAAAATCCGACTTCAGGGGGGGCGCTCCAGATGAATTTGCGACTCAGAGCTCAGAAATCCTGACTTCCGAGTACAACTGGAACCCTGCATTATTGCCAGCAAACCCTCATTATCAAATGTGCGTCTGCTTTCATTGATACTAACCTCCTTTTTTATTTATTGAACAATATAAATTAGTATATTTTGTTCCACTATCCTGTTTTGGATGATTTTAAATCTTCTCTTACTAGTCGCTAGGTCCCAAATAGTGTCAATAGAGTCCAAAGTCCAGGGGGTTAAACTGACTTGAATTGATGAGTGTCTTGCACAGTCCCAGCTATGACAGGCTGGTTATCATTTATTAATCATACAGCTGGTGTTTTGTGAAGCCCAGAGATAACACTGAGCTCAAGGTTCAAACTGGTCGAGCAGCCCACATTCAGAGACTCTAAGGCCTGATTCCAGTTTCCACTGTGGGCCTTGTCTCTAGTGTTGGAACCACTAAACTGATTGGTGGGCCTTCAGAATGATGAATTAATTGGGAGGGGAAATCTTTTCATCATACTGGTCACAGACAACTTATAAGAAATTCTTGTCATAATGGTTTACTACATAAATCTTTGCATCGGTTTGATTTTTTTGCAAAGATGAAGGCTTGGCTCAAATTATAATGTTCTGTGTTAACCTATTATGGCCTCATTTTGAGGGCATTCTGGGAACTTCACTCAGAGTGCATACATAAAAACAGTCTGGGGAGCTAAGTGACCACTACTATTCAAGGCCCTAAAATAAATGGGACATCCTACCCTACAGCAGGCAAAAGGGACGGGTATGGTTAAGTGACATTGCCAATGGAAGCTGGGATCGCCCTAAATCTGGTTTCCTATTGACTCTGTTTCTCCATAATACACCTACACTCCCCAAGATTGGATTTGTAATGGGGGCCACAACTGCCAGGAGAGGCCTGGAGATATGAGTGAGGCATCTGCAGTAGGACTGAATGATGCACATGGTTTTGCACTGCCAGCAAAGCATGGCCAATTTTGTAAGATGACTAATGACTATAAATATGACGCTGACAATGAGTCTTTCCCAACACCACAAATACTAGAGCAATGACAAGAAATGATGGCAAATTATAACTCCCTCTAAGTTGACTTCCATCAATAACGGGCCACCCACGCATTAAAACTTTGGAGGTTGCATGTTGCAGTGCATGTTCCAAATACTTCTAAAGGTGGAGGAATTTGTTTGGAGAGGATGTCTGACAGTGTGTTAAATGCTTGCTTCCACTTACACATGTATACAAAGACATATCAACCCTAAGTCCAACCATTCCTTTGGGGATCTCTGTGATACCTGTGGTGCCTGCACACTGACTCTGCCTTGACTATGCATCTGCAGACACCAGTCACACATGGGAGTGGGAACAAGGGCGTTAGTTTGTGTCAAAGTATGTTTCTGTTTCAATGTTACAGTGAGGGGAATATTTTATCTACCAAAGCGGACCCTGCAGAAAAAGTTTAGGAGCAACGTTCTGTACAACTTTGACTCCAAGAGTTTCAGAAGTCCTCTTCGAGCTGCAAGTGTCCCAGTGGTCTTAAAAGTATGCGTTCAACAAAAGCAGCGCCTGTGTCTTTGTAGTTCTTGCTGAGGTTGGGATAGCTCTCATATAATTTCCATGATCTGCTTCAAAGTGGAATATGAAATCCGATGCTTACTTTGTACATGTTATTTGTGGCACTCCGGAGTTCTTAGCGACTGAGCTGCAAATGTTGTAAATGCCACTGAGAGCATAAAACAAGCTTTAAACATTTATCATGCTTCCCTCTGCATTTTGCGATGTGAAAGGGTGGTGTAAAAAGTACCAAAAAGGACCTGAAAAACTTTTCTAATTTTCTGCTTGTACAACTCCAAAAATGCAGCATTATATTTTGCCTATCAGCAGCTCTGATCCAAAAGTATCAGAGTCAGCTTTGAATCAACCCGTCTTAGTCACATGCTGCACAGAGCAGAGAATGCCTGAGGAGGTTGTATGATGTCTCACCCCGGAGGTCCTCTCCGATTCCCAGAGCCAGGCCATCCTTGGTCCACTGCACAATGCCTGAGTAGTTGAAGACAACACAGGACAGGATCACCCTCTGGCCCCGCACCACCGACTGGTCTGCCGGCTCCTGAGAGAATCTCGCTGTCCACACTGGAGAATACATCGGGAACAGGGATGGGGAGAAAGAGAGGGATAAGTTAGGGACTTTTTCATTTTCACTATGTACACATTTCAGGCAGACAAGCCACTGTAAAATTCCCCCGACCACAGTTAGAGCATATTTGTGTGTCTGTGGTTTTTATAGTTAATTGATTGGAAACTGCATTCCCCCCGCAGAAGTGGAATGCCACGATTGCCATCTTTGATCACACGCTGGCTTGCGGCCATTAATGGAGCGCCGGTGAGGGGCTAAGAGCTGCACGGAAAGACGGAGGTGTCAAAGAAAAGGAAATCAGAGTTAAGGAGGAAAAAAGAAGGAAGACAAAGGGCTGGTTAATGCTGACTCAGTTGTGAGGAGATCAAACAATAAAAACTTCAGCTATAGGGTACCTCACACCCCTTTTTTCTGCTCACTCCTGACTTTTCAGTTCTTCAAAACTCTCCAGCTCTCCCTCCCATCTCCCTCTGTTTCTTCATTCCTCCCTATGAGTCATCTCCCAGGCTTCCACTCCCCAACCAGAACTACAGTGGCTGTCATTGTCTACTAGACTCTCTTCCTCTGGTCTGAAGTCCACTACTCCAGGAGATCGACCAGCACTGGCACACTGGCCCTCCAAACGTCACTCGAAAAAGAAGGAAAAACGAGAAAAAATACTCTGCTATTGTTCTACACTGTACGATGACACGCTGTAATTAGCCGTCCTTTTTGAAGACGTGACATATGCATAATAGAGGAGAGGGAATCATCGTTGAGGATTTAGATTCTCCTTCTCCTCTATGTTGCCCCCCCTTTATTTCTAAGAATCTGGTACAGTAGATCATTAACCCAATGCTACATTTCACATCCCTCCATCCTCCTTCATTACCTTTCTTCTCTCTCTCTCTCTCTCTCTCTCTCTCTCTCTCTCTCTAATGTTGTATGTCCTTTACCAAAATTGCTTTGCGTCTTTCACTCTGCTTTCCTCTCTGTAATATGTATGCATCCCCACTCGCCTCCTTCACTTTGTACATCCATAATGCTGTCTATGAATGTCCTTTTGGCTGCACTGATTCCTCTCCACCTCTCCTGCTCTCAGTATGTGTGTGCCTCCTTCTTTCTATATACATACATAATGCTGTATATGTCCTTTTACCCATAATGCTTTCTATTTCTGTGTTCCTCCTCCTCACTGGTTGGAAGGGGGTTAGAGGCGGACTGTCACAACTCATTTATCACATTAAATATCAGCCCTCCAGCATTTTCTCTCTCACTCTTTCTCATCCCCTTGTTCACCCGTCTCTCTCTTCTCTCACTTTTTTTCCCTCGCTCCCTTTTTCCTCACCTCATACCATTTACATCTTTCCTTCTCTCACTTGTCCTCTCCACTTTTTTTTATCACTTTTTTCCCCTTACACTCCCTCTGATTCCCTTGCAGTGCTCCCCCTGAGCCTGCCAGTGCTTTTCCAAAGCTTCCAGTCCCTTTCACTTTTCTAACAACTGCCATATGCCTCTGTGCCCAGCCTCGCTCGTGCCCCCCATCATGACCCCACGCTCTCTATCTCTCACGTTTTCCTGCCCTTTTGTATACCCAGTGCACTCTCTCCCTATCATGTCAGATTCGGTGTGATTTGCAGAGATAAGATATGCCTGCTAATACAAAAGGAGCCAGTCATGCAAAAAGATTTCCTTAGCAATCATTACAATGGCTTCTGACAGTGCAGAGCATTAATATGCTGAAAATAAAAGAGATGTGCAAGGATACAAAAGGAAATCAGATACAGATGGAGCTTTGCAGCATGCATACCTCGAATAATTTAGCAGTGATTCGGGAAAAAAAAAAAAGGAGAGAAAAATAGCGGCCCTTAATTTGCTCCCTGAGGAATGCCCAAATGAACAGGATTAATGAGTAAAGATATAAAAAGCAAACAACATAGAAACAACAATAGGGCCATGAATGGTTTGGAAGTAACATAATGAATAGCGACTCCCAACTCTAAACATGAAGACATTGCACCACAAGAATGTAGGCTTTCAGCAGCCAAGGAGGACTGAGTCAGTGCAGACCGCCTTTATTATTAAGTGATGCTTTGACAGTCCACCAAACGCTGGTCTGATAAAAAGGACAGAAATGCGGTACTTATAAAGCCATGTACACCAGTATTTAACTGCAAACTATCAGTATAAAGTGAATTCAATTATGACAGAACTATCAGGGATCTTTTCATGAGTGTCTTCATGGAGGTTTTGGGTCCGATGAAATAACCACTTCCAAAAAACAAATTTCCTCAGTCATCCCCTCCTAAAAAATATTTTTTTCCTCAAGTTGATCTATTTTTTGTCATTAAAAATTCATCATTTCCTTTGTTACACTTTTACTTAATATTTAGTGAACAAAATTCACACAGTTTTGGGGTGTTTAATCTTTAATAAGTGACCTATGAGGAGGTTTTTTTCTCAAACATGACATTTCCTTGTTGCTCGTTTAGTCATAAATATTTCATGTCATTGAAATCATGTTTGTTGTATCAGGGGAGAAGTGTTTCAACTCTGTCAAAACTTGACTTTTGGTGTGTTTGCTGTTTACCTGCCCTCATTTAAATATCTTGTACTGTCTTCTTCTGGCTTTACCATCATGGTGACCTCTAATGTAGGTAAATGTGGAAGTTAAAAAATGCCGTTCTTTGATCGTCCTTTTGAGGCTGGCAAAAATCATGCACTTACGAGTAACTCTCATGTAATAAAGCCTATTTTTACTGTTAGGTTGCAGTCTAGTTTGAAAAACTGGGGAGTAAATTCTTTTACTATTCATTCATTTGGAGGATATTTAAACTAGGAGTCACATAAACTTGCATAATTTGGGGCTGAGTTGACTTGAAGGTGTGTCCTTATGTAGCTGCTTGCCAGGAGGCTCATGGCTCACCTCTCCAGGCTGACCAACAGTCAGGCTGAGTAAGCATTTCCAAAGTGACGACCGCCATTGTTTTGCTTTAAAACCTCTTTTCAGAAACCCAGGGGTGACGTCACTGAGCCCATATCCATGTTTCAAACAGTCTTAGGCTTTCACCAAAATCAGTTTACTGTAGCTATCTTCACTTTATTAGAGGGTAGATTTTGCACAGTAGCTTTTTTTTAAAAATTGTATTCAAAACAGCAGTTTACATATGTAGAAAACAACCCTTAGAACTCTGGTGAGGAGTGTGATTTTTTTGAAGTAGAATGAAAATTATACTGATGCATTCCTATGATATATGTAAGCAAACAAGGCAATCAGTGACAAAATTTGTGAGTTTAATGTTGTAGTTTTTAGTGCCTGAAACTGGTGTGAGGGGGTAAGTGTTAGCTGAGCAGCTTAGAGGACAAGATAAGCGAAAACTGTTTTGTACACAGGGGGCGCCAAAGTGAACTGAAACTAAAAGTTCCTCACAGGAGCTTTAAATACACGGAAAAAAAACAAACAAAAAAAGTGGGTTAAAAAGAAAAAAATCTTTAATGGGAGGATAGAAATGATCAGCAGATGTGTTCGTTTGTGACCTTCACACGTGATAATGACCATGGAATCTTTTTTATACACACAAAAATGATAATAGCTATCATTTAATTTACTCTTTATAAGCCTGTTTCATTTTCTCTTGACACGTTAAAAAGGATGCAAGAATATTTTATTTTGTGTTCAAGTTTTAAGATAAATATCGTTTGAAGATACAGTATTTAATGCAGGACATATGTAAGCCAGCCATTGAAAGTGATGTGGTGTAATTTGGGTGAAGAAAGCATAAAAAACAAAACATGATTCTAGACGGCGAGGAGATTTGCTTTAATTTCCTGCAACTTAATTTATCTGTCAAATGCTAATTACAGGAATGTGCAGAGTGGATTTACACCATCTTAAAAAAGCATGAAAAGCCTTTTCTCAGACATACATGGGTGTAAAAAGAGTTTAGCTGGGTTTAAAGTACCCCGCAACCTTGACAGTAGCCTGAGGCCAAGCAAATCCTTTTCTCCACCACTTCAGATTTGCTAGCTGGAGGTATTCCCTCAACTGCCTCAGTAAACCGTAAACATAATCCAAACTGAACACTCCTGAGTGGAGGCTACACAATCTGCGGAGAAAACACCCATGCAAAGGCTGAGGACTGAAAACACTGACTCATTTTAACATGTGCTCATCGCCTTCTGATTTCCATATTACCCAGTTAACACTTGTCAACATGAGTGTGTGCCTGTGTGTGCGTCTGAGTGTGTTTAGAGGGGAGAATCTACTCTAAGAAAGCAGCCAGAGCCAAGCCAAGACAGGAGAGTGTATGCAAGGGAGCTTGTATTCTTTCATTATGTGGGTTATGCTGCAGTGACAAATTTAGAGTGTGTCCTGATTTCCTTGAGTCACCGATCCCCTAGATACCACCAGGAGACTCTGAGCACCCTGTCCACATAGAGACCATGGTCGCAAAGAGCTGTGACCGCATGAACATGGATACAGCTCAAACAACAGGCAGCGCAGTTGACCTAACCTTCCCCACATGGGCTAACCACTTCCTGTCAACACACACAAACACAACCACCCTGAACCCCAAACATGTAATCGACACATCGAGGTGGTTTCCCAAACAAGGATTACACCACAACTGGGACTGAACTGTCAAACCAGAGGAGCATCTCTATCTCCAACTCACCCAAGTCTCAGTTGAGTCTGGGATTAAGTCCAACCCTAGCCAAAGTTTGGAAAGGGATTAAATTAATCTGGATCCTAGGACAACGGCCCCTGCAGACACAGTGACACCAACCTCAGCTTGTCAAAGCAGACACAAAGCCAAAGGCGAGCACGCACAGCTTGGTCGGGTGACTCACCAGAAGCATGGCAACCATAGTGTGAACCACCACGGCAGTTAAGCCCCAGAGCACCTCTTGCACCATGCCATGGCGCTTTAATAGCAAGGTAATGAACCGTCAATTTGTTGCTGAAAATCAAAAGGGGTAGACGCATGCAAAGATGTTTAGAGCTATTTATAGCAAGTGTGCGGCTCATATGCCCTGCATTTTTTGATTTGCCACACGCCCTGCTGTAAGGTGGTGAATGTCAAAGCTGTCTTTACAGCGTTTAGATACAGGCTCTGTGAATGGGACAGAGAGAGAGGGAGGCTGGGTAGCTGCCATGTGGTGTAGAGTCCATTGGTTGCACTGAATCCGATGCTGTTTAATAAAACGGCATTTGTATGGATTGTTATGCATCGATCTAATTATCTTTGTGTCTGGCCGTCTCCCTGTACCCCTCTGCACCCCTCCAACAAAGTCTCCCTGCCTGCCTCTCCCTTGCTCATCTCCAGCCAATCCTGAGCCTCTGCTGGATCACAGACTTGCGTCACCATAGCAACAGCTGACGTGTAAAGTAACTGCCCAAAAAAAGTTTTCTGTACGAGCGCACACGCGTATGTGCATCTGTGTGTCTGATGAAACCCTCCCTTATGCTCGGTACACCCATTTTCCTGAAAAAACATTTCTCAATGACCTCATCCTCCCTCCACCTATCCAATTAATAATCAGGCGGCTGCATTGGTGCCTCATTATTCCTCTTTTTCACCCCCCCAAACACACACATACACACACTCTCTTCACTGTTAGTCAATCCGCTCCAAATTGATTCTGTTATCACTCTAATTCCATATCGCCGCCGCGTGTGGCCGATGTGTTGGTGTTGTGGAGCGGCTGCCTGAAAATGAGATGCAGGGCCGGGAGAACAAAGAGACGGCGAGGTCCACAGACACAGGGCTGTGAAGTGTGATGGAGGGGGATGACATCATTGTTTCAGGACAAAGTTGCAGCCATAGGAGTCATGCGGCATTGACTGGCCCTCCCTGTTTTCTTTACGTGGCTGTACATCCAGATATCAGTCCATCAGCCGGAGACAGATCTGATTTGGACTTTACCATCTTTTTACTATTAAAACTTGCCCTGTAAAAGACTTTGTTTCAAAGTACAGTACAGCCTTATGCAGACTAAATGCACCATGTATGCATGCAAAGTAACCTGTAAGTACAATTTTATATATACGAAATGCATGCACCATTCACATAGACCTGCAAGTAACCTTTATTTTGATTTATACGGGGAGAAAAACACCAGTTACAATTTATGCAAGCCATCTAACTAAAGTACGTCTCAAAACTGCGGTCAAAAGATTTCCCTCGATTTGATTTGTTTTATCCCATTAAAATGAAAAAAAAAAGCACTACTATCTGTATCAATTTCAAACTAATCGTCTGTCATTTTCAGGAATTGTGAGAATGTTCTGAACTCTCGCATGCCTCTGTGTTTGATTTATCCTTTTGTTTTGGGCAAGTTCCTCTTATTCCAGTCCTAACAACCATAAATATGCCAAAATAAGCCAGAGCTTTACAGGACGCTACAAAACATAACTAATTTAAAAGTTTGAAACAACGGCAGCAGAAAGAGAAATGCAGACATGATAAGAGTACTAAAGTAGCGAATGAAAACAGCTGATTCTCTTTGGGTATCTGGAACTAAGACTCATAAAATGAACACTTTGTGGATGCAGGAGCTTTTTGTAAACATATAGACATACATTCAGAGAGGGTGACTCTGTTAGGATTTTATTGTCTTGTTCACGGTCAGCTCTGCTGGTTGTAAACAAAGGATGGGGTTAATCTGTGCATGCACAGTTGCATGCAAACAGGATTATTTCGAGGATATTCATTTTCCCTAGGCATGTAAACAACTAGGAACAAGGAATATTGTCTGTTGGAGTTAGGGCCTAAACTGAATATTTTATCCATGTACACAAAGCCACTACATTATCAGTGCATTTTAAGTCCTGCAGAGAAGACTAACATGTCACACCTGCAGTGTCGGTGGCTAATTTGTTGTGAGTAATCTGTTGGAGAGCTTGGATTGCTCTTTTGCAGTAATGAGTAAATAACGCCCTGCTTCTGCAATCGACGTAATCCTCTGGATGGTTATTGGAAATAACTCGGTGTGTTCCTTTCATCTCCGATGCATTTGCAGTATTTCTGCTCCTCTCCAACTACATGTCAAGCAGCTGCGCACAAGTTAAGTAAACCTACTGTTGTGTTGATGCACTTGCATAGCTAACTGCTTGAGTGAGGTGACAAGAGCAAGATCACGATGACATCTAAGCTGTACTTGGAGGACAAAAGCTCGCCAGCTGCTAAGAACTGCATTTCAAATTTGAAGAAGCATCTGCAAGCTAAACATAGCTCTGCGATGCTGGTGACGAGGCCCATCAAGGGGGGGGAAGATGCTACAGCTCCATGACAGTAATGGCTAGCTTTTAGTTCAGATGAGGAAGGAGAGGTAAAGAGACAAGCCGAAGATGCCGTTAAGTGCCGGGCTTTCCCTTCTGGGTAATGGCTAAGCAGCTAGCTGGACAAGGACAGCATCTGGTTTTGACTTTTTGGTAATGCAATAATACTCAAATGCATGTATCTTATCAATGTAACAAATAACATTGATAAGTAACATAACCTGTCACCGTCCAGCTTACTAAATCCAGTTTTGTTAAACTCTTGCAGTCCAGAAGTAGAACTGTCGACTACAGCTGTATTTGCACGTGTCAAAAACTTTTCAGAATGGATGCACGTGTGAATGCAAACAAATAAAACTTTCATCCTAACCTCACCCTGCCTTTTTTTTTCCTGCCAAAAAAGTCGTGACAAATTTGGGAAAATCCACAGTAAGTGAGCAGCAGGCTTGGGTATCTGAACTTCTGTGAGTCATGGATTCAATTAGGCACATGAGATTTTGTTCCTAACAGTGACATAAATCTTTCAGGATTAAACCGCAGTGAGAATTTGCAGTTGACAGAAGTTGCTCTTGTCTGCCAGGACCTGCTGTACCGACACTGTATTAAGTCATTTGTGATGCAGTACATCAACAACATTGTGAGAGAGGGACCACTGTGGACTACAGCATGTGGTCAGGATGATAATGACAATCTACAACTATATATATACAGTATATATATATATATATATATATATATATAATATTGTGTTAGATACAAGTTCAAATGGCAGGATTAATGAGGACTCATCCCTGTTCAGGTATGCAAAATGCTTTGTGTATGTTGATACTCTGTCATATTCTGCTCTTTTATTATGTTTTCTATATGATTTATTCAAATAGCATTGATTTGTAATTTCTCTTCTTGATCGACCCTCAAAAGAAAAATTAAGGTCTATAAATCAAGGGGAAGTAATTTTCAACCTAAATGTCTCAACCACAGAGGCAGAGTAATATTTGCTCTTCAATTTTGGAATGGAGGTCAAGAATAGAAAGTGATAAAAACTAAGGTTGGGCATCTTAGGTATAATGCCAATACAATACACATCTCGATACAATGTCTCTGATATATTAAAGATACATGTTTGGCATTATGCGATGCAATACAATATGATTCACACCCAAATCACGACACTAAGCCACTCTTTGGGCTTTAGTCAGTGACTACCCCATCTATCTCCTAACATTGTCGTACAGAGCAGAGATCTGTATTATTGGAAAATAGCTTTTGGTTAGGTACTTTACAACGAGGCTCCAAGACATGGAGGAGGTGTTTGAAACCTTTGTTTTCTGTTACACTGTAAGGCTGAATATCTTTGCAGATGAAGAATGCTATAGCATATGTTATTGCCATTGAGCACGTAGAGTTATTAGCAAGCGGGGCATGGAAGAAACTTGAAATACTTTGATCACCGCTTTTGGAGCTGCCGGCTGGAGGAGAATCTGAGCTGGGAGCAGGGTAGGCGGGGGCGCTTGCAGACCCCTCCACGACAACACCGTGGCGCCTAGTTATCTGCCTGTGCATTTTACAGCAGTGCGGCACATTTTGCAAATCTGCCTTGTCAAGTCATCCATCTTTCTTGTGAAACTCCAAAACCTTAGATAAACTACTCAGAGGAGGGTACATTTGCTCAGCGTCCGACATGTTTGTTTACCTTACTTCTCACACTCCTTCTCACTGCTAGTATTCATCCATGGTGCGGTGCTGAAACTTTAGTTTGTAGTGCACATCTTCAAGTCCGAAGAAATTATGCCCTAAAAATGGTTTGGTAACGTAAAAAAAAAAAGTTATGTATTAAACTAATCAGATTGTATCGATACAAACATAAAACGACGATACATCTCGATATGCATTCAAAACTGCATTTACTCTCAGCTGCTCTACCGGTGCACCTGCATCTTGCCCACGCTTGACTGCACATCGATACATATCGATGTGTATCGGTTAATCTCCTCATCCGTAATAAAACATATGAAACCCTACTGCGCAGATACATTTTTTAAAACCTGATGGATGCAATTGAGCAAAAGGCATCAGGATGAATAAAATACTGCAGTTTGAAAAAAGGACAATCACTAACAAGCTGAGAAAAGCAACATTTGTCTGCATGTAGTGCTGATTTAAAAATTTAGGTTTCTGTTGCTTTGTAACCATCATGTTGGAAAGATTACACTGTCCTCTGTTGTGCTTTATATCTCATATACCCTAAAGCTTCCTGCCCATCACTCTTCTGGTCTGACAAGGGAGACTATCACTTTGTGGGACATGTACAAAAGCACCTCTGGAAAATTTAGAGGGCAAGCTCCCTAAAATTTCTAGAAAATTTCAGGACTGTCTAAACTTCTAATCAAACTGCGCTAAGAGTTATTTTTAAGTCAATAATCAAACCATTCATTTCATCTGTGAGGAGTTTCCCTGCAGTTCTGGAGTGCACCCCGTTTCTCCCTCTATTCATCTGTGGGAACTCTACCACCTGTGCCTGCTTTCTCTCAACATGGCCGCCTGCACCATGGCCATAATAACATGTTACCATGGTGACAGCGCTATAAGAAGAAGCAAGAGACATAGATGAAGAGAGACATGGAGTGAAAGGAGGCGACCCACTGAGTGCGCTGACACCGTGTCACTCAAACACAAAGGTGACTCCTGGAGGTTGGGAGAGAGTAGAGGGAAGACCAGGAGAGAGGGAAGACTGAGAGAAAGACGCAGAGACTCCTTCCTTTGTTTGCTGCATTGTCCGCCTGCTCGTTCCCTTCCTCTGTTGTCTTACCTTCCCGTCCTCCCCCTTACTTGCAGTCAGCGACCTCTTTCTTTCTTTACCTCCTTTGTGGCCTTGCCCCCTTCTCATTTCCCATTCACTTCATTTGTCTGTCAAGCATCCACTTAAAAATGATCACTCCTCCTTCTTACCTTCACCTACCACCCCTCTTGGACTACGTCTCAGAGGCATGTCAGCCTCTCTTTCCCTCTGACAGTCCTCCCTCTCAATCTCTCTCTCCTTTACTATCAAAATGGTTGCTGTGGAAACAGGTTTATTTGGAAATGGCGGGAGGAAAAAGGCTCCTGCGCTTTGTCTGCCCATTTTCATTATACAGCGTGAATGAGAGTGCATATGCTCCTGTGAAGGTGTGCGTTTTCTATAAATGTGTGTTAGTGCAGGCGGTGGGTGCCACCTATCAGTCTCTGGGGCTCCTCTCATACACGTATTTCACGTCTGAAGAGCTTTATTTGTACCAAACCGCTGTTACAGACATTGTTACCATGGCTACAGCCAGCAAGGACCACTGACACAATGACAGACACTGTGGCCATGGCAACCCCAGGATCAGTGGTGGGTAATATGATAATTCATGGACGAGGCATCTGACACATTACGGGTGCATGAATATGCTCAGGCGCTGGAAAGCAGGCCCGCCGCTGGTAATCCACGAGCCTTTGTGCGGCCAACACGCCGAGCGGCTGACAAAGAATCCTCTGCTGTAACCAAGGGTGACCAGCACTAACAATAGCCGTCCTCTGGATCAGCTCGAACAAGGGGATACATGCATATCAAGCTGCTTCTCTGCAGCAGTGTGCTGCATAGTTTGTAGCGCAGGGGTCGCCAAAGACGATCCAACTGGCACAATCGATATCATAATGAATCAATAATTCACGGCAGTGGTCCCCCATTGATTTTGGGCAGTGACCCATTCCTAAAGCTACTCAGCCACCACAATCCACGTGATTGAGCGAGTAAACATGCTTACCATCAGCTGTGTGAGCTGTGACAGTTTGGAGATGGCCCACCAATCCACCTCTCGTTACAGTACAGCATGGTAATGGAATCCAGCAGGACTGTTTTACAAGCAGCATCGCGTCGATAAATCACCCCCTCCAAGGTCTGCTTTAATTCAATCCAGTGTAATCTAATTTTATTGGTATGTTCTGTAGCTTCTTGCAATGTCATCTGTCACAAACCGTCCAATAAAGGCCTGGGGCCTTGACCTCTTACAGTGGAGCAATATTCATTCAGAGGCCTTCACTAGCACCACTGCCACTGTGTGCTGTCTCTTCAAAGAGGACGCTTCTTTGTTGAGAGCAATGACTAGAAAGCAAAGCAACAAATCAGCTTTGTAGACATTCAATTTATAAGCCTTTACAAAGCAGAAGAAAAACAGTGCAGATTGCCTATTGAATGAGGAGCATTGCATCATGCTTTTACATGGGGTGCAATTTTTTTTTTTTTTTAAAGCCATGCTTTTTATGAATATGGATTGTGGTTTATGCTTTACATGACTAGAAATACATCAGTGAAAGTCTGTTAACCTTCTCGTGGTGCGGGCTTGTTGGTTTTAATTGTTTGAGAAATTTGCTGTAATACCAAAGCAGCTAATGTACTTTTCATGAATGAAAATCATGACATTCATGGGGGGCGGGGGGGTCCAAAACTGAGCACATTTCATTTACTATCACTAAACATGGAATTATAGATTATGTGTAATTTAAATTAGTCCTTTAGTTAGTCCTCTTTGCAGGCTAGCATGCAGATGCAGGTTGCTCTGGTCAAGTATGCCAGTTTAACAACAAACAACTTTATCTCCATAGAGTTAGTTGATAGTGGGTAGTAAAACAATATAGCAAAAGACAACCACCAATGAGTTCAGTTTTATTGTTGTTAAATTTGAAAAAAAGGTGTGAAATCATAGACTGTATACACTATGGACAATTTGGCTCCGCCTTCTGTCATTATTCATTGAATTTGAAGCCGAATTGCTCTTGGTATTTCTGGGATTTTCTCCACTTCCTGGAACCACCATTGCACAGTAGTATTGTACGCATTCGGCAGGAGAGTCGCAGAGGGTTGCTGTGATGACACTCCGCTCAAACAGCGTATCCCCCGGGTTAGCTACACAATCTTCGTACACCCATCAGCTGTATCAAGTGTCAATCATAGCAAACATGAACCCCCTAATAACTTGTCAAGGTGCAACTTGGAAAAAAATGTATGTTCTGTGTAATTAAACTCTTAAGTTTGTCCACAGCTCCAAAGGTATTGCTGGGGGAGGTGGGATTTATGACCTACATATACTACAGCCTAGTGCTGGGCGATATGGAAAAAAATGTATATCACGATATGGATCATTTTATATCACGATAACGATATATATCACGATATAGCTATGGTATGCTTTCAGTTCTATGAAAAATTTAAGTGTATACAGCTGCACTAGTACCTGTACAAGACCAGCACTTAAAACTAGAAAAATGAATAAATAAATACGTGGCTGAAGTGCGTTCATGTCTGTGCTCACCCAAAGTTATGCAACACTCACAGAAAACGCCGATAGTGTGAGCCAAAGCACTCCATAATAATAATAGTAATAATAATAATAATAATAATAATAATAATAATAAATTTAATTTGTAATGCACTTTACATTTACAAAAAATCTCAAAGTGCTACAGTACACAGTAAAAAAAGAGCAGCAACAATAAAAAAGCAATAGAATGACAGTCACAGATTGGCATAAAAAAAAGAATTAAAAAAATAAAAAATATAGAGTTGCAATGTAAGAGGCAAGGTAGTAAAAGCATAAAGCATAGAGGAAAACTAACCAAAGACTTTATTAAAAAGGTAGGTCTTTAGGGCTCTTTTGAAGAGGTTGTTCACACTGCTGGATGTTTCTCCTCCAAAGCTGCTCTCTGCTTCCATCATTGTTTACTTTACTCTTGAAGCACGTAGGAAGACCCGAGCATGAATCCGAGCGCTTTATTCGCCTATCAGGGGCAGACAGGTAAGGTGATTTGATTCGCCACGACTCCAGAAATGATTGAAAAACTACAGAATGTCACAAAATTACGTTTCCTCGCTGCTGGCTTGAAGGGTAGAAATGCGCAGCCGCGCTCCCAGCTGACAGGAAGTCAAACCACTGTTGTAGTTCTTTTGTGTTGCTAGCGCGGTCAAGAGTGTTAGCTCTCACTGAGAGATGACTACAAAAATGGACGCACCTGTTCATCTGGTTGTTAAACACGGCTGAAAATGATCATCTATTAATGTTCCCGCTCCTGCCCACTCCCGTTGCTTTTTTCCCGTCCCGTCCCGATCAAGGGATTAATTAAAAAATGACTCCCATCCCGCGGGAATCACCTGACCCACGGGGAATCCCCGAAAAATGTCATCCTCTACAGGGAAGGTCCCGGAGCACATAAAACAGGTGCCGGAGCGGCTGAAATAGGTCCCGGATCCGATCAAAAGAGGTCCCGGATCGCGCTCCGACTTGCTCCGGCACAAATTAAGCACCCTTACAATGATCCCCTCACGTATGTAACCCAGGTAACCCGCAACGGCGGGAGACGCTGGACACAAAGAGGGCACGTAAAGCGGTGTCATGTCGCAAAATCGAAAGAGAAATGCGAGCCTACATGTCAACGCATCCTTTTCTTTGTAAGGAAATATTGTTTTCTTTCCCGTTTGACACCAAATACACTTACTGAATGTGCAATTATTGTTGTTGTTACTATGAATCATCTGATGGCACAAGCCCTATGGATAAAATACAGCCTATCGCCCGAAACGATAAAAATAAAAATGGCACGATAGACATTTTCTATCGTGCCCACGATATCTATCGTCCAATCGCCCAGCACTACTACAGCCCGTCACCAGAAGGTGCTGTTCTCAGGGTGGCTTCAACCAGCAAAGAGGCAGACGTCCATTTAATACAGTCTATGCGTAAAATCCATGTTTTTATGTTGTGGTAACAGGTAACCAGGGGGTAGGGAGAGGCTAGATGTAGAGCTGTGTGTCATCTGCGAAACAGTGGAAGTTGAGACTGTGTTGAGGTAAGCATGTTGATACTGAAGAAGAGGGGGTCTAAGCACAAAGCCTTGAGGACCACCACTGTTGACTGAGGCTGGGGTGATGTGGTAGTTGCTGATGGATAGTTTTCTATTTGAAAGATAGGACTGACACCAGGAGGGAGCTGTTGATGCCGAGGTGGTGAGATAGGTGCTGATGACACATCAGTCTTCAAATGCAGCCTTCGAAGGATGCAGCCCTTGAATTGGGACACAGCTAATTGCCTGCTTTCATTACTTTTGGGAAGGCCTGTTCCTATTTCAACAGGACAATACCCCACATAACCAAGGACAGGTCCATAAATAATTGGTTTATCCAATTTTGGTGTCCTAGGTCTTTTTACCCAACGTCAGTAGCACTAGTTCAATTTACTTAAAACTATTCAAAAAGAACATTTTGTACCAATAGTTTACAAGGAGTGTGATCTGCTGCTTTCCAGTGCTTACATGAGATGATGAAATAAATCAGAAGAACTGAATCAAATGTGCAAAAAATGGTGAGTACATCATTCATTTGTAATCTCTCAGGACTACCTTTTAGCTTCATAATATTCACCATTGTTGAATTAAAATTGCTCAAGCAACAACTTACAACAATTCATACTGTGTGCCTCATATGTTTATGTAATTCAGTTCTTCTTTCAGCTCTTTGACTGACTCTTACTGGTAAACATACATTTTGTTTGACCTCACTGAAACTCTTGCAGCAGAGCGGAAATCTGAAACTATCTGAGACCAGAGGAGTGGACACGACATGCTACGATGTAAAATAGGCCAATCAGGAACTTAAAATATAGGACAGCTGATTTAAGGTAAGCATGGCCTCAGGGGTATCAGATTTGGTCGGCAGAGGCAGTCTTAACATCTACACGAAATGGTTTTAATGACCGGACTTCAAGGCCATTAATGATTACTTACTACTATGAGATGCCTCAGTCATTATTTGTAGTCGGCAACAATTTAGCCTGCAGGCTGTTATACTACATGGCGAGGGGACGGCGAGCGATGCAGTACTGTGGTAACAGATTCAGTTGGACTGCTGACCCTAATGTTGTTATCGTAAAGGGAAGATGGATGAAGCAAGTTGGATATCTCCCCCACTCTCCCTCACTCGGCCCTGTCCCTGTAGAGGACCAGAAACTGGGAGAGCAGAGAAATGAAGTGACATCATCAGCGTCAGCCACATTCCTGCGGAGGGAGGGGGAGGGAGGGAGGGGAGAGGAGGAGGAGGGAGGGGGGAGGAGAATGTCCCAAAACTTTTGAGGTTACAGGACCGACATCCCCCCTCCCCCATCTCCTTTAAATCACATGCACATACAAATGCATCCATTCTTCCTCTCTTTACTTAAGTGTGTTCTCCAGCACACATTAGTGTACAAGTGTGTACATTACAGTACACAGGCTCTTCTTCCTCATCATGCGCTCCCTGTTTTAATTCATGTGCTCTCCTCCTGTCCCCTCCCCCCCCCGACTCATACCACCTCCCTCCCCTCCCCTCCCCTCATCTCTTTCTCTCTCCACCGACCAGAGGAATGCAGGAACCACATCTGGAACTTATTAGAGAGCAAGAGAGAGAAAGGGGTAGATGGAAAGAGAAGGAGAAGTAATGGATGTGGTGGTGGGGTAAGAGGGTTGAGAGAGGAGGGGGGTTCGTAGAAAAAAGAGTCAGATTGAAGAAAAAAAGCAGTCCAGGAGGGGACAGAGAGGGGAAAGGAATGAACTTTGCTAAGCAGAAAAGGCTCATGTTGGGAGAGAGACACAAATGCGCCAAAACAAAAGTTAACAGCGACACTTATAACGCCAATTAACCTTGGCAAAAAGAGGGCATAGGGGTGGGCAGAGGAAAAAAAAGAGTCTAATTTGAAGAATAAAAAGTCCAAGGGGGACACTCAGAGGAAAGGAATGAACTCCAGTAAGCAGAAAAGGCTAACGCTGAGAGAGGGACCCAAACGCAGAATAAAGAAAGCTAAAAGCAACTCTTGTTGGTGCACATTAACCTTAAGGGGAAAGGGGGGCAAAGAGAGAGTAAGAAATCAAACTTGGTAAGCAGACAGCTCTTATTGCAAGAGGAAGCCATACACAGAAAAAATTCACAACAACAAGAATGTATGCCAATTGACCTCGATAGGCTGGGAAAAGAAAAAAAGGTCAGAAGGCCAAAATAGTCTGTGAAGGGAAAGTAAGAGGAAGTGACCAAACTATGGCAAACAGAAGAGCAGATCACGACAGAGGGACTCACATAGTATCGCCAGTTAAGTTCTGCGGGAAGTGGGCAAGAGAGGGGGAAAAAAAGGATCTGAATGATGAAAATCCACGAAGAGACAAAAAAAAGGATGAACTTTAGCTGGAGGAAATATAAGCCTAACCATTTGGAGATGGACCCAAAGGCGCCAATTTCTGCCAATTAACCTCTAGAGGGACAGAAAAGGATAGGGGGCAATAAAAAAAGGTTTACACTGGAGCAACAAATTCAAGGAAAGATTGGACAGAAGATGATTGAATAAACTTGGGCTGTTGCAGTTTACTGGTATTGATGATTACCATCTTTACAGACAAATAATCAGTACTGTGAATTAATAAGCATACAGTTCTAACCTGTAACTTACTGGAAAAAAGCAGGTGGCAGTAATGGTTCATAACAGTGTCAGCACAAAAAAGCCCTTTATTGAAGAAGAAGTAGAAGAAATGGAAGTAGAAGAAATGGAAGAAGAAGAAGAAGTAGAAGTACAAAAAGGAGTGAAAGAAGAAGACGTAGAAAACGAAGAAGAAAAGGAAGTAGAAGAAGACAGAAAAAGAAGTACAAGAAGTACAAGAAAAAAAAAAGAAGACGAAGAAGAAAAGGATGAAGAAGAAGAAGAACTTTTTGGTTTCCTAAAGGGAAATTCTGGAGAACAGAGTCCAAGGAATGGCATTTGGGAGGGGGGGGGGGTTCAGGCCTTACCTGAACTGTTGAGCTACCCATGGGCGAAAACTGACGATATGAAAGTGCAAGTAAAAAGTAAACAAGATAGAACTATAAGCAGACGTAAAGGGTAGAGCATGAAAGAGTACAAAAGGTGAAGAGCTACAAAGTTGTCCATGATTTCACAGTACAGCACACAATCTGTTTTTCTCTCACCAACATGTTTGTTTGTTGTTTTAATAAGTGACAAAACAGGTAAATCTAATTCTAAACCGTAGCTCACATTTAATGTGCAACTTACAAACTATTGACTAACCAGTTAGCTAGATAGCCTTTACCACAGTGTCTGGCTACTACTTCAGCGCAAATCAGGTCAGAGGACATCGTGGTCTTAAATATTTTGGCTACGATAATCATGAGGTGTTGTGACAGCCCTAACTAAAATAAATAATTTTTAATACTTGAGACAAAGGACCCTTTTACACTCATGGTAAAATAGCAAATGGACTGAAGTAAGCCAGATTGATGATGGACAAAGACAAGGACAAAGACAAGAGGGCAAATCCAGGAACGTGTTGTGAAAAGATGACCTTTGGGAAGCAGAAACAGGCTTGTGTGGCAAAAGGGACCCAAATGCGCTAAAATGAAAGTTAACAAAATCACGATATGTTGGCAAACTTTGATGGAGACAGGGAAGGGCTGCAACCAGTGAAAGGTCAAGGAAGAGTAAAAAGGAGACTAGAATTACTCTGATACAAATCTTATTTGGAAGAAGGACCCAAATATGTAAAAAAGATGGTAAACAGCAACTCAGATTGATGCCAAACAACCTGAGGTGGGACTGGGCAGGGTTGGGACAAAGACAAAGAGGGCAAACTGAACAAATATTCCAGGAAGGCACAGGCAGAAGATGAACTTGGATGAGGAGGAAAAGGTCTATGTTTAGAAAGAGACCTAAATGCGCTTAAAGTAAGTTTACATCAACACCAATTAATGCCAATTAACCTTGCAAGAAATGAAGCAGAGGAGGAGCACTGCTAGCTCTACAGTTAGAGGTTCAATCAGTCCTGATTCCTGCGCAATGTCGCCTTTGAACTGGCCTCGACCATATTCTATCTGAATGAGCCGCTTCACCGTCCCCACTGAGGGAGCAGTCAAGCCTGAGTAATAGTCCCTTTCTCTCTGCCACTGGCCTCCCTACCACTCCCCCTCCTCCTTCATCCACGTCCCTCGCTTCTCTCTTGTAGCTCTCTTTTTCTTTTCACCCAGCACACCCTCCTCCCGCACCACAACACTGCCCCCCCCAACTCATCACCTCTAAACAAACAAAAAAAGTCCAATCACTCTCAATCAGGCTTCACCCACCTGCCCGCAAGACTACCCTCTTTGTCCACCCGCCTTCACCCCCAAAACAGCTTTTGCTGTAACCAATCCCAACCCCCCCACCTCTCCTCTCCTTGCTACCCAAAACTGGTTGTCCCTGTAGAATGTGGCCATGCAGTTTGGGAAAACAAGGCCAATAGATTCAGTCAGATGTGATAAAGTGTTCCTCTCTTGCTCGGGGGACTCTGCATAAAGAAACAATTTTAAGGGGATGTTTTTTTTTGCCTTCTTCTTTTTATAACTTGGATGCCCCCGGCCTGTCAAACACAATCAGACTACAAGGCCTTTTAATCCTTGGGCTGCATTTGGGAAGTGTTTGTGTAGCTGTTGGGGATGCTGAAAGGAATTTTGCACACTTTTTTGACTGAATTTACCTCTGACCACAAGTTTGATAATGATTTATCTGACTCAACTCTTCCGCGCTCATTCAACTTTCTGCTGGAGCTTCTTTTTTCTTTTGCTGCATGCACCATTTTCCAAAAGCACAACGGGACATTCGTCCAGAGGAATGCCTTTAAACAAACGTATGAAGTTAGAGGAGCAATCAACATGTCGCACTTTGACCGACACCCGCCGGGATAGAAATGCAAAGAATTTGTTGATTGAACAGAGCCCAGTGGAGAACAACAGCCGCAGATGTATATCATAACATTATGGGCCCCATTCCCAGATTAAGCTTTACAACTGGTTCAGTGATTGCTTTCAGAGGCCAGTGTCAATTAGGGATGCTATTTCAGTTCAAAAAAAGGGCTTCATTCAGATCCCATTAAAAGCAAACAAAAAAAATTACAAACATGACCTGAATTTACATGTTAACCTGAAGGTAGGACACTTCAGTGCCATATACCGCTCACTGGGATCAAAATTAAAAGCAGACGTCTGCCTCTCTACATATGTTGCTCCGGATCTGCACTATAGGGGCTGCAAAGGATTCACGACTGCACCACGGCAGAGATCTTCAAGCTGGAGATACACTTGCATTGCTGTGCACAGCCATCCATATCATGAGCGTTGTTGTTCACACAGCAAACTTTCTACTAGGAGGATCCCTTCAGAGGGCACACTGGGGTGCTCAGGCCATATGCAAACCATTGTGTTTGCCTGATCAAAGCAAGATACACAGCAGAGTCTCACAGAGGTTATTGTTACATTTCAGTGGTCTGGTTGACAATTTCCTGATTCAGCTCAGGCAGCTGATGACAGGTGGACTGATGACCATCATTTTGCTCCGTGCTCACATGCAACACTCCTGCACTTGTTTCCATTATTTAGCTTTGCAGCTTGGACTTGTCTCTTGCCGTCAATTTTGACAGGCATGTTTGTCAATGTGCAGTGATAGTGACATGTTGTGCTGATGCAAATAATTACATACTTGATCGAGCGTTACCACATAAAGTATTCTACAGAAAATGTTAAGATACAGATGTATTTTTGGCTGATTTTCTCTCAGTGAAAACCATGAAAACAAACCAGGTGATGAACACCTTTATATGCAGGTGTGTAGGGTTCTTTAGCAGTTCATTACAAAGTTTTAATGCAACTGCAAATCATGACATACAGATTGATTACTTAGCGTTGTCATGTGGACGTTAGGAGGAGAAAAAATCAATACAGCATAGTATCAAAATATTTTGTCTGGTAACATCATGTCATCTCACTCATCACTTACGGATTTTTCAAATCAATTGCAAATATGAAGTCAAATCTATAATAATGGAAAAATACAATCAACTGTTTGTCCAGTGAGGTTGGAAGAGGTGACATCATAGAGCAGGAGAAAGTTAGTGCAACAAATATATATAAGGTTTGCAAGATGTGCTACATGACAATAAAATACAGCATTAACAAGACAAACATTAAGTAAAGACAAATGTCAAATTAGCTAAACAGTTGAAAAACATTATATAAATAGCAATATATTGTATCGTAATAATCACTGTATTGCAAAATGTTAAAAATTGCATTAATATCGTATCCTGGCCCAAGTATCATGAGAATACCGTATTGTGGGACCACTGGTGATTCCCACCCCTTGTGGATGTCTGTTCTTGTGTCAGCAAGGCTTTGGTCTTTAAGGTTGTCTTTCTGCCATTGTTGTTCCTGCAGCTGTAGCTTGGCTGTTTACTGTCATATCTCCTTAACATACACCTATCCTGCTCCTACCTTCCATGTGCATACTACAAACTGTGATTGCACCATGTTAATTTTGAAAACATGTACAGCAAACTGTTCAAACTTTTGTAGGGAACACACAGCAGCCATGATGCACACTGAAATGACTGGTTTAAAGTAAGCGCCAAAAATCCAGAATATTAGTTGTACCACCAGTACTTATAAAGCAGTCAGATTTTAGAGACCTCCCACTGCGCTCGGGCAGACAGTTTTAAAAAAATCAACCTTGAATGTATCTCCAGCATGATGTGTAAATGTTCGGATAGATTGAAATTTTGTAATCTTGTTAGTAACAGCCTTGTGCCGAACCTGCTTTGTTGACCAGGTCCTCCACTGTAATAGGTTACTTAGCATAAGAGTGCATAGACTGGCTAGATGACAATGACAGTGCCCTCGGATGGATCATACAGGAAGCCACTTCAGGCGGCCTGATGCGCTATTTTAATGTATTATTATGAGCTTGGATGGCTCATTGCAGTTTGAATTTAAACTATTCCCCTTAAGCTTGAATGAAGGCTTGAATTTTAGAGAAAAAAGTGACAGCTCTATTCTTGAACCCTGCCACTAGAACTGCTTTTAGCCATGTCCTCTGGTTATCGTGCTCTTCCTCGTACTCTCTGGTTTTGCTATTCTGCTAGCTACTAGTACAGCGGCTAGGCTTAGCAGAGGTTGTGATGAGGTACAAAAAGACCCTGCTAGGACATTAGCTTTAGCTTGCACATGCATTAGCTCCCAATATTTTCTTTAAATGCAAGATTATGAGCTAATTAGGGGCAATGGTGTTCAAAAGTGGCAGGACTTTCTTCATCACTGCATGCTCTGGCATCCTTGCCTCTTTGAGCACCAGCCTCTGCAATTTACAGCAACATAACCAATACCTCTCTTTGCATTTCACACTGGTATACTGGTCACACTGGTTAAGGACACAGCTTAGTTTTTAGATAGCCAAAAAAGTTATTCATCAATATTAAACTTTAGTTTGTAAAGTGCCAAATCACAACAAATATTCTCTCTGGATGCTTTCAAAAAGGAGGAGGCCCAGTGTTTCTTATTCACCAAATTTTTGCATTACTTCCTCGACCTTTGCCTTGAAATAATTGCTTTCAGAAAGGCTATGAATAGCATTATAAAGAATAACCCAGTTGAGGATCTTGACAATTAAGTTCCTTTTGTTGGCATTTTTGTCTTTTCCAGCCGCAGTACCAAATTACTGCTTATGTCTTGATTAAATAGCTTTTATCTGAAAGGAAAAAAAGTTCCCCCTAGTGCATACTTTGTGGTTAGTACAGTCCTTATTCTTCTGTGACCAAGTTTATTGGCTCAACTTCACCAGATCTGCACAGGCCTTGTGGAGCAAAGGTCCTGGCTTTATGGGATTAGTTAAGGCTAAAAGAAAAGTTCTTTATGTCTAAAACATAAAACAAATAACACAGAGAGTGTGGAGGGTTCTCCCACAGATAATGGAATTTGGAATATATTCAGAGTCACAGATTATGAGAGTACAGATATTGGATTTTGTTTTTCTTTAAATATCACACATTTTACCAGAAAATAAGCAGTTTTTACTGTGCTGAATGAGTGTCCTCTTATTTTTCATTGTTATTTGAACTGTTACAGCTCACTTCTGAGTCATTAAACATATAATAGTAGATCCACTACCTTCTTGATCCAAGACCCCTTGAGGATATATTTTTTCTGGGTTTGAAAGCCCCTCCAATGTGTCTGACTCTTGCAACATCTGAATATTTCCTTTGCAGAGCTCAACACAGGAATTTGTCTGAGGTCTATGATTCACGTCTCGGCTGTGTGATTCAGAGCCTGAGCGTACAGTACAAGGCGGCAGCAGCAGCTCGTGGCCTCGGTCCGCACAAAAGGACAGAGGCTGACAAATGGTACACCTGCATCTGAGCCTTTGTCCGAGTCAGCATTTGAGTCTGGGCTATAGGTGCAGCATTGCAAGTCCAACCTCAAGGCTCCCCTGCTCATTAGGAAGTGAAAGGAGAGTGTTTGCAGTGATTGATTATGCAGTAACATTTAACAGCTGCGTTAATGGTGGCGCCTGCTTGGGACTTATTACCAGGCTGGTGTGTAGATACAAGGCTGGGATACTAAATCAATCCATCCAGATAGACTGTACTTTGTCCTGGCTGCAACTGTATCACTGAATCTGAACAACTTACAAACATTCAGATTCACCAAAGCTTTAATTAGCTACTGCACTAATAACCATCCAATCATTAGCACTAGTAGGCAATTACATGTGTGCAAATTGCAGGCCATGAAATACTGTTTTACTTGTCTAATGAAAAGATAAGAGTCTGAAAGCTCCTTGGAAAAATCCTCTCTCTTTTGGGGCGAGATTCATCTCTGCACTTGGGATTATGTTTACCACTCTTATGTAAAAACCTTCAGTGCAACATTTGAGATCTTCTGTGTATTACATCATTTAAATCTTACTGTAGAACAGCAGCCGCAATAACAGCCTGCTAATCTTGTCTCCAGGAAAGCCTTTGATAGTAAATATCTTTGTGAATGTGTGAGCGTCCAAGATGAAGTAACAATGGATTTTACAGTTGTAACAGCACAGCATCAGACAATAGTGCACATGGCTGCACTCATGTAAGTAGGTTGTATGCGTGTCTATACATATTTGTAGGTGTGTATTACTATGGACTTGACTATTTATGAGTGGGAAAATGTGACATGTGTTAGTGACAGGGGTCTTGATGGAATAAGCGGAGAGGGAATGTGTTTTTATGTTTCGACATTTTTCACATAGTGTTACAAGGTGACTCTTTGAGCGCCTGATGAGGAGCAAATCTGCTCTTTTCTCTCTGTAGAAAATTCTTTTTTACTCAGCCTGAACCCTCAGCAGCTCACTAAGGGTGGATGCTGAACACTGCGAGCCCGGCTGAGCGACACAAAGCCAGGCAGACACGGTGACATCATCCTTTTCCATACCTTCCCTTCCCCGAACACGCCCCCTACCTATGATGAAGTGGTCTACTGGTCCGGCCAGCAGATAGCCGCGCGCGCTCCCAGTCAGTCAAGGTAGACAAAAGGGGGGGAAGGGGGGGTTGCACATTTACGACACACAGATATGTTTCGATCAAACAGGTAGGCTATAGAATCTAACCTCCTCTCTCATCCTCATCCTCCTCCTCCTCTCTCAGCCTCCTGTCTCCCAGCAACTCAGCCACAGCTGTGATTATCCTAAGCCAATAGCCTACCTGGCACCCCACAGGTATGGAGGGGGAAAAGATGCATGGGTGCTGCTGCTGCTGCTGCAGCTTATTGTGCTGATGAAATGCATGCAGGAAGGCAACAGTGAGAGTAAAGTGGGCTTTGTGTCAAGCACACAGGTAGGACACCAGGACAGGAGCAGCAGAGGGGTGTGAGAGGGGTGAGATGCAGGGAGAGGTTCATGGGCCATCAGTCACTACAGGATCACTACTGGTAGCAATGGTCTCATTGACTGACAAGCCATTCAGACGCGATAGCAGCGAGGTAGTGCTGCTGGCATGTAGAGCAGCGCTGGTCAATCACTGTCATTCCCGTCACGTCCTCAGCGCCTCACCACGGCCCGTCTGAATAACGGTACAGGGGGGTTTGTCAGTAAAAGGTCATTTCGGCCGGTGTGCGCGTGCGTCATGTTCAACTTGGGCAAACGCACGCGCCACAAAAACGCATATATTCTTCACAGAGGCGCGCGACAATGGTGATAAAAAGTGAGGTAAAGCGTTACTGCGGTGTGAACAAGCAGGCACACACGCGCACTCAATCTCTCACACGTAGCTGCACGTGCGTGCACACGCGCGCGCACACACGCCTAAGGTGATCCATTACTGCGGTTCATATGGGAATGCTATGAAATCATGTTTTACGGCTTTCTTTTCTCCTCTCCGACACACACACGTTTCTAAAGGCATACCAGCACACAGAGTGCTCAGTGTGTTTCACAACCTCTGTAGTTTTAAACTAAATCATTTTTTATAACATTGTCACAGATTTGTATGTGCTTAAAAGAAGAGAAATGAAGTCTTACCAGTTTGAAAACTCAACACCAAACTCAGGAGCAGCAGCCTCTGCATGGTTCAGCCGACCAATAAGTCCGTTATTGGCTCAAACCTCCGTGAGGACAGCATCAAAAAGCGGGAGTTAACTGACTTTAGTGACAATGAGACTGAAAATAATCCTCCTGCGGCGTTCCTCCTCGTTCGTCCCCTGACTCGGGTTAGACTCGCTCGGGTTTTACACCATTTCACTGTTTTTACACCTCCGTCTCTCCTACTCGTTGCTCTCCAGCGACTGTCCGTTTTCTACTCCACATTTGAGTGGTAAACTCACAGTGACGACACATTTGACTTCCGGTCTTACCCTTCAAGATAAAATCGACAGGGTAAATGTTTGCTGTAAACTGACTGAGAAAGAAAACCATCAACACTTATCCAGTATGAGCAGCCTATATTTTCACATCGATAAAACAATAATACTTACGAAATTTGTTAAAGACATATTCTCAGAATGCGTAAACTACAGAATAAAATCGGCGGAATTGTATTAATCCGCCTCTATCACCTTCATTCCTACTCCAACAGACGGTGTTAGTCCTGACTCATCAGGCTGGTATCCCCGAGTCGTTTGATGATCATTTCAAACCTACGAGTGCATTGGTAATCTACTATTAAACATCTGCGTGTTTAGGTTGCTTAGCAACAACATTGCTAAACAGTGCTGAGTTTGTCTTCTCATTCCCATGCTTACAACTGGATTAAAGTAGAGCTGGTATTCAGTAGCTTATAACATCACTTCTTCTCATGGGACTGTGCTGAATCTATCTCAACTTCCTACGCGGACTTTACTTCTGACTTCTCCTTTTCAATTCGATTAACGATGAAACATTAGTTCCTTCAAAATAAAAGCCTTCATCTATAGGTTGGGTGTTTGTCTTTTTTAACATACATACCACTCAAAAAAATGAAAAGAAAAAAACAATTCGTTCACCTAAAAGGTTGAGGGAATTTTTATTTTGTACCTTACGGGTTAAGAATTTTTTTTTATTCCTTAAAAATGCTGAAAACATCGGAATCAAGGCTTTTATTAATTAAAAAAATCCAATTAATGATTACCATGGCAGGTTTGAAATACTTATTTTAAAAAGTTTAGGGTGAACAAGGATGATCAGGTTAAAAAAATGTAAAAATTTACGCATTGACTGCCCACTTCCGGTATGCGTTTGCTGTAATCTCTCATACTTGACTCCTTGTTCATTAACTGGGCATTCCTCTCTCTCTCTCTCTCTCTCTCTCTCTCTCTCTCTCTCTCTCTCTCTCTCTCTCTCTCTCTCTCTCTCTCTCTCTCACGTCAGCAGCAACACAGCACTACCACTCTTTCTTTCTCTGGATTTGCTTAGGCCAACATTGGCAAGGGAAAAAACTGTAGTACAAATTTTAAAAAAAAAAGCAAACCAGTTTAGAGAAGCATAATCATTTTTGACATTTTTGCTGTGGTTGGTGGAAATACTGCTTGTTTTTGCTCTTCAATGTTCTCCATCAGGTCATTTTGGACACCTCACCCTTCACTCCACACCCATGCCCTAACAATTTGAGAGGAAATAAATTCATAAACACAGCAAACTTAATTGAGGCTGATATTGTTGTGGTTTTAATTTTTTTGAATAAAGGTGCTGTATTTAAAATATTACAATAAAAAAGGGAGATGAAGCTTATAGAGGTGAATGTAAGAAGAAAAAAAAACAGGTTGGGAATCCTACACAGCAGTACTCACCAGATTGATTATTTTAACGATTCAGAGGAAGAGGAAAGATGACATGTTCATTTTCCCGTTACTTTATTGCAAGCCTTGGATTTTATGATGCTCCACTTTCGCTGTCACGGCTCGGTAGGTGTGTTCAACGAGCCGGTTTCTCCCGTTTCAGGAAAGCGACCCACGTTGATGTAGGAGCGCCCCCCTGCGGCTGTGACCTAGAATGACTAAAGGCGGTGCGAGCACAACTGGAGCGACGTTCCCAAAACACTTGCAAGTGCAAGACAGGAGCGCGCATTATACCGGCGCTGGTTCCAGCTGATGTTTGACCCTGATGAGAAATGATAAAAATTCTTGCCCTTTCATTACGAAATATATTCTGTAACTAACATAACTCTTGAAAAATCTATATAAGAGCTGAAAATAGACACAAAAAAGAATATATGTCCACATAGAAGCGCATTGGGGGCGAGTGTTATTTAGATGGGTAAAATATATATTTTTTTTATCTGTACTAATTTATTCATGAGATCTAATTTTGAGGACTTAATTTTATGGACTATAATGGGCCACAAATACAACAAATTCAGAGATATATCATGACCAGTGCCCCTCGATTTTCTTTCTTTCTTTCTTTTAATTTTTATGTTAGCTTTCTTTTTTTCTGGAGAATTTCAGGAAATAAGGGAGGTTGAAAATGCGCTGTAAGATGCTTCAGATGTTAAAGCCATGCTTAAACAAATTCAGCCAATTGGAGGAAGAATGTAAAGTGATTTCAAATGTCCATCCCTGCTTATTAGACAAAAAATGGACAGGCTCATATGACTCGACCTATCTAAATCTTAGAAAATTTCTCTTTAGAATTATTTATTGTTAATTTAAGTTACCCATCATTCATAGCAGGCAGAAGTGGAGTGATGGTACATGAGTGCTGCTCCTCACGTTACTGCACCTACAATGGCGATCAAACATCACAATGTAACAATCTGCAGCTAAAACACCATCCTCATCCCTCCATCAGATAAAAATGACCGCAGGTCTGCCGTGTGGCACACAGAGTGACTCATCTCTGCCGGGACTCGAACCCGGAGCCTCTGGATTAGAAGTCCAGCGCGCTATTCCATTGCGCCACAGAGACTGCGCCAAGATAACCCGGGTCTAGCTCGGTTTAGATACTACATATCCCTCCCGTATCACTGCTTTCTGCATCCTCGCAGCATCAGGACCAGTCTTGGCGGACATGTTTGTAGGACCAGAGCCGACCACTAGAGGGTGCTGTTGCCGCATAACAAGCAAAGAGCTTCGTCAAGTGTGTCATGGTATTACAAGAAGTAAATATATATGCGTACCAGAATAAAAGCACCATACTGACTCATGTGGCGTAGCAGTTTATTCATGTTTAAAGCTTTTATTGAGAAAGGTTCTCACCCGGAAATCCAATTCATCTGAGGTGTCCTGATATTTGTCGGCAAATGAGCATCACCAGAGCCAAAATGGTGTCCGTTGGAGAACCTTATTTGTCATATTATCAGTGCGTTTTGATTTTTTTTTATCTTAATAAAACTGTTATATTCTGATACGAATTTATGTTGTTAAAATCTATTAACCATTTACCCCCTTATAATATATATCTGTTTTAACAATGGGCACGGCAGGTGTTGCCTAGTCCTCTTTTTTGTAGTATAGATATATATTTCGTCTTTGTCCTCGTCTACAGTTTTGCACTGATCTTTTCTTTTTTTAATTTTCGGGACTGGGTCAGCCCAGTGGAGCTTTTGTGATATGGAAATCGGGTTACACCAGGTTGCATCAGATAACCCATTGCAGTCCACAGCGTGGCTCTGCGGTTCATCTATGAAGCTGTCTTTGAACGCACTATTGTCAAACACCATGGAAAGATGTTTTTTTTATTATTATTATTATTCCTTCTGTTGGGTTTATGTAGATTTTACCAGAAATGGATCTGAAACATATCACACAAGTGTCACTTCAAGCTATGTAACACTGTCTGTAAAACTCCTCCTCCTCCTCCTCCTCAGTCAGTCAGACCATTCATCCTATTTGGACCAAAGAACAGTCCCTGTTGTTCACTCAAAATACAATTATTCCAGCAATTTTGAGTAGCAGCCTCAAGCAACATGCTCCTAAACTTTTTATCCATACAGAACATAAGATACCCTGGTGTTCAAGATCAGTTCCACCACACTCAGCAATGTGCAGTCTCTATGGCTGTGTAGTGCTTTCTCAGTTACTACTAATTTACCAAGACTAGCACCATCCTCCACTGCAAATAGCATGTGTGTTTGTGTGATGAGTGAATGACTTAAGCCTATTTCTGTTTAATTTACCCTGGGGATGCAAGCTAGGATCACCTGATGTGACATTAAGACCTTTTGAGAACTACTGCACGTCCATCTACAGTAGTACCTATTTAAGTACCACTCACAGTCGATTTCACAGCCAGACCACATCAGCCTTTTTCAGAGATGCACATTTGGCAACAATCTGCATGTTTCGATATATGCCCAAACTTCCTCCTTTTTCTATGGGAATGTCTATGAGAAAATCCTTTTTGTCTATAAGTCTTATTACGCCATCACAAATGAAGAGAACTGAGAGTCTTTTGCAAACGAAATTTATCATCCCCAAGCCCCAAATGAAGCGAAACTATTAGTTCATTCTGGCTTTACGCTGTACTGTCCCTTGGATTATTTGATTTCATCTGCTTTTCAAGACAGTTTTTTATTAGCCTTGGGGAAAATCTGCATGCCACATACTCTCTCTTTACGTGCATGGCTCAAATTATATTTTGCACAGACACAAGTCAACTGTCGGTCAAGAAAACTGACAGAAAGCTGTTCATTACCATCATGTTGTGTAAAAGCAGAAGTTGTGAAATATACTCCCTCTGAGTCCAGCTTTAACATTGTGAAAGTCTCACGTCCTGCAAGGGTTCTGATTCATAGGTGAATAATTTATAATCACGTTTCTTCTCCTCTTGACAAGATCACTTTGGAAGTGGGTCAAAATGTCTTGTTTTGCAGAGTTGTGCAAGCAGAAGCAAAAAAAGAAGCTTCACACATTTTTTCAATAATTTTCACTCTTTAGTGAAGGATAATACTGGGAATACTCAAGTTTGATCATATCAAATGCGAATAGACTACAGGAAACTTTTTTTTTTTTCTGTTGACTCATTTAAATTTTTTTTAAAATGCACTCAATATCAAAACGCAAACCTAAAAGACAGAAGAATAATGAACGCCTAAGCAACACAGTTTTGATAGTTTTAAAAATGGGATGTGGTCTGTCATACATTTGCTTAAAAGTTTTTTTAGAATGCCCATTTTCTTTATTGTTTAAAAGAACAGCAAACACAATTACAAAAGTACACAGTAATGGCAGATGCTGGATAGTAATCAAGTTTTCTAAACCACAAAGTATCAATAAAAACACAATCGGACTTCTGTTAAAGGTGCCTCTTGTTTAACATTCAGAATCAAAAGAGATATTGGCAGCTATTTGGCTGGCTTGAGCCTCACTCAAAGGTGGAGACATTAAGATGCTGGTTTGTTCTAATATTTCAATACTAAAGGCAAAACTGTAACCAAGAGATCACAGTTTTAGCAACATATCTCAGAGGTGCTCTAAGAACTTTACACAAAAGTTAAAATCTTAGTTAAATTAAACTGGGGACATTTATTTATTACAGGCACAGAAAAAAATCCTCAATTTTATGAGCTTAACAACATTCAAATAGTCAAAACTGCTTGTCTTAAAGTTGAACATGTTTGCTTACTTTTTTGTTAGGATTAGCTGTGGCCCATGCCTTGTCTGAAAAAAATAACCTTTTGGTCACCAACTGAGGCTAGACAAATACTAAGAAAAACCCACTGAGCTGGCCAGCAGCATAACGACAAAACAACAAAATACGGCAAAGAGCAAGGTGAAGTAGATCAACAGGGCTCTGTGTTTAACTGATACATGTCAGCTGGCCCGAGTTAAAGTTTATTAAACAATCTGTGCAGAAAAGTAGACCAGTGCTCCTGCTGAAATAATAACAAATATAAAAGATTTTTAAAAATCTCTGTAATTTACTCAGTTAAAAAAAAAAAAAAAAAAATTATATAGGCTGCAGTTAAAAGGAAAGGTGCTGAAAGCCAGTTCAGAAAGCCAGAAAGACAGTTTATTTATCTATGAAACCCAAAAAGGACAGACGCCAAAGAGATAAGAAACTGTTATCCCTAAATAAAGCTGCTTCATCTGAGATTAAAAACAATATAAAAACACTTTTTATTTACAAATGCATTACATGAAATCTGTGAAACTTGGGAACACCATAGCTGGGAACAGATTTTTTTTACTGCTGAAACAATTATCAGTAAAAATAGAAGTGAAAAAGTGTTTTTTCTCATATGTCGATTGCATCAGTCCTTGCACCAGGCCATGTGAACGGATATATTATACAGTACTCCTGCTGCTCTGCATAAGTGATCTCTCTCTCTCCACTGCTACTGGGGCCCTACAGTGTGCAAGGGCTTCTTACGTAAAAGTGCCTGAAGCCCCACGGTGCTCTTGTGTTTCTTTAATGCATCAAAGGACTAGAATGAGAAAAGAAGATAGAAGCGTGCACAAACATTACAGGGTGATAAAGATCGAAAGCATTTCTACACCCCAGATGTAGATTTCACACTCATGTTGCCCTTCCTGTTTCAGGATTATTCAGTGTAACTCCTGTTTTATATAAGTTTGACTTCAGCTCCAGTTTGTGAACAACCATGTGCAGGAGTTTAGTAGCTGCCAATGTTTGTGTTCAACTCCCCGACACATATTACAGCTCAATATGCCTGAAAAAGCAGCAGTTTATCAAAGAGCTGGCATAAAATCATCCTTTCAACACTCTCCATGATTCATTACATAAACAGTCCAAGACAAATTTGTTTTCTGAACTTGCTCAAGATGAATCAGGGAGTTGATGACGTCCAATACAGCCGTTTGTCAGGAGCAGAGTTTGTCTGTTTGTGGGTCTATCACAGTGATTTTACAGTGTTCCTCCTCCTCTGCAGGGATAAACAGGTTGTGAACAAAGCTCTAAGGAGACAAAGAGACACATTTACATTGTGAGATGCAGCTGAGCACTGTTTGGACTTCATAATAATTCTCAAAAATGTGCAATTTTGCCATGTGTGCTTGTTTAGTTATACTAATTATTAACATTTGATTTGAGGAAGTAAATCAAGGATAAAACCATTTAAATCACCTTATTGTTATTGTTGGAAATTCCACTGAGAAGGTCTCGAGGTTCTGGTATTTTGGGGAAAATAGTTTCCTTATTCCTGTAGAAAGAAATCTGAATATAAGAACTGCAAACAACTATTATGAAGTCAAGAAGTGAAGAGTGTACATACTTCCTGTAACACATAAAGACGAGGGCTGCCAGGCCAGCAAACATCAGTGGAATTATAATTGCAGCATAAACCATAGCATTAGGATCTGTTTCTGCATCTGAATGGAAAAAAAACACATTTATGTTCAGCTAAGGCTGATTAAAACAGCAGTTAAAACTTTCTTAGACTTAAAAAACAATGTGCCAGTTTTAAATTCCTCCACTAGATGGTGGCATCATAGTTATTTTTAAAATCATCACAATATTGACTTTAAATGATTGAATTTGAAACGAAAGTTGGGCTAGGGCATTTTATCATAAGGCTACAGGTACAGAAAAGAAATACTTCATCCTATAAGCTTAAAAAAATCCAACAGTTCATTTTTTGAAGTTCCAATGCAAAATGACTTTACCAAAAAACACCTCCTTAGTCCATTGCGTCTCTGCTTTCCCATCCTTGGCTTGGATGGACATCTGGTATGAACAGTCTGAGCGCTTGGGCAGCTTTAGAGACGTTCTCATCGTCTTCGTTTCCTTCAGCATAATGAGGAACACGTCAATATGTCTGAATTCAACTGTGGCAAAGTAAAACTACTACGACTAATGACCAATGTTTCAACTGAAAAAATAACTTTAAAACTTGCTTTAAACTCTCAATGACTATCAGAGTAATGAAGGCAACCTTCCCAACTGAAATTTAAATTTTGACAAACCAACTAATCTAACAGCAAGGAAACACTCAAAAAACAAGACCAAATTGTGCAAGATGTATGTAAGGGGATATTCCAGCATAAATTGAAATTATGGTCAAACACACCATAACACAGAGGTAGACACCCCCTCAAGATTTTGCCGACTGCCTGTTTCTCTAGTTATACCAACTCCAGCAAAGACCGCACAATAGCAATAGACAGCAGTCTGAGGAGCCATAAACAAACCTCAACCAAAAAGCCACTCTATAGCCACAAATAATGCTCAGAACAGCACCTAACTTCATCAACAGTACATAGAGGGTCTCAGCTTTAGCACAAGCCACAAACATCCTTTTAACTTTGCCTGATTTCTTTAGCAAAGGAACTGAACACAACTCACCCACTCTCCTTCAGCAGTCACTTCTTTGTGGGGGAGCCCTGACTAGTTGATATTTATCTTTGCTGAAGTTGGTATAACTAGCAAGCGGTCAGCAACATTCATCTCTCAGCGGGTGGGGGTGGAGGGTGCTCTCTAACTCGGTATTATGGTGTGTTTGACCATAACTCAAATTTACACCGGAATATCCTAATGTTTTTAATTTTGTAAGCCAGTGACGTTGTGTTTTAGCAATAGTGCAGCCATTCAGCCTGGACAGGGGTGGAGCTCCTGTCTGAGGCTGCAATGATGTCAAAATGCTCGACTAACCGGATGTTAATTCACTGGCAAATGTATTCTCGTGGGATGGCAGTCTGACAGTATTCTGGTTTCAGACAATTGAGTTGTCTCTGCAAACCAGTTTTACAGCATTTACCTGCAGACGCCATAACCCTTTGTTTAGCCAGTCATGACTCAAATTTCCGATTAACAAGGAAGGAAATTAGTCACTTCTGAACATTTCGAGTCATTGTAGTTAGTTCTCATCATGCTGTAAGTGGGTTTAATTTTCACAGAATTTGCTTTTAGTTATTAAAAGAGGTTTAAGGTCATAAATAACAAATGTGGCCACTATGCCAGCATACGCACAGGCTTATGAAAATGTAAGAATCATCGTAGTCAAAGAATTTCTCATCATTTCTTTTTCTTACCTTGTGTGTTCTACACTCAGTGTAATTGACTATAAAAGTCCATTCAGTCAGAGGTTGAATCTCTGGAGGAGTCCAGTTTATAATAAAGTCATTCTCAGTTTTGGTGACCTTCCAGTCGAGGGCAGGAAGCTCCCCTGTGTTGAGAAAGACATTACATAGAGATGCTCATGACAAAGCAGTCTTGCACAGTCATACACACATTTTATCGTTCCTGTAATGACTATTGTTGTTTCTATTTAACCTTTAGGCTGTGTAAAACCCAATATTAGGCAGGAAAATCACGCCAATAGCTTCACATTCCCCAAATCATGGTCGCTGCTAAAATACTTCCAAGAAAATAAAGAGAGCAACTTGTCCTGTAATTCAGCTAATTAATGAGGAAGTGCAACAAATTTCAACAGAATGTTTCCTCTAAAGAAAACATGATGCTAAAGCAGTGCTATTTCTGCATACCCTGGTCAAGTTCTCTCCTGAAGCTGTTCCTGACAGGCTTGTTGTCCAGCGTTGCATTGAAAAAGCCGAACAGTGACTGGCCGAGTTTGGCCTGCAGATCACAACCATTTCTGATGCCACCAGATGGTTTGCACTCATGTATGTCAGTTGAGGGTTTGTCATAGATAGATACATCAAGATCAACTAACCTTGAAAAGAGAAGAGAAGAGAAGAAGGTTTTTACTGTCATGTACACCATATCAAAACTCCAAAGCTGAATATGAAGATGCTTTTGGAATTATGGTTATTTGCCTTTTTGGAAGAGATGCTCAAAAAAATAATTCAAATTTTTGTATGAATGTGCAAAATAAGGGGCACAGCCAGCAGCTCAAAGGTTCTGCATAATGGAGTTTCTAGCCATGTCCAACATGTCCCACTTGACACTTGCAAGAAATATCACAAATTTAGCTTCTGCAGAGCAAATGCCGCCTTAAAGTTTCTAGAATCATGACCCATTACGCATCTACTCATCCATCATCCTGAATGTTGTTTAAAAGGGTAGAGTGTGGATGAGTGAATAGATGCAGACGTGAAAAAAAAACACAAAAAAAAGATCTGGCAAGAAGAACTGGTGTGATTCAGAATCTGTCCCCAAGTAACAGTTAAGGACAACTGTTGCATCAGCATGTTTTTGAGTGGAATTCGAGTTTGCAAAAAACAAACGAGCCACAGCTGTAGCTGGCATGCTGTCAAAAATAAAATGCAGCTACTGTTATCTTTTCTCCTCTGGTGCTGGGATCGAATAGAGACATTCATGAAAGATTTTGCAGCCAATAACTGAGAGGCTGGAGGAGGAGGTAGAATCACTGGAGTTGAGGGAGTGTTTTTACCTCACCCTGGACAAATCGCCTTGTAGTAGCTATGTTGTTGGGCTGAGGAGTAACTTACATATACATGGATGGGATTTTTTAGATGGGACCTTAACATGGAATAAAGACTAACAACATGCACAGACCACTTCTCTAGGTCTAAAATATTAGTCTATCAACACTCGTTAAAGGGATTTTCCATAGTAAAACTAAGTGAGGGTCAAACACACTGTAACACTGAGTTAGACACCCCTTGAGAGATGAATGTTGCCAACCGCTTCCTTCTCTAGTTATACCAACTTTAGTAACGACCACACAATAGCAATACACAGTAGTCTACTCTCCACACACAAACCTTAACCAAAAAGCCACTCTATAGCGGCATATAATGCTTAGAAAAGCACCTTCATCAACGGTACTCCACTGCACTTGGTGTTCGACTCATCAGGGCTCCCCCACAAACAAGCAGCTGCTGGAGGAGAGTGGGTGAGTTGTGTTTGGTCTCTTTGCCAAAGAAAGCAGGCAAAGCTAAAAAGCTGTTTGATGGCTTGTACTATGGCTGGGACCCTATACTGTTGATGAAGTTAGGTGCTGTTCTGAGAATTATTTCAATCAATCAATCAGTTATTATTTGTATAGCACTTTTTTTACACAACCATGTAGCACAAAGTGCTTCACACAGAAAAAGGAAAAAAAGAAACAAAGAATACCCAAATTTACCCCAACCCAAGATTAAAAGAATACCCAAATCTACCTTAGCCAAACCCCTCAGTCCTACCCCACGATCTAATTGCAACAGAACAGTATTAAAATGCATAAACTTAAAAGGGCTTGATTTTGGGAAACAGGAATGTGTGCACTGAGGAAACGTCATTTTAAAACTCAAGTTAAGGAAACACAGGAGGTTTAGGTTAAAATCTAAAAACAAAGTAGCATAGAATGAAATTTGAGAAATGATAAATAAAATGAAATAAAAACAAGAGTAAAAGATACTAAAATAAGAGCACCAAAATAGCTCAATTAAAGACAATCCTGTCATTAAAACTAGAAGAGATAAATGCCAAAACACTTAAAGTTAATGATATAAATTTAGTTAAACGCAAGACTAAAAAGGTATGTTTTCAGTTTGCTTTTAAAATCATTAAGATTAGGTGCAGTCTTCAGGTCTTCAGGTAAGCTGTTCCATAGACGGGGGCCATAGTAATAAAAAGATGCCTCACCGTATGTTTTAGTTTTAACTTTAGGTATTGTTAACAGAGAACTTCCTGAAGATCTATTCTCAAAGAGATGGGTAGGCAATGCAGAGACCTTAAAATCGGTGTAATGTGCTCTCTTTTTCTGGTCCTTGTTAACATCCGTGCAGCTGAATTTTGGAGTAACTGCAGGTGTGAAATGTTCTTTTTGGGGAGGCCAGAAAGGAGGGCATTACAATAATTAGCTTGAGAGAGAAACGGTCGCATTCTGGCTATGTTTTTTAAATGATAAAATGCCTTCTTGGTGATATCTCATATGTAAGGCTCAAAGCTTAGTTCTGAATCAAATAAACACCTAAAGTTTTAGTTTGTTGACTTGGATTATATGATAATACTTTGAGTTTGCTGACCAGTTTCTCTCTCTTGTCCCCTGTCACAATGACTAAAACCTGAGTTTTGTCCTGATTGAGCTATAAAAAGTTCTCTGCCATCCATGATTTAATGTCTAAAAGGCAGTTAAAAAGGGCATCGAGTGGCCCTCTGTTATCAGGAGACACGGCAACATAAAGTTGTGTGTCGTCAGCATAGCTGTGGAAATTGATGCCGTGCCTCCTGATGACATTCCCTAAAGGTAACATATAAAGATATATACATATAAAGAGTAGGGCCTAAAATGGAACCTTGGGGAACACCATACTTCATGTCAAAACATTTAGATGAGCGATCCCCAAGATTCACGTAAAATTGTCTATCTATTTGTGGCTATAGAGTGGCTTATCGGCTGAGGTTTGCGCATGGAGACATAGACTGCTGCCTATTGCTATCGGGCGGTCAATGCTGAAGTTGGTATAACTTGAGAAGCAAGCGGTTAGCAACATTCATCTCTCGGGGGGGTGTCTAACTAAGTATTACAGTATGTTTGACCATAACTAAAATTTATGCCAGAATATCCCTTTAAGATAACTTACAGACAGTTATCTGTCAGACATCTGGTCATTATATGAAGCTGGAGAGTTTAAGTATTGCTTGGCATATCTTGACTTTCTCAAGTTTCCCCTGTTTGCTTTAAAACCTCATGTTTCCATGGCAGCCACTACAGCCAGCCAAAACAAACTACTTAGTGAAAATCTCTCAACGAGAACTCTTGGGCTGTTTGTTTGCAAGACCAATTAAAACAGTCTGCCTCTGTCGGTTCAGTATCTTTTCCTTAACAGTCAGTCAGAAATGATCTGGGCCCAGGAAAAAACAGTCATGGAGTCATAACCACTGAATGTACATGAGGATGAATGACACATTTCCACCTCTTCATTAGACTTTCCTAAAGCCTGAGTGTCAGTTTCAATCTGACTGTTTCACTTTCAGCTTTTCTAGCTGTAAATATATGCGTTTTGTTTCGTATAAAAGCTCTATGTCAGTTCGGTCTATTGTGTTCTCACAACTATGCTTACTATTGTGAGCAATAGCAGGAAATAGTGATGAATGGTTTCTGCGATCATTCTGGTTTCATGCTAATATGCAGAGAACAGTGATTGTAATCAAAAACAAAAAGCAATTGTAGACATACCGATAAAAAAAACGAAGGTCTGGAGCGTTAGTGGCGATGAGCCAGGAGCAGTGAGTTCGTTGTAAGGACTTGACCTTGCACTCAAAATGTTTCACCAAATCTGAGAAAAAAAAAAAAACATATTTACTTTTTATAACTCTTATGGTCCATAATGATTAAACTTTAGGCCTCTTTTGGTGGAGCATTGGTATGCAAAAAAAAGCTACCTGGATAAGGGGTTTTTAGGGCAGCTGGACTACTCTTCATCAGTCCACATACAGTTTTAACAGACAGCTCTAGAGAGCCACCCTCCATTGGTCTGGAATCATTCCAGGGAGCAGTGTGGACATCGTCATCCTGCAACTCATCAAGACATTAACACAATTAAACAAGAGAGAAGAAATACACAACTCTATAGAAGAGCTGGTAAAGAGGATAGTTACAGAGGAGAAACCTTTTTTTTTTTCCGATAAAACTTGTGTTGCATTCCAGATTTCTAGCTAGGGTCAGGGTTAAGGGATATTAGATGATGGACGCAGAATCAGAGTACAGGTACACATGGATTTTATCAGAGACAGATGATACTTCAGTCTCAGCATGACTTTTATCAAGTCATCCTTCTGTTATCTATGAGATTCAAGTAATTTATATTCATAATTCATGTTATATTCATCTTAATAATCCATACTGTTAGTCTGAATGCTGCCCTGCCCTGTTCAGTTGCAGCTCCTGACTGAATGCTTGGCAAAGTCCCCTGCATTGTGGGTTTGCTTTAAAGATTTTAGGCAGATTTTAATGCAGTAAGGAGCAGTGAAAATTGTGTGACAACCTCCTATCAGAATAGTCAGAGAGATACTTCACTGACTTGGACTGTAATCATAGTATTGTTAACAAGTTAGGAATAATATTTGCCTCAAAGTTATGTCAATCACCTGTCCCATGAAAGGCGCTGGGCTACATTTATTGTTGAACATCTTAAACTTCAGAAATAACCCCCTGCAGGGTCGCTCAGAACCAGTGTTAGTCCCCCCGCACTATCACTGGGGGCTCATGGGTAAATAATATAGGGTGAAGCAAGGGCTTTGATCCTGCTTTTTTTTTTTACTATTTCCACATATAATAATCACAATAAGTTATACATTTGGCTCTCTGAAGTCAGCAGGATGAAACTTTGGGTCAAGACAAGACAATACATAAGCATATAGAGTAGGGCTGGGCGATAAACCGCAAATTTACTGATACCGAAATTACGACAATAACCAACATCATTTGGCTCATATTGATATATTCAGTGTCAAAAAAAAATAAATAAAAGTTGGTTTTGGATATGTGTAGGTAGGCTATGGTCTCATGTCCCTTTAAGATGCTGTTCTACATCAGAGACATGACTCCACCCCATCCAGTCCATAAAGAGGGAAAGACAGGTGAGGAGATGGAGAACGGTTCAAAAGTTGTAGCAGCTGGAGCGGCGGCTGAAGTAGACAAAGTTAATGTGGGAGGGGGTGGGCAGCTTGTGAAGTAGTTATCGTCCATTTATCGTTATCAAGGTGAACTGCTCAATATATTATGATATGGATTTGAGGCCATATCGCCCAGTGTGAATATAGAGGACAAACTAAGTGATGACTCTTCTATCCACAGGGGGCACCAAAATTGTCACAAAATGAAGGTTCACCAACCAAAAAACTTAAATAAAGAACAACTCAATAGATTAATATTTAATTATTTTATCCAGAAATAACATGAATACTCACTATTTCCTCGCTGGATTTCACTTTGGTTTTTGTCGTGACTTCATACTTGCAGTTTTCCATTGAATGTGGTGGTGGTTCCCAGAACAAGTGGAAGACAAAATTGTCTGACCACAGAAGGGACAAATTAGTTGGAGGTAAGATATTATCTGAGATGGAGAAAAGAAAAGACAAAAGAGTGAATGATGAGGTTTGCTAATGTGTCTCTTATGAGCATCTTAATCTGTGAACAGCTCCTCCACATTTCTGTCACTGTGTCAAAGGGTGAATAAGTGCTGTTTTATTTCAAGCAGATACTCTGTGGAATTGCATTATATCTCTATGTGAGCCACCTACTTCATCAAACAACCTCCCTGTCTAGAGCTGTTTTTCTGGAAGACAAAGTGTCCCATGTGGCTTGATAACACAGTAAAGTCAAAGATAATGCAGCTGACTTTGGCAGCTCTGTTGTCTGTCTTTATTAATTTTTTTCTTCATATCTGTCTATTCTGTGCCAAAATTGGATTAGAATTGTACTTATCCCAGCATTTGCCTGTAACCATGTCTTTTCTAGCTTTGATGAGGCTGCACAGTATGAGAAAACTATCTGATGAGTGATTTCATTATAAAATACTCAGCATGAAGCACAATAGATAGCCAAGTATTTAAGAGAGCACATCTGAACTTAACCAAGTCTCTGGCTATCTGCTAATTTCACATTTCACAACATGTTTTTGTACTCTTTGTCCCAAAAATACAATATAAGTTTAAAAATTGTTTATTTTCACCAGTACAATGACATACTTTGATTAAAAAGTCACTGATAGCTGGTGTAAGCTTCATCTAAATACAATAAATGGTGTAATGCACAATCATTATTCCCTTGACACCATCTAATTAGTGAAATGTACAAATGCACAAAATTCAGGGCACAATATTTACATAATTTTCGACAAATTCAGCACAAAAGGTTAATCTATGATGATATTGAACAACATACACATTTCTGCAGATAAGTACAGCTGAAAAGGTGCTGTATTAATTGTGCAAACATTACAACAGCTTCAGCAAGAGAACAAGCTTAAATATGACAACCATATTGAAGTAGCAAACACAATACTGCAGGGTAGATTAAAATGTAAGTCTAATTTATGTCTTTTTCTGAAACAAACAAGACTGCCACTGTAAGAGGAAAATTCTAGTACAGATGAAACTCAGCATTTCTTTACTGTGAAAAAAGGTATGTATACACTATAATGGAATCAATACCTACAAATATGGGTATGAAGATATCAGCATATCATGTGTCAGATATCCTAACTGTGCATTCACATCTGAAGTGCATGCAAATCAGCAATGATCACATGCAGAGTAGATGATGAGTCTTCATTTAATTACAAGTTATGATCACAAAAATATGGCCTGGGTCGGATTTTAATGAAAAGCAGACGGTAGACGCAAAGATCAAAAAATTCAAAGTAAAACTGTTTCACTGAAATTTTTTTTGTTTATTTATCTGGCATGAATAACAGAATTTTTCTTTAATATACAACCTTTCTGCAATGTATGAAGCATAAAGATTTTTTTTTTTTCTAAAACCACCTAGCTCCTCTTGACACTACATTTCATAGTGTCAAATGGAACATATAAAGAAGTCATGAAGGTGATCTTAAAAACATACAGACATCGACACCATCGAGCACAGGTGAAATCCATGACAAACGGTTTCTAATTCAAAACATACGACATTAAAGTTTATACATGTTCTGTGAGACAGCATACATAACATTCACAACAAAACCAAGCATATCACTTTTAACATAGAACACTGAAAAAAACGACACACTGTTTATGACCATCTCTATAATGCAAGTGATAAAATGACAAAAAGCAAGACACGTTAGCTTACTCTGCACCTTTTGGCTACAGCTTCAACTCAACTTGGCTTGTTAATTAGAGCTTTGACTGAACATCACTGCCTCAGGGGTATTCATTATTCCAATTATACTGTCTCTTATTCAGCCCTCGTTCTTGCTGTCACTTTTTATAGAAACACCTTGTTTTCCCAGTCAGACACCAGATCACATGTGCTGCTTTTAAGTCTACAAACCTGACTATAGGGTAGTTTGTTTTGTTAGTCCTTTAACTGTTACCCTGGAAATGCTCAATCATTAGTGTTAGCTCAATATACTATCAGTCCAGCTGTCACTATCATAGGTGTGTCTTGCTTCTTGGTCTCTAATACACCCAGGGTGACTTGGATTGTTTGGTCATTTAGGCCAGTGACCTAAATCTGTAACACTTGATAAAAACAGACAGTTCCTCCCAGTGATTGTGCTAAACTATTTTTTTTTTTAGAATTTTACCCCTGTTTGGCCAGGTAAGAGATCTTTTTTTTCCAGAGAAGACCTGATCAGGTACACTGACAAACAAGTTATGCTGTTAAAATCAGTAAGATTATGCATGCAAGAGGTTCAAACTCTTTCCCAACTCATCTCAGACTCTAAAATTGCAACTCCAAATTGCACCAACAAAGAAGGTTGTGAGTTCCACCGTTCCTGGTGAAATGGGAGAAAAGATATCTGGAAATTTACCCAGAATGGTGCTACAGATAACACGTCTGGGCCAACTTGTAAACAAAACCATCTCGCTGACACTGAAATATGAGGTATGAAGGTGAAGAAAGATGCATTTGGAAAAAATCTCGCACATCATGATGCATAATGCATGCCCTTCCTGACTCTGATTAGAGGCATTTATTATTACTACAGCCAAACCCAAAGCTTGTGCGTCATTGTGTTGATATTAAATATTTGGCCTGATATGATTATTTCTATGTGGCCATATTTGGAATCAGAAAACATTTGTGTTTCTATGGGTCGAAGTTATTTTTCTCATGTTGAAAGTTTCAAGGTAATAAGACAAGTCAGAGTCAAACATTTATTAAAAAGTGGGAGCTAAAAGTTTTCATTTGAGCAAAGCCGTATGGTAGCCAGAAAGAGGTCTTTCAAAGGGGCAAGCGGGGCTGTTTGTCAAACCTGTTCAAGTTTGACTACTTGTTGGAGAAAGTTGAACATTATATTAAAGCTACTAACAGGGTTGACTTTGTAACTCAGGGTACTTCCTATATTTTTTTTCTTTTTCTTTCTTTTTTTTTTTTTTTTCCTCCATCAAATCGGTTCAGAAAGACCAAATATCCGTTAAAGCCCATTTGGGTTTCAAATGTTTTTAATCAAAGACTAACACACTCTTTTCCTATCCCTCTCATACAAAATCTTTCACAAAAAAACAAGATAAAAAAAAATAGTTAAAAGAATATGAAAACACAGCAAATGTAAATACAGTTATTTTCTTGAATAACAGGACAATTCAAACATCAGACGGATGCAAAGGGCAGTGATGAGCATTATGGGGTTGTAATAACACTTTTTTGGTGACTCCAGCTCAAAAAAAAAAAAAAGCCTACACTTCGTGTCTTTGAGGGTCAAAAACTTTTTAATTAATTAAGCTAACACAATAAATGAGTTATCCATGTAAAGACAAGACCACGCGCTTCTGACCTAACAGGAAGACTGACTATTTAGATTTACTGATCAAGGGTATTTCACTCAAATTTTTAAAAAAGAAAACTTTTGTTCAAGGGTATTTTCCACTCGAGGTACTTCTTCCTAGAAACCATAAAGGCTGTCCGTGCCAGGATGACAAGCAGTGACGTCACTACTGGGAAGCTTTCCCGTTCACGAGAGGAAATGCTGTTCACAGTATGTGACAGAAATTGGCGTTTGTCATGGCTAAAAAAAACTATAATATGATAATCCGAACACGAGAAAATCACGTATTCTAGACAAAAGTAAGCCATAATGGCGTTATTTTCTTACCTGTTAGGGATTCGACTGTCAGGAAAAGGAAGCATAAAAATACGAAGTCCGCGTTCCGTATCATACTGATGACCCTTTCCTAAAAGTTTACAAAGGCTCACAGTTACAGAAAAGGGTAAAACGTCCTCCGCTAGAGTCCAAGCTCAGACACAGGTCTACTGTCACCGTTTGTAAAGAGAGAAAAACAAGAACTGTCGGTGTAACAGCTCAAGTTTCGGTTCCAGACTGAACGGGAGGGGGCAAACCCTCTCAGGAGGCTGGAATTAGGCGGAGGCGGACACGTCGCGCGCTCACGCATGCATGCACGCACAAACTTTTTTTTTTTAATAAAACAAGAAACTTTTAGTTAAATGGTAAAGGTCCCCGCTAAATTTCAGCTTCCAAAAATAGACTCTGAATCCTAAGGACTCTTAAAAGGACGCTTTCTACAATTAAAGAGTGGAGGGGGCTGCTGTGACAGCTTGTAGTCATTTTAGATACACTGAACAGGAAGCTGTAAGAACTGAAATAACATAATGGGAGAAATATAATTGTAATTCAAGTCAAAAACACTGCCTTAACACATTAATCAAATTGAATTCAGGCTACAGATGAATTTGATTGAAATAGGGCAGACCGGGGCTTGTTGTCACACTTTTTACACTTATATTTCTTGTAATCAATACGTCATATATAAACAAAATGTGTATCAGATGAAAGACCAAAGTCTCAGGTATATATTTTGTATTCATGTCATTTTCATATCTTGTGTCAGTACAGAGTTATAAGCAATCAAATAGAGAGTGTGAACATGGGACATGTTGCCCCACAATCGGGTAAGTTGTCTCACGACATGTGGTAAGATGTCACAATGGATTTTGCTGCTAATAAAACAAGGACAAAATTATTGTTGTTCTCATTTTTTACTTGAAAGTGAACATCAAAGCCAGGCACAGAAAATGTTTATCATTGAGTTAGAAAAAGTCATTGGACATAGCCATACAACAAACATTAACATAATATCATGCAACATGCTCTGGAGTTTGGAGAGTTGTCTGACTCTGTATTTTGGCTGAGGTTCATGTTTTGCAGTACTGAGCCAAGGTATGGTAGTTGACATTTAAGTCCTTTGTTGTATTCTAGTTTGATTTATTAGCTTGGGTCACCTGCCTGACTGCACTCAGCATCATGTCAGACACTGCACTGCCATGTTATGATTTTCTTTTGTAATTCCTGACCATGTCTTCTCCCTTTTTCCCCTTCTTTAAACCACTCTTTTTTTCTGTAAAAGTAAAGTCCAAATTTCAATATTACAACTGCTGATAAGCAGACTCTCTATGTTAATTTGAATCTCTTTTAAACATGCGACAACTAACCTCAAAATGACTGAGACATGTTGCCCCAAACTACCATGTTTGCTAATTCTAGCTCTAGCTTTAAGTTAGCTTAAAACAGAACAATGACTAAGGTATGACAGGATGCCTTAATGTCTCCTCTAACAACTCCACATATATCACTGCTAGGATTTTTATCTGGAAGGATCTTATTTTGAAATATATAGTCTTTTTTTTTTTTTTCTTTGGGTTGTGCAAAATGTTACTTGGCACTCATCTCAGCTAACAATGTGCTCTACTCTTCTGAGACAGGACACAACCCCTGACCACGTAAAGGAATAAAACTAGTATTCCACTTTTTAGTTGTGCCCTCTGGTAGCAAAGATAATTGCAATGTGACAGCTTACCCATGTGACAACAAGCCCCTGTCTCCCCTAATTCCCCAATTAGGCAGGATATGGGCACATTTCTTTCACCTCTTCCTTTATCAACAATCTACAAACAGTTGAGAACCAAGACGACCAGCTTCTGGAGTTTTGAAAGTGAAATGTTGTCCCATTCTTCCCTGATATAGAATTTAGCTGTGCAACAGTTTATGGTGTATTCAAATTGTCATTTTTATCTTATTTTATATTTTCATTCACTTAATTTTCCTAGTAGGTGACAAGTCAGGCATGCAAATTCAGTACCCGGACCCTACAGAGCCATGCTTTGTAACATGTGCAAAATGTACTTTAGCATGCTGTTGCTGTAGGCCAATTGTGCGAGGTCTTCATATATTGTTTTGCATTAATGCTGCCTCCCTTGATGAAGGAATATGCCGTGTTTAGAACAAGCTGGCTGGTGCCTCCTCCTTAGATTAGAGGATGAAACGTCCTGATATTAATATTTATGTCCGGTTTCCTCTTTGCATGCTACACTTTTAACCTACATTTGTGGATGCAGTGACAAACTGTGTTCAGAGACAATGGTTTTTTTGGGATGTGATATTGAGCCCATGTTTTCCACTCCTGAGTAAGTACGTAAAAATTGTATCAAAGTGTCCTGCATTGACATGGTGCCCAGCTCACGTGAGCTTACAAGAAACTCACGAAATTAAATACAATAATATCCAAGACAGTCAGAAAGTAAGTACAATTAATTATCTTCAAATGTGAATTACAGATACTAAGTTTATCTGCACAACATTTAATTAATTTAACATTGTCCATAATCACTCATATCCTAACCCTGTAAACTGAACTCATTTTGTTTCACCATTACATGAGCTGTTGTTGTTGTTGCTGTTGTTTCTGCTGTCCCCTGTCTCTCTCTCACCCTCGTTCTCTACTCTCTCTCCCTACTCATTCTCTCTCTCCTTCCCCTTATCTTGTTCTCTCTCTCTCTCTCTCTCTCTCTCCCCCTGCCCTCTCCCCTCTCCCCTCTCCTCTCTCTCTCCCTCCATCTCTCTACATTTCTCCCCAACCCAGCAGCGGCATGGTGGCTGTCTAACATGAGTCTGGTCCTGATCAAGGTTTCTGCCTGTTAAAAGGAAGTTTTTCCTTGCCACTGCTACTCATGTTAGTTGAGATGGGCCAAAACCCATCTTAGGTTGGTTCGTGATCATCAAACAATGAGCGTGGTTTAGACCTGCTCTTGTTCTTTGAAAAGCGTCTTGAGATGACGACTGTTGTGAATTGGTGCTATATAAATAAAATTTGATTGATTTGATTTGATTGAACTGCCGTGCCTTCTCCAAGAACTTACTTAAAATAAATAATGTTTTTTAAATAAAACATTTCTTAGGCTATGACATGGTGAACAATGAAACACAAAGTGATATTCATCCTAACCCTAACCCTAACCCTTGGTCACAAAGTACACACAATCCCTGTTCCTCACGAATGCCTTTATACTTACCCACTTCAACTGCCAGGGGTAAAACACCTGCTCTTAACTAGGCACAGAGGGACCTCTGTCCTTTCTTTAAATAAAATGAGACATAAGATTCAGCGGAATACTTATCTTTCATTTGAACATATTTTCTTAGTTTTGCTTCTCTCCATATATCCACCTTTAATACTTTTGGTGTGACAATGACAGTTTCTGTTTAACCTCCTTTAAAATTACACTGTAAACTATTCAAAAAATGTACGTTGAGTCTAAAAATGAAAAAAACTGAGGATACCTCTCTGATCCATGGATGGTTATGCAATTTGTTCCACTTAAATATGGTTTTGGTTAACAAAAAGGTTACTTGAGTTAGGTGGTTCCATGGTCAAATCATCTCTTCTTCTTCTTCTTCTTCTTCTTCTTCTTCTTCTTCTTCTTCTTCTTCTTCTTCTTCTTCTTCTTCTTCTTCTTCTTCTTCTTCTTCTTCTTCTTCTTCTTCTTCTTCTTCTTCTTCTTCTTCCCAACCTGCAACACCCTCTGTGGCTAACTTGGTAGTAGGGAGAGAGTGGGGTAAGATGAGTCATTTTTCATATTTCGGATCACTACATCAAAGCAATCATAGCTCTGTCTCTAACCAGTGTATTTGAATATATTTCAAGATGTTGTGCATCCCTGCAAACCAACAGAATGAGTGTAAACATAACTGTCTTGATAATATAGCATGCCAAAAAAAGTGGTCTCCTATGGCCAACTTACCCCCGACTCTCTATCCCAGCCCTCCCTCACCTTCTCTCTCCCTCAATAACAGTCACTTCTTCACATTCATGTGTATTTTTATCTATGTTATGCTATTCAACAGGTACAATATTTCTTTTTATTATTATTATTGCATATAACTGCTAAAAAGCTGTTTTGTAAAAAGTCATTTTAACATGAGAATGCCTTTAAGTGATTCAGAACATTCACAGCTGTATTTTTGAAAAGAAAAAGTAACACATTTCAATAATCTGAACTGAAACTCTGATCCTCTCATCAGACTCCTTTAATTTCTTACAGGCTCAATTTATCTCAGAACTTCTATTATAACTTTATAAGTCCTCTAAGCTAAAATGGTGGACTTTTATGCTAGGTTTTTGACCTCATGTTGTAACAAATAGATACCACAATTGATGTAAAAAGAGTGAAAACGTTTTTTTGTTTTGTTTTGTTTTGTTTTTTATGTCTAACCCCTTCACCCATGTGCTTCTAACCTTCACAGACTCCATGAATTGATGCCCATCTCCTAAATATTTGGTCACACGATCAATTTCTGTTGCCATTTCCAGGCAACACGGGGTGGCTCAACTTACCCTTTGGCTCAACTTACCCCACCCTCCCCCATACTTATGCACTCCGAGGAAGCACCTCAGGGTGCTGATCTGAATAGTTCTGCTGTGAGTGGCCTCCTCAGAGCCCCACACTCCTGCTGCAAACTTACATGACTCTATGGTTGCAACCATAGAGTCATGTAATTTAGTGTTTGTGGCCAAACCCTAGATGAGGACGTAACTTCAATTTCATTCCCTTTCATTCATAGATTCATTGAAAAAAAAGCCTAAATATTTATCAGAGGGAGTATAACTTGGATTTATTCACCCAAAAAGAAATCTTTAGTTACTCTGCTGCTCATATTTCCTCCTAAAATGTATAATCTATGTTTTTCCCTGTTAACTGCAAGTCCTCATTTACTATGCTACACCCACATAGTGTGAAACATATTCTGAAGATTAGGCTCCTTTACATGGATGCTTTTTTTATTTTTTATTTTTTATTTTTTATGCTATTTTATGCTGACATTATCCTTCTCTTATTATGCTGAGTCATATTACTGACCTGTTGCAAATTAATGCAATTATCTGGGAGATGTTCCCCTGGATGTTTTTTCTTTGGTTTTAAATGACCTTTGTTTTTAATTATGTTGTCTTTGTCCCAACCTTTTTAAAACATGTAGCCGGCATCATCTTTAAACTCGCATGTATTTCCCATAAAGCAATAAAAATGTTTAATATTAGCATTTAATATAATTTGCAAACCACCAAAATCTTTTTTTTGACTAATATTTTGCATTGTGTCCCAACTCTTGTGGGCATTAATCCATAAGTGTTACTAGTACTTAAACATTGTGAAAATCCTTTTATCCTTTTTATCAAGAGAGGTTAATTTGCAGAGCCCTCAAAGTCATGGAAGCAAAACTTGTCTTATTGTGTGCACAAGAAATGAACCTGAGGGCACAATACAGTCATTTTTACTATGTGGGGGCGAGTTAAATACGTTGTGTGCTACATTAATAAGTAATAAATATTGTGTGCACAATAAAATTATCTTGCATGAAAAATGACAGATACTTATATATTCATATAAAGAATTGATTTTAAGGTACTCTTATATATACAGAGTGTAATGTTGTGCACACAAGTTATTCTCTTGTGCATATAAAAATATATGTTGTCACCAAAAGTTAATTTGGTTTACTTGTCAGAGCAAATTATTATCAAAAAGTTTTAATTGTCCTCAAAAGTAATTCTCTTCTGTGCACAGGTCAACTCATATTTGGACAAGTTAAGGGCCTTGTGAGAACATGTATGTTCCAGTAAAATTTATTTTCACTTTTCAGTTGCACATGGACCATACTTTGGATGTTCTGCATGGCTGTAACTTTCTCAGGTGTTAGAGCAACAACGATTGTTGCTGTAACTTTCTCAGGTGTTAGAGCAACAATGATTGTGCAAACCAGGTCAGTTGTTTTAAGTGTAAGAAATTCAAAGCTATTTCACAGGATGCTTCTATTTGATCATCAGTTTTCTTTTGCTTTGAAAATATATTGCTTAATTTGCTTAATACTTTCATGAAGGGTAAAAAGACCATGGAAGTAAGCTCCCTAAAGATGTCAGATGAAGTGTTAGGAGGAAGGAGAAAGGAGGAGGGGGAGAACAACTTGATGCCGACACTGTTCACAGTTAGTCTGATGGATTTTCTCATTATAACAGCCGTTTATTTTTACATGTCATCTATTATTGTAATGGTATCTACTTGTATCAATCTTTTGTGAAAATGTCATTTGAAATTTACATAGATATTCCACAGAAATGTAAAATACAACATCCCACAGCACCACAAAGTCTGACGTGCCCACCTACAGCTGTTACATGTCAACCCTGTCTTATGTGATGTTACAGATAGCCTCACTGAGAACTTTGTCCTTCTATCACAGCCACAAAAATCCCCGTCTTTTTTCTTCTTAATATAAAAACAGTAAAATCCAACATAAAAGGGGCCAGTAAATGCAACAAAGGAGCAAAACAAGCCAAAAAAAGCTTTCCTTTGGTTAAAGGAAGGAAGAGTGTGTGAGTGATGATATGGCATTGTGGATCTGGGCCTAAGTACAGAATTGTGCATGTCGACAGACTGTGAGTCAAGTTCAGCACAACTCTCAAGCATTGTTCTTTTTTCAGAAAGCTTCAGGTGGTGTCCAAAGGTCCAGCTGCGATGAAGGCAAGAGCTGCTGGATAGGCCAAGAGTCTGACCATGAGTCTGGACTCTTTTGAGGCTATTTACACAAACAGTGAATTAAACAGAGGAGAAGGGAAACAGAGTCTAGGGTTTTTTCCATGCTTCTTACAGACACAACATCCGTGACAGAAATTTTATAAACACTGAGGCAGCAGTTTTTCTCCCCCAAACTGATGAGAATGATCAAAAAAAAATGTGTGTGTGTGTGTGTGCGTGCGTGTGTGTGTGTGTGTGCTTGACATGGGAACTATATTGGGTGTGATAACTGAAGAAATAAAGCTAACCAAAAACACACATCTTCCTGTGTTTGCAGATTAAGAAATCCAATAGATGCTTTCTTTTGATTGATTGTCTAAACCATGTGGTAATATTTCCAGTGGAGGCGACCTTCATTAAGCATCTACAGACCACTGCACTGCTCTTAGTTTGATTGAGGCCAAATGTTCAATGGTGCATTTAGGGTGAGAAGGGTTGTCTTGTTACATCAAATACTACTGTTACTGTTGCTGTACTCTGAGATAAAATGCAAAGTCTCACTCTCTGGAAGGGGATCAGACCGGTCTGATCCAGTATTGAGTGATTTCCATGTGAACCGCTAGATCCAGCCTTCCTGTTATGTGCTCCTCTACAACTCAGTGAAAGATATCTTTCTAACAATCCAGTGGTGACTAACTCTCTTAGGATGTGGTCACAGTTTGGGAAACAACTTGATTTTGGGCAAATGATTCTATTCGTCCACTAAGTCCACAACCCACGATTTTAAACCTGCCCTGTTGGACTATGCACTCTACCTCAGGTGCCAGAAGGATCTGAAGTGTTTGGCTGACCGCTTTTGTATGAAGAATATGGAATACCATGAAAACATGAATTTAGATATCTTCATATTAGAGACTTCACCCAGTAACAAGCTCCTCCATCTTTCCCCTGTGTTTGCCATAGCTCCAGAGGGGGATGCCCCTTTAGAGCTCTCAATCAAACTCCCTGGTATTTGCCTCCCTTTTGGCCTGCCAGCTTATTCTTTGGTGGAAAGACTGGGTTCCTCTTTCACACAGCCAGTTAGTCAGAGATGTAACAGCAGATTGAAACTTTGAGGAGTTCAGATACTGCAGTCAGGGTTCTATTGCAAAATACTCTGACTTCTCTGTACCAGTTTGAAAGACTAAGTCCTGTGTAACTCCCTTCCTCTTTTTTTCTTACTTAGTTCTGTCTGCAGTTTGTTTTTCCCCAATCGGTTCAACTATTTATACTATGTTTCTCTCTTAAGATCATGGTTATTGTGGTTGTTATACATCCTCAAACCACATTTCCACTGAAGTGAAGGGTGTTGTTGCAGGCATCAAATTCAAAATGAGTGAATATAAAAAAAAAACAATAAAGTTTGTCAGTTTGAATATTAGTTATCTAGTCTTTGTAGTGTATTGAATAAAGGTGGAGAAGGATTTACTAATCATTGTATTCTAGTTTAAATTTTAAGGCTAAACTTCATTGGAATTGGGGTTTGTGCATGGAAATGAGGTATGGGAGCTTTGTACAAAGTTTCATGTAAAAACCTATAAAAAGATCGGAATAAACAAACATTTCCAACAAGGTGCGCCATACAATGATTCTGATGATTCATGACTAAATGGGGGCTTTAATAAGGATACTGTTAATCATTATCAAATAACTGACTAACCACATGCTCGTACTTTCTTCAGCTTGTACCCCCAAAAATTACTGTTTGCCTTTCCTTGTGCTTCTAGTAGAGTAACACTGGCAACATTAGGTTGTGTTGAGCCTCATTATTGCTTGAACATTCAATAGTCTGGTCCAGTTTCAAAACCTTGCACAACCACTTCCCGCTGCATGAAGCAAGAAAGGTTTCTAAATGAAATTCTCCCAAGTGTCAAAGTGATGTGATGCAAAAAGTGTGCATTTAAGAGTGTTTCTCAAGATGCCTCAGGTGTAGTGACTCTGCAGTCCCTTGTTCAGGCTTGTTCTGCT